AATATTGGAATAGTAGTTAGTATTTTTATTTTTTTTTTTTTGAAAATGCAATGATAAGCTGTCGGTTAATTCAAAAACTAACTTTATTAACTTTAAACAAACAAAAAAACTCAAAGTTTTAAATATTGACTAATATTGAACTGGCATCATCAGGTCCGTGAATAGAGTCTGTTTCATTTATTTTTCCTAAGGTTGAAACAATAGAATTACAAATGTTTATTACAGATCGAATAGCTTCGATTCGACAATTCCGCCTAGTGTCACTAAGTAATTTTAAAGTACTGGTAGAAAATTTTGATTCCTTTTGTTTATTTTCAAATACCTAATATTTTTTTGAAGCTCCTATGAATGTATATATCTTATTTAGAGTACCTAATATATTGCGAATTGGTACTATATTCCCCCTGACATAACTACGCACAAATTTAGCACATGAATATAACAATGTTCATATAGAGCTAGTTTATTTTCATCTTTTATCCTTGTAGCAACTCCTGAATACGTATCAAGGTGGCACCATCATAGCATTGGCCTCTAATATTTTCAATTTGTAGACCTAATGTTAGCAAAGCATGTTTAAGTAAATTTGAAAGAGATTCTTCATCCATTTTAGCTGTTCTGAAAATAGATAGCGACATGTGAATTACGACCGTAATATTAACAATATAGAAGCGACTCTCGGTCAGGTAGGAGTTACGAAAAAGTATCTACCTGATTGGTTAATAAATGATAATATTATAATCTAATTATCGTTTTTGATTTACGTCTGATCACGACGTACTCTCTTGCTGGGAAACCACGAAAACGTCAAGGGGGCATTTCCCCGTTTGATTTTGGTAGGGGGCAGCTGCCCCTTCATTCCCCTCCATTTTACGTCTATGTGAGCATCGTTTTCTGTACACAATTACATATCTACAGTATAACAGTTAATTTTTACTCCCCGATTTTCTTACTCTCTCAGTAAAATATTCCGAGGAGTAATATTTTCCTGCCAATTTTGTATTATTTATAGACATTTTAATTTTTCGAGTTTTTTTACATCATTTTTATTCGGTAGGCACTCTGTGGATACAATTTTTAAATTATTAAATCAAACGGAAATGCTTGAAAATTTAACAGGAGGTTCATACTTTGTGGTAAAAAAAAAAGTAATAAAAAATTGATTATAATGTAGATCGTTTTTTTTAAATTATTTAGTATCAAATTTTGACGAAAATCGTAAATATTATAACCTTTCAAAACATGTATAACCGAAAACCACGCAGAATCGTTTTTCGTTTGCAATGGCCAATGATTAATCGTTTTGTACAGATATAAATTTAATTCCTACCTATAACATACTTTCTCAACTTCTCACCTACAACAGCGACCTGCCCATCGTACGAAATATGTTAGTCTTTTTTTTATTATTATTACAAGAAATCTACAATCTAAACCTCAAGGGCACAATAAGTAAATGAAATACAAGAAAAAATTGTATACAGAGTGATTGTGACCTACTGTACACAAAAAACTAAGTACGTAATAGTAAACAAGTTCAGTTTGAAGAAAGCATCCATCCATTAACACTTTCATGTTGTTGATATTTTCATAAGGTTATTTATTTATTTAATTATTTTTATTAATAATCAAGAATAGTTATATGTTAAGCAGATCACGGCACCACTCTCTTTTTAACCGTCTTGGAGGGATGCCAGGAATTGTGGGCGCTGTTAGGTTTCTTAGATTTCTAACAAGAAGATTGGGATTAGAAAAAATTCTCTTATAAAATCGTTTATAAAATAAATTAGCTTCTACGTGAACTAGAGGAATTTTGCGGTATAAATGGATGGGGTCTGGGAAAATCAACCGACAGGACAACCGACCGACAACTGAAATACCCTCAAGTACAATCGATCGACAACCAAAATACCGACAGGACAATTGATCGACAATAATTTATAATGCCATGCATTTATATTTTTATTTTAAATATATAATAATTCAGTAAAAAAAAAAAAAAAAAAACTTAAGTATTACAAAAAATCCAATTTTGACGAAAATTTTAATTATTATTACATTTTAAACGTGAATAACCGAACTCTGCTCAGAATCGTTTTTTGTTAAGAAAGATTAATCGTGGGGAAATAGATTTTTAGAATAAAAATATAAATTGTATAGTATTATAAATTATTGTCGGTATTTTAGTAGTCGGTCGATTGTCCCTGTCGGGCAATCGTCTCTGTCGGTCGGATGGTTGTCGGCCGATGTCTATTTCCCAAATGAGTCGAAGGGTGAACGTTATATGGATAGATTTAGAATGATTAATTTTGAACCTTTAATCCGTATAGGTACTATTTCTCCATAAGAATTAGATGAGATTGGAGGTTTTGTACGGCTAAAAAATGGTCAGAATGAATAGATAAGATGAATTTGGAAGCATTCAATTGGTTGGAAGCATAAATAAAGAATAGAGAAAACGACACTACCTTGAGGGACGCCAGTCTAGCTATAGAAGAGAGTGCATCACCGAAACGAACTTGGAATTAGCTGTCAGAAAAATATGATTTGATAATGAAAAAGTAAGAGGCTCTAGAGAAAAAGATTTGGCATCAACAACTCTGTAGTATACTTGCTGAATAGTATAATGAGGAGTTCGAAAACCAAGAATTGAGAAGGATAGAATTTTCAGAGATATTTAGTAAGATATATTTCAATAGAAATATTTCGAGAAGTTTAGTATAAAAAAAACAGAAGGAAACGAACGATATATCATTCAGATAGTTTATTAAGTTTGGGAACTAAAGTACGAAAGTTTTAAAATCCAATTAAAAATATGTGAAAGATGAGTAATGTCTTTTTTAGAAGGCGTCTAGCTACCTCAGCAGAAATCTAATCAAATCCAGGCGATGTCTTGAGGGAGTATTTATTGATAGCAAACTTCATATTATTTGGTGAAAATTGCTTGAAAAAACAGATTACCTCTCAAGAAGGGACTCAAGATATTCTTCAATAGCTTTTATATTGGCCTGAGAAATTTTGTCTGTGTGTGGTTGAAATACATCCAATAAATAGACTTTGAATACCTAGTTCAGCTTTATCAAGATCCGAAATGACATATCCGGATTATTAATTAGAAGGTAAGAGATACACATTTTTTTAGTACCTCTTCAAAAACCACCATCTAACGGGGAGAGATTTGTATAAAAAATTAATAAAAATTCAGTTTATTTTACATTTCAAACATTGATCTGCTGCTGTATTTAAAACAAAAATCCATGAGTAAAATTATTGTATATTATTATTATCGGTTTTTTTATCATAGCTACTTTTATCTTTGAATAGTAATAAAAAACATCTGATACATACAATTTTTTGACCACTGAATATCATTAAATATCCTTAAAATAGTTAGAATGTTTTTAAAATCAACAGTCTTTAAGAGGCTGTCTCCAAAATTATTTTTTACTGAATAACAACAAAAAACCAAATGCCGTAAGCTCTGCCGTAATTCCTACGTTTTTTCATAATTATTAGGAAAATATAATTCAAATCTAAAAACGAATTTTTAACTCACAAACTAGACACAATTTTATTTCAGAATATATGCTAGTCTTGAAATTCGGACAAATATTTCTGATAGAATTATATAATATTAAAAATGTAAAATAATGAAATCGTTGCTCCATAATTTTATGAATTCGTGTTTTTCGTATCTTTGGCTTTTCCCGAGTTTTGCGAAAACTACTGAGTATATCAAAAAATAACTCTCACTATAAGTGACTAGATATTCAAAGAAAAAAATTCAATGTCTTGTCTAGTCATTCTTTCAATGTTATTTTTTTTCGGATTTTCTTAACTACTAAAAAAAAGAATTTCTTACTCACCGACCGGATTAATAATCTTTAAATATTAGTCAATGATAAAATAATGTTTTTAAAATATTTAGAAAACATAATTTTGCTATGTGGACAATAAATTCTAGGCCCTGATTATTATTATAACAGTCGTAATATGTCGCCCAACTAAAAACTCTTGCAGACTTGGGAAAAAGAAAAAGTTAATCCAAAAAATGAGATGCACCAAAAATAATTACTTAAATGTAGTATTTTTTTGAATTTATTTTCTAGATTAGCCAGNTTAAAATATTTAGAAAACATAATTTTGCTATGTGGACAATAAATTCCAGGCCCTGATTATTATTATAACAGTCGTAATATGTCGTCCAACTAAAAACTCTTGCAGACTTGGGAAATTGAAAACGATAATCAGGCAAAATCAATTAGTATTATTCGGGAAAAACGTTGGGAACCAATATTTTATTTATATTCTTACGTTATTAATGTAACATTACTAATTAGGATTTTGAAACAAAAAAAAAAAAAAAAAATGTGATTCCTAATACCTTATATAATGTATTATATGACACAACTAGAATACTAGGTATGTCATATTTAAATTTGAATATTAATAGTTGTTACTATGGTTATGTTAATTATTAACTATTATTCATTGTGATAAAGATTATGTAATAAATACCAATAATAATTCACATTTATTTTTTTTAATTTAAAGGGTTTTCAATTTTTTATGATTTTCACTATTTGAGTGACAGACCATCATTACCCCAACATTTTATGCATTGGATATTAAATTTGAATAACTAGTTTCCAGTTTTTGCTAAGGTTACCTACATTCCCCCTATTCCCTATTATTATATTCAAATAATGTAATTGAGAAACAGAAATCGAGCCTAAAGAAAAAGTTAATCCAAAAAATGAGATGCACCAAAAATAATTACTTAAATGTAGTATTTTTTTGAATTTATTTTCTAGATTAGCCAGCGCATTTGAAACGCACATATTATAATACAATTTTATTTTAGTACCTAGTTAGGTACCACTTATATATTACCTTTAATATAAAATATTGTTGACTTATAGATTATATATAAATTAATTTAAAGATCTAATGAGAAACACAAATTGATTAAATTCGAAAATCACAATTATAATTCAAAATTCATTTTTAATCCTCTAAGTAAATAACTAAAAAATTACGATAAAAGAATTAATCTGTATAGTGTATAACATAGATTCACCATAAAATTTCTAAAAAGATTATACATCAATAATTCAATAAGGAAGATTATTATTTATTTTTAAATCATTATTCATCATACATTTTACATACCTTAAAAATAAATAATTTATTTAAAATACTAATACAAAACATACTTAAATTTGAATAAGATATACACTGCAAATGATAAGTATTAATAAATTAAACTTTTAAAATAAATGTAAAATTTTAAATTTAGTGCTCAATATATATTTAATCTCAAAATATTCACAACTTGACTGGGAACAAACAGGCGTTATTTTATAGTACCTACATGTATGCTATTTAAGAAAAATATACATTACAAGTATTATTCATTATGTATGTGTTTTTTGGTTACCCACTAACTTATTACAAAAAAAAAAAAAAAAAGGGAAAAAGATGTTGGTAAATCCTTTAAATAGTACACGTCCTTTTGAAGGTGTATTTAATTTAATTTTTGAAAGTATGAGAAGAGATCAATGAACGAAAATTTAAAATTAAAATAATAATCAGTCTGGTATTTTATTATCACAAGAGTGTTGTCCATCATTCATTATGCTGCATACCAGCAGAAAATTCTTATTGCGCAGTATTTATAACACATGGTATAGTCAACGTACATGATACAGTTATTGAAATGTCTTACATTAATTTTACGGCGATAAACTCTTTATGTTGTTCTTTATTCATTAAAATGAACTATGAAAAAATGTGCTGTATAAAATAATGCCTTAGTGTTCCAGTGTATAGGTGTACAGGTGTACAGTACTAGGTGTACTAAAAGAAGTATAATTTCTGATTTACTATTAATAAAAATAATAATATAACCAACTGAGTATATTACTTGTCTTATTTTAATAAAATGAAAGCAAAATAAGCTTTTTCTGATTTGCCTTATATTATTAATATTTTGTATGGTAAAAACACTCTTGATACTACATGATTATAAGAAAAACTTTTTCTTTTTTGAGGTATTTTCATTACAATAATTGTATAACTTTTAGTCTTAATTNGTCCTTTTGAAGGCGTATTTAATTTAATTTTTGAAAGTATGAGAAGAGATCAATGAACGAAAATTTAAAATTAAAATAATAATCAGTCTAGTATTTTATTATCACAAGAGTGTTGTGTATAGGTGTACAGGTGTACAGTTATACATTTTAACCTTCAATAAGTCATTGAATATGTATTTAACTTAAATAGTAATTTTTAAAAATAAAAGAAGTATAATTTCTGATTTACTATTAATAAAAATAATAATATAACCAACAGAATATATTACTTGTCTTATTTTAATAAAATGAAAGCAAAATAAGCTTTTTATGATTTGCCTTATATTATTAATATTTTGTATGGTAAAAATACTCTTGATACTACACGATTATAAGAAAAACTTTTTCTTTTTTGAGGTATTTTCATTACAATAATTGTATAACTTTTAGTCTTAATTAAACAGTTTGGAATATACACAAGAATAAAATATAAATCAGTGAGATTAGTTGGTGGAATAATTATTTTTTCAGGTTTTTTGTTAATGCAAACCCAATACCTACAACAGCGCTAAGACCTAATGTCAGAGCTCCAGCGATCGCCATTCCTTTATGTGCATCTGAAATAGTTCAACAATGTTTAATTAACTTAAAAAAATTAGTTTAAATAGGCTGAGATGATTTGGGCATGTTACGGGAAAACAGAAATTTAATGAAAATAAATGTAAGAGGAAAGGGGTAGATGGATATGATTGAGAATGATATGAAGACAGCTAGTGTATAGAAGGTGAGAGATTGGATTTCAAGGAAATTTAGAACGTGGGTGGGAAAGCAAAGGAGAAGAAGAATATGCACACCTATATAATATCTCAAACCTAAAAAATAGTAAAACATACCTGCTTCCATTTTCTTTTGAATAATCAGCATCAAATTTTTTGCTTGCATATTTTCCGGTTGCAAATGTAAAAATCCTTTGATAAAACTCAAAGCTATACTATATTCCTGAAATATGTAAAATTATATAAAAATTTATATTTTTGAATTCAAACAATTAAAATAATTTATAAATATACACAACCAATTCCATAATTAAACAATCAACAATAGAAATTGATTTTAGATTTTGAGTTGAGCAAAGGATTATTTTTTTCTCTGGCAGAAATATTGCTCCAAAAAAATGATGAGAGCTTTTTGGATGTAAATGAGGTTATTTTTTAATTTTAAAATTGTTTTCTCAAATAATTGAGAAAATCCAAAGGGGAAATTTATAGAAAACGGAAAATTTTGTGGTCATTAATGGTGATTTTTGAGCTATTTGATATGTTTAGTTTATTTTTTGGTTTTACGTGTATAAAATTGTTTTGGCCAAGCAAATATGTTGGAAAATTTAATTTAAGATCTCTCATACATTGTACTTGCTGGTAAAAAAGTTGAGCCTAATAAAGTTACTTATTTAATCACAATTTAAGTTCAAATTTTGACAAAAATGTTACAATTATTTGAAAACATATTTAACTGAATTTCCCTCAGGATCGTATATTGTTAACAATGATTTATCATTGTTTACAGAAATAAATTAAATGGCTTTATGTATCCTAACTTCTCAAATACAACAATGATGTACTGCACATCCACCAGCAGTATCAAATCTTTTAGTTTTAAATTATACTATCAGCAGTTTACCTTAAGTTACCATTAATAAATAATTTATAATAAAAATAAAAGTTGATCAACAAACATAATACAAATATTATAATTCTCACAACAAATAAAAACATGGCTTTAATAGCATATTAAATATGTATATAAACAGGTCATTAAAATTACATTTTATTTACTTTAATATGCAATCTAAAAGATAATTATACTAATGACAACAAGGATTTTTCTTATAAAATTATACATAGGGACTATAATTTGTGTAATACTTTTAAATACAATGCTTTATGTATAATTGTTCGTTCACACTAAGAGTTTCCATAAAATATTTCAATTGAATGACCTTGTATTGAAATGGAGTTTTCGNAGACTTAACTTTAAGTAACCTAACAATGCAATCATTTTAAAATCACCTAGTAGTACCAATAAAATTTACAATTTTAAGTTAATATTTTTACATTTTATTTATTACACATACAGTTTCAATAATTTTAAATTAACAATACCTATGTATAATTTAGTATAAAATATTAAGACAAATAAGTGTGTAAAATATTAATAAAAAATTATTCAAATTCTTTCATAAACTCATAACTAATGAGTAGGGCTGTGAATTTAATGCAATGAAAAACCTTAAAAATGGGCAAAACATGCATGGGTTTTTAATTTAATTTTTATATTACTGATATCAATATATTGCAAGCCCACAAATAAATAATCTAAGCAACATTGCCTTGTTTTATCTTTACTAACCTGTAAACAACTTGTGTAAAATATTATTTTATAAAATATAAATTTGATGTATATACAGTCTGTGCAAAATAAAAATTATGTGTGTAAAGATGTAAATTGAAGGAATTAGATAAAAATACTGGAAAATGAACTAAAAAGGAATATATAATTGAAAAGTCCAAAAAATGACCTTAACCATTTAAAATGTTAAAAAATTCAAAATAAAAGTTTTATAAAAGAATATATTACATAATTCAAATTATATACTTAGAAACCTACATTACACAATCAGCTAAAAAAAAATTCACTTTCCTACAAACTCACAACCTTATTTTTAAGTATAGTTTAATAATTTTTATTTATTAAAATGATTATGCATTCACTCTAATAAAATTATAAATTATACATTTCCAAGTTCAATAAGGATAAGATAAAAAAAAAAAAATTTTAAAATATGTCTAGCTTCATTGATTCATTTAAATTGAATGTAATAATGTATTAATGTCAAAATGTAATAAATATAAATAAAAATTAGACTTACTTTAATTCTTGAATTTCCCAAAGCTAAGTAATAAAGATAATTCCGTTTAGCGTCATCATCACTTGCCTCGTGTTTAACCAATTGTTCTAATAATATAAGTCCTTTCCTGATGTCTGCCGGATAGTTGCTTCTCACCAAACACCAAGCATAATGAAATTTTGTTTCTTGAGAAACAGTTCCAGTTGTAAGTTGTTTATGATATTCATTTTCAAATTTCTAGAAATAAAAATATTTGAATAAAATATTAAATGACTAGTAAATATTTATATTAAATAGCAAGAGAACATTTACAAAACAATTGCATACTTTTGAAAAAAGTACAAAAACAAAAAAAAAATGTTTATTTTCAAAACAAAACAGTTATAATTTAAATACTACACCTATTGTGAATTAATATTAATACTTGGTAAAATATTTTATACTTCAATTCAAACACAGTATGATAATCCTTATAATAACAAAGAAAAACCAATTTTAAACACAGAAACGAGATTTACTATAAAATCAAGAGGTTAAGATGTTAAAAAATCAATCATTGTGTTGAACGTTGATTGACTGGTGTTAACTGACTGGAGTAAATACTATTGTAAAAAAAAACGCCAATGACTTACCTTAAGGTCATCCATGGATACAACATCGTTTAAAAGGTCTTCCACGTCCATTTTTTTCGTATTTTCGACCGTGGTTTAGAAACGATTTAAAGATTTTCCACGAATTTGTACAAAAGTCTATTCGGAGTTCGGACACGACGTCTTCCACTGCCAGAGACGGACAAAAACGATACTCGAACACAACTAACCAGCATAGAACAACAGTATCAATAAGTATAAAACAACGATACTGTACACAATGTTTATCTATTATCAATAAATACGTAGTCTCGGTGAGTTAGTCATAAGTCATACAATATTTTACAAACACAGGCGAGTCAATAATTTACGCACAATTCGTATGAGCCATAGGGTCTACGATGGTAACATTAACAATTATTGTAATTTTTTTTTTATGATAATTATTATCAAATTTCCATTGTCAGTGCGTGCGTGTGTCTGTGATACAAACAGCTGATCACTGATTAGTGGTGTACTAGGTCACCGCGCCACGGCGACAGTACGGTGGTCGAATTTCTCCCACCCCTTACCGCGTAATATCGTAATCGAACGGGCTAAAGTGGTAGAGGAGATGCGCAGCGACAGCAAAACAAAAAAAAAAAACGGGGCCTTCTCCCGTGGGACGGAGTATAGTGCGTCGGTAGTCTGTCCGTGAACGTAAACCAAGAAATTGTCTCGATTGGTTATGATTCGTGGCTAATGTTTTGAAAAACAAATAAATCGCTTATTAATTTACAAAAATCCGGTAATTATACTTAGTGAACATCGCAGTAAAGAAGACCGTGTAGGGGCGGCAGTTCGAGAGCAATTCTCGTCTGGCACCATCCATCGTGGCACCTTACCACTTGATATAAACCGCCTACAACAATTACATTTTTATTTTATTCATACATTGTATATTATCACCTATGCATTATACTGGCCCATGGTTTTATATGTCTATGATTGCATTGTGTAACGTGGTTCAGTAAGAATTAGGTGGTATTTTTGTTTGGAAACAGAAAAAGAACGTGACTTCGTCACGAATAAGGGATAACAATTTGTTTGTGTTGGAAAGGGTCTGTATTGAGCTAAAAATCGCAATTTGAAGCACAGCCCATAAAAAAATCATTGATGGACTGAATAAATTGATAGATATTAATTAAAATTCTTTCATACCTACATTAAAAATATTTGTATTGCATACATACCCTTGTGCGTTCCATGTAATCCCTTACATTGGTTGGTATATTTATTTAAATTAATTTTGGTCGATTCTTTTTTTGTGATGTTTTGTATTTATTACATATTTTTAACTTCTCATTTATTCGACATTTTTTATTACTCTACTTTGTTTTATCGTGGCTGAGTATGAAAATTAGGGAATTTCAATGATTCAATCTTGTGTATATAATATTGTTTTTAAAAATTGCAAAATTTTAACAAGTAATCTTAAATACAACTAAAGTTTCAGAAGTCTCTCTTTTTTCAAAACATATCAATTACAGGCTAATATTTAATGAATAAAATGATCACTGTTCATAATTATTATTCTGTATTGATAATTATTAATAATTAAATGAATAGATAATCTTCAAATAATTCAATAGGGAAAAGCTTTTGTTTCCAGTAGCAGATTTTCAACATTTTTCTGGGAGGGGTCCTGAGAATGATATGTATTTAAAGAGTATCTCTATTAATAGATGCTCCTTTTTTGGACGTTTATTGAAATTATATCAGTTTCTTGGGGGTCAAGATCCCCTGAACCCCCCTCTACTCTCCGTAAATCCACCACTAATATTTTCATGGTGTACAAGTTAGTTTTAACAAATTTAATTGAAAAAAAAGGAAAAATAATAAAATAATGCGTGTAGATATAAAAAATATTTATAGATTTGTAATAGGTTTTAGAAACAATATGAAATTATCATTGTTTATTTGGCTAATACAACTATAATAGTTAACTATTTGTCTAAAAATAATATTATTCAATTTCTAAGTAACAGTTACATTAAACAAATACTAAAAGTCATAGATATATTATTGTAAGAAGAAAAATTTTTTTTAGATTTAGTTTGGTAAAACTAGCTCACAAAAATAACTACTTTATGTCATACATACCCTCTTAAAAATAACAATTATTCCCATGTTATATTATATATACCTAGACCTATACTAAGAAATGTTTTTTTCAAACAGCAATAGAATTTCGAAAATAAGATGGACAATAAATGAATTGAAATATCTTTTGCCGAGTGATACAGAGTGTACGTCTGATAACCAATATGACCTATAACCTATCCATTATATATTATCTATCGTACTTTGTACCATAGATTAGCTAATTTTGATAACTATTTTTTTTTTTGTTTTTTTGTTCCTTGATAAGCCAAGTATGAATATTGAATATCACATCATTCGCATTGTAATGTACATTACGAATATATCTGGTCAATATTTCACTTCTATGTTCTTGGCGTGTAAATGTTAAATTCAAATTTTTATTCTGAAAAAATTCTCCATGCGTTTCACAAAATACATTAACAGTTTCTGCATGTTTCATAAAACATATTTCCAGTTTTTGCAATATTTAAAATAAATAATGGTTAACATGATTTAAATATCCACAAGTTTTAATATTCAATAAATTGTAGATCTCCATTCCTAAGTCAGATTCTTTTTAAACAAATCTAATAAAATTAAAATGTATTTGTATTTTATAGTTAATTACTTGTAGTTAATATTATTGTACAGTAGGTAATTATGGTTTTGTCAATTTAATTAACAAAATAATTTTTAATTTAAAATTATTCACTAGGTACTATTTAACTAGTGATCTTACTAAATATTTTTTAATTCCTTTGCCACTTTTCCATTTACTTATGATATCAGTTTCTTTAAAATATTTTAGGCAAACGCGATGAGATTTTTTTGGAACACCAAATGATGTTTGAATTGCTCGTGTGGTTTACAAATACAACAGTAATTAATTTCGGAAAAAAAAAAAATGAATTTTAATATAATATACAGTATTTTAAAAATTATAGCTATAGTTAATTTCAGTTTAACTCAATCATTAGAGTAGGTACCTCTAGTCGCATAGTACATTCTTTGCAGAAAAGAATCATTAAATTAATAATGTATAGATTATGAATATGGCCGCTAGATCGCGTTAAGACCTAGTCAATTGACATAAACACTTTCTCCGACCACTATTTTTTGTTAGACACGCAACCAATCTATCTTAAATCGTGATTGAATCATTGAGATTGGCATCTTTATCAATAAAATATAAGGCAATTATCACTGCACTCGGGGCAAGAAACGGGTAGAGTGCGCGCATGTGAAACATGAACACCTGCACTAAATATTTCATATGGAACATAAAAATGTACACTAGTGCAGTCGGGTGGAAAACGCTGTAACTACTTGTTATAGTGTCTCAATATTTCGAAACCGGTATTGTAAATTCTATTTACGCCAATGGTTCTGTGTCATTACTTTTTTCCTACCAAATAATATCAAAACTATTGAAATGGAAACCTGTAATTTAAGTAAAGTTTCAGAAGATGACGATTGTAATAATATACAAAAAGTTGAAGAACAAATTGAATCGAAAATGTTGTCAGCGGATAAAGAAAAACTCGTACAAGAATTAATTGATATGGGATTTTCTAAATCAGCAGTAGTACAAGTAATGCATTTTTTTTCATGCTTACCTACTTATAAAATAAGTATTTATTTCTATAATATCAGTTCTCATTGTCTCAACCTTTTCATATCTGCTTACTTATTACATATTTTGAAATTTTTCATGTAACAAATTTGCATGTTATTTTATATATATGAAGCGTTTTATTATGAAATCATAATTATTAACATTCAATACACAAAAGTAAAATCAAATATGTATCATTATTATTATTTATAGATTAATTTATTACATTATAACTACTTCATAACTTTTTTTTCATTTATCAAAAAATGTCTTCATGTACAAGTTGAGAACCGATCATCTATAATATACATTTTCTTTAGATTGTAGAAAATGCTAGAGATGTACCTAAAAATATGATTATAGAACAACTATTATCATCAAACTATAGGCCAGAAAATTTACCAGTACTAGATGATGATGACGATCCAATGTGGGAAGATATAACTGTTACTAATAAAATGGTTATTGTTATAAACAAAGGCCTAAATATGGGCATTGGGAAAATTGCTTCACAAGTAATTCAATATAATAGCACAATTAGAATTTTAAATAATGATGCAAATAACACAAAAATTAAATGCAAAGTAACCTTATTCAAATTTTCTAGGCTGCACATGCTGCTTTAGGACTGTATGAAATGATGAAAGAAAATATAGATCTTACAAATAATTTAATTTCATGGAATGAACAAGGGTAAGCAATTTATATCAAATAAAAACTTATTTATTAGTTGTCAACAATTTTTCTTAGACAAAATAAATTGTTTAAATCTTAAGAAAATAATTTCTTCACGAAATACAATTTAAAATCAAATAATTATCAATGTTAATACAGGTGCGTTATGTAGCTTTATTTAAATGTTCCTATAATTATTAATATTAACATGACTGCTCTTATGTGAAAAAACTTAAAAATTGGGTGGCCTCCTTTATTAAGGAATCGAAACTTTAGCATATTGGGCAATCGCTTTTCCACCAAGCTATCCGGTACCTGACTTAATATTATTTCCACTAGATTTACATAATCTAATGTCTTGGGTTTTGGGCAATTGTGATGAAGTTACCATGTGTTTGGTTGAGGGATAATGTCACTTGTGAGGATTGTGTCATTTTTCATCATATTTTATCTGTATTTTGTACAGAAGTCGAAAAATAGTTGTTGAAGCTAAAGACACTGTTGAACTAATGAAGTTGTGTTCAATGGGCAGAATACACAATATACCTTTTTTTTGTGTTCATGATGCCGGTCGAACAGAAGTTGCACCTGATTCATTTACTGCACTTGCATTTTTTGGATCCGATGAAGAATTAAAACATGTAACTGGAAAGCTGAGACTACTGAAATAAATTAATGAACTATTCGTTTTGAAAAACATTTAATGTGTAATTAGTTCAATGCATAAATTTAAAATTATAAACTTAATTTTTAATTATATAACTATAAATGTGCTACATGAAAACACAATATTGAATTGTATGTGAATAGAATGAAAATAAAACAACTGTTGAAGTATATAGTTTAATAATTTTAAAAATACAAAATAATTAATTATTAATATTTAGAAACCAAAATGATTTACCTATAAAACTTTAATCTAGGTAATTTATATTAAATAAAAAGATTGCTTTTAAATGATTAATCAATCAATAATCGGTTATCTAATCTTACAATATTATAAATGGTCTAAAGAATTAATTACGTGATAATAATCCAAATGAAATAGTAATATTTAACTTAGTAGATACATAATACATGTTGTATAATTTGTATAGGTATATTACTTTAAAAAGCATTATAAATATCTGACAATGTTGTTACATTTTTTGCCAACACCTTACAATAAAATCTAACCAAAAATTATGACATAGTCAGCCTAAAAGAGGTAATTAATAATTATAAAAAATAAAACACTTTGTTCATGCATAACCTGAGAATGAGTAAATCATTTAATACATTATAAAAACAATAATCAGTGTTTTTCTTCTGTTTTTAATATGTCAGTCTAAAAGGGTTTTAAATAAAAATTAATTAATTAAAATAAAACCAAGAATTGTTTGGAGGTTATTTGGTTTGCATGAATGTGTTTAATTTGGCCGATTACGATCATAAAAGAACTTAGAAGCATTTGGATAACGGTCAGGACTAAAATCTGGATGAGTGTCTAATCCTGATCTGCCCAGTGTCTTAATACGCTCAGTATACGCATTTTGTACAGCGGCATCAGCTCCAACAGTTGCTGTAACTTCCTTATTAATGGTTACACCTGCTGCACCCATGGCCACCTCTAGATTTTCTAAACACATTTTATAAACAATTAAATTTATTTTATTTACCTATAGGTCATACATTATACAATACCTTTAAATAATACAAGGTAGTGTATTATATATTTTAGAAAACTTGGTTATTTTTATGTCATAAATATTTATATGTATTACCAATAAAATTTATATTGTTCAATATACAATTGCCATTTTATGTTATTGGCATATTTGATTGTCAAGTTGTACACTTTATCCGTTAGATTAATTAATAAAAATGGCAATGCATAATAAACTGATAAATTATGAACTTACTTTAGTTAGTTTTTCAAGTTAATTTATAATTAAAAATTTTAAAAAATATATATATAATTTTTTAACTCACTAGCTATGATTTGTGATAATGGCCCTTGAGGTTTAGAATTTGTCACAATCTTTCTCCTTTTGTTGGGCATACCTGATAAATATGCATCACTGTATGGAGGTTGAGGCCCTTGACGTCTTTGACGTTGTGTATCTCTAGTTATTACTGGTACCCATTCCTGCAAAGTGGAATCCAATGTTAACTTATATTTTACTTGTTCTAATATTTTATTTTTAAACCTACCGAAGGAACACTATGGTGCCATTCCTGAGATCCAATCACAACTTCAGGTAAAGGTTCATTGACAATTTCTTGAGAAGGCAGAGTTGAGTTAGATCGTTCCGCATTACCCTACAAAACAAAATAATACATTCTTATAACTGAGAAATACTTAACTATAGAAAAAATAAACATCAATACTTACCACCCTTGATGTTTGTGCAGCATCAAACTCATTAGAATCAAATGGCACTATAAAATCGACTACAGGAAAACCTATTTGAAGATTATTTGCCATAGTATCCCAATATAGGTCAACATTCAAACGTACTTCATCCATAATTATTTGATGTAAATGTGTAGGAAGTGGCAAGAATTGCTAAGTTACAATAGAAAATATATATATTAAGATTAAACAATGTTAATGTGTATATATATATGCGCTAATTACCATTAAAGCACCAACACAGAGTCTAAATACAGTGTTGTTATTGCAGCAATACACTACTAATGACATAAGTGCTTCAGCAAATAAGATCAATGGAGGTAGAATATTAATAGTTGCTGTACCTCGATCTAAAAAAAAAAAAAAAACATTTGTATTTTAGATAAGTTTAGTGTATTATATACAAAATGAGTTTTGGTAATAAAATTAAGTTCTTTTTATAAGTTGTACAAAAAGTATCAGTTATTTGTACAATGGATTATATCAAAGGTTTTCTTAACATGTGTATTTATTTACAAACATTCATTAATAATATATTCAAAACTTCAATTCATTAGTATACATTGATAAGCGTTGAACAATATAATGATATTGAGTGCAGTTAACATTTAAATTAAATAATTTTATTTATAACCAGGACTCGGGACTTTATACATTTAAAATCCACAAAAAACGTTTAAAATCGTAAAAAAAAAAAACCCTAAGAATTTTTCCTTTAAAATAACAGAAGATTCAGAGGAGTTTAAGATTTTCACTCTCGTCGTTAAATGTAATTTTCTATTACTACAACACAATTTTTTTTTTTTATTAAAATTTTATTTTGATTATATTTTTAAGTTATAGCCGCTTTATTTATAACCAATTTATGAACACTAGATTTTTAGTTAAACTTTAAAAGTCCCTTATTCATTATTATTTCTTGCTTAAATAAAATGTATATAACTTAAGTATTTAAAATTTTTAAAAACTACTATGTGGTTACAAATATGACTCACTAATTTTAACAGTAATTAATGCTAATTCTAACAATATACATTAGACTGGATGTTAGTTTTTTTTACTTGACTGCGTTTTTATAAGCCACTAGAATTTTAGAGGGGCTAATATTTTTAATAAATAAAAACACATCAAAATGTTGACTTTTCCAAAAATTATTTTAAAATGTGAAAGTATCAAGTCTCCATTAAAATAATATAGGTTAATGGTCTAGAAAACTATTTACAGAAGAGTAATCTGAAATTTCATTTAATATTAATATTTTGTACTTATTTTCTGTCATCATTTTCCAGTCGGACACAAGGTAGTATCTTTGTGAGTTTAAACACAAAATTATAGTAATGATTTTATTATGGTTAATAATATTTTATAACATGCAATTTGTATCTACCCAACTGAACATTAAAAAAAATCAGAAATACACCATTGTACATTGATGGTATCGTTGGTATTAGATTAGTGCAATTAGGTTTATATATTAAAAGCAAAAAACAAAATACGATTGGGGTATGTAAGTCAACTGATAAGGTTATATTAAAACTGTAGAGCTGCTTGTTTCTTAAATGTTCTATAAACGAATTCCAAAAAAAGTTAATACTTTTAGAGATTATTAGTGTACATACTAAAATCACCTTGCACTTATTACACAGTTTTAACAAATATTTTTAATTAAATATTATTTAACCTGATGAATGTATTTATACATTTTGACAATTCATTAATATATTTTATAGTAATAGATAAAAGCATATTGAAAATAAACCCTACGTAATTATTGAAATTCCTATATAAATTGTGTAATATACCTAATATAAAATTACACCTTAAAACTAGCAAGACTGTATTATAATTAAGGATATGTATCCGAATCCATTACTATACAACTAATTATTTATTATTAAAAATCTTACTTTCATCGCAGTAAACAGCAATTAAACGAAGATTGTGAACAATACATCTTCGAAAAGATTCATTCAAATCTACATTAGTACGTGTTGGCACGGAACATTGCTAAAATATTTATGAACAAAAATTAGTTTCAGTAAATATAATTAACTATTTTAGTATTAATTCTTACAAAAACATGTATATATGACACCATCTCTAAAAATATACGATTAGCAGCTTCCTCAATATTATGGTTGGTATGTGGTTGATTACGCATAATTCGATCCAAAAAAAAATTGACTAATGCGCCAGAATGTCTAGAAACTGGATTTTGTACAATGGATGATTCTAAATCAACTGTATTTAGATTTATCAAGTCATGTAATGTCCAATCACGAGCAATTAACAAGAACAAATCCACCAATACAGAACTACCCTCTAGACCGCTGAAGAATGGTATATTACCAATAGGTGTAAGGAGCAATTCATTTGGTTGACGGGCAGTTGATTGAGGCACAGATATTATTGTAGTCTCTAAGCCCTATAAAATAAAACCACATAAAAATAAGATTTAAAGCTAATTTTATAAGAATAGGCATAACTTTTTGATATTCTTAACAAAATACCAACAAAAACAAATTTAAAACATTATACTTAGTATTTACAATTTAAAAAAAAACAAGATATACATTATACTAAGGATAGGTTATCAATATAGGTTTTATATTTAGTTGGATAATATATTTTTGGTTCCAGGAAAGGATTTGAGTCATTTAATGATTCAATTTAAACCTTTATAAAATTAATTTTAACCTTTATAAAATACCAGTTTAAAATAATAAATATTATATATGCTATGAAACTATAGTGTATCATTATTTTGTATCGGAATTTTTTTTTTCGATTTTGATATGCATATATATACTTGTATTCTAAATCTAAAATTGATTGAAAGAGAAAAGTTTTAATTTCAATTACTAATACATTTTTACACAAATTAATAAAACCTGAATATAAATTTTATACATTCCAATATTCTAATAAATGGAGAAAGTACAAATTTTGTAGTATCAATTGATTGTTTATTGCTCAAATATTTTTCATTCTCTCCCACGCAAGAAAAAAAATGAAAATAACTTTCCTAATAGATCAAATAGACAAGTTTAGAAACCATCCCCTAATTCATTCACAACAAATTAAAAAAATAAAGAACCATAATAAAACCAATTCATTTATTGCTACACTTAGTCCAACAAAATAAATATAAAATTGGTTGTTTATCAGTAAATTAAAAAGGTACTCAAACCACTAGAAAAATAAATTATAAGAAAGACAAACATACTTCGCACGTGGGTGGCCACTGTTGTAGGTGAGAAGTTGGGAAGGTAGAAAAGGGAAAATTTAATACATATTTGAATGCAAAAAATAAATCATTACTCACGAAAAAAACACAGTTCAGTTGATAGTATTACTTTGTCAACAATAAATATGTCATATCATGTTAAATTAATGACACATTCATTTAATATTTTCTTTAATAATATTTGTTTAAAATTGTACCTATTTTTACATTTATTGGGAAAACTGTTTAAAAAAAAAAGACCTCCCCCTAAAGTATCACCAGAGTGAGATTTCCTTTCAAAACAAATGCATTCATTGTAAATCGGAGTAAAATTGCTGGTAGAAAAGTTGTACATAGAAAAATAAATAAAAAATAAACATCATAGTAAAAACAACAAATTCTTTGCTCCACTCAGAATCTAAAATAACTTATTTGTAAAATCAATTAAAATTTTAAATTTATATAAATAATACAAATATTTTTCTTCAAATTATTGATATTTGTAAACAAAACTACTTACCAATGTTGAGCCTCTCAGGGGTCGTGGAAATTCCCTTACCCTATCAAATCCTTCCCTTTCTAATCTTTCAAAAATATTTGTCATATCTATTGCTAAAATATAAAAAAAATAATATAAGAATTATGAAGTTCTCACATAAATACAACATTTAAATAAAATTATATTGAACTTATCAATTATCTAAGTATATTCAGAAAAATATCATTAATATCTCTTATGAAAAAATAAAGAATTTTCAGTAAAACACTATTTCTATAAATAATGCTTAATTTAATTTTAAATGTTTTTTAATAAAATAACTTATTTCACCTGACATGTCTTCCATTGTACCTCTAGTAAGTAAAGTAGGCTGTGTATTATTACTTGCAGGTGAAGCAGCAGTAGTGTTAAAACGATTATTTCTTCCAAAATTCAATATAGGATGTATACCAGACATAAATCCATCAATGTCATGCACATAGCGAGTTCTTGGTCGAGCTGTACGTCGTAGGCTACTTGGTCTCATTTCAGAAACTGTAGGTAGAGAAGTCTCATTGGCTAAATTTGCATTATTAAAAGGCGTTGACAATATTCTTTCATTTCCTTGGGTTCGCCTTGCTAATACCACTGGTCTTAAATTTGGTTCGAAATGATGTGAATGACATGGTAAATATGGGTCCCCGCGAGGAATACTAGTAATGGTAGGACGATATCCATAGCCTATAATAAAATATATGTAAACACAAAAGCTAATATTAATAGGTATATTTTATGTAAATTATTAGTACCATTGTTTTTATAATTTATTACTATAAAATCAATGGTAGAAAATTAAAGTTTAACTTCATATAAATACTATAATATCAATGAATGCATATATAAATGTAACCTTAACAATGTATGTATGCATAGACCAAAACTTGGACTTGAAAACTGATTAATTTAATCAATTGAGTAATGAAAATGTAGTGTGATTAATATCATTTGTGGCTTCAAGGAATATGTCCATCAGTAGTACATTTTTTCACAGAAAAATAAATAAATAAATTCAATAAGCACCAGATGGACACTAGTAAAACTAAAGTTTTTTCGATCTATATAGGGTCTTACATTAAAAATATTTAAAGGCCAATATAATGTATAATTACTTGTAACACTACCTTGCGATGGAGGAGAATTAGTTGTTGATGAAGAATTAGCTGTCCGTGGAGTTACACGAGGAGTTTGAGTAGAAGTAGTTGGTATACCAGCCCAATCCAATGATTGGTCAGACATCAAAGGACGCCGCACTCCACTAGAAATAACATCAATCATCTGATCCACCCAATCAATAGGCATACTGTTATTAGACGTTTCAATACTACTCGAGGATTCTAAATTAAAAATAAAAATATTTTTAAATTCATAAAGATTATTAAAATAACAATTAACTTTAGAATAACGAAATACTCACGAGGAACACCAGTCGGTGGTATTGATCCAGAAGAATTTGAATTAATAAATGCAGCTTCTACAGTATCAATGTGAATAGTTCCTGGTGTCATATCAAACACAAGTTCTGCTAGAGCATTAGAATTATCTGTCGAAAATTCTGAAGACGAATTAGTAATTTCAGTATTTGGGTCGACTGTTACATTTGCATTTGTCTCAGTACTAGTAGCTGAAGTGGATACATTAGGAATTTCACTTCCTATTCCTTCGGGATTCATAACTATAGAATATATTTGAAATTAGAATCAGTTACTCAATTATAAAAAAAAATTAACTTACAATCAAGTCTAAAGGCTCGAACACTAGGAATAGATTGACTTGTATTAGTAGTTTGTGTTGAAGTAGGTTGTTGAGTAGATGGCGGTGTAGCTGTAGTAGTAGAAGTAAATGAATGTGCAGTATGTAAAATAGTTCCTTGCATCAGATACTGGCGAGGATGCATATTACGATTTGGCTGTCTACTAAATGTCATTCTTAAATCACTAAGTAAATGATTAATATGTGATATATAATGCAACACTTCAGATACACAATTGAACACAACTTGTGCATTAGGTGATCCACGTTCACTCTAAAATAAAAATTTAACATAATTTTTAATAAAAAAAAAACAAATTGTAATTAACAATTTGAGATAACAAACATTGATTTATTTTCTTTGTCTAACACAAAATTAGCATTAAATGTTTATAGAATTCATAGCAATTAATTAAATAAATAAATAAAATAAATAAAGTAATTTACGCACAAGGCATGTCCAGATATTTAATGTTTATACAAGGAAATAGATATAATTGTATTTAAATATTTTTATATTTAATTATATTTGTTAATATATTTTAAATCATTATATTTTTTTCAATCATTTTAAATTTTAAATGTGTATGATCAAATCATTTAATATTAAGGGGGAGTAATAAAATGTATGTGGTTTATTTATCTGGTAAATTTAATTTAACTTTACAATTTATTTTAAAACATATATATATAATTATATATAATTTAATAAAACCTTTAGTTACAACAGTCTTGATACTACTATTTTTTTTTCATGGAATTCATATACAAAATGTAAAAAAAAAGTTTTTATACCCGTGTAGATTCAACCTGAGGCTCTTCAGTAAGATACTTGGTATATAAAGCAAAAAATGGTTGAAGTCTAGCATTTAATTTATTCAGTTGTTCAATTATGTCTCTTAACCGGCGTCTTTCACTTGCAATAGTAGGGCCAGATCTATATTCAGAAGATTTTTAGTGATTAGTTATTTTTATCTAATTAATAAATATTTAACATAATATAATTTATTAATAAGTAAATTAATTTCTAACCTTGTACTTTGATCATTAACTGTAGAAGATGGTCTGTTTGAAGAAGTGGTTTGTTCTGTTGAAGATTGGTTAGTTGGTCCGGCTGAAGTTGTTTCAGGAACAGCGGTTGTTTCTCTTTCGACAGCTAAACAAACAAATAATTGTATTTAAGATGGCTGCAGTGCGATACATTTCAAAGAGGAAAGAGCGACACAATTTTTTAATAGGATCAGTGTGAGAAGTAAATGACCATAGAAGTGTGAGTACAATTCAATATGTGTACCTCCAATTCTGCACTTTATAAGCAGGTAGAATAGATACCAAAACTCACAAAATATTTTTATTTTAGGGTTTATCCAGTTTATTTTGATACAAATTGTACATCAAAAAATGTTTTATTGCATCTCATAAGTAGTCTAATATCTTTGATGAGACTGTTTTTTAACTATTTTCAACAAATGATAATTAGTTCATCCTATATATTTAAATTTAGTTTAGTTATATAAGAAAAAATATCATCTAGCTTTTTTTTTTCTTCAACTCGTAAACCATTGAACATAAATTACCAAAATTTATACAGAATATCAAAAAGGATGTTCTTGGTAATTTATGGTACTATTTTAAAATTTCTATTAATATAATATATAAATAGTTATTTTATTGTTGATTTAAATTTTTTTATCATTAATATTATAAAACAAGGTTATTATAACATATAAATGCTTACTTTGATCAGTTGATGAACCAGGAGGTGATTGTAAATTAGTGGCTTCGTGCAAATGATTCTGCATATGGCGCATTAATCCAGGTGACATTCTCATATGATGTGTAGCATCAATTGTAACAACAACAGTATTTGGGAATGTATCATCTACTTCATAGCTCCTAAGAATAATAAATAATATAAAAATTGCTCTTTATCTTTAAATAATTTAAAATTATTCATTATAACAATTTTCATTAAAAAAAAAAAAAAAACATACACCGAAAAATATTATATTATATTGAATGTTAAAATATTTTTTTTAATTTGTGTATTTTCATATGTAACGAAAAAAATAATAATTTAAACATATGAAAACTTTTTTATTCTATATCATTAAAAATTACATTTATTTTATAAACTACATAAACACAGCACATCACAGCAGGAATATCAAATTTGTATATGCATTGATAGTAAGTATTGGGTTATAATTATTATTATTATTATTTCTAATCATTGCAAAATACAGAACTATTAAAATAATAATAACAAATTTGCTGTAAATAAGTTTTAAAAAACAATAGCGACTAAATTATTAATTACTCCTCTAAACATAATATAGATCTTGTGATGTTTTATCAAAGAAATTTAATTTGAGTTTATAACAATGGTAATGAGCAAATAAACATGGTCAATTAAATGAAAAAAATCTTGATACTTCACTGTTGTGTTTGAGAAGTGATAACTAATAATAAATAATTTGATGTATGATAATAAATCAAATTATTTAATTTATATCTGTAAGGAACAATAAATCATTGTCAATGGAAAACGTTTCTAGATAAATCATCTTATATATGATTTGTAAGGTTGTAATATTTACGATTTTCTTCAATATTTGATCTTAAAACAATTATAAAAAAATTACAGCATTAGACTAATTTTTTTTTATACAAATTATAATGAACCTTATGAAATTTTCATGCATTTTATTTTTGTTTGGTCAAACAATTACATCCACATAGTACCTACCAAACAAAAAACCATTAATTCCTTCAACTATCCTGTTCTTTTAACGTTTTTCTGGTTTTGCTCAATTGTTAAAAAAACTACAAAGAAAATCAAATAACGACTTTCTTATGAGATTTCAATTTTGTATTTTTTTAAATTATCATAAAAACTACTTAGACAACCAAAAATCAAAACACTTCCTCACCAACTCGATCCAAAATGCAACAAAAATGGTTCCTGGGAATGTTTGACTAAAGCAATATTTCTGGTAAAAAACATTGCGTACAAATTAAAAACAATGAAATTGGTATTGCCAGTGCGACAAATATTTGCCACTCCTAAGATCAATTTTTTTTCCGGTTTTTCTATTATGAAAACCTCTAGAAAAAATCGAAAAATGTCCTCCCCAATGCACAACTTAGGTTAACAATTTCCTTTCAGAAAAAGTATCACACTTAGTGTTGAGACTTATCTAAATATTTCATTTACATATTATTTAGATAATGTTGATAAGGTTCTAAGGATTATCTAAGACAAAAATCATTAATCATTATCTTTTTAGTAATTATCCAGATAAAATAAGTAAATCATCCAAGAAAATTATTTATTAGTATTATTAATTATTTAACTAAATTATTATTAAATACTATTAATTAATTTAATAATTTACATTATACATGTAAAATTTTAATTTGAGATTTTTTATATTATTACCTATCAATAAAGAGTGATTTTTGTTTAGAAGAATTATATTTGGTATTAGAATGCTTAAAAGTTAAATTGTTTCTTAAACATACATTTTATTTTGTAAGGTCGGTCATTCAATACAATATAAATTTTTTACATGAAATAATTGTAAATATTTAAATTTTCTTCTTTTCTTTTAATCTAGATAAATTGTGCATGGATTTAATCTTATCTGAGATATTTAAAATACATTTCATCTTCTTAATCTAGATAATATTAAAGCAGTTATCTTTTATCTATATCTAGTCACAACATTGAGCTCACACTTGACACATTGGAGCAAGATTTCTGACAGAAAAGTTGCATATAGATGAAAAAAAACACACACATAGATATATCAAGATTTTTTCACTCTGATCCGAATCTAAAATATGAATGGTGGCATTATTGATCTAAATAAGGGTGCTGTCCTAAAAAAAAAAAGTGAGAACTACTGACATAGATAACACTTATATTATAATTTGTTTTCATTTTGCATATTTCCAAACCAATTACTGTACTATCAAATTTTAAACTCTAATACAAACATAAAATTTTAAATGATAATTATTTTTTTATACATTAAATTGTTAAAACATTATTGAAATTTTGTACTATCATTTTTTTATTTAGTCTGCAATTTTTTTAGTCACATTTAATTATAAAATATTACTGACATGTTTAATTATTATTTATATAAGTTGTTTGGCTGTTGTCTTATTTTTTATTATATTTTTATATTTTGTAAATGGCTATTGTCCACTGATTATACAATAAATAATAAAATTAATAGTTGTATATTCATTTTTACATACACGTTAACTTCAGGATCCGCTGTTTGTGTTGGTGGTGTAGATAATTCTGGTGGTACACTTCCTAATGTAGCCTCCGCTTCTTGTGACCCTTCTGGTTCTTGTTCTCCATCAGTTGATGTAGGTTCATTGCTTTGTATAGTTTCAAGTCTATTTAATATTTCATGGGCTTTACGTACCATATCAAGAGCAAATGATATTCTGTTATACATCTGAGTGTTTCTAGGATTTATGATTCGTGGCGATTCTAAGACAAATGAAAATATAATCCAACATATTAAATTAAAATTGTTAGTTTCCTAGTAGCCTTTTTATAATTTTCTAAGTAAGACACTTAATTAATTACATTACTATTATTTTATGTACATAAAAAGATAGTAAATTCAAACAAAAATTTATAATTTGTTTTCTGGCCATTAAAATTTGCAAACAATTTTTTTAACTAAAGACTGAATAAAATACCAAAACCTAGGTAAATAGTGTAATGCAGTATCCCAAAACAAACATTTTTTTTTTAAATTTAATACCAGTTACAAAATATAAATATCTATTAAATTGTTTATAAAATAACTTTATTATTTTTATATCTTTTTCTCAAGAAGAAGGGCTTAATCCAATTTTTTGCATTTATTTTATTTTTAATTTTATCATATGTATTATATAATAATCTGTATTTAAGTGTATATATTTTTAATATTTAATTTATTTATATTAAAAACTATAAAAAATTGACTTGTGCCCTTCTTTACCATGACCAATGACATAATGGGCATATTATGTCCATTATTTTGATTGAAATTTAAACAACAAATACTAGTGCAACAAACATATGCATATTTAAATATTACCTCCAGTTCCAGGATTTATAATTTCCGAAGGAATACCAATGGCACTAAATAAAACAGTTGGATCATATGCATGCCATCCTCTAAACCCATGGCCATTATTTTGACCTGGACGACTGTTAGTATTTGTTGTTGTAGATGATGATGATCCAGATGTAGTAGTTGTCAAACGTGGAGCTTTTTGAACAAGATGCATAACTTTTCCATGAATACCTATTACAAAAATATGTATATATTTTATTTCATAAAAGAACCAGAAATTTTCCACTAAAACTACCAGTTATTAATCATATCTATGCCTATAACCTAACCTCTATTACTTGTAGTACTAATGTAGGCTCAGCAATGATAACTTTTACTTAACATAAGTAAACTACTTATTTTATATATAAGCCATATTTTTTTGTAACATAGAATATTGTCAACTACTCAGCAAAATAATCATAAGTCCATTTAAACTAATTATATAAAGCTGAGACAAGAAAATAAAATCATGACCTTCTCAATGCACTAACTGGATTAAAAACTCTTCTTTTAGATTTATTACAAAATCGCCAAATGCAAAAAAATATAATTTATAAAATAATTGATGACATCAAAACAAAGGTCATAGACTGCCTACAAAAACAGATGAGCTCAGGAGAAGCCAGTGACATCAATCCTACTGTCCTCGGATGTGCCATTGGCACATAATTCTAACAGTACTGGAACTTTATTAACAAACCTCATGGATATTTAAATACTAAATAATACAATGTAATTTATGTTAAATTTATAGTAAATTTAGTGTAAACATAAAAAACCTAATCTAAACGATAAATGACTTACAAACTACCTACTACCAATTTAATTACTTGTAAAATTATATTAAAATAATTCTTTTACAATATTCAATAATACAATAAGGAATTCTCTTAATTCTATTAAAAAATGATTATAACTAAATAATACATCTCACTGTATAAGGGGTTAATATGTAGTGTAATATAAAATTGATTTTCACTCATAAGAGAAAACAATTATTCATATAAAATCACTATTTATACAACTTATACTCCATGGTTAATAGGTACGTTTGAAAACTCAACTCAATGTACTGTATAGTTTAGGATATCAGTAAACGCAGACCTAACATTCATACAATTATTCTTATGAAATAAACCATAAATATTTAAAGTATCGATATTAGCCTGACGTATTATATTATATTTTCCCTTAAAAATATAATACCTGTATTAAAATTACAATGTTAGCACTCTTAATTACCCCGATGCCCATCAGGTTATATGTCCTATGACACAACTATGTCACCTAACAAAATTTTAACCTGAGGAAAATAACAAGTTGTATTAAGTAATAAAAAAAAAAATTAAATATAATATAATAATTTTTTTTTAAATTTTGTTATTAAAATATTTAAAAAAATCTTAAAAATTGAAACATTTCATAATGTGTTCAACCGAAAATATCGAAGAACAAATCTGATTATAGAGAAAGAAGAATAGAGGGCGAGATACCTGCTGAATATTCACCACTTGATGCAAACCTACCCTCCCTTTCGGATACACTATGCAGATTAAGAACTGGGAAGGTCAAAACAAGAGCTTATATGATTAAATACAAGTATTGCAAAAAACTTGAGACTAGTGATTGTGGTAAAGGCAAAACTGATGACCATTAATTGTGGTAAAAGCCACTTTCACAGGGATTTATAGAAAAACACTAATTGAAAGTCAGTGTAAAAACTATAAATGTAACAATCCACTGGTTCATATACAAAATTTAACCATTACATAACTATGTATATATTTGTCCAGAACAGACACAAAAACTAAGTTAAAACAAATTTAAAGGTTATATTAAAAATACTATTATTATTGTAAATCAATTAAGTCCTAGTCTACCATCATTCGGTTAGATTAGATTTGGAGAAATTTGATTTTTATACAAGTTATTCACTCTGTAAACTTAACTCCCCATAAACAAATACTACGTACACATTTTCGAACACATTATTATTTTTAAATAATTTTCAAAAAAATGTAGTGTTAATTTTATTATAGAATTAACAAATATTCTAAAACTTATACGAATATTAGATCTAAATTATAAGAAAATGTATTTAAATTATAAATAAAACCTTACCAATATCAGCAAGTTTAGTTTCATTACTTAAAACGCGACCACAAAATATTAAACGTTGTTGTATTACTGGGACATTCACTTTGTCAGCAATGTGTTCCTTGAGTTCCAGTATAGTGAACTAATTACACAATATAATTTAACATAAAAAAAACAAATAAGAATAAATATTTGTGAACATATAACAAATGTAGAACTTACAGCATCAGGAACACTAAATGTGTGATTCTGTGAATCTAACGTCTTAATGGTCAAATCAATCATTTTGTGTAGATTTTCAAACCTAGAATAAATAAAACTAGTACACAAATTTAGCAATATACGTCTACGAAAAACAACTGCGTATAGTAAATAAAATCCATAATGCACATAGCTGTAAGTGTAATCACCTCAATAGGTTTCGACGGTGTTTAATCAATATGATGATAATGCGTCTGGCACAATGGAATAGACCAGGGAATAATGTACGCTATTATTCGTAATGACTGAACGACACTTTATTTTCACAATTACCGTGGTTTGATCATCGTTTTACAAAAATTTTGACTCATTATTTTAAAGAAAATGCCAATCAATAGAAGAACAAATTTGTATGAACATTGAACACTGAACTCCACGAAAGTAATATAAATCAAAAGAAGGTGAAACAAAAAAAAGAGAGATGTATAAAAAAAAATGACTAAAATTTGTGATAAACCATGGAACAATAACGACCACCGTGCAAAACACAATGTTACCAACAGTTAAAATGAAACGTTTACAATATATTACTGTTGGCACCTCTTCCATTTAATTCAAATTGATAATTACACACGATAAATGATTATTGGCATTTTCCACGGAAGACGGATGGCATGCCACATGCCATATAATATATAGTCCATGATAACTGATATTCAATATTTACGAAGGTTGCTGGCTGAGAGGTATTTCAGATTACACATTATACATTACATTAATATATCACGATTTAAGTATTTAAGATACACGTATAACTGTATATCGTACAACTATATCTTAAACCCTATGACATAATATATAGTATAGATATCAGCTGTGAATATAATATTGTACAAGTCAAAGGTGAAATAATGATTAATCCAAGTATTACATTATCTGTTATAGCAACAATGATAATGGTTATACATATTATAATACAATCGTAGGACATAAATAAGAATCTGTCATGATTCACGTTTATAAATTTACAATCGTTGATTCTAATCTATTAATGCAACCAAAACCATGATGTACACCTTGTCACTTGAGTTTGAATCATAAATTTAATAAATCAATTTAGTTAAAGAGCCATTATAGGGAATGGCCCCTCTATGGTACTCTATGGCGAGAAAATATATTGTAATGGTTTATTTTATTAATTTATCGTTAAAAGAATAAAACGATCATAAATTAATTCGAAAAAAATTTAACAAGGGATTAAAATAATTAAATATTAAATATTGTCACGATTATATTCAATTGATTCAATAGGTAGGGTTGAAAATCGTATACTAGCCATTAGGTGCTTAATAATTTAATACTATTTATAACAGACAACTACTGTAATATTTTGTTTATTACACTCCCGAAAAACATTTTTTAATTGAAAATCGAATATTTCGAGCTCGTAATAGAGAAATAATATGATTAACAACTTAAATACTGCATTTCGAATAGTTCAGGATCTATATACAAGGCGTATGCAACGTATGGAGGCAAGAATTTTTTTTTAAAAAAGTCGGCATTTTTTGGAACTAAAAAAAACCTTTAAGTATATACATATACAAGTACTTAAATTTATAATATTTTATTATTTATTTTTAACATTGTACTTTCGTGCATATTATAAAAAAACGTACATTATCAAATTAAATTATACTTATCCTAGAAACATCATCAATCACTGCAAATTTTTTTAAGAACGCTTTCTATAACTAAAAATATTAGTTTTTAAATTTTACATACTATTTTTTTTTTGGCATTCATATCATACAATTTATATCATTCATATAATGTACTTTTTTTTACAATTGAATCGTCCATAGACAGATACAAAGTGATAAACTTGTATCTTTATACACGTACAAACCGATTGTAAAGTGTTTAATAATAGATGCTAGATGGTAAAAATGAGAATAATGTTACATGAAAATATAATTTGTTTAATATTAACTTCTTATGATTAATTTTGTTATTCATTTATTATCATTAATTTTTTTTTTTGATAATTTAAACTTAAAACTAAAATAATTATTCGGATTTCTACACTGAAAAAACCGTGTGCCGTCAGACTGCTATAACTATTGTTATTATACAATGCTAATATGCAATAAGTAATCGCCATAAATTAATGTCTAGTAAATAAAAATATTATATTAATCGTAGTAAACATTAATATCTTATCCGTTATCTACAAATTAATTTTTTTCAATTTTATTTTGATGCTTGTAACTATTGCTAAGTATAAGCAACTATAAGCTGAAATCTGAATATTTATTTTATAATATTTCACTTCAAATCTACAAACGAATCAAACGTCCTGCACATCTCGGACTTTCGGTAAGTAATTACTAAAATCTAATATATTGTTCTATATAATTGGATTTGGTTTTCACAATTATTATAATATATTGTAATATTGTTTAAAATGTATCTATATTTATATAATACCATACATAGGTTTTACGTAATATCTATAGTTCATTTCTGAAAAATGGAACTTACCTCACTTATTATTTATATTGACAATAATAATCTACTAATCTTCTCCAGGGACGGGGCAATCGGAAAGTTCCGGATGGGCCGCGTATTGACGAGTTGTAATTGGCCACTGAAATAACAGCAATTTTTTAATGTACTTATATTATATTATAATATATGATTTATATATAATGATATTATTTTACTACCTGACCCGGAAATGGGTTTACAATAACATGTTTTGCTATTACTAGTGTAAATTAATATAATAATAATAGTTTTCTTGTCCGTGACAACCAAATTGTCATCCATGTTACCAAGGTAACCCATGAATGAACAAAATTAAATATTCATACCAAAAATATTTAAAAACCTAATTATCGCATTTTTCTTAGGGATCTCTAATTTTTTTGAAAATAAAACACGGCCCATGTTACTCTCTGATAATATAGGTTTTTATAGATGAAAAAAGTTTTAAAATCTGTTAAATAGTTTTTCGATTATACCAGGTGATCCATATGTGTAATTTTCCGGAATTTGTTTCCTAGAACATTTAAGAAACAAGCTGCTTTATAATTTTATATTTATGTTTTTTTTTGTCATCCTTATTTTTAGGGGTAAAACCACTACATACTTGTGATTTTCAACTTGCAATCTATATTAAAAATACCATAAATATTTGTAGTGGGTATTAGTGAAAATACATTTAAGTGTTAAAATGTTTGATTTCCGTCAATCCGTTGAAGAGATATTCCACTTTTAAGTTTTGGTTGGAGAAGAGTAGTGGATTATCATTTGTGTGAAAAAAAGTAACATAAATAAATGTAAAATTGTAGAGCTATTAAATTATCTAGAAATCCCGAAAAAAGTTAATACTTTCCGAGATAATGAGTGTACCAACTTAAATGGATCACGCGATACTTGTTTTAAAAGGCCACAATATTTACAATTTATAAATACATTTCGTAAATTTTCCAGTTTTTACTATTTATTATTATTAAAATACCTGGAAATATCGAAAAATTACCTTCTTAAAATACCACCCCAGTTAAATTGTATTCCTTTGAGAAAAATTTGTATACATGAAAATCTGAGCAAAATTACTAGAAAAAACATTGTCCCAAGATGAAAAATTAATAAACATCATTTAACACACAGTATATTCCTTGCTCCGCTCAGAATCTAAAATGAATGGTCGTTCGTGATCAATAGACTCAAAAACTACCGAACTAATTTGTACCAAATTGTTTACACATAAACCTTGAAACTCGATAATTTGCAGAGGCATTGTAGAATAGAAGCAAATAGGGGGTTTAGGAAAGCAACCGTTAAGAAAGTATTTATTCAAAATTCAACTCTTAAAGGATGAAAAGAAAATACATTTTAAAACGTTTTTGTTTTAAAATTCTAAGTGTTGCGAGCAATGTATTGGTTTTACAATGAAGTTTATTTTTTTTTTTTTTTTTTTTTTTTTTTTATGTGAACACTTTCTACCAGGGAGCTTACTCTAGTTATCAAATATAGCACCTTTTATGAAAGGGTATATTCTCTGGATAGTACTTTAGAGAGGTCATTTTTTAAAATTGTCTTTATATAATATTTAATATTCAAGATAATGAGAAAAACCTAGTTCTTTAGGTTAAGAAAGATTGAAAGATTAAAAATAAGATTTTCATTAGCAACCGTTTTTATTTATTTATTGTTATTATAAAGTTTTTACTATTTTAATTTTAATCTTTTTTTAACAATCATTGTTGTCATGAAAACGCACATTTTTATAATCATTTTACCACAATATGACATATATATATATATATATTGTTAACAAAGCAACACTATCAACTGAATTCCGCTCAGAATGGTTTTTTTGTACGCAATGGTTTATCGTTGCTTACAGATATAAATTCCCAGATATAATATACAAAATTAAATTCCGGTCTGTATCCTACCTTCCCAACTGCTACTTACAACAATGGCTGCACATACGTAAAAATCCATCCTTTTTTACATTTTTTTTTCCATTTTATTTAGAGACGGGTAGATCCCGCACGGATACAAATAATACATAATATTATAAACTAAATAATAACTGTAGATAATCATAAAATCAACCTCTGTAAACTCTTAACAGTCAAATTTATAAATAATAATAATCGCCTAGGTTATTTCGGTTGCCGTGTAGTAAAGTACAATATTATAATTCTAGTCAGAGCCGGTGTTATACAATTTTGTCAAGGAGGGGGGAGGGGTTTGAGATCGAGTATTTGCCGATAGAAATAGCATTTATGTCGACTGAAAACATTTCAACTTGTAATTTCTTGAAACAAACTCCCTAAATGAAATATAAGAATTCTTGGTTTTTCTTTACGATTGTTGACGGGACTATCAGGATTATTTTTAGTTCTGAAAAAATAAGCTTTGTTAAAATCTATCAATCGGCGTTTGTCACTAATTTAAAAAATTAAGTAAACAATAATAATCTTTTTTTAATTTAGTAGTACATCATATTTAACAAAAATTATAACCCTCTGAAGTATAAACATCTGTTCGCCGAAAACAATTCACCAGTGGCAGATTTAATTCGTCTTTTATGGGAGGAGGGAAGACAATATCATTTTATACTTTTGACTAACATGACCAAACGTCAGTCAGTCAATGTGACCACTGACCGCTTAATGTGATAGCACAACTATCTACATAGATCTTGATTATAATTTATTAATGCACTCACTTCTATACAGATTTCTGAAAAAAATTATTATTTATGAATGTAGGAAAAAAAAAGCCAATTTATTTATTATATAGTTACATTAAGTGTCATTAATTCTATAATAATAGCAATAGCATTTTATACTTTTATAATAATAATGAATGTATTATTATTATTGTTTACTGATTGTTTACTTATAGAACAATTTTTTAATATTGATTATATTGTAGTGTGTACTTTTTTTTATTTTTATTTTTACTAAAAACTATATGCAATTTATTTTTAACTTCAGTAACTTTTCTGGTGGGAAAAGTAATGGTTGGTCGGGGAAAAGTAAAAAAAATTAAAAGTACAAAATATACAGATTATCTTTTTTTTCTGATTACAATTATTTATAGGTAATTTGATGTTTAGGAGGGGGCAATAGCCCCTATGCCCTCCCCTAAACATCGCGCCTGTCTTTCGCCAAAATGTCCTTGATCTTTAGCAGTCAGCAATATTTTGATTTCTAAATAGGTATTCGGTTAACAAATAAATTGTTAACGGCGTACAGCCAAAGTCTGTGGGAATAAAGAAAACAAGGAGTCCCCCGTATCTGTTTACTAATACTATTGTGAATTCAATAGTTATTGAATAAATATCCACTTATATTCCACATTTTTTATAACAAACTTTCAATAGTGTCAATGTGTCATCCTTGGTTTACGGCAAATAGTAAATGGTACCTAATTGCCGATTTAAAAATCAAAATACTGCCGACTGTTGAGAACCCGTTCTTATATTATAATTGTTTTTATTATTGAAATGATAGCCTAAAATATAGAAAAACAGTTTTTTAACAAGTCATAATTGCCGACGGCTTCCTGCCATTAAGAAGATGCCGAGTGATAATTACGAAAAATCCAATCAAGGGGGGAGACAACCCATCATACCCCCTTTGTGGCACGCCCGGAATTCTACCTGCATATATTATCAATTTTATATTAATAAAAATTGACCAGCCCTTAATGAACTAAACAAATTACCCATCTGGCATAAAGTATTTTTACCCCCTCAAATACAGGCCTGTTGGTGGGACGTTACTTACCATACATTTTCCCAGACCTGTCTGTAGTTCCAATCCGTCCCAAATCGTCTTCCTCGCTTGACAACAATTTGTAGTCGTCAACTATTTACAGGTGGGGCAATAAAGATTGCAAAATAGGATTTAATCGATATAAGTGTTATCGATTTATCGATTTTTATATCGATCGATGTTCATCTCATAATGGACACAATGTAATAATAATTATAACAACCATTAAATATTAATAATTTACTATCATTTTTGCCCAACCTGTAAATGATAGATACGAGTTTTCTATCTAGATTCTAGGTATTTCATGTGTCTATGGTATTAATACACAGATATCTATATAATTAATATTATCATTTTTATTGGACAGGCTTTATCTTTATGATATTATCTATAATTTTTTATTAATAATTCTGATAAGGTTATTACTTTGTACACTGTCATGATATGACAGTGTACTTGTTCCATGGACCATATACCATATAAGATAATATATATTATCTATGCCTTATTGCCTTATACTAATAGACACGAAACTCGTATAACTACATTACGAGCAGGCTGCGTGGAAACATATCGCAGTGAAGTAACCCGTCTTGACACTAAGTGTGCTAATTTTACAATAATACGCTAATGCAAATTATCGTACGTTTACTAAACATATGTCACATAATCATCAGTTTTACAGTCATTACTATTTATTTATTATTATTTAAATATCCAGTCATTTAACATTTGAGTTCGGAAATTGGAATAATCAATATTATTAATAATTAATACGAATATTTGGAATATAGGGAATGACTTATTTTTATTGTGCTTTTATGGTACACACGATAATTTCATAGAACACTATAAAAAAAAAAATAGTTAATATGTTTATGATTAGGTCTATGGATAATTTACTATTTAATGAACAGTTACTCAGTCACCGAAAAGCGTCCTCTATCTTTCCACGTCATGTGTGTAATCATTTTACGTGTATTAGTAAAAGGTCTATGAATTGTGATATATTTACGGTGATAATAAACCTTGAACAAAAAATCGATTTTAGCATTATACCTAGTCTGTGGTTTCATATAATTTCATTTTATTTCCACTATTTACTAACAAATAATCGGTTTATAGTGACTTTAAACATTAATCAAAGTAATATGGTAATTGGAACCATACTTATAGAAGTGTTAAAATAATATTTTACATTAAATAATTGTGTAAGAAATTAAAGTTGTGACTAATTATTGTTGTCGTGTTTATCTTATATTATTGTGTGTATATATTTAATTATTTCATTCAATCAATGATCAATGGAGAGCAGATATCGTTATATTAATAATAAAAGTAACATAGAAAAAGAAGAATCATTATTACTAAATCGTTTGATTGCTCTGAGAAGTAAGTTTGTTTATTTTAATTTTTGCTTTATTCTCCATTAAACTAATCTATTAGATAAAATTAGAGAGACCTAATATCTACAATGTAATATAGCTACGTACAATTTTTAAACAAAATTATATAAGTACTTATTGATGAACTAACAACTTACAACTGTACAATTATACAAGTTATTGATTTAGAATTCATTCCTGATGCATCAATTATGTAGTTTCTTACCAATAGTAGTTTATAGTTTAAGTATGGGTTATTTTGGTCTATAAAAATTGTCAACACAAAATTGTTTCTTACTTTGTATTAATTGTATACATTTATCATGGATAATCAATCCGTAGGGTTTATTTTTTGAGACCCATTTTTGGACCATTTTTTTGTTACATGTCATTGTTATAATTAACATTAAATTCTAAGTGGAACGAGGAATGTGTCAGTATTACAAGGATTTTTTTTTTATGTGAACATGTTCTACCAGAAAACATACTCCGATTATCAAATATAGCAACTTTTCTGAAAGAAATTATCTCTAGGTGGTACTTTAGAGAGGTCATTATTAAGTTTTTATTATTTTAATCTTTTTTAAACACTCATTGTTGTCATGGAAACACACATTGTTGAAATCATTTTACCACAATATGACATAATATCATTTATTGTATTGACAAGGCAACATTATCAACTGAATTCGGCTTAAAATTGTTTTTTCATTAATATTGGTTTATCTTTGCTTACAGATATACATTAAATTCCCGTCTGTAGCCTACCATCCCAACATCTCACTTACAACAGTGGTTGCACCCACGTGCAAAGTATGCCTGTACTTTTACATTGTTTTACATGTTAGACTTGAAGTTACCTTTATTTGATTTTAAAATTTCCATTTTTATAAAAATTATAATAATTTTAAAAATAATGCACTAACATTACTTTACTGTCTAAAATCTAGACTGTACTATTCAATAGTAGACTATACTTTGATTAGCTACATAAATACATTAGTTTTGTGTAGAATAAACCAAAAGTATTTGTATAATATATGAATAATAGATTTTATCTTTTTAATGATTTTTCCTCATTAATCTAAGTACATACCTATTATATAATTTATGTACAACTTAAACATTATTATATCAATTCTGTGACTAAAATAAGAAATATTAACCATAATACGAAATAGCTGTGAAACAAACAAAATTAATCAAAATTTTTTCCTGGGACTTCTTTTACTTTCGATCGTGTATCCTACCCGAGGTGATTTTACATAATAATTCTGGATTTATTATTTCGTTTTTATATCTTTCTAAAACTGATATTAGCTATCAAAACCAGTTCATAAGAATTATCTAAAGGACTGATGATCTCGCGTTTTTAATTTTCCTTTTTTCATCTTTTACTTGTCCGACACATTTTTAAAAAAAAAAAATTGCTACTATGCTGAATTATTATTGTTCCATGTAGGTATAATTAATAATCATGTTTAAGGTGAGCATTTATATGTATTGAAAATTAAAAAATATGTACATGTATATGTATTTATTTTTAACCATAAAATATGCAATTAAAAATACAAAATATGTAAATTTTCTTAAAAAAAGAGGTACAATTTTTCAGACTTTTTTATTTAAGTGTTAAAACACATATTTTTACTAGAAATTTCATAACTTGATTACACTTTTACAATTTTGAATATAAAATTGTTTTGTTTTGTCTATAAATTATTTTTAGTTTAATCTATTTGATGTGTAGGATAATATTTGTAATTTGTAACTTTTAAATATTAACATTCCTATACCAAATAGATAAATATGGATAAAATATATTTGACTTGACGTTTTTATTTTATTCATTTAGAGCAACTAAATGATGAAGAACCAAAAGTACATAAAACCGAGTATAATATCAAAGACAATATCAATAATAATGCGAGTAAGAATGGTATATCAACGTCAAAGTTTAAGTATCGGAAAGTTAATGATACATTTATTTCAACAAAAATTGATAATCGTAATGTTATGAAATATAAAAATAAAACTTTATATAATAATTGTTTTGTTAAACCTAATAATTTACCTTCTGTAGAGTATAATAAATCAAATTTATTGGATTCAACTCTTCTTAAAAATGATATTAATTCTAAAACAGTGATTATTAATAAAACCACAGACAAATATAAATTGGAAATTAATGGAATTATGAAAAACAGTATTGTTAAAAATACTAATAGTTTGTTAAATGAGAATAACTATACAAAGGATAATTTTTCTCAAATATTAGGAAATGTTGATCAATATATATTAAATATAAACAATTATTTAATGTCATCTAAATATGTTATCAATAAAGAAGATAAAAGTATTTTGACAACTAACCAAATTGATAATCATACAAAAAATGTTCATGTTAATAGAAAATTTCAAAACCAATTAATTTCTAATAATTTATTGAAATCAAACTTAAAAAATGCATCAAATTCATTTTTAAATATAAATAAGAAAAAGCCTATTAAAAGATTATCTGGAAAATTAGGTGAATCACCTAATCTTATTAAGATAGGTAACACAAAATTAATACGTCGTTCATTACTAAGAAATAAATACAAAATCAACAATGAACAGAGTACTATTAAAAATGAATCACTCTCAACATTAGAACATCAAACATCGAGTACATCAATAATGTCTTCTAACAAAACAAAATGGACCAATATTTCTAAACCAACTCCAACATCTCAATCAAAATTATCTAATTCTAATGATACCAATAAGTTAAAATGGACTAGACCAAATATTCTGTTGGTCAACAATATAAATAAGAATAGTCATTCTTCTTCAGTACCAAAATCAGATAAATTGATTTTATTTGGCAAAAATAAAATTATTAGACAATCGTTAATAAGTTCAATTCATTCAAACTCTAAAAAATATTTGCTCAAACATCTTTCACATAGATTTGCTTTAAAAAGAAAATTACAACAAAAAATTAATATTCTTAAACCTAAAAATATACCTATGAATAATGAACAAGCTAAAAATACTATGTTGTTAAAGAAAATGGTAAATAAGCCTGTAAATATTAAAATGAATGAAAAGAGTTCCTACTCGGTGTATTCATATGTAAATCCTAAGTTGAGGTTTGTAATTTTTAAATTTAATAACCAATAAGCTTTATGTTGAACTATCATTTATTTTTAGATCAAAAATCAATAGTAATTATAGTTTGGAAAAAACGAAATGCTCAGATACTGCTATATCTGGTTTACTTACTACTTCTTATGTTAAATCAGATCAGAACTTAAAAATAATAAATAATGACACAAATAAAATGCAATATGCAAATTTAACAAGAAATATAACTCTTGAAAGATACAGGTTAGTTGAATTTGTGTATGTAATTAATTATTATTTAGACATTAATAAGTATTATAATTTATTTGCAGAAATAAAAAATTATTAACCAAACAACTTTGTTTAGTATTCAATCAATTTGGTATTTGTTCATCATTGGATCAAGGAAAATGTGATAAACGCCATTACAAAAAATTTATCGCATTGTGCACAAAGTTGGCTAAATTTAATCAAAATATATTACTAAATTAAATGTTTGCTTTTATATTTTTAGGTTTTTAAATGGAGATTGTTCTAAAGAGAATTGTACGTTATCACACAATATAGTTGAAGAAAAAATTCCCTTTTGTAAACATTATTTAAACAATATTTGTGTTAAATTTAATTGTCCTTACTTACATGAATATAGAGATCCACAAACTCCTATTTGCAAAAATTTTCTCCATGGTTACTGTAACTTAGGAAAAAAAGTAAGTTCAAATATTTTAATACTGAATTTTTGTTCTAAAATGTGTTATTTAAGTAAATATTTATATTCTTGTATTTTACATAATTAAGTGTCCTAAAAAACACTTGAATCTATGTCCAATTTTTGATTCAAAGAGTAAGTGTCCACATGGTCAAAGGTGTCTCTACCCTCATAATCAAAGTGAAGAAAAAAATACTCTTTTTGATATCGATGAACCTAGATACTTTGAAGTACTAACTACTAATTTTGAAAAATCAAATAAAAATGAGTTAATTCATATTGTACCTAAGCGCCGTGCACCAATATTGGATTTGCCATCATATATACCTTTAAAACTATAGTAAGTATGTTTGTGTTTTAAAATTAGTGAAACCTGAATATTTACTATTATGTAATTTATTTGTATTTAAATATTTATATAATTTGTTACAAAATATTTGTAAATATCTTAAAATCTACAAATATCTTTTATTGTAAATTTAATTTAATACAGAATGTGGTTAATAAAAAATTCACAATTTTGGATTTCTAGTTATGGTTAAAAGGGAGGGGCGGAGGAGTAAAACAGCAGAACTGCTATCGCTAAACAGCGTTTTTATTTGAGGAATATATTCAAAATGGAATAATTGAAATTTTGAGGTAAATGGTTTTTAGGCTTGTTATCTCCTTGCGTAATGACATTAGGCCACCACTTTGTCTGATTTGACCCTGAGATTTTTTTTCTTTGGGGCTACATCAAAACTCAGGTGTATCTATATTGTGCTCATACATTGTAAATTATTACCACTTCACTTGAAATGACTAGTAGAATCATTGGAAATTATATTAAGGTCAATCACTATATTGACAATGGAAAACCACAACTTAAGTGATATAATTTTTAAAATTGATTTTTATTAGCTAACCAAGTCTGCAAGTTTTTTCTACCACACCCTGTATTACTTAAACATATTTAATGCACACTAGTATGATATAAATATCTATATATAGTTATCCTGTTTGGTTTAAAAGAAAACCTGGAATCATCTCATAAATAGTAAACATTTTACTCCACTCTGAAATGTCTACTATTCATCTATTATTGTTACTAATACCATGATCGTCATTTAAAACAATCAATATGTTCTTCACAGACATAGGTGCGCATCTCCAGAGTCCAATTTGGGTAGAGGGCAACTTTCAAAAGAAATATAATGCATTTACACTATAAGTTCCACTCTTCTGTTATGGTATAGCTGGTATAAATATGATGTCAATAACAAATCATTTTATTTACATGATACTTTAGGTACAAAATAAAAAAAATCACTAATCTGAAGTTAATTTTAGTACAAGATGAGTACATGTAAATTGAATACATAAAGCTAAAAAAATTTTGAAAACAAAAATTGCACTACTTGTACTTATGTTTATTTTAGTTCAGTTTATCGGTCCAATGCAGTGGTGATCAATAACGGTCTGCGGGCTAAATCCGGCCTACGATAATTTATTAATCGATCCATCAGGTTTAGTAACAACTAAATCCAGTAGAGTACTCTGGGGACTATGAAATTTGTGTTGTGGTGGCTAACTTATAAACAAACCTATAGTTGCAGTATGTATGTTTATTGTCCAATGTACTCAGCAACTAACACATATGTGATTGAATGAATTGTGTAAAACATGTAATGGTCCTACTATAATCATTATATTTATTTATTCAGAATCAAATTTCAATAGTATTGGTTTTTTTTTTAGTACAATTTTCAATTTGTGTTAATTAAATTATGTGCAACTAATTTTCACTCAAAATCTTTTTTTTTTTTTTTGGAAACAATTTATCATTACTTACAGATAACTTAAAACTTGTAAGTAACAAAATTAAAAAAGAAAATATTTTATAAAAGTCTTTATATCTGTTTTATTAAAATCTATTTTAAAAAACTTGAGTCCCCCATCACTGTCAAAATCCTTGATTCACCACTGTATTAGGTTGTAGCAACTTAGACACTGCATAATAATTTAAAAATTTAAATTCTGATTTATCATCTTACCATTATACATAGTGCAAATATTAAAATTTAGAATAATTTACTTATAGTTTTAACACTACCTTAAACTAGTTGTTGAATTTTTAGTTTTTAGATAATTTTGAGTTCTAAAATAAAGAAAATTGTACACATTTTCTTCACGTTATTCATGTTATTATTTATTTAATCATAAAATATATTATCATGATATTGGCCATGTAATTATATTATTTTGTTTCAGATAAGTTTTCTACAAATTTATACATTTAATTTTATGAAAATTATTAATACCTTGGAATCTGGTATGTTACACATTATTAATTTTATTATACATGTATGGTTTATATAAACAAAATACCTAATTAACAAAATATGTATACATGTTACGAATACACATACAAATTCATGTGTGTATGTATACATAATAAAAGACTGGTATGTTCATGCCATAAAAATGATATTTATATATTTTGTTTTCAAATAAAAATATATGAACAACGTAAAAATTATATTTTTATTTGTTAATAATTTGTCTTAATTATAATTGTTTAAGTTGGTTCTAAATTTACTATTATTTATTTTGTTATAAAACAAATTCATTACCTAAGTAATATATATATATATATATATATGTATATATGTATATATATATATATATATATATATACATTTTTTTTTTAATTAAATGTATAGATTATCTCTAATGTATTTTCATATTGTACATTAATAATACATTACAATTTTTTTTCAGAGGTTATGCATTAAGATATAACATTTAATATTAAAATTATACATAAAAATAAAATTCAAAGTAATTATATAATGTTGAAAATTATGACAACTAATCTACAGTTAATTGACGAAAACTACCAACCATGTGCTGGTGACTGTTTGTTAATGCTGATACTCGTCCTTGTTTTGCACTCTCGCTAAACATATCATCTCTAACTGACATTTTCTCATTCTTAAGAATTTGTTCCCGTTTTTCTAACATCTCTTGTTTCCATAAATCTATTATATTTGTTTAAATAAATATAACTCTAATTATAAAATTATCAAAATTAAAAATAGTTTACCAATCATTGTTGACATTTCCATTTCACCACCATATTCTTTAGGTAATAATGACTTATCTACATATGTATGACTCTCTTCTATTGAACTAAATATCTATGATAATGGGGTGGGAAAATAGTTTTATATGAGTTATACATAGTAATTATTACTTGTACTTATTATATTAATTGGTTTGTTACTTTTACGCGACTTCTAATTTTTTCAGATATCAAGGATAATCCAAAATCTAATGCAAATTTTAAACTTGATGGTACATTTATTCCATATATTTCTTTATGTCGCATTGGAAGTGTTCGCTAGATAGTTTTAATAATGAAATAAATTATTATTTATGATTTGGCAATTTTTTTTTCTTTATTACTATTATTATTATTATTTTATACTATTCAATTTATACATATTAGAGCTCAATAATTTTAACTTTTTAATAATGTTCATACAATATATATATGAGAAGTTAAATATCAAAATCAGTATTAGAAAAAAAAAATAAAAATATGGACATACTTCTCACAATGGATAGGCCACTGTTGTAGGTGAGAATTTGGGAAGATAGAACGGGAAATTTAATGTACATCTGTACGCAATGATTGCTACCAAAAAACAATTTAGAGCAAAGTTTGGTTTGACATGTTTTTAAATGATAATATTTATAATTTGAAAATAATATATTTTGTAAAAAAAATTTTCTTATTATAAATAATGACACCCCCCCCCTAAAGTACCACACCAGTTACGTTTCCTTTCAGAAAAAGTGCTACACTTGAAAATTGAAACAAAATTTCTGACAGAAAAGTTCTCTTTGTAAAAAAAAAAAATTTCCTCGCTCCACTCAGAATCTAAAAGAAGAGAAATACTCATTATGAAATTATAAATCATAATAATAACATTTTAATAATAATTAGATATGAAGTAAGTCTTCATAAAGAAGATACAAATTCAAATATATAATGTATATGTAATGATATTAACATATCATGAATATGAATATGAATAAAATCATTTTATATATGAAATTAAGTTTTTAATTTATAATTTACCTCTCCATTTTTAACAATCCGAACTGCTTCCCTTGGTGTAAACAATGTTAATTGCTGTAAACACATACCAGCTGCATCTGTATAGTGTACAAAACCTCGAATTTGGTTTTCTTGGTCTTCCATAAGTGTTTCATACGTAACACCATGCATTCGACACATATCTGCATTAGTCCATTTTGATGGATTAAAAACTCCTACAGTAAATTATAACAAAACAAATTTATTTTTATTTAAAGAAACTTCTATACCTATGTATTATGTACAATAATATAAGTTAATTTAATTATACAAGATTCCACAGACATCCAACAAATGCAATAACTTTTGTTCTGTTCAGTATTATAAAAGGTTTTTTCTTTTTTTTGTAATTGAAACTTTAGCTTTGTACTATGTTTCTTGTATTTTATATTTTATTTTATTTTACAAAATTAAATGTTTGGTGTTGTAAAAGTGCTTTAATGATGGAACCTTATTTTTCTACATTTTTTTAAGTTTATGGTAATTTAAATTGTTTTGATTGTCAATACTAAATATTAACTATTTATATACTACTTTTTCATGCAAATGTACTCATAATAAATAGTAATACAATAATATGTGTTACTGCATACCTAGTTATTGTTATTTAATTTAATTTTGATTATTATTCAGTTGTGCCAATAAATTTTAATTTTTGTTAATTTCTAAAGTACTTAAAAAAATTAGTGACTTCATTAATAAACATTTGTAACTCAAATATTTTTGTTGAAAATAAATGTATAAATTGGCTAACTTGAATTTTATAAAAAATGTAAAAATATTTAACAAAACAAAAATCATTGCATTTGTCAGAGTTACAATAAAAATAAAATAATTTAATCTATCAAACATATTTTAATATTTGTTTACATATAAAAATAATAATTTATTTTTATTCAGGAAAAAATATGGACAATTCTAAGGTGCCATAAAGTTCAATACTACTAATATATTGATGGATAAAATCAGGAAAGTATTTAATAAAATAAAATTTACTTGAAATAATGATATTTTCTGGTCTCAAAAATTATCAAATTTCAACTGATAAGTATTTTATAAAGTTTGTAAATACATGATGTTATCTACATAATACAATTAATAAATATTAAATTTTAATTTCTATAATATAGTAATATAAAACCTATAAGACACTAGTAACTAAAATTCAATAGGTACTGAATTATTTATTTTTTTTTTAAGAAACCATATTTTACCTGGTCTTGTTATTATGATTCTACGGCCATTTTTATCACGCTTTGGGACTACAAATATATACCTGTAAATAAATTATACAAATTATTAACCTAGTACCTATTTATAACAATTTATTTATTACCCTAATGTCAGTAGTTTTTCAAGTCTTGGACACATGATATCAATGTCATAAAAAAGTTTTCGACCAAAAGTTTGTCGTAATAATAAATATCTTTCCAAAGCTTCTTGAGCTAACGGTAAACTGAATTTTTTAGCTCTTAAAAATCTAAGCAAAAAACTGTCATCTATAAAAAAAAATGATCACACAATTTATTAATATCAGAATGCCCTAGAAAGAGTGGAGTTGCTAACTAAAGCCATCTTTAGAACTACCTATTTTTTTTTTTTTTCATTAATATTTGTTTTGATTAAATCTATCTAAGGTTAATGAAAAAAGTTCAAAATAACCTAAATGCTATAAGTTTACCAATATATGATGTATATTTCAAAGTGTAAGAAAATTATGGAATCAAAATTTAATATTGATATTTTTTCAATTGCATTTTCACTAACTATTTCCATCTTATGTTTTTGTAATAATTTATATAAATAGACCTATACTTTATACTTAGGTCTATGATTATAACACCCAGTAAATTAATTAAGTAATGCAGATGAATACAAAAATCGCCACATAATTTTTGAATACAAAATTACACAATTTATGCATAAAATAAAAAGAGGCTCATTTTAATAATCTTACTGAAAATAAATATACAGGTAAAATTATTTCTCAGAAATAAGATAGCCATAAAGTAGGAATTTCGAAAATATTATATTATTATTCATTATATTATGTTAATATACATTATGTAATATCTTTAATAAATTAACTTAAAACATAGGCTTTCATAAAATATAAAAATGGATGGAGAACCCAGGGGATAAGTCTAGGTCTCGTATTTTTCTTAACTTAATGACTAATATTGCCGATATTGTTAATGAACGTTGGATTTATCATAAAATATAAAACTGTTTTTGACAAAATTTAATTTATACCCTATACACTAACAAATATTTAACAACGTTTTTAAGAATCGAGATATTAGAATTTACTTATTAATGATTTACAAACTGGGATAATTTATCAAACATTTTTTACATTTCCAATTTAAAATAGTGATTTTTTCAATAAGACATTTTTTTTTTTGAAATTTTTTGTAATACACTTCAACAAATAATAAACTAAAAAGTTTTAACAATTTCATTTATAAAAAAAAATTGAAAAATAGATTTTATTCCAGTTTTTTTTGATTTCAAAACACCATGCAAGGTTGTTCAATCTTATAACATGAATAGAATATTTATTTATATGAAATAAAAATGTTTAGGTACCTAATGGCTAACATCTATTTATGTTTTATAATCATGATAAAATCAAAATAATATTTACCACTGCGAGAATGTATAATTTTATTATTTTTTTTCAGCCATAACCGCATTTGATTTAATGCATTCTTTCTTGTCGCCTCATCTTCTCTGAGTTCTTCTTTAGCAATTTCCATTGTAGTAACACTAAAATTCTGTTCCATTTCTATTGTACAAATAAATAATCAAAATACATTTTTAAAACATAGGTACAATAATATAGTTTAATTAATACATACTATATAGCCAATAGAAGTTTATGGTGAAGGCGTGAAGTTTTTTTTTTATGAAACAGTGCAGTAAAATAGGTCACAAAAAACATCATAACAACACAAATCCAGAAAAATCGGGTGTTGTAACTAAGCTTACTAGACATTCGTATTCTCCCTTTTCGTTGAATTTTTTAATGCTATAGTTTCACATATTACACATCAACCCAGAGCCATAGCTACGGTTTAGCGAGACTGGTTCAGGCCAAAAGCCAGAATAAAATATACCATATACAAGGTGATTTTTTTTATCTTAAACAAGCAACTATCTCAAAGTATGTACTTAAACATACTTTTGATTTTCAAATAGAAATCTCCCCTTTTGAAGTTTTAAACACAGATTTGAATAGAAAATATATATTTCTAGAAATTTTGATAAACATAACGCTAATATCAAAATGAGTTATAACAGTTTAAAGTTTAGACCGGAATTGTAGGGAAGGATAATAAATTGCCTATCTAGCATCTATATAATGGTATTATAGACAGTTATAGATTCTATTATGTCAATGAATAATAAATTTCTATGCAAGCATATAAGAAAACTTAATGTCCCCATGGAAAAATTAACGTTGTATTATATATATAAAGCAGTTATTCTCAACCTGTGATACGCAAAGAAATATTTGGACAAGTGAAAAAAAAAAGTTATTAGGCGGTTATAATTATAATGTCCATGTATACGATAAACAATAACTGTACTTTTGTATATTAAATGCTTATAATTATGTAGATTTAATAATAAAAAGTTCCATACGATTAAAATGACTCTCACAATTTTTAGATTCTAAGTGGAGTGAGTAATTTTATGGTTTTACAAAGATTTTTATTTTTTTTTTTTTGTGGACAGCTTTTCTACCAGAGGAATTGCTTCGATTTTTTCGTCTAGTAACTTTTCTGAAAGGGAATTGGTGTGAAGAGGTACCTGAAAGTGGTAATTTTTCGATTTTCTCACAAATTTTCTCATCAAATGTGAAAAACTGGGAAAAACTTGAAAAATCGGTACAATATTAAACAAATATTATTAAAGAAAATATATAGAACCTATTTAAATATTTTACTATAATATGATATATATATTGTTGACAAAGTATCATTATCAACTGAACTCCGCTCAGAATCGTAAGTAATTTTCTTCGTAATTAATGATTTATATCGTTACTTATATTATAAATTACTTATAACTATGGATGTTCCCTTCCTCATTATTCTAGGACGTCTTTTTTTAACTTTTTTTTTTGATAAGTAAAAATAAATAAGCCTAATAATCGTAGCAAGTGGTATGTGGAAAATTTAAAAATGTGTAAATGATACGCGGATATAAAAAGGTTGAGAATTGCTGGATTATTATAAGATATCAAACGGCTATATATATATATTGTAAGATATTATCTTCAAATATATACATTTTTTACTTACCAAACAGCATCAACATTAATACTGGCGTCTAATTCAGTGAATGTCTGTGCAACTTGAGATCCGTATAAGTAGTGAGTAAGTAACTACTATCCAATTTGTTTTATTGAGTATAGTCAGCATATAAACAGGTAACTCCCTCTTAAATTATGAAATCAAGAATTGTTTGAAAATAAGGTACCTAGATGAAATAATATATTATGCTATAGATATTAAGTCCTAATACAAATAAAAAATTGTCAATTGACAATAAACAAAACCTATTAGATCTTCATATGCCTATGGTATTTACGATGGTGGCTACGAATGTATATTGTTAAAATAAGCTTAATATCGTTTATAGTTAGGTATATTGCATATGTATACAGTAGTGGACTAGTATCATATCGGCCCACGGCAGTGTCGTAAATTGGGTGGTGCAAATGTAGTACTCGCACCAAATAATACCTATGACCGTAACTGGAAAATAATTCCCTGGGGGGAGGGTTGAGATCGTATACTAAACATTTTTAGTGTTCTAATTTTATTGACTAAAATAATTATTTTTCCAACACCAACAATTTTCAGTTTGAACTTAACTTAAAAGTAATTTTCATAATAATTGAGAAAAACTAAAAAAAAAAAAAATTAAAATTATGTCTTTCTTAAATTACGGCAAAATGATTTCATTATTTAACATTTTTAAGATTAAACATTCATACCAGAAATATTTGTCTAAACAATTCAATAATAGCATGTTTTCTGAAAGAAAATTTTATTATCTTTGTGAGTAAAAGAGTCATTATTCGATTTTCTATATATTTAGGTTAGGTTATTGGTTTTTAAGGGCGCTTAATGTATATTTGACGTGGGATTGCTATAATCTTCGAGCCGGTCCTGAATAAATTATCATTACTGATATTATCAAGTATAGATTCTTAGTTCAAATAAAAATTAATTATGATACCACTATACGGTGCCAGGTGCATATTTTACTGCAGTGGCATGCTGAAGATATTTTATATTTGAAGCAAACAAACAATATGAGTATTGTATCCTGAGGGACCCATCCACCAAAACTTGGATTTTTATATATCCTATGAATAATTTTTTACAGCAAAAATTATGTTTAGCTACGTTGACTGCATTTACTACTTCATATTCTTATGTATAAAATAATAATACAATATAATACCTACATACAACTAATGGCATCTCTATTCTCTATAATAGTTAATCAGCATTCAACATATTTGGTGACCCAACCACTAACTTCAGTCATGAGGTGATTGTGTTAAAAAAATCTATTTTTACACACCATTGCATGACTATATACATATGCCACTATCAACAACTGCATTATTGTGCATTAAAGAATATAAAACATGAAAATCTTTGTGGTTCAATGGTGATCAACTTTTGATAGTTGACTCTTGATTTATTGGATTTTAAAGATGTATGAGGTCTATGTATCTAGTCTCAAGCATGCATAATAGCTAGGTATACATTTCTATATGACCTATATTAGGTGCTGACGTAATTGCCTATATGGCTATATACTATAGATACGAATGGAGTTTAACACATTTGTTACAAATATTACAGGTACTCACCAAATCAATAGAATGTTACATTTGTGGCCATTGATAGGAAATTAATAAACTAACTATATAGATACCTACACTATAGTTCTATAAACTTGGTATATATATAGATAGAATTCGTTTAACCGAGAAATGAAAGGAAATAGTAAATTAAAAAATGAAAAATTCCATTATGATTTAAGATATTATTGTTAAGATAATCTAAATTATGTAATCATTTATTGCAGTCTTATTATAGACACACTGTCGTAGTGTCATTGTATTAAATTTACTTTTACTGTTATAATATTATGGGAGGTACCTACATAAAATGTAATACTTCAATACAATACAAAATATCTATTATGAAATTAAATAATTGCATCGTTTCAAACGGATAAGTAAAAAAGTGTATTTACAAATAGTTGACAGTTGTGTAATTTCAAATTCAAATTGTAGTTGAAATAGTGAACCTATAAGCACCTAGGTACCTAATCGATGTTATGTGCTACTAACTTATCACCTTGCTCTCGTTAGTATTGAATAAAAAAAAACAAATGGACATACTTCGCACGATGAGCCACTGTTGTAGGTGAGAAGTTAGGAAGAAAATATGAAACTTAATATATATCTGTAAGCAAAGATTAATTATTGTTAACGAAAAACGATTCTTAGCGAAGTTCAGTTATACATAGTTTGAAAGGCCGTAGTATTTACGATTTGAAAATATTAAAATATTGCATTTCGTATAATTTCTCGTTTTCCCAATTATTATAAAAAATTTAATGAAACTTATGTTTTAACCTGGATTTTCCTGATTTTGTGAAAACTGCTTGGAAAATCAAAAAATTAGGTTTCTAAAGTACCATCTAGGCAATACGACAATATTTTCTTTCAAAAAAAATGCTACACTTATATTGAAGCAAAATTTCTGGCTGACATTTTTATCACAATATAGAAAAAAAAAAACATAATCCAATAGGTAAATTCTTCGCTACACTCAAAATCTACAATTTAAATTAAATTAATCATTTCCAATTTTGATTCTTAAAATATATTATTTTATTATATTTTTACAAATTAAATGTCTCCACTTAGTTTTCTATAATTCTATCTCACCCTTGAGAGAATATTATTTTTGAAATTTATAAATGAGAAGTGTTTCATTCTTGTTTCAATCAAAGTATTTCCAATATCAAGCAGCATCTTTATGGCATTTGAAACAAGTTGCATTTGTTTTTATTTCTGCTTTAGAATTATGAATATTTTGTATAACAAAAAAGTACATCATATGGCTGTTCTGTGCTATAACAATCAAGTTTTTTATCTATATATTATTCTGTGCTATTTACTGCTACGATCATTGTATGTGATCTAAAATATACTTAATTACATCTTTATTATTCTTGTTTGACATCCAAGAAAAATTAAATGCTAGTGATCCAAGTGGGAAATATTATAATACAGTGTTGCCATAAATATTGAAAATGGGCTTTACCTAACCTATTATCAATATTTTATATTATCACAACTTGACAAGGTCAATAATGCCAAAAACAAGAATTATTTTATTGAAGTTACAACACATTCTGCAAATCTTCATCACTGATACATGTTTGTAAGTAAAATATTAATTGCAACTTTATTTTTTAAATTTGATTGTCATCGTTTTGATTCTAAATTAATTTTTAATTAATTTTTTTTACTATCGTAGGTAAATGGCATTTAGTCAGTTGTGGTACCACGTTAAACGTAACTTTTTTTCTGTTACATTTCCAATTGCTTCATTTTCAGCTATTTACGCTGATTACACACACACAAAAGCCTGGAAAAAAATAAAAAATCAAAAAGTTTAAAGTAAGGAATTTAAAATTATAGCTAATAATGGACAACTGATATTTAGATGATGTTAATAGTTTAATTTAACAACATCTTAAAAAAAATCAAATGTTTTACTTAGCTTAGATAAATTTATTATATGAGTAACAATAAACTTATTTATTGAGAAAAAAAATATATTTTTACATTGTGCACGATGCCACAACAGTATTTGTAGTTGATCGACTCTTAATACGTTTATATAATCATGAATATTTCTTACTAACAGTTAATTTAATTTCACAATGTAATAAATGTAAAAAAAAAAAAAAAAAACATTTGTGTAATATAAAACAAAAATAAGACTTGAAGTGTTATAAAAGTTAATTGTATATACATTCAGTTTTGATTGAAAAAGTCATCATCGGGTTACAAAATAAATTTATTTTTAAATTTGATTCATATATAATATATTTTCATGTTTTATTAATAAATATTGTTCTATTTTAAATTTTGAAGAAGCTTATGATTTTACAAAGATGTTCATTTTTTTTTTTTATCTGAGCACAACTTTTATACCTGAAGACTTGCTCAGATTTCTACATGTAGTACCTTTTCTAAAATGAAATTTCACTAAAGAGGTCATTTTTCGATTTTCTCAGGAGTCTTCCCATCAAAATTGAAAAACCAGGATAAAACATGGGTTAATTGAGAAAATTGGTACAATATTAATTAAATTTTATCTTTTTTTTTTTTTAGTTAGCAGCCGTGGGGCTGGTTTGTTGCAACTCTCCATTCTTTCCGATTTTATCGAAATTTTATCGAAGAAAATATTTAAAGCTTATTTAATTTTTTTTTACTAGAAAATGACACATATATTATTAGCATAACATTACTATTAAATGAATTCTGCTCAGAATCGTTTTTTTCACAAGCATTGGTTTATTGTTGCTTACAGATTAAATTTCCATCTATTTCCTATTTTCCTAATTTCCCATCTACATCAGTGGTTGCACCCATCCTCATTATCTTATCTTTCTTTTTAAATATTATTCTGTAAAACAATTTTTATTTTTTTTTAAATTTAATTTGTTTAATATTTTATGTAGGTATATTATACATTTGTTTTTCATTTTTAGAATTATTCTACCATGGCTGCCAAACATGCTTTATTTGGATTAACCTGGGACTATTTCATTGTAGCTATTCCAATAACAATTGGAGGTTTATTTGGCAAATTTTTAGATGATAAAGAAACAGAAAGAATGACCTTATTTAGAGATAAGAGCGCTTTATATGGTGGAATGGTAAAGGAAGGTGAAAAACCATCTTGGCCATAAATGTATTAAGCTTAAGCTGAAACTATTAGTTTGTGTTATTTAAATTTGTATAAATAAATTATTCATTTAAAAATGTATTTTGGTTCATTACAGTTTATATTAAATAATTAATAAACCAACAATTATGACAGTTTGATACTTATTATAAAAAAATAAATTGTAGTTTTTCCATGTAGATATAATTTAGTGATTTAATGTTTGCAAAATTCTGTTTTATGTCACTATTTAATAAAACAAATATAAATATGAGTAACATTGATTTGCAGTTCATATTGTATACAGTACAAATAACAATTTATTTACTAAGTAAACTTTTTGGTATCACAGATTGTGGCGGGTTAATTAAACTAAATTTAATAAAAATTATAAAATGGTTTTAAAATTCTATTAAAATTATAATTGAGTTGACTAATTTTATTTTAGAAAATGTTCCAACATTGCTATTTACACTCTGAATCTAACAATAATATTTGGTTGAATGATATTAAAAATTATTATATACTTAAATATCATAATAATTAATGGTCTAATTCCCCAACATAACATTTAGAAGTTCCTAAATCTTTAATTTCTAAATGTGACTTTAATAATTTGTGTTTTAACCACAATTATTGTGATTATGTTCCCCTACCCTCTAATAATTCCCTCTAACTCATTATCCAATAGCCAATGGCCATATTTATCTATTGAAATTCTAGTTCTATTATGTTAAATATAATTATAATATTTTATATATATAATATATTAAATCAAATTTTTCAAATACCATTTTGTGTTAAATTTAATTAGCTTTTTAATACATACATTTACAGAGTGTATGTTATAATAGGTGTTATTTAATTATAATTTCATAGATTTAACAATTTTCAACTCAATTTACATATTTAATATATAGCTATTAGTTGTAACATTATGGCAGTATACAAATTAATAAATGTACATTGAATATTATTTATATGTCGTAGACTATGGAAAATCAGTATTTTTGTAAAAAAAACTGGGCTCATTGCTAAGGGGTATCCCCTTTGCGAACTACTTAATATTTTTTCAGACGACTAGCTGTTTACTATTTTAGCGACATGAACATCTTAAATTATATACTATGGATAGAGCTAATGACTAAATATTTGAAGCAAATATAACGAAGGGAAGTTGTGAAAAATGTTCATTTGCACTATTTAATAATAATGTATTGATATCTTCAACCCCTAGTACATGTTTATTATGCAGTAGATCTATCCATTACAGATATGGATAATAAACTAGATAGCTAACTAGTATACATTTACAAGCAGGCTAGGTGATACCACTTTTCAACCATATTGGTTGAAAGCTATGGTATTTTATAAATTTGTATATTGTAATTATACTCGGATAAATTTGATCCTAATTCATAAACTCGGAAATATTTTCAATAAAAATAAATGTAATTATTCATATATTATATCATATTTATTATTTATAATATCTGGTTGTTGTACAAAATCATTATTAGTGAAATAAATATTACATATCCTGTGATACAGTGGCATATTTAGAATTTTTTTTTTTCGCGGAGGGGGTTGAAGAAATATAACAAATGAAATTATTTTGAATTTTATGTGCATTATAATCATACATTTAACATTTTATTTCTAATTTACACCGCTAATTATATAAATATTGAAATATTTATCTTTTTTAAAAATTATTAATGTATATTAATTTTTCATTTTGATGTTTTAGCAAGTTCATCTATAACATTATTGATATTCACATTGATATCTAATGAATATATTTTAGTAAGGCTAAACCATTTAAATGTTTTTGTGCCGAAGAATTTCTCAAATATGTTTTCAAATGACAGAGTGTTGAAAACAATTGTTCTCCCATGGCAGTAGACACTGCAAGTGTTATAAATATTTGAAGAAGTTTAGATATTACTAGATAAAAATTTGGACTAGTTTGGATGTATACTTCGATTTGTTTTTCAATTCGGAAGATGTTTAATTTGAATTGTTACATTCATCAATTATATCTTGATACGTTTCTAATAATTGTTTGAATTTACTTTTAATATCTTCAGATATTTTCATTTCTCTCTTAGGTAAAATACAATCAATATATATTTGCACAGACAGTTATTACAGGTAAAAATAATTGTTGAAATTCTACATTACAATTTTCTCTAATATCCTCAATATTATTTTAAACATTCGCAGTTTTCAAATCAATATTTATCGTTTGAAGATATCAGCTAAGTGGAAAACTTATGTAAAGTATTTTCACTAAAATAGATAAAGCAGTTTGAAATTTTAACTGTTTAACAGTAAGAAGATGACTTGCAGAATTAAAAGTATCAGAATCTGTCTAAAGTATAATTTTGTCTATTGCATATAAAACTGGTGGTTGAAGGCCGTGAATATACTTCTTCTATTGACAATTGCAAAGTACTTTGTCTTTTTGAATAACAGATAACATAGAGCTACCTATTATTATAATATACACACTACATTGGACTGGACTTATATATAATGAATTTGTATAATTTGTGTAGACTGTTAAGTATAACACTTAATTATTTTTTTAAACTATTAGTATTATTTTTTATTTCGAAGATATTTCAGGGGGGGGGGGTTACAACCCATAAACCCAACCACTTGGATATGCCACTGCTGTGATATGTTGAAATAAAATTTTCTTTTTATAGCAGCTATACATTTTTCTTTAACTACATTATTATTTGGAAATCAATACAAAAAAGATTTTGTAAAATAATTGTTACATTACAGTAAAATATAAGAATTAAACTCTATGATTATTTTATAGTTCAATGGTTACTATTATACTATTATTATATTGTTGAATTATCAATGATATTATATTATTCTGTATATTCTTATCTATCTCTGTAACTATGACTATAGATAATAGATAAATTATCTATATTACTCAAAGATCGTTGAGTAATGATTATTTTATCAGATCTCATAATCATAAACTTTTTGGTAAAAGATAACAATGATACAGTCAGCTATTTATTTTTTAAGAAATTAAATTGCAAATTGTTTTATTTATCTATTTTATACGTATTATAAAATAAAACATGGAATTGAATCCTATGCAAGTTGCCTTAAATACTGTTAGAACCTTAAGATTGGAATTAATGCAATTGATTATTGAAATCGGTGAAGGAGTTAAAGAAGATGGTGGCCAAACAGATCCAAAAGACAATCGTTATATGTATTCTATGAATGAAATGGTTGGAAAGCTTGGACTTCATATGAGGTTATATATTTAATGTAAAATTGTTAATATTTTTTAATAATAATTTTTGTTTTATCTATACTAAATTACTTAATATATCTATGTTTATTTTCAGAGACCTGGAACAAGTTGCTGGATCTTTATCCAGCCCACCTGGTGCTATGTTATTATACAATACATCATTTTTAACACAAGAAAGTACATCTGATCGACAAGCATTATATACTCCTCTAGTGGCTTCTCATAAATGGCTGGACAAAGTATTACAAATTAGTACAGTACTATAAATGTACAACTTATTTATTTTAAAGCGTTTTAAAATTTAAACATTTGAACTATAGTTTGGTTTGAAATTGCTGAAAAATAAAAATATATAGTAAAAACTTTTCTTCTCATTTCAAATAAGATCTCATCAATGTGTATTATTATTATTTTGCATAAATATTAGATTATTTTGTTAGGGATTGAAATGTTAACTTCTATTTGTATTTATATTCTCTAATAGCTAAAATTGATTAAGAAAACCTAGATTGTCCATGTATTTATTTATTTTCATTTACTATCCATTTATTGGTAGTATTAAAATATTTTTATTTTGTTGTTTTATTTAAACTTTTTGTATTTTTAAACAAAAATTATTTAAAATCAATGTAACATTTAACAAAATTAAAACCATTTCCATATGAATCACACTATAAGCTATTATTATACTTAAAAGTATAACTTTTAAACATTATTTAAAAATAAGATATTTTATTATTTATTGACTGTTACTTTAAGTTCTTTAATATCAAATTTTTACTCATAATTAAATAAATGTATTAATAATATTATGACTGATTTCAGGTACATAAATTTAGTTCTAATGCTATATTAATTTTAAGTCAAAATTCATTAAAAAAATCATATTACAATTCCAGTACAAATAAAAAGAAACGACAACAATCTAGTTTGCATAATATATCACCACAGTAATATATAACCACTGTCTAATTACTTTTAAAATAATTACTTTTAATTGAATATGTTTTTAGAGCTGTTGATGGACTGTTAACTAATATTGATCGGATGTTTCCTGATATGAGCATTACAATAACAAGGCCATGTGCTTCAAATGTTGTTCTACTGGTAACTTTTGTTTAAATACTTGCTTCTTATTTTATATGCCTGTGCATAAATATTTCTTTATTTAAAAATGAATACTATAAATTAATAAAATATAATAATTTTTGTTTAGGTTAGTTTAAGTAGAGTTTTACAAGCTATCATTTCATTTAAAGGTGTAATGATTGAATGGGTTATTGTTAAAGGATATAACGAGCCTATTAACCCTAATAGTTTACAACAAGAGCTCTGGCAAGAATCGAGATATTATGTTTTTCGTAAGATAACTGATCATGCTAATGCAGCTATGTTACATTTTTCTTCACCAACATTACCTGAGCTTTCAGTTCGATCTTTCATGGTAATTTAATTTAGATTAAAATATATATTTGAATTATTATTTTTGAATAATTAAATTTTGTTTTTTTTTAGACTTGGCTCCATAGTTACATGACATTATTTAATTCTGTATGCAAATCATGTGGCAATCGTTTACTAAATGCATACCCACCAACATGGAGAGATCTTAGATCATTAGATACATACCATTATGAATGTAAACCATAAAAAAAATTCTTTATGTACATATAATTCCTGTTTTAAAATAATTTTCATATTATATTATATCTTTATTTTTTTCATATATATGGATGCTTTTTGGTTATCGTGACTGCTAACAATTTTTCAGCATTGTATTGACATACACAGAATATTGAACCGTTGTAGGGATCAGCTAAGTGGCAAAACAAAAAACACAGGGGAACATCTCGATAGCTTTTTGATTGAATTTATGTGGCGTCAAGCTCTAACAGATGATCCTTTTGTTGAAATACTAACCAACATATCACAACATTTTCCACTACGTATGAATTATTAGGTTTATCAATTATATTAAATTTTATTTTATTTTTATATTTAAATCAATATTATATTATATTTTAACTATTATTAGTAGTCACAATAACCAAAAATTACCTATATATGTATATGAAATGGTTAATTTTTATAAATTCCTTCCAGATAATTGATATTTAAATTTTAAAAAAAAATTATTGAATATGTGTATTATATCTGTGTATCTGAACCAAATAGTGTGAACAAACTTTTTCTAAGTTAAAATACATTAAATAAAAATATGTCGAATATAATACTATTATCATTATTTAACAAAATGTCACCTGGAAAAAAAATTGATTGTACAACATTACTTACTAACTGTAGATTTGGGTATACATTTAGGCTTAACCATAAACTCCATCTATAGGTTCATCCTTTTAACAATGTAATATATTTATATCATCTAAAAGATTCAAAAATTGATTAAGAGTAAAAATCATAGAATACTTATTTTTAATTATAATATTTACATTATTGTATAGTACAGTTTGGTTAGGAAAGTAAGTGACCTATATTTTGTTCAATACATAATTCTGTAGAAAATTATTCGAGCAGAAAAATATTAGACTAGAAAAAAATTTTTGTCCGAAAAAGAATTGATCAGAACCGTTTACCGTATTCAGTAAGAAAATTGGTTATATTTATTATAAATAGAGAGTGCTATTGAAAAGGCAAGCGATAGCATATAAATATATCTATGTCCACAGTAAAGTTTTATAGGTATTTTCCACCGAAACACGGTTCTAACATAATATTTTTCTTCTAAAATATGGTTCGACGTAAATATTTTTCAATAGTTTAATTTTTTTGATAAAATATTCTGACAAAATATTTTCGTACTTTATACGCGTTTTCACCAATTATGTTGGTAGTACTACTATAGAACGGTGGCGTTTTGTCGGTCTTACCATGTAGTTATTTGTCGGATTGCTTTTGGTCGTAATGTGATTGTTATCACAATTAAGAATTACAAGGAAACTATCATGACTCATGAGTAAATAACATGGTAGATATGAACGTACTACTACTTATTAGTAATAGTTTTTTATTATAATAGTAATATTACTCTATGATGTAAGTACTCTGAGTACGGTAAATATTAATTAATATTGATAATATAAATTCACATATTTATCAATTTCTAATTTTTTTTCGTGTATTTCATTGTATTGTGTTGTTGTATTTTGTGAGTAAAAAATTGAATAAAGAGTGACAGTTGAAAAGTCATTGTTATATGTAAGTTCTATTATACATTTCAGTAATTTAATTTTTAGAGTCATTTACTTATAGCATTTCAATATATTCTTTTTGATCTAAGTACATATTTAATTAAATTTATCTACATTAGTTTTGAAGTACTTTCATGTATTGCTAATATATGTATACTTATCTATTTTACATTTCACATTTTTATGTTATAAATTTATTTTAACAGATAAGTGTCTAACATCTATTTTTTTTTTTTTTAAAAAAAGAAAGATATTTCTATGGGTTAAATAAACAGTTATAAATTAAACTTTTTTAAAATTAATTTTATAATCTTTTCATTATCTTTTCGAAGAATTAAACAATAATAATAATAATCATACATTTTTTTTTTGCTATAACTTGGATTGTTTTATGTTTTTGCAATAATATGAATTAAATAAAATACATTCATACATATATATATATATTAAATTAGAATAACTAATTTTAAGTACATTTAGTTTAATATATCAAGAAAGTAAGATATTTTGTGGTTGATGCTGTATAAACCTAAAAAATTTTCCGGAGGGTTCCTTCTGTTGCTTTTTGTGAATTATTTATTTAAAATCTTTTGTTGGATATAATGTTTACTTATGATAATCCCATATAATTGTGTAGCTGTCTGTTTTGCGTATACCTACTAGAGGGCTTTTAGAGCTATTCTTTAAAATGTGTTTAGTGTTATTTACAACATGTTTAATTTTTTTCTGGAATACGGCAATCTATGTTGGCAGGCAGGTGTTATGATTGGTAAAATTATTAAAGTATACATTTATAATGACCATTTCATCTGAGTTGTTGAATTATGGTTTACTAAAGGGTTTAAGATTTTCAAGTATATGCCTATAGGTTTTGATTAATTTTTTAAAGTGAATTATTATATAATTATTATATATGTAATATGTATTTTACATGTCAATTTTTATCAAAAGAGATTCAAAGTTATTTAATTGACTGATCTTTACTATTAATAAATTGATTATTAGTTGGTTTTTCATTTTTAAATGGATCGGGTTAGAATATTTTTGATTCTAATATATTGTGTTGTATAATGATAGCAGTATCGTCAGCATACATTCCCAATTGACAGTGATAATGATTGGAATATTTCCTTGGGGAATCCGTGCCTTTATAGAAAGAAACTATTTTAATTTTAAGTGGGCTGCCCAATAAGCAGGTTGCCAAAAGAGTATTTGAGAAAAATTAGATCCTACATATTCATACTTCGATTGTGTGATTTGTAACAAATGATACACTGTAGAGATAAATTGAAAAATTTAATTTTTCAAGTTTATGTAGAAGACATTGGTGCTATACTTTAAAACTTTGTTACACATCAAGGAAACCCACAGTTGTTTTTTTTCTTCAAATCCAGATACTTATTTCAGAAACACCGTAGTTAGTGAAGTGTTGAATAGTATGGTTTAAAAGCCGTAAATTGTGAAGTGGAGTAATTTTGAAAAAGGGTTTTATTCTTTAGAGCATAATTCTTTTCAGAAGTTTGGAGAGGGTCAGGAGTAAATTTATTGGTCTAGCTTTTGGTTGAATTTTTAAGTTTTCCTGATTTATGAATAGGGATGGTCGTTGCTGGTTTCCTTTTATTTAAAAAAAATCCTATTACCATTGTTGAGTTTAGAAGGGTACCTAGCTAAGTAAGACAACGATTTTGAATTAATATTTCTTTAAATTTTTGTTTGTTATTAGGTCACGTTTTGGACTTTTCTTGGCATTTCTTTCCTAGTTTATGGCTATTATATGATGTAATTCCTAGGGGTGTATGGATTACTCATATTTGCATCTTATTCTTTTCTCTGGGTTACTTCTATTCCTTAATACTAAGATTGGCAAACCTATGGCACAAGTGGCTCATTGATCAAATTTCAATGATATAAAAATATTTATCTTAAAAATTAAAATCATTATTCAATATTTTAGCAAAAGAAATTTGAAAAAACAATTTTATAAATTTGTAATAATATGAAAAACCCTATTTAAATTTTATAGATATTTATAAACATAATATTTATGATTATTGTACTATTATCACCACGTGAATAGGAATTCATGAATAACATTACAGTATCATCGGAAAATAAAATGTGATTTCTTTGACGATAATAACTGCGGCACACTAGTCAGCCGTCCAAATGTAATTATTGGATGTTTTGTAATATTATTATATTAATATATCACTTTCAAAAAAAAAGTGAAATTTTTTAGAGAATTGTCAAGTTGAGATTTCCAAGATTGGTATACCATAGATATTATATATTATCTATGATGTACACCTAAATATAGTAATAAAGCTTCTATGTGTACTGTGTTCAGAAAGTGTTGTATGTGTCAGACTTCATTTGTCAAACGTCACCTACCAAATTATATAATTTATTCGTTTCATTTTAAATTAATTATTATTTTGTTATCATGTTTTACTACATTTTTGTTTTATTGTTTTTATAATGTAAGTATTACATTTCTAATAACTGCTATTTTAATTTAAATAATAGTAAACTGACAACTAAAATTAATTTGTTTTTATGTTTCAGAAGGATTATTATAAATAGTTCAAAATGATAAGAATTGAAGAAAGTCGTATTAAGTCATATCTAACTATGGTTTGTTTATCTTCAAAAAAAAAAAAAAAAAAACCAAGATTTTGTGAAAAAACAAAATTAGTGTGTAAAGTGCATTTTTAAACTCAATGTAACCTTTCATTTAAAATTATTTAATTATTATAAAATTAAATTAATAAATAAAACATATAAGACTATTATTGATTATTATTTTCCAAATTTAAATATCTTAAAAATATTAAAAAGTGCACTTTAAACATCAAAATGACATATAAATAAATAAAACATTTTATTTTTTTTTAGTATAAATTTCCTGAACAAACAAAGAAAGAAATTTTAAAAACATTAAATTTTTATCATGGGCTCATTTGTAGTTTTGAGACATTTTGTAAGTTATTTCCATCATTTTAGCAATTAATTAAGTTTTAACTTTTTAGTCATATTATTGAATATTTATTTATATAATGAAATAAATTTGTATTATTAACAGTATTTTCTAACAGAATAGAAAAAAAATTAGTTAATCTGAGTGGTACTATCCCAGTGACATTTAAAGGTAATTTCATTGTATATATTTCAGTTTTATGAAAATAATTCATTAATATCTATATTATTTTACCTTTTAAGGTACTACTTATCACATTCCAATTTGTATCTGGCTTATGGATACACATCCAAATAATGCGCCAATTTGTTATGTTAAACCTACATTGGATATGCGAATTAAGATGTCAATGTATGTTGATCATAATGGAAAAATTTATCTACCATATTTACATAACTGGACTCCGGTAATTTGTTAAATTTGTATAATTGAACTAAATTACATGTAAATGAGTACTATTATTTTAGACTTCATCCAATCTTCTTGATTTAATTGGGGTTATGACTGTCACTTTCTCTGAAACACCTCCTGTATATTCTTTTAACCGAACTGAACAGCCTTCAAACCCTGCTGTCGGATACCCAACACAAATGCGTAAGTTAAATTTATATATTTTGCGTTAAATATAGTCTGTATTTAGGTCAACCACTGAAAAATGAAATATGTTAATTACAAACACTGATATTAATATAATATTGTACCATGTTATAAATATTGATTATTTTTTTTTTTACTTATACAAATAGCATATGGTGGTACTGCTTCAAATTCTTATTTACCATATTCTTCAATACCTACACCATCTACTGCTGCTTCAAATAATCCTACAACATATCATGGAAACTCTAATACTCCCTACCCTTTATATAATAATCAATTTCCAACTCCCCCATCTTATTCAACAAATGCAACAAACTTTTCACCTTATACTCCACCATATCCTACTCAAAATGCTTCACAAGCTTGCCCATATCCTCAACAACCTGCACCAATAAGACCAGAATATCCACCCTATCCTTCAACTGCTAGTACTTCGCCTAATACTGCATCAGGGGTAAGATAATTAAAAACAATTTAAGTAAATGTTTTTGTAATGAGAATATTCTTTGGAATTTGAATATTATTTATAGTTGAAAGATGGTGGGACAATAACTGAAGAACATATAAAAGCATCTTTGTTGTCTGCTATTGAAGATAAAGTAAGACGTCGTTTTAATGAACAGATGGCCCAAAATAAAGCTGAATTAGACATATTGCAACAGTCTCAAAGAGAGTTATCATTGGGAAAAAATAAGTTGGACTCTATTTTGACAAGTCTTAATAAAGAAAAAGTAAAGAAAAATCTAAACTGCTTTGAGTTTATGTAGTAATTTACTTAATTTTCAGGCTGAATTAGAACAAAACATTCTAGTGCTGAAAGATAAAGAATTAGAACTTGAAATGGCTATTTCTAAGTTATCCAAAGAAGATAAAATTGATATTGATGAAGCTGTAACTACAACTGCTCCTCTCTATAAACAGTAAGTAATCAATTTATGTGAAATAAACTTTGATAGATAGATTTTTATTTTTAATAATAAAACTATGTGTATGTTGATTAATTTAAATTGCCAGCATTTGTTTTGTCCTTATGTACAGTTGTTGTCTAATAGATTAACACGGTGGTGGGGATGATTTTCAGAAAGTGTAGCCCAAACTAGTCTTGGTGTGTTTCGGCTGTGTGACATGTTTAATTAAGTTGTTTATCATAAATATATAAAAATAATCGACCTTGGCTAATAATGACAATATTAATAAACTCATGTGATATTGAAACTATGGAATATACTAATATACATATATTTACACATTTTCACCACTATTATGTTCATGTAATTTTATATTATATACCATCCAAACCCCTGTTTTCCACAATCATGCAGTCACCGCCATGCCAATTTATCTGACAACAAATATAATTCAATAGATTAATAGGACATTGTACCAACATGTCCTGTTGTTTCTGTTTTAAAAATATGACATAACAAATTGGCCATTTAACTGAGATGACTCTGTGCTGTTTTTTTTTAATTAACCTATTATCAATCATGAAGATAAGGACGTTATCTGTATAACTATATAAGTACATGGTTTTTCTATAATTTAATTTTAAAGTGAGATTTTAAAATTTTTATATTTTTCTTAATCATATCTTGCATAAAAAAAAAAAATGCCGAAAAAACCCCCAAGTACCAGATCTTTAAGATAATAAACCAATTTTCTCTAATGTTATAAAGTATCAGCACCGATTTGTCTTTGCTGTGTTAATTTACTATGCTGTATTTTTGTTAAACGGATCCAATACATGCGAGTACAATATTATCTTAACGTATAATTTAAAATTCAATTAAATCCAATTATCCAATAATTCTAAAGAAAAACAATGTTTATATTTTACATACAAATATACTATCTTAATTAACAATTAGAAGTTATACCTATATGACTGTATTATGTTAAATTGTTTTATTTTTGATAGAATATTAAATGCATTTGCTGAAGAAGCTGCGACTGAAGATGCGATTTATTATATGGGAGAGGCATTACGGAGAGGCGTGATTGATCTAGAAGTATTTCTAAAACAAGTGCGATCCCTATCACGTAAACAGTTTATATTGCGAGCATTAATGCAACGATGCAGACATAAAGCTGGACTAGTAGCTTGATTGAAAATAATAATGCGGTTTATTAAAATATACTACAAAAAATTTAATTTTTCATTCTGGAGATACTAAAATAGGGTAAAATAAACAATATATTATTAGTTTATTATTTCTGTTTTAACAGGATAGTATTTATTAATTATTTCTGTTAGCAACTAATACTATAGAAATAGTAAAAAATTCATCAAATTTGTGTATGTTATATATATATAATATTAATCAATAAAAATAAAAAGAATTATATCTAAGAAATCAAACTTTATACAATAGTATACCTTGTTTTTGTATGAAAATTGCAAATATAAGGATTGTTTGATTATATTAATTATTTTAAATAATATTTATTTAGATGTTTTATAATTTATACTACTTATTTAAATATTTATTCATATTTAATCTTATTTTTTTGTCAGCTATTTTTAATTTGTAGACCATTTTGAAATATTCATAAAATGTAATGTACCCATTATTATTATATTATTATTATTATTATTATTATTAATAACATGAAAAATAAATCAATATTTTTTTTTACTCAATTTAAATTAAATTGAATTTCAATGAAAGTTATTCAAAATTTAAAAATATTTACTTGTTTTCTTCTTTCATCCATATTCTTTGTATTGCAAATACCATGCAAGTAATTATTACAAAAAAAAAAACAACTAATAAATATTTATGAACACATTTATTATATTTAAAAGTTGAACATTTATTTAGAACAAATTTTACATTTTTGGAAAGTATAGATTATAAATAATATACATATGCTCTGGGATATGCATATAAATGTTAAAATATATTTATTCATACCTTAAAATGGTATACTTGTGTATTATTTAATGACATAAGTAAACATTTTTTATGTATTGAAAATAAATATGCATTATACGTATATTCCAACCCATAGTAATAGGAATAGTAGCCCAAAACCAGTAAATAGAGCAGCAACAAAAGAAATGATCAGTTCTTTTTTTAAATTTCTGGTATATTTGGTACCAGTTACTTCGTAGACGAAAAACCATGCAGTGAAAAACACACCAATGCTGAGCAATAACAAAGTAAGGTGTGGATAGACTGCTGGGCTAACTGGAGACACATACCGCTTATACATTGTTGTAGTCATTATGCTAAAAAAAATATATGTATATTGGAATACAGGTTAATTTAAAATTATACAATTAAATTAATAATAATAATATATACCAAGTTATAAGTATAAAAGAAAAAAAGTATAAGTACTGTTTGAATTGTTTGTATTAAAATTAACATTTTTTTTTATTTATTTAAACTACCTACCTAGGTAAACATTTGTTCAAACACAAAATATAATAAATAAATGGTATATAAAAGAACAATATACATTAGTATGAATGTAAACAAGTGTTAAATGTTTTCAAAAAAATATTATTTCCAATTCAAAAATGTATATTTATTTTAATCAGTGGTGCCAAACAATCTTCAGATAGTTCAGCTGATATATGGGTATACCATAAAATTTGAAATTAAAAACGAGATTTATTTTAAATTAAATTACTACATTTATTTTACTTAAGTAGTTAATAGATAAGATTTGCAAATACTTTTTCTAATTCTTTTTTTTTTATTTTAATTATAACACATACAATCTGTAAATACACATTTTACATGTTTGAGGAATTATGGAAAGAAAAAAAAAAAAAAAAAAAAAAATAAAAAAGGCGAGATCGACATGAAGAAGTAATCACCCAGCGGCAACACTTACTGGCTATATTTTCTAGTTCTAAAAAAAATTAAATAATAATTTAAGTTTTTAAAATTGTTAAGATTAACCTACAATAATTTAACACTTAAGGACGGAATTCAGACACATCAATTTTTTTTATTTTAAAGATAATGATGATTAAGGTATATAACATATACAAATAAAATAAATTGCAAACAGAATGCATAGTCAACTGTTTAGAAACAGATCAGTGGGACGTGAATCTATTGGCTTATCGATCACAGGACAGGTAAAACTGCAATCAGTCAATAATCATATATGATAAAAATTAACAGTAAATTTTAATCTATCAATTTTGGTGAATTAGATGAAACAAAAACGTCATTGTGGAAAATATTGATAAAATTATTAATTAGATAAAATATGTCTTAAAAATTAAAAATAGAAGAAATAAAAAAAAAAACTCAAAATACACATTTATATACAAACAAAAATTACAAATCTAACTTGTCAGAGCATAAAACATATTTGGTTCTTACTCTGCTATTTTTTTTAATAATGTAAAACAAAAATTCAAATGCTACAAGTCTTTTGCCCTAGAAATAAGGAAAAGGTTAAGCGCCATTAGGTAAACCTTGAATGGGTGGATAGTAGGTATAGTCTTAAAATCATAGTTGTAGAACCGTATTTTAAACCTTTTTATTGTACATACATAAGTAACAAATGGATATAGACAGGACTTATGTAGAAAATCATAAAACATGTATAAGAATACAATTATTTATAATGATAAGATAATAATAAATAAAAAGTGAACACAATTTTATTTTAAAATAGAAACTAATTTGACATGCAATAATTAAAACATAGGTTTTATAGGAATATTGACTAAATTAATTGATTAACTAAATAACATAATACAAAAAAAAAATTGTTATAAATATAAAAATTTTGTTTGTAAAGACATGCAACAAAATGTACAATAAAAGTAAAAAAAATACTACAATATACATTTTTATTTTGTTAAAACTTCATTTCAAAAAAGATTTATCATTTAAAATTTCAACCAAAAGCTGTTTGTCATGTAATACATCATCCACTTCATGTTTGTCCCAAAGTAATATTATTTTAGACAGCCTATTAACACTCTGGCCTTGAATCTTGATTATACCTCTAGTTTCTATTAATGAACACATGGTTATAAATTCACTAAGATCCCTCACTTGAATATTTCTTTTTGTGCAAATTTTTTTAAACACGTCAAATAGGTTTCCAATAGTTATTACCTGATTTTTTTTACTAGAAGATAAAATCAATAATAAAGCACACACTACTAACTCTTGTTGCAATGGTAATTTTTCAGTATTTTCATCATTATTATCAAGTGCTCCAGAAGTGGAATATACATTATTCAATACTGTCATCACATCATTTAATGTTATTTTTTTATCAACTTTTTCGTCTGCCAACTCTATTACTCGCCTGGTTACATCTAACGCATAACGTACATCACCACGAAAAGAAGCAATTTTTGCAGCTAATAGTTGAATTGCATTGGCAGGAAATATTTCCACAACCCCTGCATATTCTAATCGGTGATTAATAATATTAGCTAATTCTGTTTTGGTGTAAGGTGGAAAATTGAGTAGTTGTGGTTGTAAGGAAACATTAGTTTTTAACATTGGTAATAATCGATCAGTAAGATCTAAGGAGTTTGCAATACCGATAACAACCAATTTTGATTGAGGAATAGTTGGCCACTCAAATATTTTATACAATATTGATTGATTTTTAGATGACAATTGATCAATTTCATCTAACACTAAGAGAATAGACTGGTGCTTGGTTTTCAAAAAACGCTCGATAGCTAATATACATTCCCTTTGAATAATACAATTGAGTTTTAATATTTCAGCAATTTTAGCATAAACATGGTTTGCAGATTTGATCATACTACAGTTGACATATGCTATAAGGAAATTTTTAGTAACTATATGACTAGCAAATAATGAATGCAATGACACAGTCTTTCCAGTACCCGGTGGTCCAGATACATACATGGATGCAGAAACATTGTCTTCGATATGTTTCATCAAGAAGGATTTTAAACATTCAATTTGAACTTCCCTTCCGGGCAATGAATCCGTGAAACCGCTATGTAAATTCAAAAGAGCTGAGTTGAAAAACGACTTTTGATTGCAAGCCATTTTGGTCGATTTCATTGAAAATTGTTTAACAAATTTAAAAGAAGTATCGATTTAACGTAATGGCTTAAATTCACCACTAATTAAATAATAATAAAACTATTAATAGATGATTTATAGAAAACGATTGCAATAACCAAAAGACGACCACTGAACACTTAAAAATAGAACTAAAAAATTGAGTATTATAACGTGCGTACTTATAAATAAATAAAATTTAGGTTTACCTCAATGGTTCCGGAAACAAAACGATGAGAGGTGATTGAAATTTTATTTGTGGGGTAGGTACACAACGTTTGTTTGTAGCGTTTTAGCGGTATTTTCCCTCTTGGTTCCGTGAATTTGTGTTGAACTGTAGACGTAATCACTATAATCAGAAATAATCAGCAGTTGGTAATAAAACCTGTCGTGTACTCTTAGTTTATACTCCATAGACATTGCACACTATTTAATATCTGTACATAAACTGGATATTATGTGATGTATAAACCGGAACATAGGGCCGGTTTTCGGTTATTTTAGTAAACAAAATAAATTGAACTGAAATTTCATACACAACAATTCTGTGATATAAATGATATAACCGTAATCTATAATATACATACAGGTATACCGCATAGTGTGTACAGTATAATATATATATATATAAATATTGTATGTATATGTATATAAACATTATGAGGAGAGAAATTAGAAAAAACAAATTGAACTAATCCGGTATGTTGTAGTCGAGTCTATTGAGTGTAGTGTGTGATTTCGATTTGAGTGTTGCGATTACATCGTCGTCCGTCCCTATGCGTTTGTGTTATTGACGAATTTTTGCAGATATTCCATCAACGCCATGGCCTACATAATAAAACGCTGACATCTGCAATAATTTGTTTCTAGGTACTTATAAAATCAATACACTTTACTTGAAATATATATAATTAATATTAAATAATATAATAATTGTTATTGTGAATTTCTTTTAATAATGCAATCTTTGTGTTAAGCAGAAAACTCAAGTAGACAGTGCACAAACGGCCATGAGAAACATTTGTCAGTGTGATGAATGAGGACGAGATAGCCGATAAGGTATACGAGGAGAGAGAAAGAATTGTTGATTTGTACAGGAATGGACCCGGAGATGGAACAATAATAGACCCTGTTGATGATCCTACATTCGATGACTACCACAAGCTTGATAGATTTGGCTTCATATGGTATATAATAATTATTATGTAGTTTTTATTTTGGTTAAAACTGAATTTGATTTTTTTACCTAGTGATGAATCAAAATTGAAAAAAGAAGATCCTCAAGAAATAAAAATTGAACGATCCAGAGAACAAAAATGGGTAAAAATGATCAACAATTGGGACCGTATGTCTTCAGAAAAGCTTAAAAGACGTGTTTATAAAGGCATTCCAAATTCATTACGAGGTAAAGTGTGGGCAAAACTATTACATGTCGATCAACTTACTGATGATCAGAAAAATAAATACAAGGTAATTATTTAAGTTTACATATACTTATTTCAGTTGTATGTGTTTATCTTTTAAAAATAAATTTTATTTGAATTGATTTAAAGTAAATTATTTACATTTAAATGTAATCGCAAAATAAAATTGTATACATTTTGTAATATTACAAAGTCACTATAGTTATTACTATAAATATACTTCAAATGTAATTAGTAATTTATTCTTATACCTTTAAAATAATAGTACCTAATACTTAATGTTATTAATAAATATATGTCTTGTATAGCATATGTGTGAATTAGCATGGGAGCATTCACCAGATGTAAGACAAATTGATCTAGATGTGAATCGAACATATCGAGAACACATTAATTTTCGCAAACGTTATGACCTCAAACAGCAAGAGCTATTCAACATACTATCAGCATATAGTATTTATAATTTGGACATTGGATACACACAGGGCATGTCACAAATTGCTGCTTTATTGTTAATGTATTTAAGTGAAGATGAAGCTTTCTGGGCTTTGTCTACTCTTATTTCTGATAGCAAATATAATATGCACGGTAAGTTAATTAATTATGTACACATATTTCACACATATATGTAATTACACTCTATCAAAAATAAATCTAACCTTAGCTTAAAATATCTCAATTGTAATACTTCAAAGTTTGAACTATCCAAAATTTGAAAATAATATAAAATTGATCTGATGAGAATTTAAATATTACAATAGATCTGGTATTAATAAAAAATGTTAAATAAAATATATTTTATTGAATTTTAGATATTATTTTAATAGAATTTGTTTCACTAACTTAATGATGTAATGCTATATATATCAAAAGTTATTTATTTGCTTGAATAAACTTCACTCATAAATTAAATTCTAATATTTTAGGATTTTTTATACCTGGTTTTCCTAAGCTAATACGATTTCAACATCACCATGATACAGTAATGGAAAAATTATTACCAAAATTGAAAAGACATTTAGATAGAAATGGAGTTGAAACTGGATTATATACTTTAAAATGGTTTTTCCAATGTTTTCTAGACAGAGTAAGTTCACTTATTCATTGGTTTTTTAAATCATATTGATTTTATCATTAAATATCAAAAATTATAAAATATGAGTATTGATATTTAGATACCGTTCAAATTAACTTTAAGAGTTTGGGATATATTTTTACTAGAAGGAGATAAAATATTATCCGCCATGGCATATTGTTTATTAAAATTACATAGAACTCAGTTGTATGCTTTAGGAATGGATGATATACTTAACTTTTTGCAGGTGAGTTAAATAATATGTAATATTTTAATTATTTATACAATACATTCATTATTAAACTAGGTTTTTTAAATCTAAAATTGTTTTTATAATTAACTTATTAATAACATAGCATTTTCTATAATTTATCTTGAAATAACATTTTAAATCTATACAATTATAAAATTATCATTGCATTTTAATTCAATTTAGTTATCACTAACAATTATGTATCTATTCACAAAAAAGTGTAAATATTCAGTTTAGATAAAAACAAAATAATTTATAATTGTTAAGATATTTGCTAGTTAATTTTTTATATTCAAATTAACTTCATAATAATAAATAACTAACCTAGTTAACGTTTCAAATTAATAGTTATCTGATAAAAAAATTGATTATTTTATTTTTTTACATTATTTAGTATCTAAACTTTCTAAATTTTTTAAATTATTTAGGTAAAATTAGAACAAAATTACCAGCATACAGCAGATTATACTATTGAAAAATTGCAAGATTGTCTTGCCGAATTAAAAAAAAATAAATTAGACAATGCCGGCCCACCATCTCAAAATGAACAGTTATTAAGAGAACTCGGTATATTTAATCCTAATGATATACCTGTTAGAAAGGTAATTTTTAAGCTATCATTAATAAATTCTTAATAAAAATTACAATAAATATGCCTAAATGTATACATTTTAAATTTTTTATATTTTTATTTTAGCCCCAAACCAATGGAGTAGACAAAATGAGAAAACCTCTCAATAATGATCAAGTTAATAGTTCACCTGAACAGGATTCTCAATGCCAAGGTGAGTGGACTAGATTGTGAACACTTGCCTGATGATATAATTTAACTATGGTGTCTATAGAAACTAGTCTTCCATTTCATTTTATTTCACAGAAAATATTTTAAACAATTTGCATATAGATAGGATATATATATATATATATAATATTATTATAATGTTAATATATATATATATAAACATACTTATAACTTATACTGCCTTGCATCCTTATTTATTTAATCTTCATTTTTAACAGCATCATTAAAATGTTGTAATAGTTATTTATTTATAGACATTTTTAAGTTATTTTTTTTATTATTATATTTTGTTTCATTATTATAAATAGTTTTATTTGTTATATACCTAAAGTCTTGTTATTTTTAGTATAAATTTATTATAACTTTTATTAATATAAGTATTGTATACAGATATTTTATTAGCCTTGTTAAATTAAAAATCTCATATTATATCTAGTAATTGAAATATCTTGGATATGTATTTTTCTTTTGGAAATTGTGGCTGGTTAAATTTTAAAACTTAAGACTTTCTAAAGTCATAAAAGCTTATTTAAAGAACTAATCCTTTTTATGGAGTATGCAAATTAGTCCCTCTATTTAACAATTTAATTTTTAAAATAAAAAATTTACAATACCAGTGTTGTAAAGTACTACCATAGACTTTTGTACTAGAAAATACTGAAAAGTAATTTGTATTCGTAATGTTAGTAAATATGTATAAAGACAAAAATTACTATGATTAATTTAAATGTTAAGTTCTTATTTAAATGATTTTCTTATATTTGAATGTTGATTAAATTATTTTTCCTTAGTAAATAATTACATAGTTAATTTAGACCTATGTATTAAATTATAGTTGCCTTATTGCTTATGAAATAAAAATATCTAATCTGTTAAAAAAACAATAAAAACATAATATCCATGAGAACCTTACCTTTACTTATTCAAAATGAATTTTCAGAGAACAAATAATTGATTAAATTTGTATATATTATGTTTTAAATGTATTGAATTTTTAGAATATTAAAGATACTCTAGTACATTGGTTCTTAATCTTTTTATGACTTACATGGTTTCACGTTTCAAAAAGTTTAAAACAGCTAAGAAATCAAAAAATTACCTCCCTAAATTATCACCCCAGTCAGATTTTAGAAACTTGAAGATTGAAGCAGAATTTCCGGTAGAAAAGTTATTTACAAATAACAAAAAAATAAATAAATAAACACCATTGTGAAACCAACACATTCTTTGCTCCGCTAAGAATCTATAAAAACATAAATTTCTATATAACTTAAAACAATTTTTGTGACCCACCAAAAATTGACCCGGTACTCACCAGTGAGTTGCGATCCACAGTTTTAAAAACGCTGCTCTAGTAGTCTAGTGAATACTGTATCATACTTTAAATAAATAATTTTCTTATAAATTAAATTTATGTTTACAAAAAGAAAACGTGTCTATGTGTCTAGCAATTGTTTATATTTGAATGCAAGTACATAACAACATTTTTTACTATTATTTTTTTGGGAGTCACTTATGCACATTTACCAAATATTTATCAAATTATTTTATTTTATTAATGCCAAACAGCAATTTACAAAGAATTAATGAAAATACTTAAATTAAGGTGAATTATAAATTTTAAAACTACTTATTGCATTTAATTTCTGTTATATATATAAAAAAAAATATTTTTGTTTGTTGTGTTTTTAATTTAAATTGCACTTTTACATCTATCACACATAAAATATTGTTACCTTTATCTAAACTATTGATTTTGTGTAACAAATAATATGTCTTTGGTTAATGTGTATAATTATAAACATGTTGTTAATTTTTATACAATTATAGAACAAATAACTATAATAATGTAAAATAAATGAATACATTGATTCATAAATTACTTTTATGGAAAATATGATAATAGCACAATTATTTTTTTTTAATTAGTAGATACGTTTACCAAGTTAAGTCATGCTTATAATGTATTGCCTATAAAAAAAAAATCATCACGTATTGCACATAAAAAATGATTTATGTAAAAATTGGTTTATTTTGATAATCCCTTATACAAGGTGAGTAAGACAAAATTTAAAAATCTGTTTTACTAAACATAATACATTTTAACATTTCAAATACAAATTGGATTTGTATGAACTTATAACTGTTATAACCAGAAAATATATTACAATTAAAACTAACAAACAATTTAATTTTAATTTATTAAAATATTCATAACAGTATTTGTTTAAATATCAATATAATTCTGTTATATCAAAGTTTAGGATACCCTATCAAATTTTTTTCAAGTCTAATTTACATATTATGTGTACAATAAACATAAGTAATAATAATAATAATACAGATAAAATAGCAAGTAGACCTTAATTCAAATGTTATTATCCAAAAACATTTAAAGTTGAACAATATTTTTATATAATAGTATATAGTGTATATTTATATACTATATAAAGATGTATAGGAATTTAATGAAATATTGATATTGAAAGCATCACTGTTATTGACTGTTATTTATTGGAAGTTAATTTATTTTAAAAATCCATTTTAATTTTAAATCATGGTCTGTTTATATTATTATTTTTCAGGTTCAATTGCTACAAATGGAAAAAACAGCATGGATGATGTTAGCTCAATTGTTGGAGATGGGTCCAGACGTTCATTGCTAGATACCAGTGTTACTTCTGCAGCTACAACAACCGTATCTCCACAAAGTATACAAAATGATGATGACGAATCGGATGTTACGTGTGTGAGCCCACAACCCGATGTGCTTCGCATTTATGTTCCGTACGATACTCCCACAAAAAAATCTTCTTCTTTACCAAATAAGATTACAACAATACAGGTGATGGATGAGATGGCTACACCTACTGTTGAAACAGACGGTATGTTCAAAGTGGTATCTACTATAAACTAATTAATTGCACTAAGATATATATTAGTGATGTACTAATTTGGCTGTGATTGAATTTGGTTGGTGTTTACTCAAAAGTCTACCAGCAGCACTAATTTCATGTAAATTAGTTTTATAATTTTTATATTGTTGTTGTTTATGTAAACAATTTTTTTTTTTTTGTCAAGACTTCAAAGCAAAATTGCACAATCCCTCATATTTTTTTTTTACCCTATTCTAGTAATAAATTTATAATATAGGAGGTGCAAATATTTTTCAATAATTATGTAATGTACAATAAGTATTATAACCCTCTATAAGTCATTAATTATAGATAACTGTGTAGTTGAAGAAGGTGCAAAATTGTATTACTATTTGTTAAGTTGTACACTACTAAACTAAAGTATACCATTTACAATTTAATAATAAAGCCCGTCTGAAATATGAAATATGATCAAATTTTGTTTGTATCAAATAAATAAATGTATCTAATAGTATCACGAAAAGCAAAGTAGATGTGAGAATATGATAGATATGTATTTGGTGTGTTTAATGTAATATGCAATTCTTACATTTTATCCATAATTTAAAATAATTGCAATACATTTTTAAATAATAATTATTTTTAAGATTGAATTTTAAATATTCTTTATAAAAATAATTGTAATTTTCAATGTTATGAATTAATCATAGACATTTTTGTGAATTCACCATTAAAACAAAATATATATATATATATATTTTTTTTTAAATTATTTATATAAAACTTAACTTAAAATTACATTCACATCTTCTATTACTTACTGTATGTGATTTATTATATACATAAGCTATTTTAATATATTTATGCAATTGCATGTAAATTAGTTATATGCAAGATCATATAATTAAAGACGTTTTAGCTCAAATTTATTATTATACATATATAATATATGTCTATTATTTCATGTTAAGATCAAAATTTGATTGTATAATATTAATAATCAATATATTATTAGTTATATTAAGTAAACATAATAACATAAATTGGATAACTATAGTCTCTTTTGGTTTTTAAAAATAGTATGTTCATTAACTATTATCAGTATTTTAAACTTAAAAATAAATTAAGTATCATTAAAATAATATCAATGTATAGTTGATAATAGCATAGGCATATTAAAATTACATTACTATTATTAATATTTCTATGCATAATAGGTAACTAATTTATCATCAAACTGTTCAATTACATGAAAGTTGATTATTAAGAATCACATTTAAAAAAAAAAAAATTGTATTATTTATTTTCATTTAAGCAAATTAGGTAAAGCAATAATTAATAGACAACTGAAACTAATTGCTCTCTTTAATAAGACTAAATAATCATTCCAGACTTTTCATTTTATAATAATTAATAAAATGTGTATATATATAAATTTTAAAGAAGTAAATAATATGTATTAAAATGATTGCAAACATAAAATGTATTAAAAAGGAATAATATCATTAATTTAAAATCTGTTTTATTATTATTGTTCAAACTAAAATTAGGTATATCTATCTAATACAAATACTACTAGTTTTTATATATATAAGAACATATTGAATACATATTAAAAAATACACTTTTAATTGTTCTGAATAATTATAATTAGTTTTTATTTTTGCATTATAATATTATAAATTGTATTCATAAACATATTTGTCATTTGACATTATTATCAAAGTGTTCAAAAGATGGTATACATTTTTACTTTAAATTTGTTAAAGCCTGTTTTATATTTTTAACATCATAATATTATGTATAATAACTAGAGCTACTGTTGAGATTTTAAATTTAAAATTGTATTGTTATAAATTGGGTAAGTTGCGAATAGAACAAGAAATACTATTTATTTTATTTATTAAATGTACTCTGAATGATAAAGTATGTTTAATTACATAATAGTTTATTGTTTATAAATTTTCTCAATAAACTAAGAATGAGACTGTAAACTTTGAAAAACAAGTACAATAGTTTCTTTAATATATTAGATACGTAAAATTTATATAACACTTTGTTTATATACATATAAATTTTTACAAATTTTAATTAATATGTATTGTATTTATTTAAAATTATAAACATTTGTCAATGTTACTATAGTATATGTATCATATAATACTACATGTATACACATTATACTTATGTAGGTATCATACATATATATTTGTTTATATTTATGAACGTAATATTACAGAAACAATTACGAAAACTGTTATAACTAAAATATGGTATGTCATACTTTATAATGATAAATAAATAAATAAATAGTATAAACTAAAATATTTTAATTTCTACACACCATAACATGGACGGGTTGAAGATCACTTCTAAGCGGTTTCATATTACTCGTATTAGTACTTTAAATTTAGATCTACAAATATTAAATAAATGTTAAAGGGTTCCAATAATTTTTATACTATAAATAAAAATATGTCAATAGTATTTTATTTGAAAAATGTATTGATATTTTCAGTTTTTTGTTGGTTTCTGGGTTCCTTTGGTAACATGAAAAAAAAGACTGCCTAGGATAATGATGACGGGTACAGCTACTGTTATAGATGATTTAATGTATACATGTAAATAACGAACGATAAACCATTGCTTGTAAAAAAAAACAGAGTTCAATTGATAATGATGCTTTGTCAACAATATATAAGTCATTTCATAGTAAAATAATTTTTACTTATAGGCTTTATATATTTTCTTTTATAATATTTGTTTAATAGTTTTTCATATTTACCGGAAAAACTTTTGGAGAAATCGAAAAATGACTTCCCTAAAGTAATCGGAGCCAAATTGCTTGTAGAAAAGTTGTTCACAAGAAAAAGGAATACTGTAATATATTTTAATTAGTACATTTAGTAATATTTCAATTATACATTTCTTATGTTTTCCAATTTTTTTTTTTTTTTTATTTTAAAACTGATGAATAATCTCCTGAGAAAATCAAAAATTTACCACCTACACCAATTTTCTTTCATAAAAGTTGCATACAGATAACAAAAACAAACATCTTTGTAAAACCATAAGCTTCTTTGTTCCACTCAGAATCTAAAACAAATACTACTTTGATCAAAATCGTTTTTTGTTAGTAATAATTTATTCTTTCTCGTGGTATACATTGTGTAACAGGACTAATTAACAAATATAAAAACTATTTCTGTTTAAATTTTTTTTTTTTTTTTATAAATAATTATTACATGAGGTTGAAGTGGGGCTCTTAAGATAAAAAGAAAAATATCGAAAAATGGTTGAAAAAGGTTAAAAAATTAAGAATCGAAATTCTGACTGTTAAATGTTTAATTAGGGCACTTACTTATAGAAAATAATTATAAAATGTATTTAATATTTTTAAGTTTAGTTTTAACCTCGAAAGCCAGACAGCATTTGTGAATAATACAACTTTTCCAAGTACGTGAATGCGCACTTATAAACCGGTTAAATCTCAACAGGAAAAAACAATATTAAAAATGCAATCATGGGTAAATGATCAGAAGGAGAGCATGGAAAATATATGTATTTACTATTTAGCTTTATTTTGATATGAATTTTTTTGCATACTTAAATTTTCAAATCATTAACATAATTTTGATGAAATATTATGCAATTTGATATTTGCATTATATTAATTTAAACCGAGCGGCTGATAAACGTTTATCAATTATGATTGGCAAAATTGACAAGAATTTGAATTTTAAAAATGACTGATGTAATCTAATTAAATTTAAAACGAACAATTTAAAAATAAAAATTATTTTTAAATATCAATGATGGATTATAAATACTTTGTTAATTGTAAAATAAAATAATAAAATACAAAAATTATAACCCAGAACTAAAATTAATAAAAAAAGATCTGATACTGGGAAGGGTTCAGCAACTGCTATAAATGAGTAGTGGGGAAGGTGGGATAGGTACATAAAGTTTACATCTGTAACCATTGATAACGAAAATTGGAGTCAATTTCGATTACACATATTTTTAAAAATCGTAATACCTATTCACAATTTTGGTTTTAAAACAGTTAATATTTTTGGTTTCAACGAATATTTTAACCTGCATTACAACGAAAAAACAAAATTGAAAATAATAAAAGCATTATTTTTGTGAAACTTACTGTTATGACTATTTTTTTTTCGGTTATGCAATTATTAATAAAAATGTTGAGAAAATCGAAGAATTTACTCATGAATTAGATTAAAAATACAAGAAAAAACGTCTTTTGTCGTGATATATTACATTATCAACACCATAACATCAATATCGTGATTCGTGATATTTATGGTACAATATAATGAAAACATTATTCTGTAATTTGACAAAAATTAGATACATGTTTGTTATTACCCCACCAAATAATAAAAATCTGTTAACCATACCTATAATTTGATTAGTTCGGACATAGGGGCACACACCCAAAATATTGATATTGCGAGGTTCTGCTGAATGGAAAAATAAAGTGCCGTGGAACCAAAAGAAATGTTATGGAATTATACACTTGTCAGAGTACTTGTCTGTGAAAATGCGTTTGAAACAATCATAAAAGATATCTCTGAGTTCTAGTCTTCATCCATAGATATATATAATAAACTAGATTGTGCTAACTAACTTATAATATAATAGTTTGTATATTTCGTTGAAGTCAACATTTGTCATATAAATCGAAGCCTTATTAGTTATTATTCATATTAACAACAAATTTTTTTTTGTATCGTAAATTGTAATAAAATAATGTCAATTCAGCAATTAAAAATTTTTTAATTTTACATCTCAAAATTAATTGAGTTTTGTTTTATTAAAATGGTTCATTTTTTTTATATCAGCAAGTAATAATCAAAAATATTAAAAATAAAACTTCATTATCAGTAGGTATTTTTATAATAATAATAAAATAAATCACATGTTAAAACAAAATTGTTTTTGTAAGTGTACGTCATTTGCTTGTTTTTTAATTTTAATAAAACGACAATATACACAAATTAATATATCATATATCATTTATTTGTTATATTTACGTATACATATTTTTTATATCCATAATCCATGGCAACTACACATCACCATAGTTCTTATCATATCTATTATTTAGTGTAGTAAATAAATATAGAAATAAAAATTAATAAATGCATCGCTTGGAGTATTATACGACCGGTTTCGAATTAAAAATTCATCATCAGGTATATCAGTCAAAATGTAAAGAGACTGAATTTAAAAATAAAAGAAGGAATACATACAGTATAAATTTCGAAAAAATTAAAAACCAATAAGTAATTGTGAATAATAATGTTATAGTGATTAAAAATTATCAATTTAATAGATATAGTTTCAGCTTCAAATTAAATGGCCGAACGAAACTTCTCGTTATCACTAGTTAGCAATCTGGTTTATTATATATATATGTATGCCTCCATTCAAATTTAAAATAATAATTCTGTCATATATTATTTTTTGTTTTTTTACATTTTTCCTATAATATACAATTTAATTATTATGTATACCTACTTTTATTTTCGTATTGTTTGACGGGACAATAAATTTATTACAGCATACTGGCAGGGTGATAACAAACAAATACCAACAAATTGTATATTTAGTTTCTTTTGGTTTTTCTCAATTATTATGAAAAATACTTATATCAAAACACGACTTTCTCTGTAAAGCGGCCCTCACACGATCAATATTATTGACAGTATTTACATTACTGACAGTGTACTCCTTACATGGTCAGTATAGATTATTGACAGTAATCAGTTTGGCACACGACAGGTGTAAACAGTGTCAGATTCTTTTTATGAAAATTACTTTGTAAAGTATTAATTTTTATTTTACTTCATCTATAGTAGCTTTAGGCCTAATTAACTTATAGACAACTAATAGTTCATTATAAGCAGCTCTTTTTATGTCTATATTACAATAGTCTTTACAATGAACATCCCATAAACATTTAAAATTTTTATACTCTGAAATAAAAGCACGTAATTGTTGTTCACGACCTTCGCGCGCGCTTGGACATTCATCATGTGCATCTTCCATCGCTGTGCTAATAAAATTGAAGAACTGTCAGTATCCACTTCACACCATCAATATTATTATGAGTATCGTTTTTATATACTGACAGTACATCATATTGTCAGTATCTGAAATAATGTCAATAATATTGATCGTGTGAGGGCCGCTTAAATGGATATGTGTTAAAAGAAACAAAACCTATCTTTTCTCATTTTTCAACTGGAATAATATCATGGTAGTAAACTTAAATATAACACAACGGAAACGGTAAAACATCCTAGTAAAACCAATAATCCCTACAGTCTTTACACCATGAGTATAAAAATTTATTACATTTGTTATAGTCATGTACACTCAGTATATACCAAATGACTATAAATTCTACTTTCCTATAACAGTTTGTAAAATATTTTTTTGTAATGGGTATTAAAGTTATACAATGTGTTTATAGTTGTAGCCAGCAGCCTATGTCCAAAAAACTACTAATTAATAATTTAACAAAACAAAAATTATTTAATAGTAACAATAAATAATTATCTATAGAAAAGAGGTATACTGAAATTATATTTTTGAATAATATAATAATAGTAATTAATATGTATATTACTTGTGGATAACCACGCACAAAAAACACGGTTGTCAATAGGATTTGTTTTCCAAATGCTAGCAGAAAATGGAATAAAATACAACAAATTATAATTAAATAAAGTAAAGCCAAATGATAATTTTAAAATGCAGTTATTCTATATATGTAATAAGGTACACATATAATTTCTTATTGAACAAGGTTTAGTATTAGTTTTCTTTCTTAAAATTAATATCCAGTACAATAAAAATGTTGAAATAATATTCTTTGCGAGTAATGTACTTATGTTTACTTTTAAGGAATTTAGGAAGAAAATTAAAAATGAAATTCTCTTTAATTCTTAAAGATGGGAAATAAAGTTGTTCTGGAATTGTTTTATCAAAAAATTAGAAAGGTTTTAAATTAAAAAATAGACTAAAAATAATAAATAAATTTGTCAAAAAGGCATTTAATCACAAAAAATGAATAACAAAATTGGAAACTATATAGATTAAAATGGTGTATTAATTTCATCATAATGTATTAATATAGAAAACAAAATAATTAATTTAAAATAAACAGTTTGTTTCTATTTAAATATAAATACCAACACATCATGTTTGTTGTATAATACTATAATGATAGTTTAAAAAAGTCCCAGACATTTGTATTTCAACAAATATTACTTACAGGTACAGAAAATTTCATTTAGTGTATAATCTAACCAACGATAATGATTGTAAAAATAAAGACAAATTAAAGTTGAATACTTCAGTATAGTATCAAACTAAAAATTAATGAGAAGTTAAATTAATTTATAAAACTAGAATTTATAAATCACTTACAGGCCCATAATAATTTACACAATGATTTATATATATATATAAATATGTAAATTATAATATTAAATATGGTGGCGATAGTATGTAATAAGTTCAAATGGTCAGACAAATTTCTCATTTTTCTATACAATTTACTGATAATAAATCTACTTTACAATTACATTAAATCGTAGAAAAATCTTGATGGGCAGCAAATATAAAATATCCTACAGTTAAATTCTAAATTACATATAAATGAAGTTGAATCTGAAAAAAAAAAAATGTTGAAATGATTTGACTATATAAATAAAATAATAATTTTACCTTCCAAGGGCTTGAGGCAATGAGGAAATAATAGATCCATATCCTTGAGAGTTATCAAACAGCTCAAACAAAGGGGCTGCCACCAATTTGTAATTTTTCGGCACAGCAAACAAGGCTATAGAACAATCAAATTATCAAATAATTTATAAACAGACTATTTTATAATATTATAATCTCTTAATGAATTTACAAACAAGTCAAAATAAATTCAATACATTTAACAGTATATTTTAATTAATATGATTAAACAAAATACACCTAGAGGTTATACATAAATATACAATCATTTTTAATGTTTGTTTAAAAACAGTTGTAATCAGAAAACATGTACATAATAAAATTTTAGGATAATAAATGGATGTTGAATGACAACTTTGTACAACGGGTCTTAAATTGTATGTTTAAATGGAAATTATGAAAAAATTAAAACGAAATGATACAAATACACAACATTGAAGCAATACAATATTATTTTAATGGCCAAAAGAATTATTAAATTTAAGACATTTTTTAACAAACATAGATGCCCACTATGGCAAGTAAAAAATTATATATAAGTACCTAATTTCTATTTATGTGTTATTTAAATGACTGTCATGACCTCAGTAAAATAATAAATTCTTTATATTGAGAAATAGTTTTTTTTTTTTATTTAGATAAATTAGCTTAAATGTAATAATTGTATTTAAAACATTACAAGTGTTAATTACATAGTAAGATATTTTAAAATAATGTATTGACAAAATAATTCCCCCAATTAACTATTATAAATATACATATTATTATTTTGTTTTAATAATTAATACATATTACACTACTCTTTATTATTAAATAACCATTTTTACATATTGCTCATACAGGGAAATTAGAACATTATATAAATAGTTGAATAATTGCAGTAAAAATAATAATTTAACTACTAAAACAAAATGAGATACACAGTAAACATAATTGTTAGTTTTGCTGTCTGTCAGAATTGAATAACATGCATTCTTAATATTCTAAATTGAATATTGAAACTATACATTCAAAAGGATTTGACATTTTAAGTTGTTTTTTTATGTTTTATTTAACAGTAAATCATATCAAATTTATATTTTACAAAATTAAAACTGAAAAGTTCTAGATCGGCAAAATATTTTTGTATCAAATTGTCTCTTAAGTATGAGATAGATCTGTTGTCAATATTAATTGTTTTATATAAATCTATTACCCACAGTTTCAATAAGTAAATAATAAATTTGTTACATTTTACATCAAATAGACAGAAACAACAAATTAGTTTATTATTATATTCAAAATACTTTTAATAAAATTGTAGAAAATGAATGTTTTTATTGCTAAAATATTATATATTTATACAACCTATAAAAAAAAACTGATATAATTCCATCCCACCAAATAAATTTGTTTACAAAAAAAAAAAAAATAATAATAAAAAATAAAAATTACAGGGTGTCAAAGATAAATTTAATTCAACTGAGATTTTATATTGATAAGGCACCATAATTTGTTTTGAATTGTACATACAATTTTTTTTTAATATAGAAATGGAATATCCAATTATGTATTAATTAAATTATATGATGCTTTACAAAAATAAAATGTTGCTATAAAAAATTCATACAAATATCCATATTTCAGTCAAGTATGATTTATGACACCCCGTATTTCAATAAAAAATAAAACTTAAAATGTTGAGAATATTGTCATCTTAAATAAAAAATTAAAAGTATGAAAAAATATATATTTATTATAACAGAAAATACACTGTACAATGCGCATATCCAATACAGAAAGTGCCAATGTTTTTCTATTATTATCTTAAAATTAAAAATTAGTCTCCCCCATATTTTTATATTTCCATCCAGTTTCAGCAGATTAAAAATCAGTTGTTAACAACACTGAGTTACAACAGTGATAAAAACAATAGTCTTATAAGGAAACCCTATCATGAATTTTCCCTAGACAATTTTTATAAAAAAAAAAATACATGTCTTGTATGTGAAGTTTTACAATCAACCAGGACGATCCTTTCTGAACCAGCAAATCATGTTGCCATTGCAAACTGTGAAATATAAAATAATTTAATGTAATTTAACACACATCTTAGGTGATGTAATATACACGTAAGTAAAAATTATAGAAATGCTCAAATATTAACTTTAGAGCACCTTGTGAATGTAAATAACCCAAAATAATGAATTGAGTAGAATTAAACCTTTAGGGGAAAAAATTTAAATAATATAAAACCTCATTATAATTGCATAGTGTATACTTAGAAATACTAATAAATAAAATGACAGCTAATTATATTTATACTCACAAAATTTAGGATTTTGATTCACTTATATTTTATCTTACCTTTATCAGGCAGCTGAACTAAAAAGAGTCTTTTATGCTCTTTTGGTTTAGTTATGTGTGGTGGTATATAAGGATATGTCGGAGGTTCAAAATTTGGCCGCCACCAATTTCCAATAGTATCTTCAACAGTCCATTCAGGTTGAATACCATCCTGCCGTCCTAAAGTCTAAACACAATAACAAAATATTAAGTCAATAAATAGAGCATTAAGATTATTTAAAACTTAAAAACTAATTTTAATATGTTCTAAAATAACAAAATAGTTACTTCGGTAAGTAGTCGCTTAAGTCCCTCAACTTCATCTTCAGCTGGATTTAGTTCTCCACCTGGCCTGAAATTTTTAAATCAAAATATATAAAGCACAGTATAACAACTATTATTGACAGTTATAATTGATAAAAATTATATAAATATTTAAATGTGAAAAAATATATATATATTATTACTCTTAAGTTGTATATAAACATCACTATTTATTTTAACATAAAGTATCCATTCAATCTTACAATTTAAAAAATGTTGTGCCTAACTGCAACAATAATACATGTGGCAACCCATGTTTGTGAACTATTAAAACACCTTCAACACTACGACGCATTCCAATTTTTTCAAATTCATCACGCATTCGTTGAAATCTAGCTGGTACAGATGGATCTTTTTCAAACAAAGGTTCTTTTGTTCCAAACTTATAATTAGATAGAGGATACCTGGAAAAAAAAAACATCAATTAATTTTAAATAAGTTAAATGATACCTTGTTTGTAACATTTTGTAGAAAACATACATAAAGGCTTGTCATTTTCACACACATGTCTGCTTTTTCAAAATGTGTTAATTTGGTTTTATGAGAATATAAAATTATTCAGCCAAATATTAATAAGTATGAGGTTCATTTTAAATTGTACTTAATAACTAAAAAAAAAGTTATTTTTTAATAGGGGTTATTTAAGTCATCAGAAAATGCAAGGAGATCAGTATTGGGAATAACTTTTTTATGACATTAACAAATAAAGCAAAAAGAAATGGTGAAAGATGGCCAAGATAGACAAGAACTCAAGACTTGCAATCATAAATTTGTACATATTGGAATTTCTGGACAAATATTTAAACCAGGAAAAGAGTGGATTATCAAAGTCCAATTTGTATAGAATATCTAAGAGAAAGTTATAGTCTACTCGATCGAATCCAAATTACACCATTTAAAAACATGCCTAATTTACCCTGTGTTTATACGCCTGATTATGGTCGGTATCATAATCTACGCCAGACTATAGTTGGTAAGACTAATATAATTAGAAATATACAAGGTTATTGCAGAGTATTTTATATATATAAAAAAATGAGCGTTAAGGTGCAGTCTCTTATCAATTTCCTAATTTATATTTTAAAAATTAATAAAACTATACTCTGTCCTACAAGAGAGCATGCCTGATCTGCACTTTATTTGTCAACCGACCAAGCCATCGCATTTCTTCCATACATTCAAATTTAATAGCTGACAACAATGGGTATGCTCAGACCTGACAAATTTTTGTTATCACTGTTATACTCTCTTATGGGACAGAGTATAAATACTTACCTATATACCTAAATATAGCGTTTATGCTAAGAAGTACCACTAAATATTTAAGTTGATTGACCTAGTATTGAAATAGAATTTTCGGAGAATGATAGGGAGTACCCAAATACACATTTTCTCATTAATTTTTAACCCTTTCAGTAGGCACATGCGTAATACAACTTACTTTTTTTAAAATGGCAACTACATTTTTTTAAAAAAAATGTTTGTATAAAAAGTTTTTTCCTAATTATAAAATTGGTAAAGTTAAAGTTATAGTACATTGAAATTTAATATTTACGAATAATTTAATTGACAAAATTTTAACTATACTCAAAATCAAAATGATATTTCCGATATTTTGAAATACCTATTTGTAAATAGATATAAGACACAAATAAACACTTTTTTGTTTTTGTAATTAACTATTATTTTTTCATTTATTCTTCCAAATTAAATTAAAGGTAATGAAAATTATAAAAATTACACACCATAAATTTGAAATTAAAATTTATTTATTTGCAATTATAGGTTTTTTCGAATAAATTGTTTAAAGTTTCTGCCTTGGTGTTCCAAATGGTTTAAAAATTCTTGATGTGGCAGCTTTTTATTTGGTCTTTTCTCAAATTATTACATGCTACTTGTAAATTATTTTTTAAATCTTTATTAAAAGGATCCATATATATATAATATTTTTTAAATGCCCCCATAAAAAGAACTGGAGTGTTTATTTATGGCTTATCTATCTACAAACAGGGATTTCACAATATCGGAGATATCGTCATTTCGATATTCTAGTATGTTGAACATAGTTAAAATTTCAACATATTATTACCAATTTTGTAATGAGATAAAACTTTTAATACAAAAATTGTTTTAAAAAATACTCTATCTGAATCTGTAGAAAAAAAAAATGTTCTTTCCAATTAAAAAAAGTTATATTGCGCACACACATACCAAAAGGGTTAAAAATTTGAAATTTGTCTGAAAATGTGAATTTGGGTACTCTCTATAATCTTCCGAAAATACCATTTCAATATTAGGTCATCTAACTGAAATATTTAGTGGTACCTCTTAGCGTGAATACACTATATAAATAATAATTTATTATACTATTATATGTTATATATTTTAGCATAATTTTTAAACTATTTGAGCTATTTATAGGCAATAATAATTTTGCTAGTTCTATAAGTAATATTTGTTTGATAGGTACTCAGTGGATAAAATCGTTAGACTGACCATCAAACAGGCCTTTTAAAACATGTATAACCAAACTCTGCTCAAATAGTTTTTCATAAGCAATGATTAATCGTTGTATACATACATATATATATATATATATATTAAATTTCCCTCTGCATTCTACCTTCCCAACTTCTCAAATATAACAGCAGCCCACCCATCGTGTGAAATACCTATGTCAATCTTTTTTCCTGGTCAGGTGTTTCTTATCTTAACAACCACAGTTAGGCGTATATTATGATATCGATCATGGTTGCACCCGACCATGATCGATATCACTGTGATGATTAACCTACAGATACAAGTTACATTACTTTATATTCTACTTTTCTAAGTTTCCATCTACAACAATGTCTTATCCATCATTGGTATCGTTTCTTTTTTAAAATTTCCCTGGAGTTTTCTTAATATATGAGAAAAACATTATAATAATAAAAGTATTTACAATTAATATTATTCTATTTAAATTAATTGTAGAGACCAACATTTTTTACCAAATACTTAGATATATAAGCCATTTCTAGACATGATACAATTATCAAAATATGTTGAGCTCTTTTAAGCCATTTGGGACTTTTTTTAGTTTTTATTCAGATAATTTTTTTTTTTATTTTTCAAATCTGCCTGAAAATTGTAAGTCACAGAATCTTAAAACCTCATTTATGTATAACTGAACATTAATCAGAACTTTTTTATGGTTAGCAATGATTTATCATACATACAGATATAAATTAAATTACCCTATGCATGCTAACTTCTTTTCTATAACAGTGGCTTAACCATGATAGAATGCATCACTCCTGATGCATTAGCTTTTTGAAAAAATAATTAAAGGAAATTAAATTGTTAAATTGAAAAATAATATCATAAGTACCTACCTAATATGTGAATTTAAAATATGATTCTTGTTGTAATATTTTTAATATCTTATTTAATGATTTTCAAGGTATTTAAATGAGAAATGTACAAATTAACTAAATTAGGTTTTTTAAATTATTACCAACCTATTCTAATAATTTTCAAATAATGATCAAAATAAAATTTTAACAATTTGGACTAATTACATATAGTTTAGTTTAAAAATATTTATAATTAAGCTCTTACAAGTTGATATGTCTGTTTAAAGATGGACAAGTCGATGATTTCACTGGTTGGGTACGCCTAGGCCACCCGGTTCCCGGGGTTGATTGGACATTATTTTGTACCGGTTGGCTGGTGCTCAACGCCATTTCTGATACCACGTTCGACGACAGTTTGATGATTTGTTAATAACCTCGTCAAACAAATTATATTAATTGACATAAAAACATTAACACATAGTTTGGAAAATTGTCGGGTCGGAAGACAATAATTACACGGCGTTAAAGAGTTTTGATTTGTTTGGTAGAAGGCCGACGCTAAAAACTTATTTATGCTTATTGATGGGACCAAAATGCAACGCCGTCTCACAAACATTCAAAATGGCGGACTGTTTATTTTCAAGAGACAGACATGATCATAGAAACAATATCACGGTAAATACCACGAACTAATACTAGGATCCATAATAAATACCATTGATACGGTAGATATAATATCATAAGTATTTATGTACAATATCAATAGTATTATCACCATACACTGCTGGTGACATTACCATAGAACATAAAGATATTAGATTAATATAGACATATAATATTATAATATGTTCAGCTCTTAATATTAGTTCCAAATTTCCAATGACCATTGGAAGAAATGTTTATTGAAACCTTAAATCATTATATTATGATCTAAGATCGAAACATTTTGAAAAAAATGTTAACTATTAATTTTACAAACCATTTATCCCATGAACATTACTTCCAATGACCATTTATTCCACATTGTGTTATGTGGTACAAATATATTGTGATATGTGAGCATTTCGAAAATTTTGCTCTGATGGGGACTAAGATATCTATATATATATAACTTGGTTTGTGGCTCTAATCACAGTTATAAATATACTAGTAGCACAAATTTATGAAATAATTAGACTGTCTCATATGTCTTGTGATAAGAATGAAGAACTGAATTTGAGCGATCTTTGAGTGACACAATTGATTATTAAAAACAAAATAATCAGAAAATAAGATTCAAAAATTGCAAATTTATACTTTTTAGTATTTTTCTAATGGTTGATCAATGACTAGAAAATGCTGATTACTGAGAAAATAAACAATAATTCAGTGATGTTAAATATGAAAAATGATAAACCATTTCTACCGAAAATACGATTCTGAGTGGAATTCAGTTGATAGTGATGCTTTGTCATCAATATACATATTCGTGTCATATTATGGTAAAATAATTAATTACGCATTATTTATTTTCTTTAATAATATTTCTTTTAATATTAATCCGATTTTCCCGTATTTTCTATGATTTTCCTATTTTTCCCGGTTTTACACATTTGCTGGGAAAACTTGAGAAAATCGATAAATTATCTTCCTAAAGTACCTTCTCAGTTAGATTTCCTTTCAGGAAAAGTGTTATTATTGTAAATTGTAGCAAAATTGCTAGTAGTTCACAGGACGAAAAAGGCCGAAATATGTTTTATCTAGGTAATATCTACATATTGTACATTTTCCCGTTTTCTCTCAGTTTTTTTTTTCGCTTTTTACATTTAATGAGAAAACTCCTAAGGAAATCGAATAATGATCTCCCTAAAGTACCTAAGTACCATCCAATATAAATTTCCTTTCAGAGAAGGTGCTACACTTAAAATCGGAGCAAAATCTCTGGTAGAAAAATTTTCCATAAAAAAAAAAAATAAACATCTTTGTAAAACCACAAGCTTCTTCGCTTTATTCAGAATCTAGAATTAGGTACTATGTACAATTTTTTTTTATAATAATTTTCTTACTACCTCAAATTTTGACAAAAATTATAAATATCGTACGACCTTTCAAAACATAAATAACTGAATTTTACTCAGAATCGATTTACATTATCATTGGTTAATCTCAAAAGTGGCCCAAAATTTTTTAATTATGATACCCTAAGAGAGTAAAAAAAGTGTTACACTTGAAAATCGGAGCAAAATTTCTAGTAGAAAAGTTGTTCACAGACAGGAAAAATATATTAAATAAATAAAAAAAAACATTATAATAGAACCAATAAATCCCTCACTACATTCCGATTCTAAAACAATAGCCTAATTCATGGTGTTATTTCAGTGTAATTATTACTAAATAATATGTATAATATTTTATAAATTAATGAATTACAAAATTCATTAATAAATCATTCTAATTAATACCTAGATATACTTACAGATATCGATATAGGACTTAGGAACATTTTATATGTATAAATATTATTCACTTATAGGTAATAGTATTAGTGAATAAGTATTACATTTCTTAACTTAAATCATATATGTACCTATATTAAATAGGTACATATCTTATAGAAGAAAATTGTGAGTTTAATGAAGTATACAAAGTTGGGATATTTGTTTATTGAACCTCATTTATATAACGCCGAAATGAAGTTCAGGCACCCTCAATTTATTGTATCGGAACTCCAGTTTTGCCTATAACAGTATACACGGCAATAATTTACATATACCTATTAACTACCTATTATAGTGCTTATGTAACAAGTTAAGTTTGAATATAGAATGTGTAAGAAATTATCATCATTACTTACCTTAGATACATTGTCATACTTGAGTTAAAACTCTATTTGATCCCTACATTAATTAGCCCTCCGAAGTTAGACTATGACTATGGCCCTTCTACCACCTTACCAATTATTTAAAATCTGAGACCAGCTTAAAAAAAGATCTGGTACTGGGGATGGGAACGACTACTGTTGTACGTGAGAAGTTGGATAGGTAGGATACATAAGGTTATTTAATTTATATCTGTAAGCAACGATAAACCATTGTTAGACGAAAGACCATTACGAGCGCAATTCGGTAATTACATAATTTGAAGTGCCGTAACTTCTTTTGCGATTTTCGTTTAAATTTGATTTCAAAACACTTATTAAAAAGAAAAAGTCGTCCGATTATTTATGGAAATTTTATCACATTTAGGTAAGTCCAATATAAGTATTATTACCAAGTTTCAAGTCTCTATATGTATTTATAACCGAGTTACAGCAAAAACTCCCAAAAATTAAAATTCCTTAAAAGATCAAAAGTTTTGGCGATGATACTGTAAGAAAGTAAATTAAAAAGGAAACAAAAAAGGTATCTTGTGATTTTTCGATTAAATCATTTTTTCTGGTAGAAAACGTCGTGTTTTTATAAAATAATGAAATAGTGAAATTGTACGTTCTCCTACGTTTTTTCCCACTTTATTTAATAAAAATTGCGTCGAAAATTGCATCTAGACAATTTGAGCTTTCAGAAAAGTTGCTACACATAAAAATTGGAGCAAGTTTACTAGGAAAAAACGTGTATACAGACTTAGAGAAGAAAAAAATAAATAAATCTTGATAAAACCAATAGATCCCTCGCTACTCTCGGAATCTAAAAATTAAATAATGAGATCTTATTTTCAATAATGAATCTCATCTCATTGTCTAATAAATAACAAACAACGAATAGTAGCTATACCTTTTTAAAAATATGAAAACAATTAACATAAACTTACATAATAGTATAATATAAATATCTATTAATTATTAATATACTATATATAATTTTTTTTTTTCAGCGCGGTTACAAACACGCGTCATTAGAAGTATCTCATAAACGTAATTTCAACAAAAATTGGTATGTTACAAGTTATAATGAAACATAACCTTGGTATATAGAGACCACGAATAAAACTATCCAACTATCCATAATATTATAGAATACTAGACTTTTGATTGACGAGAACATAATACCTAAGTCATTATAACATTTTTAACGTGTCAAAAACGCAAATAGAGCAGTGCTGAAGGTTTAATTTATCACCCTTCCCTAAAGATTAAAAATAATTTTTATAAGCAATTTCTTTATTTTTCCTATTGGTTTTTTTGAGATTCTAAGTGAAGCGAAGAATATATCGGTTTCACAATGACGTATATACATTTTTTTTATCTGTTAACAACTTTTCTACCAGAAATCTTGCTTCGATGTATCAAATGTGGAACATTTTCTCAAAGGAAATTTTATCTGGGTGATGCAATAAGCAGGTGATTTGATTTTCCAATCGGTTTTTGTAATAACTGAGAAAAAGTATGAAAACTGTACAATTTATGAAATTTTGTTAAGTTTTTATTAATTTTTATTCAGTAAGTACAAACTCTGTGGATACAATTTTTAAGACCAAACGAAAATTCTTGAAAATTTAACAGTTGATTCATTATGTCATATTTTATGATAAAAAAAAAATATGTCATTGTTAAAAGTTTTAGTATCAAATTTTGATAAGAATCATAAATATTATGACCATTCAAAACATATATAACCGAACTTTGCTCAGAATTGTTTTTCAATAGCAATAATTAATTGTTTCATACAGATATACATTCAATTCCACTCTATATCCTATCTTTTCAATTTCTTTCAATCATGCGAAGTACCTGTAAGTTTTTCAAAATTCATTAAACAAAATATTTTTATTAAAAAGATTAAATTAATGGTTCAAGGTTACTATTTTTAAATAATTTGAACTTAAAAAGCTAATAAAAATACTATAATAAGCTAATATTAAGTTAATTAAAATTGCATTGGTGTTTTTATATAGTCCAGTTAATTTAAGCAATTTTCTACAATATCCCGAATGAATGTCAGAATCAATTTAATTTTAACGAATTATGCAAGACCAAGCTTTTAATCTTTATTAATATTAATACAATTTAAATTGTTGTGAAAATAACACAATCAAATGTCAATTTTTTCAAAATATCTACTACCATTGAAAAGCAGTAGTTGGATAAATAAGAATTAAGAAAATTATATGAAATTTTCGATTTGTGCTAAGTAATTAAATTTTTTTTATGTATAACAAAAAATAATTTTACTATCACTTGTATAATTTACAGTATAAAACTTATTTGAATTTCGGAATTTTGTATTTGAAAATCTAATTTATCAAAATAATTTTCACTCTATTTTAGACATATATTTATTGGAGATAAACTAATTCCTAATCTCATGTGCTAACTTTATTAATTACTTAGAATATTTAATTGTTAAATAAATCTGAAGACATTTTAAATAAAATTACAAAGAGTACAAAAATATAGTCTTATTTTATATTTTTAATGTACAACCAATATGTAACAAAAAGAGCCATTAACTCATATATACACTGTTCTAAACTAATTTTTAATTATTAGAATTAAGTGTTTAATGCAGATTTTAAAATATATATTTGTATATATATATTATGAACAATACAAGTGCTGAAGATAAAGTAGAAAAAAAAAATGAATAATAAAATAAATAAGGATGGGCATAACTTAAATAAATTTGTGTAATTGATTGTTTGATATACAAAAATAATAGATACACCTTCACTGTTAAAATAAACATATTGTTATTTACAGTCATGGATATAGATATACATAATATTCTAGGGAATAACGTTAATATAAAATTATTTCTAATTAGTAATATATATAACAAATTGTATATTTATAAATTATATTTAAGTAAAATTAATTCAATTTACATATTCACTCTAATCATTTTTGTGATAGAACATAATGTACAATTTCGAAATCAACAATATTCTTATATACTTTATTATATAAATTATAATTAGTGAATTATTAAATTCAAAAAAAAAAAAAAAAAAAAAAAATTGTGACCCGATATTTTAATAATAAAAGTAAAAAATTCTCGAGTGAACTAAATTGGGTTAACTGACAACCCTGATGTCTCCCAAATTCTCAAAACTGAATAATCAAATGTTATGTCTTCATTTTAATTTTCTTTACACCTAAAACAATTAAAAATACACAACAAATTAAAATATTTTTTTGATATTTGTGTCCTATGTATAATTACATAGAAAATACAACTTATCATATTTTATAAGATCTGTATTTGAACAAATTTTACATTAAGCATTGAAATATTGTATATAACACTAAATTGTCTTACTTTAGATTTTGCTGTAGTTGGGACTGTACTCTGTTTTCCAGTTGACGTAACTGGTTTATTACTGCTTTTAATAGACAAATTTTGTATCTTAGGTGGCTGTGGTATTATAGTAATTTCATCATTTATTTTTAATGGCTAAATTAAAAGGAATACCAGAATATTTATTAAATAAACAAACGAAATTTAATCACTACGATATTGAAATTTAAAATTAATAATTTGTTAATAAATAAAAATTTATATACCTTAGGTGTAGATGTTGAAGTCGATGAAGAAGCTGTAGGTTGATTACCAAGAGGTTTTTTATTTGAGTTTTTAGCTACATTGCTGTGAGCGGAATAAACATGGTTTTCAAACTGTTTGTACATTCCAAATGTTGCAGTGCATACAGTACATTTATAAGATAAATGTGCTGGCTTTAATGACATGGAGTGATCACGGTTTACATGATTTAGCAACTTCCATTGATATACTCTACCACACACTGGACATCTAATTTAATAAAGTTAAAATAATAAATACATCACAACTTTGTATCTATAAGGCATATCCTGAAAGAGTAGCTGTGAGAATATTTTTTTCAAAAGTTTACAACATTAAGTTGTAGTGGTTTCCTGAACACTGTGAGCTCTTAGTAACCACCGCTAGTACCAAAGCTCACCTTATAATGTCTTTCTCTGTGAAATATGTCAAGAAAAAATCTCGCCAAGTGTAAGGTGTGTAGTCATAAGATACGACTATATGCAGAAGAAAAAATACCAAATGAGATTTTTACACGGATCAAAATCGTTTATAGTAAAGATATTATAAATCAAACCAATGTGGTTAAGTGATATAATGAATTTAATGAAAGAAAAACGAATATTCATGATGAACAGAAGATCTTCAATTTTGACAAATGGTTTGGTGCAAAATATCGACGAAATTATTTATGGAGACCGCGAAGACAGTGGATGAAATTTCTTTGATGTTTTCACAAATTGTCTAGATCTCTGTTACAAGAAACACTGAGAAATCAAAAATTGTGCTCAATATGGGTCCTAAAACATTTGACAGAACATTACAAATTGAATAAAGGCTTCTAGCTCTCATGAGCTCCTTGATTTTTATCTTTTCACCATTATAAAGACTCTAAATAGGTGGAACCAAATTTTTAACCGATGATGAGGTAAAACAAGAGGTCTTGAAATGGACAAAGGAGATTGTAGGAGAATGCTTTGAAGAGGGCATTAAAAACCTTGTTCTATGATTTATAACCTGCAAATGGAAAGCTACTACGTATTAAAATACCAACATATAAACCTACAATATGTTTTTTGTTTTTAAAAAAATACAAAAATGAATATTTCTACTTTCTGGATGTGCCTCATAATTAAAAACAAGTAAAATGATAAAATAATCTTACCTTCCCCCATCTTTTCCTTTATTAGCCGCTTCTTGCATACTAGATGTGACTAAACCGTGAGAGCCTAGTAAATGTCTTTCAAGACCTTGATCAGTAAAGAATCTAAACTGACACTTCTGGCAGTTTAGTGGAGGTCGATTATAAATCATTTTAGGATGAATTTTTACTTTATGTATCCACTGCATATGGTTACGTAATTGTTCTAAGTCTTTAATGTAACCATCACATATTTCACATATTACAAAAGTTGGTTTATTACTACTGTTAGTTGGAGTTGTCAATTGAGGCTGTAGAGATTTGGCTTTAGATAAAGAAGTAACAAAACCTGACTGCGAGTTACTTGATGGAAATGATCGGGGCAAAGGAGTTATTGATATACTTGGTTGCTGTACAGATTTGTTAGTATTTGAATTTTGCTGAAAATAATAAAAATAATAATTAAACACACATAAATACTGATAATAACATTAACTCATTCTCATAAATAGACTACTTAGACTTTCGTCACACTGGGGCAACGCAACGTGATGCGATATAAAAAAATAGTTGCCAAATAAAATATTGTACGACCTGACGTCGTGAGTTCTGCACACTATAGGCAACGCGACTAGAGTTTCTCAGTAGCTATCATGGTTTAAAGTTAAGTTTTCTTATTTTGTTTTGCCATAGTTTTATGGCTAATAGTATAGCACACTATAGTTAAATTATATAATAATAATTTACGGTATTTTTATTAGTTCAGGTACAGAATCAGGTACAAGAAGAATTCATTGAAGTGGAAGAATACAAATTTAAAAGAGTGGATCAATTTAAATACTTAGGGTCGATTATAACTCAAGATAACGACATTAAAACAGAAATTTCAATGAGATTACAATCATCTTATAAATGTTTCTTTGGACTTAGTAAAAATTTTAGATCAAGAGCAATTTCTAAGAATTTAAAAGTTAGAATGTACTTAACTTTGCTAAGGCCAATTGTCCTGTACGGAGCAGAAACATGGCCTCTGAGAAAGACTGAAGAACGAAGAATTGCAGTATTTGAGAGAAAAGTACTCAGGAAAATTTATGGGGCATACTTTGATGTTCTCACAAATGAATGGAGGAAATTACACAATGAAGAACTGCAATCCCTTTTTCAATGACCGGATATACTGAAAGAGATAAAAAAAAGAAGGCTAGTTTGGGCTGGACATGCCTGGAGGAAACATGACTCATTAATAAGAAGAGTAATAGAGGAAAACTCAGTAGGGAGGAGATCTTTTGGAAGACCGCGTCTAAGATGGGAGGATTGTGTTAGGAGAGACACTGAAACAGTGGAGCCAGAGTGTCATTGGCAGGAAGTAGCAAATGATAGGGATAGGTGGCAGTATGTTTATCTAGAGGTATGGTCTTGAATGGCCAAAACCAAGAAAGAAGAAGAAAGAAGATTTTTTATATATATTATTATTTATATTATATTATTTTATTAATTTATTATAGTATAAAACAATATTAAATAGTAGTAGTAAAAATATAGTCAAATATGGTACCTATAGTCATTTAATAAAATATATTATATTATACCAAAAAATGTGGTTGACAACGCAACTTTTACCAAGCGACTGACAGCACCAATAGCTTACGATTAGTCGCTTTCATATTGCATCGCATCAGTGGGAGGTCAATATTTTTCTAGAATATTTCCATCATTTGTAAATGTAGCAAAACACTTCTGATTGATTATAGGAAACCAAGGCTTAAGGGGATGATAAAACAAAAATGCCAAATGAAGTTAAAGAAATATAATGAGTTGCGAAAAATAGGTTCATCAATTGGCATGAGTTAGAGAATACCAGTGCTTATACACCAGGCATAGGCTGGTTAAAATGTTAGGTTTAATACAATTATAGAAAGGAAAATAATAGACGAGTGGAGGAAATTTTGTAATGGAACTAATAAGATCTCTTTGGTAATGTAACAATTTAAAGCAATAATTAACATGATATTTGGATAAGAAAGAAAAATTATTTCTTTTAAGGTCAAACATTATAACTATAAGATCATATCTTAAATACTTAGATAAATATACAATTATGATTTTAAAGTTATAACTTATATATATATATATATTACCTGATATGTATGGTTGTTCATTGAATAAGGTGTAGGAACAATCATTGATTGATTAATTGGTTTAATACTTGTATTTTTTAACACAATTCCTGAAAAATAATAATACAAATGTTGTTAAAATACACTTTTAAGGATGAATTGAATGTATTATATTAGTTAATTTGTAGTTCAAAGTAATTTAAGAAATTAGATTACATTAAAATATATACATTTTGGTAAAATAGATCCAATACAAATATAAAATTAGTTTTTTGAGTTACATTTGTTTCTAAAAATTCATAAAAAAATACAAATTTGCTTTATAGGATAATACTCTAAAGAATAACAATAAAAAAAAAAATTAGTTAGTTTTTGTTGTAGTTTTAGATCAAATAATTGTACATTTAAACAACTCATATAACCTAGGTCATTTTTTTCTTTTATATGAATTTAATGTATATGTGTTTATTAAATGTACATATTATATTTAAAGATCAAATTTAATTGCCTTAAAAATATATTAAAATTACAATTAAAACGTATCAAAATTGCAGTATAAATATGGTATAATTGCAATGAAAGATACATTAAAATTAGATAATAAAATCATATATTTTTTTTACACACAAGACAATAAATAATTTTACCATGGGTTTAAAGTACTTTATTATATATATTGTATAGAGATCTGAGATGATATTTTACCTTTTAAACTTCATTTAACTTTAAGCAAAATGATTGTTATTTTCAAACAAAATTAAACTCTCAAGATGTGTATGGGTGGCTATATGAAATATATTAATGGAGAAAACATTGATATTCCACTGTGCGTTACAGACAAATGTGTTTGATATGGTAATAGCATATTGCTGTAAATATAGGTGTCTGATATTATTATTATCGATATCTTAATAGTATCACGACACTTGTATAATTGTATTTATAAAATACTTTTCTACTCTTAGACAAAACCACACGTAAAAATTCATATTTTAGTTATATTTCTATTGTGTGTAACTACCTGAGTAATAATAATTTGTAAATTTTATCATTTGAAGTAGACAAAAATTGAAATTTAAAATTAAATAGGAAGATTATAATTAGTTCAATTTATATTCATATTTGATTTCTCTGATATCAAAATAAGTTGTACTATCTATTGAATATGATCTTTAATTATATTTGATTATTAGAATAGTATTTGACTTTATGTCAACACAGTGTTATTTATTTAATAATTATCATACCTCCAGAAGTTTGATTTGGCAGTGTAGTTGGATAAGAAGGCACCATTCCTGAAAATCGTTGTCCAGGTAAAACAGAACGGCCCCGACCTCTAGCCCCAGATGATGCAATTATCATTTTATTATATTGTTGATGTTGCTGTAATTGCAACATGTTAGGATTAGGAAATTGTTTAAATCCAGACATAGCTGCTTGATAAACTGCATTTCCAGGACTCATTGAAGGTTTGTTTCGCAATACTCTAGGTATTTTAGCTGGAGGTTCCCAATCTAATGGAGGTGCCTTTAAATGAAAAAAAAAATATAAAAATTTACTTTTTATAGATTATCTGATATATAACAATTTATAAAATGAAATACCTGGTTGATTTCAGGGCGATATTTTTTCGTACAAGATATTAAATGTCTGGTCAGTTTACCCTTATAACTGTCTTCAAAAGGACAGCTTGGACATTGATGTAAAGCTGGACCTCTTTCCAAACGTCCTCTACTACTATGTGTTTCCATGTGGTTTATTATTTCATGAGGACTGCGTACTTGGAAAGTACAAAAATTACATCTATAACAGTAATTAGCTGTCATATGAGGAGTTTCTAAATGGTGAGCCATTACTAAACTCGATTCAGATTTAAAATTACACAGTTCACACTTTTTTAAACCAAATTGGAATGGATCATTATTCTCTTTACTAAACTCTAAAGTTTTTATTAACGAACTAATAGCAATATGAACTTCTTCAGGGCATTTATCACCTTCTCTATCTCGTTTTCTTCTTTGAGTGCGTAATAGATCCAATTGAACATGCTCTTGTACAAGATTTACACCTATTTGCATGAAAAATTTTCCTAATGGATTTTCAAAGTAATTAGAACTCTGAGTCTTTGGTTTATCTTTAACAACATCAGTTTTCTTCTCATCAGAATCAACAGTGAGATCAGTAATACTATCACTTTTTTTTAAATCTGTTGATCCAGATAAACTTTTAGATTTTGTATCATCTGAATCATTTAAGGATAATTGGTCATTTCCATTCTCTTTATTTTTCTTTTTTTCACCAATTGGTATTTGATTTTCTGATTCATTAATGTTAATATTATCATCATCAATAATACTTTTTTCTTTTCGATTATTTTTACTTAATAATTCATTGTCCTCTTCAGATAGATTTTCATCTATATCTCCTTTGGCAACTTTTATTTTAGGTTTTATTGTTTTATTGTCTTCAATTTTCTCAACATATTCTTTTAATGGTTTTTTTGGTGGCTTTTCATAAACATAAGGCACAATAAAAGATGGTGCTTCAACAACAAACATATCATCAGTGAGAGTTGGTAATATAATTGGAGGTTTGGGAACACTAATTTGAGGGGAAGCACCAGAATTTGATGCAGTAGCTAATATAAATGGCTTTATAGTAGTTTGAGGCGGTTGAACACGATTATAGGAATGTTGAATCGTTTTACTAGTTGTTTGGGTAACACTCATTGCATTGTTATGTGTATTGGATTGCATAGACACACCTATAGGTAAATTACTTCGTCCTGACAACATATTAGTATCAATTATAACTAAAGTAGGTTCTTTTTTATTACTTTTTTGTTTAGTCCCAGCAGCAATCTCTACTAATTTTTTAGTATCGTTAACAACAATAGGCTTGGTAACCATTGTTGTTTTAAGAGAGGAAATTTTTACATCATCTGTTAGAATTTCCTTCTTTTCTTCATCTTTTTCATTAAAACTTTTGAGTTTGTTTAAATTCCGTGTACTTCTACGCGGAGTTAAGGTTATATCAGGTAAGCTTTTTACTTTTTTTTTACCACTACTACCAGGTGATTGTTTTGGATCTGGAACTTTAACAATAGTAACAGATTTATCAAGACTAATTCTGGAGTCTTCTAATGATTTTTTTATCTCATTTGACCTACTTTCAGTATCATTTTGATCATTTATTCTATCTTCTTTTTCCTCATAATTTTCAACATCCATTTGTTCATCATCTACTTTTTGTTCTTCGACTGCATCTATTTCCATTTGTTCTTCACTATCATTACTAGCGTTTTCTCTGGTACCATTACAGCTATTTTCTGGATCACACAATTCATCACTATTTATAGTTGCATTTTCGCTATCAACAGTCTGGTCATCTTCAATTATGTCATCATCTGATTTACAGTCTTTATTATTAATGTGATTTTCATCTTCACTATCATTTTCATCATCATCAATTTCACAGTATACCTCTTCACCATCATTACTATGGTTAGATAAAGATATACTCCTTTCTACATGACTTTTATCACAATTTAAATTAGAATCAGTATTCTTGTCACTCTTGTCGATCATTTTATTGGTTTTCAGTTCATCACTTAATTTTTTATGTTGTTCAATGTTAGTACAGACATTACCATTTAATTTGACACCTATAACAAAATTTTAAAAAATATTTAATATACTTATATATTATTAGAGAAATTATACAAAAATAAAATATTAGGTACCATCACAATATTTTAAAATCAAGACATAAATTATTAAAATTCAAATTTGAATACTGCAAATGGTACATATTACAATTTGTATTAATATTATGACATTATAGTTTAGGAAAATAGTACATAGGTGTATATAATATATACCTACTACCAACAACAAAGTTTTTAATCCATCTGGAAACTCTATAGAAACCAGTAAAATTTAAATAATAACTATTCTATAGATTCCTAAACCACAAATAGTAATTTTCAACCAAATTTGTTGTAGACCCTCCATGAGGTATCGCTTTAAAAATAATCATAGCTACAAACTATTTCAAAAGAGAATATACCGCTTTCGCGACCAGTTTTCATTCAGCGGTGTGCATCTCCGCTTGATATCACCGGTCATGACAAGCACGCTCCCACCGTCAGCTCATGAACCCACATACAGCTGGTACCAAATAGCACAACTATAATCAACATGTTGACTCTTGCGCTGCACTAACAGTAATTATTATTATTACCGTATAAAATTGGATGTTATGTTAAACAACTGCGTGAATATTCCTAGAAAAGCGTTCGCGATGATCTGATATCACAAATTATAAAAATGTATTTTAAATCTGTGTATACTCATCAGACAGTTTTAATTAGCCATCGTCGTGCACGATTGATGCATTTTGTTTAGACTGTTTAGACTATGATGGGAGAAATTTGTTTAGGGAAGGTTGCCCGAAATAGAATTTCTAATTTTTCATAATCCAGGTTATAGCCAAAAGATATACCTAGGAACTAAATAATAAAACATTTTATATTCTAAGTGTCAATTTACTTTTACGAAAAAAATGTATAGACGATTCAAAAAATGTCAACCTAAAACGACCATAGTAAACGAGTAGTTATAGTAGTTTTAATTTTAACAATGGTTTGTAATATTTACTAAAATAATAATATAATTAATATTGAAAATACTATATAAATATAACCATTTATAACACACTGTAATTGTTTAATTAACTTACTTAAATCGGTTTCAATTTCTGTATCTGCCATTTCATAAAATAGTTAACTAGATGATGATAAACCTGGAAACAGTGAGTAGGTATTAAAATATAAAAATCCTGATAATATTGAGTAACTGCTGAAGTAAAAAAAGGTTTGTATTTTCACCATACCTACTAATAATTATTGCATAACTATTAAAAAGTTAGAGATAGAATATAATATACAAATTGCTGTATAAACAAGAATACTACTTAGAAATCTTATTTTATTAGAGGAAATACATGTTTTCTTTACAAAACGAAAACTTTAAAGTAAATATTTTAAACGGGTATGTAGTATTTACCTAAATGACATTGAAGATTTTTAAGATTGTACCTATAATATTGGTTAGGTACATTTTTCATCAAGTGGAAACCTGTTTGAATATTTTAAGAAAAACATTAGGTATGCTCTTACATTTTTTTTTCAACGGGATATGGTATGAAGTATTTTATTCAAAATAAAACAATTAAGATGTTGAGTAAATATAAACAATAAATAAAGAAACGATTTACTTATTTTACTTACTAGGCCAATGCATTTTATACATCATTGACCTCAATAGTATATTAATGAATTTATAAAAAAAAAAAATCAATCAAAATATCCAAATACTAATTAATAGGTACGCATATTATATAGGTAGTCAAATTTAAATTACTCCAAACAATTATTATTGGTCAACTCAATATCATCGAATTGACATTCAATAACGTATTCGAGGTAGTAGCTACCGTGTAAAATAGTTTATAAAATGATAAGATTTTGATTATATATTGTCTATGGCCGAACAGAAAACCTAACCTACAACCAACAACAGTAACATACCGATTTGACGCAAGCGATCACCACTACTTACACTATTTATTATAGGTAGTTTATAAATTAATGAATTCAATTATCATTATCACTTTCCAGTAAACAGAGTTGTTCTAACTACAATCGAATGATAGATTCTTGTAAGTATAACAATTAACGAAAAACAATTAAAAAACGAACACTGCAAGTACATATTATTAGATAAAACTAGGTATGAAAAAAGTTATAAACAACACTCACGTTCCGTCAAACACGATCGTCAATCGATCGATGAGGAGAGGTATAAAAATGTAGGGGTAGCCGTCCAGAGTTGTTTACGCCGTATAAACGGAGCCGTAACGAAAGAACCGACGCACTCATAACTTCACTTACATGTTTCGAATTAACGCGCGTACAAATCGATTATGGAAATCATTTTCACCGTATATTATTATCTCGAAAATGACAAGAGCGAAACGGTAAAAAAAAATATAAATAAATAAATGTATAAACACGACGGATAATGCAATGCGTCTCCTAACGGGCAAGACGTTATACATGCACACACGCGCACAAACGCACACACACACACACACTATTATAAAGCCACACGTCACGCAAACTGGGGGAAAGCCTTTTTAGTTCAGCTATGTCGCCCGCCGTATTGCCGAGTAGTTGAGTTGAGCGAGCTGAGCATTACCAACAGAGAGCCAACAAAAATACCAAAATCAAGCAAGATGGCGCTGCCGGTCACGTGATCACAAAATTCTATGACGTAGTGTAGGAAGAAGGAAGTAGTGGCGGAAGAAAGATAGATCGGAAAAATCGAAAATGATCACCCATGCCCGTGTAAATAATGGGTATCGCGTATAACGAGTTCGGTATATTCGTGCACCGCGATCAACGCCTTTAATTTATGCCTTGTAGCTACTAGTATTATTATACTATAATGTTGCATGCTTCGATCGTTAAGCCTTTTTTTTCCCCTATCAAAATCAATATTAGTAAATTCGTTTAGAAAAATAAAGCATTCATTATTTATAATATATTTATGTATATATTATATAAATTATGATAATTACGGAAAAAAATATAATGGAGAATTAGTAAAATCAAGAAATTGGTTTTCAACCAAAAGCAATCAAATATAAAATTCATCTTCCACAAAATTACAAAAAATAGCATATAATTAAACGGCATCATATTATTAATATTAAGATTATAATGATGGTGAGCCTCAAGCATCATCTACTAAAACGTGTAACTATGGAAAGAGAGGGGAGAAAGGGAGAAGTCTCAAGTTGCGCGCTTAGGTTGGCCAACCTGATTTATGTATGGTACTTGGCCCCTGTATTTTATGTATGCGTAGAAAAGCGATGGCGCGCCCAGATATGTTTAGGTGGGGGGTGAATACATTTTTTGTGCTACGCTAGGACCCATAATCAGGAAAGGTAAACGTTATGGGGAATTGGGGGGAGAGCGGGACAATTTGTTTAAAATTCAACACTTTGGTGGCCGTTAATCATAATAAAAATTCATTGCGTTTCAAAATGTGTTTAAAAATCATCTATTAACTACAAATAATAATTATAAACTGGAATTGCCTTTTTTTGTATACGTTTTAGAAAAAATGCATAATTTATATTTTATAAATAGATTATAATATTACTTCATTACTGAGAATAATATATTTTAAATAACGACAGTTTTGAAATTATTAATAGACTATTTTAAAAACAAAAAAATAATTCAAGTTAATGCTAGTGAAGTACTTTGTTTTCAATTATATCTGCCTAATTATTAGTATGTTTTCACGTATGGACAATATTATTCAAAGACTTTCTTGGTTCATTAAATTTTACTTTAGTATTTATAATATTGATTTTTATTATTGAGCAAATAAAATTAGGTTTTCATCATTATTTATATTATATATTGTTAATATATTTTTATGAACCAATATATTTAGTTAAGATTTTTAAAACAATATAAATACTCATAATATTTAGATGCCTAATAGTAAATATATTTTACTGAAAATATATTATAAATCTCAAAACAATTAAAAGTATTAACTTTATCTTTATACTTTTTAACTTTTAATCTATATTCCTATATATAGATTTTACAAATTTCAATAAAAAATATAGGTATTTCGGTATTTAATATTATTGAAACAAATGGAAAAATAACACTTTTTACCAATTGTATCTAAAAGAATAAATAACATACATTATTGATATGATTATTTATAACGCGAATAAAGATACCCACACATTCATTAAATATATGTAATAAATTTAATTAATATTTAATTGGAATAATTACTATTTTTTTTTATGTTTATTTACTATTTACTATATACTAAAATTATTAATTTTTTTAATAAAAAAATAAAAATTGAATACTTAAAAATTAAATTTATGTTACTTAGGGTGCCATACATATTGTATATTTGATTAATCAAATTATATCCTATACAAGTATGTATCATATGATTATATAGATACAAAATATATTGATAAACTAATTAATAATTGTCATAAATTAATATTAAAAATATACCTAATAATATTATGATTAATATACTATACATAGGTATATGCATACATATTTGAATCCTATAAATATTAGAAAATATTGAATGAATACCACGTTACTCTTTTAAATAAAAAGTAGATTGTTTTATAAAATCTTTAAATTTGTTGAACATAAGTACTTATTTTCATAATCTGTCTTTTAACTTTTTAAAACATTTATATAAACAATCTTTAAGGTAAAGAATGTGGTGATAACAGTTAAAGTTATATGAAATATTAAAAGAATTAATAAATGACATCATGGCTACATTTTAAACCATGATTTAATTGATTTAATATCTTTATAAATTAGAATGATAAAAAGAAAATTTATTAAATATTGATATATAACAAGTCAAAATTAATTCAATGCCCATTTTATAAATACTTATTTAAACTTAATTTATTGGCGTTTTTATTTTAAAAATTATAATAATTTGAAATAGATTGAACTAGAAATAAATATTAGGTTGGGAAATATTAATTTTATATTTAAAAATAATAATAAAATAAATTATTTTTAATATTGAAATATTGTGTTCGAAAAAAATTAATATAATTTTTAACACATTAGTCAGCGCTTAAATATTTTACAAAACTCTTTTTGATTTTCGATTTAAATAAAGTTGTACTATAGAGTTAGATCAATTATTTTTTAAATTATGTGAAATGTTTTTCTTGGAAATATTTAACAGTGTATTTATGTTTAAAAAGTTTCTACTGGCGATTTTAACAAAAAAGGCATTTTAAAGAGGCTATTTTATACATTTCTCAGTTTAATGCCTTTGAAACTGTAAAGAAATATTAAAATAAGAAATTCTTATTCTAATTCTTACCCTATAATTAAAAATTTGTCATAAAATAATAAATAACAAAAATACTTATATTTTATATTATTATTAATTAATACACACACTATAAAGTGAGTGAAAATCGTATATAACTAACAATTTATTTCTAAAGCTATAATTTTTTGTTTATTTAAATTAAAAAGCTAAACAAACACTTTTATAATGTTCCTCACTTGCAAAATAGATATATTTATTATTTTATTGACTACTAGCCAAACCCTCTTCATAGTGCAAGATGATAAATTCAATATAAATAATAAATAAAAAACTATGTCTCATTATTAACATTTTTTTATAATAAGTTTTTTTTATTCATGTACTAATATAAACAAACCAAGAATCAGTTTAAAAAATATTCTATTAACTATATTCATAGCCATAATCCACAAATTAGATAAGAAAACCATATAGAAATTGAAAAACTGACTTCAAGGAATTGCCAGACACTATATTTTAAAAATGTTTTAAGAAAATTGTATTTTATTATATTAGATGGATTATTGAAAAAACATAATATAGGTATATAAATAGAAAACCTATAAAAACAATGACATATTCTAAAAAGTAGAATGATTTCAGTATTAAACATTTATTTCAAATTTCTTACCAGGAAATAGAAATGGTAGGAATACTATTGTTATTGATTTAAATGTGAAATATATTGCAAAGTACAGAGTTTAAATTTATTAATTTTATATTTTTTCTAATCTTTCAGACTTTTATATATTGTTAATGTGTCTATATAGAATCTATATGTATCCCTGTATTGTAAATTTTCAACAAATTTACTGTTTTTTTTTAAATGTTAGGGAACAAAAATACACAGTGTGTATGAAACTAACTGACTTATCTGTTCAAAATATAAGATTTCAATGTGTTATATAAATTATTTTAGTCATAGTAGCCTATAACCATTAACCATGTATCTAACATTATAAATAAATAAATTTGTTTCCATTTTCTTATTAATAGAAATCATAATATATTTTGTAATAAAAATAAAATATACAACTTAATTATTATCTATCAAAATAATTAAATTTATGAAGGTATTTCAACATAAAAATTCAATGATATTAAATTAATTTTAAATAACTATTCAGTTTAGGTAGGCAATAAAATGTTTTATTCAAATTGATTGATTATTGCGTGTTAGTCAAAATTGATATTAGTTTTTAAATAGATAGAAATAGAGCACAATATAATAAATTAGTTAATTATAGATTAAAATACTAAACTTATATAGAAACTGTTAAACTGATAAACTGTTATTTATAATAATTTGATACCCATGGTTAAATATTTTTAACTAAATCAAAATTAATAATTCTAGGAACAACAAACCTGATACAAGATTAATCTTCTTCATAGGTAGTTTGATTAAAAACGAAATGTTTAGTTTGTTCTACATTTTTATTTACTCAACTTATTTTGACTGTTCTCTTTTGATTTAATGAATTGGCTAGGTACTTTAATATTTTCTTCTTTTTCTAAAATATATATACAATATATAATAGGTATATATTTTGAAATAAATATCAACATAAATTATCTATAATAATATACATCTTAACTTTTAAGTATCCACAATACATTTTAATATGAAAAGGCAACAAATATAAGAATAGAGAAATGGCATTGCTATATAGCAGAGGTGGTCAAAGTTTTTTTAGTTGAGATCTACTAAAAATATATTTTTTCTTTGAGGATTGACTTTTTAACGTGAATATATAATTATAAATTACCTAATAGATATTAAGAATAAATTTACATGTAAAGCTAATAAATAATAATAAAATGTATAGTTAAATAAGTTTTTCATGACACTTCTATTAAAATTGATATAATATAGTAATTACATTCGCCAACGTAAACTCTGTTGAATTGTATTACTTGATGAATCGACAACAAAATAATGATATATTAAGATAAAAATGATCAGAAATTGAGATTTATTCACTAATTATGAAAATTAAGTTTTAATAAAAGGAGATTGACATTTAAACCATCAGTTATCTACATGTCCCAATCAATTGTTTGGCCACCTCTGGTATATAGTGTAGTTGTCTCTATATTTCAATGGATGACAATATTAAATCTATTTGCAATACTGATATTTCAAGTTTAAAATTATAAAAATACTGAATTTAAAGCAGCAAAATAATACAAATCAAAATTATCAAAACCAGACGTGCTATAAATTTAACTTTTTTTCATTATAATTGGTTAACCTAACTGTTCATAGGACTTATGAAACATGATTTATATATGAAATAATGTTAACATACAATACTAGAGAAATAAAAATAATTTTTTGTTAAACTCAATAACTAAGTAAAATAAATTATATTTGTATATATGAAGCAATTATTAAGGTACCTTTTCTTGAATAGTATGCAAATTAATAATTCTTATAAAACTCTCATAAACAAATACGAGTACCATAATTAAAATTAAAATTTGAACAATTTAAAATGTCAATACCTTGTTTTATGAAAACTTTATTTTTTATGTCTTTAAAAGCTAAATTATCTTCAGCTAAAAATCACTGTAGTTGTGTAATTCAATGACTTCCTCAATAGTCTAAAAACAAAACAAAAATGTTAATAATTAGGTTTTAATAATACATAAAATAAACCTGGATACTTTTAACTAATATTTTAAACAGTTCAAAAAAAAAACAAATTTGATTAATACATTAATATAGTGGTGCAATCAGAGGGGTTATTTTGGATGTCTAGACACTACCCTCCCCTTCTGTTGGTAAACATTATACATTTATTAAAATATGTTAAAAGCCATGTTTTTTTTTTAAATGGCCACGTAACAGATTTTATCACTGGATAACCTCCTTTCTCGTATTACTTACTGTTAAAATTATATTATACATTTACATATTACTGTTATATTATATTATATTATACTCGAAGATATACACATTAAAATATATCTGGAAATAACAAGGATAACTAAATTTTGTTTATTTTATATTAGACACAGGAATAAGGACAACAAATATTTATATTGCAATTAATTTTGTATCCTATGATAAAAAAATTAAAAAATAACTTTTTATTTTATTATTTTTGAAAAATTTGAAGATACCCATTTTTATAGAGTTTATTATTCTAATTATTTTGATGTATCAACTTTTTATTTTCATTATTTTCAATAATTTTTTAAAATTCAAAGAAAAGTAATTATAGGTAGGTACCTATAATTATGCAGGAGCCAGCAGACTGTAATCACATTCTCTATTTGATTATTATTATTACAATTAATTTTGACAGTACACTTATTTTCTCTGAACTTTAAAAAATTATTTAACACAAATTTAATGAAAATAAAAAGTTGATGTGACAACATTTTCAGAAGAATAAACTCTATAAAATACCTTCAAATTTTTTAAAAATAATTAAGTAGTTTTTTTAAATGGAATTTGTGTCGTAGGCTACCTATACGAACATTGATCACATTGTATGTTATCTACGTCTTGGACGATAAATATTGGACGGACATTGATGATATGCTCTTGTCTTAGGTATAGTTATGTATATGGTACAGCCAAATCTGATTTCTGGATGAACTAGTTTATTCTTTACACCAGATGTGTTTAGCTTTTAAAACACCAATATACATATATATAAATTGTATGGTCTAACCAGTAACCGATAAAGAACAGTAAACTCTATTCAACTTTTTTTTTCCGCAACATTTTGTTTCAACAATAATATGAATTAATTAATTAATTTTCGTCAAAAAAAAAAAACCTAAAAGGGATGGTGTAGATTGTGGTTGCAGTAGATATATTTTCAGTGTGGAAATAATTTATTAACAAAACATAAAAAATATAGCGCATTATAAATATTTTTAGCCCTTATCTCAGTGAGTAATATAAAAAAACCCAGACTTTGACTATCTTTATTATCTCTGAAGATATTATAATGGGCATATGTTTGTGGGACACGCCGTATTGTTATCAGATTTGCTTATTGTACCTATCTTTTCACAGATTGTAAATATTTTTAAATATATAAAAAAAAAACGTAATATCCCTTAAAAAAATTCTGGTTGGACCACTGCATTAGGTACAAGTTGCCCAAACAAAATACACCTATATTATTGGGGCGGTCAACCTGCAGCTCACAAGCCACATATACCTTATTCTCATAGGACAAAAACATTTTAAAAATATATATTACTACTTTCAATAGATTAATATGCATAATTTTTCCACAAACTTTTTTTATATGTTCTTAGCTCTTACATATTTCTCATTCTATGATGCGGTTAGTGAGTTACTTCTTGCTAGCTTCTCCTGGTACCTATAATTTATTAAATTTAATACAAAATAATAAAAATCATACAAATTAATATATAGTTAGGTATTACTATTAATACACATTTTTGGAACAAAAACTTACAATTATGTTGACTATTTGATCTGTTTTGTAGTTTACTTCTTATTTCATCAAAAATTGAAATTCATAAGTGGAAGTATAACAATTTGTATTCAATATTTCATAGGAGATTGATAAATGTAAATTTATTTTCTAAAACAAATATATTTTATAACGTGTAAAATTTAGATTTTTAACAGTCCTTTATAACTTCACACGACATTCAAGAGTTAAAAACTATTCAAACACACAAAAATAAATTCAAAATAAACATTAACAAAATAATTCAAAAACTGATTATCTATCGACTATCAATAAATACAAGTAAAATATATAACAATTAAACATGGATTAAATGTTAAGAAATAAAATCAAATTTGTAGTTATCATTTCAAGTTAAAAGTACAAGTGATGAATACAGAAGAACACATTTATTTACCTTACAAAAACACAAATAATAGAACATCAAATGTATTCATAATTTAAAAGTTCGTATATTTTAATTATTTGATTATCAAAATTAATAATTATTTATAATTGAAAGTTTAAACAATAAAAATACTTTGGAGTATGGATTATAGAACTAGTACATTGGTATATTTATTATTTTTATCTAAGTAATTTGTGCAGTTTGTGTCCAGAAGCAGGACGATAAAACGATCAGAGCGCACTCTATTTTTGGAAATATGCATTTGATAAAAAAAAATAACAAATTATTATACCATAATATACAAAATATTTCGGCCAAACAGTATTTAAATCGAAAAATAGTTTTCCAAAAAAATTAGTTGAAAATAAAAAAAAAACATAGTTATCAAAGGAATAATCTAAGAAAAAAACTGACCAAATAATCTGTTATAATGATGGTTATAGATAACGTGTAGATAAGCATGGTATTAATCACTCATTGACTTTATACTGAAAAAGAGAAATAAAAAAATAAAAAATATTTATACTGTATAAATCGAGTATAAAGTCAATATAATATTGTAATCACCAAATTGTGATGATTAATCACACAGTTATGGATTTTATGATTAGTTACCTAGATACCAGAGATAATAATATAATAACATTGTAGCAAAGTAGCTATGGGTTGTCACATAAACATTTAAATTTCTATACTTTATTTTTCAATGTCTATAAAATATTGAATGCATATTCTATTTATTAATTTTAATTTGTATTTGTTTGAATGTCCATTATTTGATTCTTTTTTATTTCCTTAATTTCTTATCTTTCATTCCAAATATTTAGTGTCAGCAATCGTAGTTCTAAACTTCCTTTTGACCTGATCTCCCACTTTGCATACACCGGCAAATCGCATATTCACATCCAAAAATCGCCTTTTTGGTCTTTTTCTCCTTCATTAATTTATATTACTATTCTTACTTAGAAAGGTAGGATACATAATGTTATTTAATTTATACCTGAAAGTAACAATAAATCAAATAAAAACGATTCGGAGCGAAGATTGATTAAATATACATGCTTTGAAAGTCCGTAATACTTACGATTTTTGTCAAAATTTTGATTTTAAAACTTTAAATGAAAAAAAATAATTACATTACACTTAATTTTTTTTTTGTCACTATATCCGATTTATAATGAATCTCATGTTAAATTTTCAAGCACTTTTGTTTGATCAAACAATTTTATCTACGAAGTAGGTAGGGACCTACCAAATAAAAATATCACAAAATTAAAATGTCTATAAATAGCTCAAAAATGGCTAATATGTTTTGTAAATTTAAAAAAAAATTATAAAAATTATATTATATTATATTAGTATATTACCAAATTTATAAAAAGCCAATATAATGTTTCTGTCCAAATTTCAAGTTTTCGAATATTTTTAACTACTATTTTCACAACAAAAAACATATATTTCCCGGTTTTTCCCAATTATTATGTAAACCGCTTGGAAAATCAATAATCGACTTCCTGAAATTACCATAAAACAATAATTTTCTTTCAGAAAAGGTACTACACTTTAAATTCGGAACAAGTTTTTTAGTAGATAACTTGTTTACAGATAAAAAAAAATAAATAATAATCAAATTCAAATGCGATTGCAAATCCAATAAATTCTATGAACAATATTTTAATAAAGAAAAAACATTTTTAATACCTAATAGTTATATTGTGCATATTATAAAAGTTTACATGTAATTTACATATTACATACGAAACTTATACAATTTACTCATATACTTTTATAATATTATAAATTATACAACAAAACATTTTTAAAAAATATTAATTAAGATAGCTCAATGAAGTTTCATTTTTTTATTTTTCCTTCCCAACTTCTCATCTACAACAGTGCGTGCATTTATTTATTTTTTTTCGTTTCCGTGAACAACTTTTTATCAATAAGCTTGCTTCGAAGTATCAAGTATAAGCACTTTTTTTGAAAGGAAGGAATGCATTGAAGGGATTTTTCAAAATAATTAATTAAAACTAACAAATTTAAAAATGATTAATATTTACGGAAACTTGGTGTACCGGTGTCACAGGCATTCTGTACCGAGGAATATGATACCCCTCCCCGATATGACTATACTAGGATTATAATACACCTCGGTACCATAATTCTAATATTTATATACCCCCCCCCCAATTTACCATAATTTCCAAGGAGGTATGAAATTCTTAGAGCATTTAATCACCACAACTCGGTAGTTTTTTAACGTACCCACTAATATATATAGTGCACTTCATATTAAAAGTAATCCCCCGCTTCTAATTTTTGGATTAAGTAAACCTCGGCAAGATTTAGTGATAAGAGAATGGTTTCAACGCCGAAAAATTTGACTTAACACCCTACACAAGTCCCCTTCATAACTTGATACCATAAAATCCCTTCCAGGGGATAACAAGGGATGACTTTTCAATATGGTCGGCGAGGCATTTTATATATTAAGTATATTTCAGCAGGATTTGTTAACATAAGAGAGTAGTTAAAACGCGAAAAAGTTAGGGTTAGACCACCATACATGTCCCTTCTATAATTTAATCCCGTAGAAATAGAGGGGACTTGTGTAGAGTGCCAAGTTAAACTTTTTGGAGTTGAAACCATTATCTTATCACTGATTCCTGCCGAGATATACTTAATTCAAAAATCAGAAGTGGGGGGACATTTTTAGTATGAAGTGCACCTAACTTATCTATATATATTAGTGAAGGTCCCGCACAGGTACATTAAAAAACTACCGAGTTATGGTGTTTAAATACTCTAGGAATTTCATACCTCACTGGAAAGTATGGTAAATTTGAAGGGTATATAAATACTATAATTGTGGTACCGATGGGTATAATAATCCTAGCATAATCGTACCGGAGGGTATCCATTATTCTAGTAGTATGATTTGCCTGTTACACCGGTTGAATTATTTTAATTTTTGCAAACAATGTTTTCTATCAGAAATTTTGTTCCAATTTAAAAATTACAAGATATCGATTTTGTTCCTTTAAATATATAGCCAATGAAAGGGAAAGTCGTTTTTTGATACCTAAAGTACCTAGGTTATATAATAATTAGGAAAATAAAAAAGGCAAAAAATACGATTTGATTTCAATTTAAGTTGTACTATAGGTATAGGAGTTTAATACCCGATCGCTGGTGTCAAAATCTCTGGCAGCCTTGCTAACTTTTTAAAAGCAATAGATTCCTAATATCTTATCTATAGTGTAAACTTTAATAAATAGTATAATAATAGCATATAAATCCCTGAAAAAATAAACCCGGTAAATTCGATAATGCATTTTAACTTTATTCCTCAATGGTTATAGTACCTAGTACCTACTAGTTCTAATAGTTCTATTATACTATAAGTGACCTAAATAATATAGACTTATACAACGATCACTCAACCCAATGTCCTATAGTTCGTCCCTGACACCAAAAAATACATATTCTAGAATACCATTTGTTTCTCATTTAATACGACGACGTTGTGATCGATTGTGTTATTTATGACATGTTCAAAATATTAAATGATTACGGAATATAAAATGTATTCTTATAATATAATATTGATACAGTGTCTAATACCTGTACATTATAATGCCTATAATTAGATAAATACCGAATTAGTTTTAGTGGAAGTGTGTAGTCAGACCTCCTGACTCGTCTATTATTCCCTAATTGACATGATTTTAGATTGATGACCCAAAAACTAATAAATTAAATTATCGATTCTTAATTATTAATTTTATTTAAGATTCTTAAATTAAACAATATAAAAAAATAATAATTGATACAATCATTTTTCTTATCAATGTTAAAAATAAAGAAAAAATTCAAATAATATTAAAGTATTAATGTATAAATTCGATTATTTAGTGCGATAACTGAAAGTAATATTATCTTTATTTCTAAATAATGTAAAATTGTTACCGTAGTCGTAAATTGTAAATTGTAAATTAATATAGTGTAGAAAATGCAAAACAGTACGGAACTCACATGACTTAATAAATTACACGGACCGGAACTCGTATAATTAAATACATAACGGAATTAGTAGATCCATTTTAAAAACCCGAGACGGAACTATTATATCCTTAAATTCAAATTTTAGATTTGGGGCACAACTCGGAACTCCTATAAAAAAAAAATACTACATTACACTCAATTTTTCATATTTAACATTACAGAATTGTTGTAATTTTTTTACTACTAAGTACAATTTATAATGAACTTTCTGTTCAATTTTCAAGCATTTCTGTTTGGTCTAAACATTTTATTCGCAAAGTACCTACCGAAAAAAAATTAGTAAAAATCTTGCAAAATTCAAATTTATATGAATAGCTTAAAAATGGCTAAAATGTTTAGAAAATGTAAATATAATTAATAAACTTTCAATGATAGCAATATTTCTAAAAGGAAATTTTACTAGAGAGATACTTTAGAGAATCCATTATTCGATTTTTTCAGCAAAGAGTTTTCCCAGCAATGTGAAAAACCAGGAAAAAACATAGAAAGAACCGGGAAAAACGTAGGAAAAAGGGGAAAATTGGTACAGTAAACAAATATTATGAAAGATAATATTTAATGCCTTTTTAATTATTTTACCATAGTATGACATATATATTGTTGACAAAGCATCACTATCAACTAAACTCTGATTAGAATCGTTTTTTCGTTAGCAATAGTTAAGCGTTGCTTACAGATATATATTAAATTACCTATAACAGTAGCTGCACCAGTCTACATTATTCTATTTTTAAAAATTTTTTTATGTTTGTGAGCTACTTTTCTACAAGAAATCTACTATGTGTCAAGAGTAGCACCTTTTTTGAAAGGAAATTTTATGTTATTGGTGCATTGCGGAAGTCATGTTTTGATTTTCCACTGGATTTTCATAATAATTGGGAAAAACCCAAAAGAAATTATCCAAAAACAGAAAATAATTAGATTACTCGACATTATCAATTTCATTGTTTTTAATTTGCTAACTATGATTTCTACCAAAAATATCGCTCCAATAGAAAAACGTCAAAAAGATCTTTTTTGTTGCATGAAATCTTTCTCCAATCAAAACATGAAAACAGATTTTTTTGTTGTATTTTGACTCTAGTTGATATGTACTCGTTCTAAAAAGGTCATTTTTTTGAATTTCTAACTAATATTTGAGATAATTAGGAAAAGCTGGTTAATTATAGGCTAAAAAATATTAAAATATTAAAAATAAGGTTGTCACTGGCCACCGTTTTTATACATTTTTGTTATTATTAAGTTTTTATTAATTTATCTTTTTTTTTATACAAATTTTTGTTGTGAAAACACATTGTTGAAAAAGCTATACCATATTGACCGATCGTCACTTAAAATCGTTTTTTATTAAAAATAATTAATTGTTGCATAAGTAAAGATTTAAATTAAATTACTTTATGTATCTTACTTTCCTAACTTTTCATCTCTAAAAGTGACACAATCTCCAGTATCAACTCTTTTAGATTTTGAGTGGAGCGAAGAAGCTTATGATTTTACAATAATGTTTATTTTTTTTTTTATCTGTGCACAACTTTTCTACCAAAAATCTTGCTCCGATTTTTAAGTGTAGCACCTTTTCTAAAAGGAAATCGGCGTGAGGAGGTACCTTGGCGATATAATTTTGCCGTTTTCTCAAGAGTTTTCTCATTAAATGTGATAAGCCAAAAAAACCGGGAAAATGTAAGAAATATAAGTATAAGTTAAAATATATTACGACTTTTTTTCTTTCCTATGAACAACCTTTGTATCAGCAATGTTGCTTCAATTTAAAATGATAGCAATTTTTCTAAAAAAATCAGTTTGGGGAGGTACTTTAGAGAGGTCATTTTTCGATGTTCCCATTATCTAGGACGTCTTTTATAAATTTTATTTTTATACACACATGCATTTTTTGTAAAATATATACAAAAACTACTATACAAAAAAGCTCATTGGGTATTTTTGGGGATGTTAAAGACTTCCTAGCACCCTTCTAGTTGTGCCTTTTTGTATGGGCCCCCTAAGATTCCGAAAATATAGATAAGTCTATACATTATGACATTTTCGTAAAACTATTATAAAACTCGTAATTGTAGAAGCTCTGTCTTTCTGCGTTCCTTCCCCAATTCGAACACTAGATACATTACGTTTTTCAAATTATTAGATATCTTTAGTTATCAAATTAATTTTGATTAATGTTAATAATACTTTAATTACCTATTTTTTTTATTTAGGTAATCTCACACCTATTTGAGGAGGTAGGTAGGTATATATATATCTAAATACCCAGTATAGGCGATGTGTGTATTATGTTTTTTTCAACCTGTTATGACCTCTTAAAAACAATGTTATTGCTATAATACACCCAATTATTATTTTACCGCTATATTAAATTAATTGTCTTATACAAATGTTTTTACTTTTTTTATTATTTTGATTCCAAATTATTTCAAATTATAGTACCGATCGATGAATAATGGGATTAATAATAGACAAAAGTAGCAGTAGATACATTAGATAGAATACTTGAATAAGTACAATTAGGTATAGGCAGTATATAGCCATATAGGTGTCCGTATGGTAAAATGCACAGTTTAAAAGAAAATCCTTGAATAATAGGATGAAAAAAAAGGCCAAATCCATGAGTGTAAAACTAACAAATAGTCTATAGTATTTGCTACTAATCTTTTATCTATGAACAACTATTTACAACTTAGATAAACATAATTAAGTATTGGCATTTGGCACATAAAGCTATTGTATGGCTCAGATACCAAGTCACCGCCTTGCAGGTTGTTATCATAACAAAATAAATAGTTTTGTGAGCAACTTTCTGTGTATTAATGGTACCTATGCACATTATTCGCTACCTTCACCACACCCCGTCTATACGATCTAGTTCTCCTTTTCTCATTGGTCGAATATATCTATTCACATAGAACTACGGTAACAGTAAACGTATTGGTTATCGGTGTAATGTGATCATACCTATATATTTTGTCATGCGTACAATGCATAGCACTAAAAACTTAGTTTATAGGTCTATGGTATAATGCAATATATTATGGTATATGCTATACATTTGCAATTTGTATATGATTTAGGCTCTAGGGTATAATGGCAAGATGATTACAGTAATTCGAAAATGATAAGGATAAATAATAATTATATTTCTAAATTCGGGCAAGACCCGATTGGACCAATGTTTCTGAAACAACCCGTTTGGATCAATTTTGAAGACCCGTTTGGGCTAAAAATTACTACTTTTATACAGCCCGTTTGGATCAGAGTTTTCCTTATATTAGTTTAACAGAACGTTTATTTAGCGAGCTTTTATAGAAGTTTAAAAGTAATGGTCCAAACTGGTTGCAGTTTTATTAGTTGCTCCAAACGTGCTTCACTTCTATATTCCTCCACACTCAATACCTCTTCTGGTTTTAATCATCCATTATACCGAATGCTGCGTTTCCTTAATAATGTTCTTTCTGATTTTCTGACCTAATTTAGTTCAGATACATGTTATATTTAACACTTTGCTATTGCATTCAATTAATTTTAACTTATACTAGTTGTTCAATATATTAGTTTATATTTGTTTTTACCTACATAATTGTCGCTTGGCGTTAATACAACAAATAAATAATAGCATGAAAATGTAATTTCTATATACCTAATATACTAATATATGTATAAATATATATATATATATATCAGATACGAGTATTTAGCTCATTTGGCTACCTACGTATCTGCAGTTGTATTGTAATTGTATTGTCTTTAAATTAATTATACTTAATGTGAAATACTAAATAAATAAATAAATATTTAAATTTAAAAGCGAAATAAAGCAAGTGAATGGAAGAAATTAATCAAAAATAAACCCTAATTTAGTATTTGCAATTTATCCCACATCCTCTTCGACTGTCATCATTATCTGATGAACATCAATGTTTTACTTGTCTTTCTTAAATCTCCTTAATTATTTCTTTTAATCTCCCTGCTATTCTGAATTCAAACTCCGAACATGTTATTAAGAAATTATCTCGTCATTACGTCATTTAACTTATCTTTTTTTTCTGTATTGTATATCTGTCATTTTATTATATTATAATTTAATTAGGATCCTAATTTTATTAGAAATCCATTTTTCAATATGGATAATTGGACACTTGGATTTCTCATTGTTATATTATTCTATGATATTCTAATAAAACTGAATAATACTACCTAACTGAATGTCGTTATACAAAACACAAAAAAAGGGAAACATGATATCAGACAGTGGTGTATTTGAGAAGGGCGATGGGTGGATCTCCCCTTCTTGAATTTTTTAATCACGGCTATAGGCTATAGTCAAATAGGCATTAAAATAATATAGTATTTATAACCGTGTTATTTATTATTTCTTGGGAATTTTTATCAGCGTTATCAAAAAGTAGTGATAATGATATACCTAATCCATATGTACCATAAATTTCAATTTTTTAAATTTCTTTGATTTGCCCGACTTCGGCTTTTGATTGTTACATATATATTATACACATCATTTTTTTTTTTTGTATATTATTAATTGTAGTCTATGCCTATAAACTATTTTTTTTTAATTGCCAAGGAGACAAATTATAAAAAAAAAAAAATGATAACTGTTGCTATTTTTTTGAATGAGGAAACCCCTAGCAATATTTTGTGGTGTATATTACAATTTTTTTAACCGCCTCCTTCTTGATTGAGCTCCAGATACACTGATACAAGATCAATAAAATTGCACAAAATTTTAGAACCAGAAATAGAAGAAAATAACAATGAAACAAAATAATACATTTTTTTTAAAAATCAAAAGACTAATCTACATAAGTACCTAAGTTAATTTAAATGCACGAAAAGAAAAAGGAAATGTGAAATCTTTATATTGTAGCTCATAAGTACTACTTTGTAATTGAAGCTAATTACTTCAATAATAATAATAATAATAATAATAATAATAATAATGAAAATATACTAATATTTTTTAATTTTACAGATTCATTATTTTTAATTACGTAGGTATTAATTTGCAATGGGGCTTTCTTTTTAAATATTTTTTTACCGGTGCTTTTTTGTCCTAGTAGGTAGATACGTATTTTGGACCAAGGCTTTTAATTTCGAGGTTTTTTTTTAATCAATTCAATAAACGAGTCGCTGTAACATGCCGTGTCTTGCAAACAGCAAACCATTATTAGTTATTAGTGTTTTTATATTTAATTATGTGCTGCGATAAGTTGCAGTTTGGAAATCTTAAATTTACCGAAATCGATTATTATAATTTTTTAATAACTGTACCACACCGTTAATTGGCATGTTTTGGTTATTTAGTTTACGGTAAACAGTTTGCTGTATTGTTTTATTGGTTACAATATCGCTAAAAAGTTTTGTTTACGTCTTATCATAGATATTAATCTCTTTTATATCTATGCGTTTAATGTACGCACAGATATTATAGATAATAAACAAGATTGCTAATTAGTAACAAGAAGTTAAGTTATAATCCGCCATTTTGAGAGGTCAAATGGATTATAAATAGGTCTTAAATATAGATATAGATATGGTTAGTAAATTTAGTATTGGATATATCAACAGCTGTGTAAAAACCATAGACATATGCATATATTAATAAATTATAATAATATATTAATATGGTTAAAACACGACTATAATATTGTTACTATTTATAGTGTAATAGTTTGTAATCATTTGTATATGATAACATCATATAGATTATAGAGTTTAATGGGTTAATGTATTTTATTCTATTTACTTATTTACCTTTGTATCCAGGTAGCTCAAAACTGCTTCGCCAAAACATGCCTGACACGAAAAAACTTAGTATCTATTTCTATGGTAATTTGGTTATATCGTTATCCATATTATAAATTATAAGGACATATTGTTATCAGTTATCACATGTGTAGGACACGATTATTATCTATGAGGACACCGCGCGACTTCAGCGCTCTAATCGGACAACGTTGGTTACGTTGTACAAATTATTCAACATTCTAACGTGCAATGTAGCATGCATAGTACTGAGTAGTGAAACTCTGAACTTACTACTCAAAAATCAGAAGTCTATTACTGTTCGTACTGTGCAGTCTACCTGCAGCTCGTGTCTTTATACAATTACTTCCTATACTTGGGTACCTAATACTTTTCACTGACTTATATTTTTTTAACTTGGCGTTCAAACAAAACAAGTTAAATAAAAATGAGTAAAGACCCGGCAGATAATCAGCTTGAAGATTTTAAAAAAAATATTAAGGTAATTATTTTATGATATAACTTTTCACAATTTTTAATTTGAAAGCAAATTCAATTCATTTTCTTAGGAAAATCGAAATTCTATATAAATTTCCAACTTTACTCTGAACTATTATTTATTTTACTTTTATCCCTACATGGTATTATAATATGTATCTCATTACTTTTTACTAACCTGTATAATTTAGAAGTACCTAGTTAGATGCATAAGTGCATTATGCATAGGCATTTCAATTTTAAACAATATTTTTAAATTATTCCTTAAAATATAATAATACACATGTATACAAATTAACAGAACTTGTATTTTTTAATTAAATAGATGCAAACCTTTTGTAAAACCTATACTCATATCATGTATTTATAACAGTAATTTTTCATGATATAAAATAAATTAAATTAATGATGGTTTTTAGCTTTTGATAGTAAATTGCATAGTATTCACTATAGCTATAGGTGCCAAAAAGTTTATATATTTTTCAAATAATTAAATTTATTTCTATATAATATACACCTATTTTGATATTTTAAATTTTGAGTTAAGCAAGCAATGTATTGGTTTTATAATGATGTTTATTTTTTTCCTGTAAACAGCTTTTCTACCAAAAAATGTTGCTTCAATTTTCAAGTGTAGCACCTTTTCTGAAAGGAAATTTGACTGGGACAGTAATTTAAGAGGTCATTTTTTGATTTTTCAAGAGTTTTTATAATAAATAGAAAATTTAGGAAATTTATTATTTTCAAATCGTCGACAACCTTTCAAAACATGTATTACCGAACTCCACTCAGAATCGTTTTTTGTTAGCAATGATAAATATTCGTGTCCAGATATACATTAAATTTCCCCTCTACATTCCCAACCTCTCACCTACAACAGTGGCCCACCCTTCGTGTGAAGTATGTCTATTTATTTTTATATAATATGTATGTTGAAAAATGCATTATTGTAATATTTACCTTGTTATATTTGTATTCATGTCATCAGATTAAGGTTTTAATACTTAATATTATTAATATAAGATGTAAAACATTTAAAATATAGTTATTAAAGTCTATATTATATGTATTAATTAAATGAGAGCTTTATTTATTCACTAAAATGTATGAATAAGTAGCTATCTACTTTAGAATATCAAAGTGACAAAATTTGATATTTTATAATAGTGCATTGTTAGCATACAATATAAATTTCAGTGTTGGTGATTCATTGCTTTTGCCATTATTCAAATTAATGTAACTTAAGTTTCCTGAACACGAAATCCAAAAAGTTTTCAAGTATTTTAAATTTGTAATTTAAATTTAATCAAGAATTATGTGTTATGAAATAAGGTATTTAAATATGTTTTTATACATATCTTTTCACATTTTTCATTATGTTTTGGTTTGTAGCCAATGGCATATTTATGGGGAAAATCAGGGAGATAAATCTCCCCCCCTGACATTTTTTTCAGTTACTATTATTTATACAAATACCTATTTTTAAATTTGAATTTCTCAACTTTTTTAGTCAGGAAAAATCAAAAATGTGTTGGCAACATGTCAATATATAAAAAAATCTTGAACAATAGGTTTCCTACATTTCTTTGTTATAAAACGAAACCTATCAGAACCACTATAATGTAAAGGAGGTTTTCCTTATGATTATTTTTAGGATAGCATAAGTAAACTAATAATAATAATAATTATAATATTTTAATTATCATTGATAAATCAAATTATAAATTGCTTACTAAAAATATTTAGATTTAAAATTATATATTTTTTTTTGTTTTAGTTTACGTATATATTATTCAATATTTCAAAATTCAATATCTCCTTTCTTGATAAAATCCTAAATACGTCACTTTTGAAGACAAAAGTATATTTTAATCTATTCTATATTTATGTATATTTTTATTTATTTCCTATATTGTCTATAAATATTTTAGGAAATTCAATCCTACTTGTAATAAATGATGAATAACATGTCAACAAGTATTTGCACAATAATATGTAATTACTAGAAAATGAGTAATAACTTTTGGTATCTATTACATAACTATACATTCCTTATTATCTATAGTTGTTTATAATTGCTAATATTCAAACGTTCAGAAGAGTAACTTAAAGATCAGTGTATGGGTTTTCTTGAATAGCCATATTGTATTAAAAACTTGTAATTGAGTAAATCCCGTATTGAAATAAAAATTTTATAATATTTGTACTTACCTATCTACTACTAACCTACTGAAAATTATTTGATTTATTTTGAGTAAACAATTAAAAATATTAATTCCGTGAACAATTTTTATATTAATGTTTACTTTTTATGTGTATTGTTAAATATAACATAATAATAAATTATCTACATATTTTTAAAAATATTACTCATGTTACTTGACGTTATATTCAATATTACTTATGTATAGGGAATAAAAAAATAATAATATGAATATTTATTTTTTTTTTTACTCAACTAAACTATGTAATATGTTTTATGACCTTTATAGTGTTAAAGTTTTTACTATTTGTATCTTGCAACTAAATATTAGTTCCCATGTTAAATATGTATGTATTATGAATAAAATTGAAGACCTTGTAAAACATATTAAAATTGAGATTTTTAGTTTAAACTTGCTTTGATATATATAAAAATAACCATAAATTATAAAACTAATGAAAAGTAAAATCAACTCTATTTTTTTTATAACTTTTGTATAGGTAATTTTTATTTTTAGTTATTTTCAATGTAAGCTTATGTAGGTATTCAATATTTCTCTAATTTGATATTAATACCAATTGTTAGTAATAATATCTGCGTTAACAACCTTGACTCTTGTATATGATATCTTTGAGTAAAAGTAATTTTTCATAAAATCAAGTTTAGTTATTTGACCTATAGCCTAAAGGTATATCCCACACGATGTGATTTATTTGTTGTACATGTTTCAAATTTTACTACTTGCTTTTTTTTATGTTGGAGAAAACTATATACTTAATATTAAAATTGTGAAATTAAGAAACAATATACTGGTAAAAATAAGATAAAATAAATATCATGTTAATTACTTAAAATAAATTTACCAAATCATATTCTAATTAATGTCTAGTTTATAAATAAATGTCAAGTATTTATAAATATTAAGAAATAATACCATTTATTGTTTTTATTTTAAGTCATAATACCTAATTAAAGTAATATTTAATAACTGACAATTACATATATTTTCCCATTAGAATGAATTATTATGAAATTTTTAATTGCTTTAAGGGAAAATCATTAAGAACATTAAGTAATTATTAATAATGTATATTTTTTATGTGTAGTCAAATGAATCAGTTACCAAAGTTTGTTTTTACTTTTACTAAAGTCAATTCTGAAATATTTTGTGTAAATGGGCCATATTTATTAATAAATGTAAAGTAAGACAGGAAACATAAAAAGTATAATGCAGGTATGATTTCAAAAAAAAATTAAATAACGTTTTTAAAATACTCTAATCTAACCTAACCTGTGAGGCATTAGTAAAAAACGGACCAGTAAAATATCTTTGAGATGTTTTTATATTCTTTGGTTATATTATGTTTATGTATTTTTTTTTCTGTTGTATACAATTTTTCTACCAGAAATATTAATTCAATGAAAAAATAACAAGAAATTCCTTTGTTGTATTTTATATCTAATTGGTGATTAAGTAATTTATTTTTTGAGTTTCGATCAGTTTTTATGATAATTGGGAAAAATCAGGATAAATATAAGAAAAAACAGGAAATTTATGAAAATAATGCTTTTATTATTTTTCAATCTCCTTATTTGTTGTAATTCAGTTATAAATATTCATAGAGATTTAAAATTTAGATAGAAAACTTATATTTGCTTTTTGTAGACGTGGTCAAATTTGCAAATAATTTAAGCCATTTTTAAGGTATTTGTAGACATTTTAATTTTGAGAGTTTTGTATGTAATATTACTATATATAGTAATATACTATATATAACCTAACCAAAGATTTAGGTACTCTGTGGTAAAATTGTTAGACTTGAACAGAAATGCTTCAAAATTTAACAGGAGGTTCATTAAGAGTCTTATTTAGTAGTAAAAAAAAAAAATTATATTTGATGTAGTATTTTTTTTTATTCCCTAATTTTAATATCAAATTTTGACAAAAAAAATGATATAGAAAAATTCTAATTTTTCAATTTTTTTTTTTATTTTTTGAATGTATGTATATTACCGATTTAAGAACAATAGCGAAATCAGAATTAAGCTGACTGACTAAGTTTCAAAATTATAGCTCTTTAAATTTCTGATGTTACATTTTTTTGTATTTTTTTCCCGTCTACCTAAACAAAGGAAAAAAATGCATTTTGGATGTACATAGAGATCCAAGCCATCATTCCCTCGAATTATTTTAATCGTAAAATACCCTTTTATTTGTTGTGCAAACTTTTCTACCAGTAATCTTGCCCCAATGCATCAAATGTAGCTTATTTTCTGAAAAGAAATTTTATCTCTATGATAATTTAGGGAGGTCATTTTTGTGATTTTTCAAGTGGTTTTCATACTATCTGAGAAAAACCGGGATTAAATGTCAGATAAATGGAAATGTAGGTGTTAGTTAAAAAATATTTCGGCCTTCTTTTTTCCTGTGAACAACTTTTCTACTAGCAATTTTCCTTCAATTTACAATGATAGCACTTTATCTAAAAGAAAATTTGATTGGAAAGGTACTTTAGGGAGGTTATTTTCCGATTTTCTCAACAAATGTGAAAAACCGGGCAAATCGGTACAATGTTAAACAAACAAAATGCCTATTTAATTATTTTATCATAATATGATATATATATATTGTTGGCAGAGCATCATTTTCAATTGCACAGCGTTCAAAATTGTGTTTTTCGTTAACAATGGTTTATCGTTACTTACGGATATACATTAATTCTTTATAACAGTGGCTGCACCTGTTATCCTAGGACGTCTTTTTATAGTTGATGTTTTTTACCAAAAGTCTTGCTCAAATCATAAAATAATGAGATATTTATTTTGTTGCATTTCGTATCTAATTGGTGATAAAGAGATTATTTTTTGATTTTCCAGAGAAGAGTTTTCATAATAATTGGAAAAAACCGAAAACAAATTTATGACTACAATTTAATTTTTTTAAATGTTTTCAATTTTCTATAAGGTTAGGTTTTTTTCTCATTATTTTATTATAATATAGGTAATTTAGGGTATTAATAAAACAAAATTATCCAGAAAATGTTTGTTTTTGATGGACCAAAAATGTTATTTTTATTCTCATTTAATATTTTCAATTCAAAAAATATAATGATGGATTTTTATATATTATGCTTTAGAAATTCATTTTGTATGAATAAGTTTTCAATAATGTTTGTTTTATTTATTAAATATTTTTAAACTATTATGTTAGTATGTAACCACATTTGAATTATTATTAATATTTGATTTGATTGCCTTGTGATTAAAACCCAAAGTGAATAGAAATTATAAATACATGAATATATCTAATAAAGTGTAATTAAATTTACGATAAAGGTAGTAAAATAAATACTATCATATCCATATTACATATGAGAAATGAGATTTAAATATATCATTATAAACATACTTATCTATAGTGAAACATTAAAATAGCTGTTTAATGTTCAAATGTGATGTGATAAGATTATAATAATTTTTTACTGGAATGCTAATTTTGTTTATTATTCTGGCTAGGAGAGAAAGGAGTGGATGTGAAATCGAAAAGAGACCACTTAAGGCCAGTTTACTCAATTATATAATCACAAAAATAGGCATATACAATCTAGTTTGTACAAGTCGATTTTGATTCCATGGTCATATATTTAAAATAAATACAGTTTTTAAAGTTAAACTGAGCACATAAACATAATTTTCTTAAAACTAATTGCATAATATGTGTTAAATTGTTTTTTCTGTTCTGTAAACCTGAATACTATAAAATCTTTAAATAATACAATACACTTTGAGAAATACGAGTATGGAATAATAGAAAACAATTGTAATTTTAATGAAATAGGCCCACTGTGTCTATTAATTTTGATTGTTACCTAGTGGAGTAAATTAGGCTAAATTGTTTAGAGTTTGCAAATAATTTTTTTGAGTAAGTACTACCTAACTGGTGATGAGCTTCACCCCTCCCACCATACCACAGCCCTCTAACTATAAATTGATTATACTCTACAAATTCTCTCTAAATTTTACAGTATAAATATAACTAATCTCAACATACATATTACACACTAATACATTACATGTAATATACACTTACACTATAAATAATTACCTGAGGTCATCGCATACCATTAATAAGTGTATATGTTTAAATTAATTATGAATGCGCATAATATACTGATAGTTTGTATTCTTCATTGTACTTGTTGTATTGGTTTTACTTTGTGTGTGCCTTTTTAAAAAATTGTGTCTTTCTAAGAACAACTTTTCTACCAAAAATTATGATCTAATAAAAAATGATTAAAGTGATTTTATGTATACCATTTCAGATTTTGTTGATGCATTGAAATTAGTATTTTAAATTTTCCACAAAGTCTTCATAATAATTGGGAAAAATCATCAAAAAAAAAAAAATGTTTAGGAAAAACTGTAAAATTACGACAATAAAAGTTTCATTATTTTGGTTTTCTAACAGTAATCATGTTCCCAATTTAACAGAAGCATCTTTACTAAAATAAAATGTCTAGTTGATGCATAAAAGGCTATTTATCAATTTTTCTTGTTCTTTTCTATATAATTGTGAAAAACTTATATTCTCTTAAATTGAGAATTTAAAATGAAACTTAAATTTAAAATGTACTTTTTATATACTCATAGAAAAAACATAATACTCAAAATATTCTGACATTTTTTTAGTTATTTAAAAGTATTTGACATTTTTAAGTTTTTTTTATAGTTTTTATTTAATTTTATGTTTTATGTTCTTTATAAATTGTTTTAGATGATCAGAAATATTTAACAATTTTAGTTGATGTACATCATACATTTTACTAAGTAGTAAAAGAAAATGTTGAGTGTAACTTAGATGGATTTTTTATATATGTTTATACCTTAAATTTTGATTAAAATCTCAAAAATTACAGCATTTTCAAACATTTACAACCAAACTACGTTCAGAATCGTATTTTGTAAGAAAATAATTTATCAAAACAAATTTAAACATTGGTTCCTAAAATATCAATTACTGTATTACTTTGTTAACATTACAGTTGATACTGATATCGTTTTTCAAATGTTAAATTTAATTCATTTTTATTTTTTGAAAAACTATAAATTAGTTCCATTATTAAATAAATTAATTTTGAATTAATTTTTGGGGTCACAAAAAGATACTCTTGTTTAATCTATTGTGGATCTATAATATTTCCAGAGGACACACAAGTGCAACTCCTGTGTAATTACCAGTTTACACCACTGCTGATAACTCAATTCTTATATCTTAAAAAAAAAAATTCAAATTTAGCCATTATTTCTGTAAACTAAATGTTTAACTTAATTTAAATTCTTGATATTTTGTTCCCAACAAATTAGTGTCTATAAGTTTAAATAATAAAGTTGGGCACCATTTCTTTATCGTATATTATATAAATATTTATTAGATAATAAATACAATTTATATATTTTTAAACTTATAATAATGACACTCCCTCAAAAAGAAAGGCTTGTGCTTAAGCTGAGCAAATTCAAAAAGTCAATAATTGAAAATGTAATAAATGATACGATATTGATATTGATGAGGCACAAGAACTTAAACATTTTAATTAACAAGTATATTTTTCTTCCGTTCCTAATTTTGTAACTTATTATTTGACTTTGAAAATTAAATTTTACTAGTAAATATTTAATTATGTTTTTATCAAAATACTTCAGGATGTAGGTGTTATTAGAACTGGTAATGGAGTACCAGTTGATGATCATAATAATACACTCCAAGCTGGAGTAAATGGACCACTTGTACTACAAGATCATACTTTTTTGGATGAAATTTCCCACTTTGACCGTGAACGTATTCCAGAACGAGTTGTTCATGCAAAAGGAGGAGGTAATTTTAATTATGGGGTTTTTGAAACTGAAGATGGTTTCTTCAAGATTGACAGAAAAAAATGTATTTTTAATGATTCTAAATATAATTTTAGGTGCATTTGGATATTTTGAAGTAACACATGATATAACAAAGTATTGTAAAGCTGATATATTTTCATGTATTGGAAAGCAAACTCCTGTTGCAGTGAGATTTTCTACGGTTGGTGGAGAGAGTGGATCAGCTGATACTGTAAGGTATGTTAATATTATACATAATATTATTATATATTTAGACTAATTTGTAAAAAAATGCTTAATGATTTAATGTTTATTATTTGTTAGAGATCCAAGAGGTTTTGCTATAAAATTTTATACTGAAAATGGAATTTGGGATCTAGTTGGAAACAATACACCAATATTTTTTATTAGAGATCCAATTTTATTTCCTAGTTTTATTCATACTCAGAAAAGAAATCCAGTTACCCATTTAAAAGTATTTAAAAGTTTAATAACTTATATACTATATAGCAATATTGTAAATTATTATATTAATTTAAATTTTAGGATGCAAATATGTTTTGGGACTTTTTAACTCTACGTCCAGAATCATTACACCAAGTAATGATACTTTTCTCCGATCGAGGAATTCCAGATGGGTACAGGTATATGAATGGATATGGATCGCATACATTTAAAATGGTCAATTCTATAAATGAGGCAGTTTATGTTAAATTTCATTTTAAGGTACATAGATTAATAAAATGTTAATACAAATATTTATTATGTATATATATTAAAAGCTGATACTTTTCTGGGAAAACAGTCTTCATTTTAATATTAATAGCTTTCTTACTAATTTCAAAATAATCAGAATGTAAATGTATAAAATTATATATTTTTAGACAGATCAAGGTATTAAGAATTTGGATGTTAAAAAAGCTCGTGATCTTGCTGCTGATGACCCAGATTACTCGAATCGTGATCTATTTAATGCTATTGCAAATGGCAATCACCCTTCCTGGACACTTTACATACAAGTGATGACATTTGAAGAAGCTGCTGCCAATCCATTCAATCCTTTTGATATTACTAAAGTTTGGTCACATGCTGACTATCCATTAATACCAGTTGGCAAACTAGTGTTGAATCGAAACCCAACTAACTATTTTGCTGATATTGAACAAATTGCTTTTAGTCCAGCACATTTGGTACCTGGTATTGAACCTAGTCCAGATAAACTTCTTCAGGTTATTATTCTTATAATTTTTTGCAGTTATGTGCATGCTTCAAATTTTTAAAGTGTTTTATATTTCAGGGTCGCTTATTTTCATATAGCGATACCCATCGTCATCGCTTAGGAGCAAATTATTTGCAGTTGCCAGTAAATTGTCCATACCGTTCAAAAGTTACTAACTATCAGCGAGATGGACCTCAAGCATATGATAATCAAGGATCAGCACCAAATTACTATCCAAATAGTTTTTCAGGACCAGAACAACAACCTCAGTACAAATTATCCACATTTAATGTTTCTGGAGATGTTGCTAAGTATGAAACACAAATTGTATTTTACTAATCTCTTTATGTGGTATATACTATATACAAATTTGTATACTTATTTATTTCTATTCTGTTTTATTTTCTAGATATGATTCAAGTAACGATGATAACTATTCTCAAGCAGGTTTACTTTATAGAAATGTTTTACCTGAAGATGAACAAAACAGATTGGTTGAAAATATAACTGATAACTTGAAACATGCAGCTGATTTTCTACAAGTATTAAATTTATACATTCATTTGTATACAAAAGTGTATTTTTAACTTGCATTAATATAATATATTGTTTCTCTAGGAAAAAGCTGTTTTTCATTTCACCCAGATTGATGATGATTTAGGACAAAAGTTAAGAGAACAATTGAAGTTGGCAAAGTGTTCTAAAGCAAACCTTTAATTATTATTCTTTTTAAATAACCACTTTTTTCATTGTTTTTAAACTTTTTATTTGTATTAATTTTAAATTTATTACATATAAATTGTATGTCTGTAATAATAGTTATATAACAATATAATTTCACATAAATTAACTAATTATTAAAAAGACGTATATATATTTTACTATATTATAATTACATATATTTATTGCTCACAAATGATGAATTAAGTACATATTATATTGAATAGTTTTAAATCAAAAATATTTTTAGCACCACAGAGATTGTTGTAGATACCATGTACTTATCAATTGTTATAATATATTTTGATTTATTAAAATAACAAAAAAATGTGTTAAATATTTTTTTACTTGTATCTAATAAACTTTAATTATATTGAATTTTATTAACTACTAAAAAAAAGCAAAAGACCAATTGTAAAAACAGCATTTGCCATGTTAGAATTAAACAATGTATTATTTAAATTGATTAACTAACATTTATTAATTTTAATATTAGACTATATTATTAGCTTAATAGTAAACAATTCAAATTCGGTATAAAAAATATAGATTGATTAAAGAACTATTTGAAGTTTAATTAATAATATATAACAAGGGTTGCCAACATGAATATGTTTCGCGAACCACATAAATATATATCCAATATATAACATATAAATCCAATGATATTAAGAGCCAAAATATTTGTAAATACATTTTATGATTTTATATAATTTGATCTAATCTGTACTTTTATAACATAAAAGTAATAAAAATAATTAACAGTCGATAAACATTATCAAATTTGTTGAGGGATGTAGGTGTGAAAGAAGAGTTGTTAGATCTAATTTCATTAAAGGAAACCACTCTGGGTCTTGACATTAAAAATACTCTCGATGAAACACTACTAAAAGCTAAAATTCGGTTAAACAAAATAATAAGCATTTCAACTGATGGAGCTTCTATTATGGTGGGTTGTAAAAATGAATTAATATGATTTTTAAAAAGTGATACTAATTTCCTAGATTGTATACCTATTTATTGTATTATCCATAAAGGACACCTAACTGTTAGATATATTAAATATGATCATGTAATGATGTTGTTTTAAAAATTGTAAATTACATATGTTCAAGTGCAAAAACACATTGTCAGTTTAAAAACTTTCTAGAAGACAGAAGATGATATTCATAATGATGTACCATGGTATTGCCTAGTTACATGGTTATTGGTAAATAACATTTTAACCAAATTTTTTCAATTATTAGACCAGATCACCTATTTTTAATAGAAAAAAAATAAATGTTTTCCTCAACTTTAAAATTCTAATTGGTTTAGAGACATGCCATTTTTCACTGATATCATGCATTATTTAGCAATGTTAAATATGTCTTTTCAAGGACAAAATAAATTAGTAAGTGACCTAAAACAAATAGTATTTCGTTTTAAAAATAAACTAAAACATTTTATGAGAGATTTAAAAATAAAATAATTTTATTCACTTTTCATATTTAGAAAAAATAGAACAGTCTTTGATAGCATCAGAAATAAAAATTAATTGTGTCGACTATGTATGTAAACTTGAATTTCTATTTGCCTACTTCGAAAAACGATGTCGTGACTTAAAGGCATTAAAGCCCTCATTCGGAATTTAAAATAATCAATTTTTCGTTAATGTCATTGAAAACTGATTTCCAATATCACATTCTATTGTCACAAATAAAGCGAATCTCGAAATAAAACTCTTGGAGTTATTAGAAGATGAAGGTCTTAAACAGTTTATAAACAATTTTTCGTCTATATTAGAATTTTGGAAGTATGTTTCTATTTTAAAATACCTAAATATTAAAAATTATAAGGTAAAATTGATATCAATTTTTGGAACGACATATTCGTGTGAATCGCTTTATTCAACAATGAAAATAATTAAGTTGAAATATCGTTCAAATTTGACTGATACATCATCCCACAAATTACTGAGAACGGCTCTTACATAAATGCAACCAGATCTTAAGAAGCTTACTAAAAACGTAGACATGAAAATAATAGGTACCATGCAAACAAATTTAGCTTTATTTTTTTATATATTATTCATATTAATCTATTATACATATTTGTTTATTAATCTGTATTCTATAGCCTTATATCTAAATAATAAAAACATTTCGGTTTCTATAAATAAGACGTGAGCCGCATACGACTATGACGCGAGTCGCAAGTGGGTCACTCCTGATATACCTATAAAGATAGAATAATATGTTTTTGAGTAGATATTTTTTATGTTTTATAACTAAATAGATACAGCCATAATATAATTATAATTTATATGTACCATATAACATATGTTACTGCAAACCATAATCAAAGATTGATAAATATTTTAAGTCATACTAAGGTCTAAGTGTAAAGGTAACCACTGGAAACTGGAACACTATTCCAGTACACTTTATGTTAAACAAATAATAATATTATACTATGATTTTTATTCATATTGTGTTAGGCAATGACACTATGTAATATATAATATGGTTACATCCAAGTTAATATGAAATAAAAATTAGATTACCTAACTTAAAACAGTGATCGAAAAAAAAAAATCCAATAATTCAATAGAATTTAAAATTATAAAAATAATTACTTTCTCGGTAACTCGGTTAAATTTTCATTTTCTTCCTTTAATCACAGACAAAATTAAATTGTAATTTTCCAATTCTCAAAATTTTTACTATAATTAAGAAAACTATTGTTCGGATATAAATATACGAGGTGTGGCTATTAAATAACGAGACTGGTTACGAAAGTGTTTTATAATAAAAATTATTCTACATTCAAATGCTCCCCTTCAATATACTCCCCTCCCCTCACCACACACCTTTCCATACGTTTTTTCCAAAGCAGTGCTGGAAGTCTTCTTTGGTGAGGGCCTTTAGGAGCTCTGCTGTTTTTTGCTTTACCGCTTCCATCGACTCAAATCGGGTCCCTTTCAAAGCAGATTTTATAGATTTTATCTTGGGAAACAAAAAAAAGTCACACGGTGCCAAATCTGGCGAGTACGGCGCATGTTCGAGCACTGTAGTGCGCTTACCGGCCAAATACTGCTTCACAGATAGCGCGTTATGGGCAGGTGCGTTGTCCTGGTGCAAAATCCACGAGTTGTTCTTCCACAACTCGGGCCGTTTCTTACGAACTCTTTCTCGCAGTGTTGCCAAAACTGATAAATAGTAAATCTGGTTGACAGTCTGACCCTCTGGAACCCATTCAGTCATCACGATACCGTTAATGTCAAAAAAAAACGATCAACATTGCCTTAAATTTTGATTTGGACATCCTTGCTTTTTTGATCGATTGTCGCTTTGTTTCAACATCGTATTGAAAAATCCATGTTTCGATCTTCTTTTAACTTTTCAAGGAAACGTGAGCAGACCTGTTGACGCAAGAACTTTTGGTCAGGAGTCAGGTTTTTTGGCACCAACTTCGCACAGACTTTTGTCATATGTAATTCCTCATGTAAAATTTTTTTAACCGTTTCTTTATCGGCGTTTACAGCCTCGGCAATCATCCGGATGCTCATTCGACGATCTGCACGCACAATTTGGTTGATTTTGGTCACTGTTTCCGGAGTTGAAACAGTGACAGGGCGACCTGGGCGCTGGGGCATCTTCAGTGCTCTCTCGGCCCTCACTGAAGCGCTTATACCACTCAAAAACACGTGCACGAGATAGAGAATTTCCTCCATAGACCTCTTGCAACAATTTATAGCACTCGGTCGGAGTTTTTTACAATTTAACGAGAAATTTGAGATTGATACGTTGCTCCTGTTTTTTGGCACGAGAAAAAAACACGTTCGTTTCAAATATAATAGTGACGAAAACGTGTTTTGGTACGTGCATAGATAAGATATCTAGTTACCCAACGCATTACTCGTTTTTTTCACTACCCATCTAAGGCGAGCAGTCTCGTTGTTTAATAGCCACACCTCGTATGCTCCATTAAAATTTTGAGAATAATATCTTTTAAAAATGGCCTATTTTTAAAAGTTTTAAGTGATGAAATAAAAATTTAATTTTTCTCTTCATATGTGTTCCCCTCGCACAAAACCTGATTAAAAAATAAAAAATTAATATTCACAGAATTATTAGCATAAGGATTACACTGTAGGATACTGTATAGTATGGTTAATGGCAACCGCACACATTAAAAAAAAATTATTGAAGGTCATATTTTATTTAAGTTCATAAATAAACGGGCAACAATTAATTGAGTGTTGAGAACTTAATACGTACATACCAATATCTGGATATATAAGAAATATTCTTGAATTTGTTGTAAAAACTACCTATACCAACTGGTGTGTAGGTCAAGTAGTAAAGTACTGATTTTTAGTGTACACTGTACAAACGAGTTCAATTTATCACTAATATATATATAATTAAATAGAGAATGAAGGTGCCTAAATACCTCAGATGCATGAACAGGTCGATTTAAATTGAAAATAATGAGCAAAAATAAATTTTATTTATAAGTACCTACCAATTAATATCGTTACCTACCTAATAGTACCTACATTAGGAAATGTATATCAATTGATATATTTAACGTAAAACGACTGATGAGTGTTCCACGTTAGATCCATCACCCGGTATTCATTTTTTACATTCATGAAAAAAATTAGGTAGGTACTTACTAATCAATAACTAAAAAATAATCCCTAGTAATTAGGAAAAACGTAGGGAAAATGGGAAAATGTACGTACATGTATAAAAGAAACTTCTTCCGAATCGTTTTTTATTATCAATGGTTCATCGTTGGGTACAGATATAAATTAAATTCCCTTCTATGTCATTATACTTTCCCAACTTCTTACTTAACAGTCGACCACTCATCGTGCATAAGGTTTTTTGTTAAGTATTTTTTTTATTATTAAAACGTGGGACAATTTCTTTGGATAGCTACTTCTAAAGTTCTACCATATCGAATTTCGTGTTTTTTTTTTAAATGCAAGTGTTTGGTGTGTAGATCAGACATTTGGTGAGAAAAGTTCCAAAAATATATTAAATAAAGTTTTATTAGAATAATGGTTGTACATGTAGATAGTAAATACGTAACGACGTGCGCTGTAGACCGTACATAGTACCATAGATAAATATAATAATATATACCTATATAATATATTTTTTATAGTACCTATGTTTGGCTGCAGCTGTGTATACGCAAACATGCAAATGATCCTCACTACTTTACTGCTGCGTCGTCGGCGATGTGCGTTAGTAAATTATTGTAAAGTATAGGTATTTACTGCCTGCCGTGTGCATTGTGTATTATAGACTATGCTATGCACACACATGTTATATTAGTGACCCCCACGACTGCATTACTTTTACGTCTACAGCTGCGTTATCACGAGGAAGAACACCGTCTATTCTTTATTTCGTAGTTTAACCCTTAAACAAGAGTGGTTGTAACTGTGTTTTAAACGAAAATTTAATTACATTTGTTTGATTTATGAATTTTCTTACAGGTAACATGGATGAAAAAAAAACAGTTATTAAGTATTATTTAATTTGTTTCTCATAAACAAAAAAGTACCATTTTTATAAAATAGGTAGACTTCCAACAGCTATTGACTGTAATAGGGATAAGGGTGAAAACGGGGAAATCGCTCCCTCCCCCGAAAGCTTTTCTTTACAAAGGTAATAACAAAATAGCTGATATTAATGATGGGTTGTACTGGCTACTCTTATGGATAGATTGCAATTACCATTTAAAAGGGCGGCTAAACTAGTAGCGTAATTACAGTGTTGTTTTGAGGGTACCTATTATCCACTTGCAGAGTTGAACCCAGTTATATGACAGAGGGGAGGTAATGGCATTCCCTGGAATTTTGTTTGCACCTTCCCCTTATTAAATGTGGATATATTAATAATTAAGTAATTCAAATCTTAGATAAGCAAAAAAAGGTCATTACTATAATTTTAGTGATGCCCCCTCTCAGAAAAATTGTTTGGATTCAACACTGTCCACTTAACTCCCTAGAGGCACACTTCTATAATAATTTGTCTCGTATAAGTAAAATAACATATTATATGATATCTAAACATAAAAAGATGTCCTAGGATAATGGGGACGGGTACAGCCACTGTTTGTAAGCAACGATAAACCATTGCTTACGAAAAAACGATTCTGAGCGGAGTTCAGTTGATAGTGATGTTTTGTCAAATATACGCAATACTATAGTAAAATAATTAAATATATTTTCTTTAATATTTGTTTAATGTTGTACCGATAGAAAACCGAGAAGTTTTCCACAGAACAAAAACAAAAAAATAAACAACGTTGTAAAGTTAGTTTTTTCGACCTTCGCTTCACTCAGAATCGAATACATCATGTTTTTTTCGTGATATTATTATAACACATGATAAAAATTTAAGAATTTAAATTGAATATATTAGGTATTTTTGTAATATTGCAACAACATAACAATAACTGTTATCTGTTATACTCATTATTATAAGATTACAGCAGTGTTGAAAATATCATGTAATATATACCAAATATTATAATCATACAACAGCATTATTGTAAACTGAAATGTTCATTGTCAGTCCATATTTTCTTATACAACCTATAATTATTAGTTCGTGTGAATTATTGCTATCTATTATTAAATTTGTTCATTTTATAATCATTTATTTATAAAAATCAAAAAGTCCCATTAAGCTTCATCGCTTTAGGGTGATCTACACTGGGACAACAATTTATTTTATTTTAGATCAAAAAAACTCAAAATAATATAATTTAGTTTAAAATATTCAATTAAATTAACTGCTTCTTCCATCTTTTCTATAACCTGTCTCACGAAAGGAAGGCAACGTCTCGTTCATGCCGACAGAGCTTCACACCACAGCTATCGAATCCCCTCACACGTCGTTAACTCAATTGGGGAGCTCGTAAAAATCTAGAACGTACAATTCTTGAAAATATAAATCTAGAAAGTGCAAATCTGGAATCTAGGGTTATACAGATATCGGAATCTGAACCGTACAAATCGGGAATGTACAAGTATATATATATTATAAATAAGTTCCCCCCACCCATTCGCATACTCTACTTTCCTTGTAACTTACCGATTTTGGCGACGGGGACACTAATAATTTCTATACCTATTACCTATTTTAAAATTATAAAATACACTGAAATATGAATAAAATCAAAAATATAGAGAAAATGAATATTGGGAAACGTCTCCCCCCATTAGCTAATACACCGGTGTTCACTATTCAGAGGAGATTTAATATGGAATTTTAAGTTTTCGTTCGACCGTTCCTAAAAAGATTCCTCAATTTCGAGGCGTTATATCAATGTTTTTATTTCTTGTATTTTTAAATATCTACCTTATAATAATATTAAAATAATAAGTATAATGTTGCAATAATACAATATCAACCTTGCCACAATATTGCAATTACATTATAAGATATTTTTAAAACGATAAGTACAATGATAGGAACTGAGTACATTGTGTACAGAATTATCTACATCATGAATTATGATATATATGGATACCATAAAATAATAGTTAAAAGTACTAATGTTTGATTTATTTTATTTTACTTTATTAAAAATAATTTATACGGATTTAATCAAGTCAAATAACAAAAGTTATACAATAAAATATATGTTAAATTAGTTACATATTCTTTATAAATTAACATATTTAATGCATTATAGTTGAGGTCCAAAAACAGTTTAAGTATAATACTACAATAGTATTTATTTATTACTTATAATTACAAACTAAGGTATCTTAGTAATAGTTATTTACCAACAGGTAAATAGGTAAACTATTAACGGTTATAATAACTCGTAAATAGGTATCTAACTATTATATTTTATGTAATATATTGTTATAATTTGATTCCTATAAATTCTATAATTTTTTACCATAAAAAAAAAAAAAAAAAAACCGTAATTCATAATTAATAAAACTAATTAAATTTTTGCATCAAAAATACCAAAAACTCTGTGTGACCAGCTAAACCTAACTTTCTTGAAAGTGAATTTGAGAAGGTATGTGTAATATAAATTGCCGGAAAAAAATAACATAGAAGTACCTATGATAAAGGAAAAAATTCTTTACCAATAATTTTTTTCTTGCTCAATCAACTGTCGATATTTAAAGTGTTGGCTGATTTCATTATTAAAAATAATCTATTTGATACACTAAGTTTTGGGGGAAAGAATAGCTTCATTTAAATAAAATATACATATTATTCTATAGATATTGCACTGAAAAAATAGAAACGTCCAAGTAGATGGTTTTCAAGTTATTTTACTATTCTAAAAATAATTTAAAGCTGTATATGAAACAGCTCTATTTATTGTTCAAATTCAAAATCGTAATAGTTTTTACTAATACCTACATTTCGTAAATTTTCCCATTTATTGGTTAAACTCTTGGGAAAATCAAAAAATGACTTCTCTAAAGTAGGTACCACCCCAGAAAAATTCCTTTGTAGAAAAAGTGCTATACAAGATACTTGATACTTAGGAGCAAGATTTCTGGTAGAATTTGTATATATAGTATAAAAAGAATAAATAAATAAATAAATATCTTTATAAAACCAATATATTTTTTGTTACACTCAGAATTTAAAGTATAAGGAAATTTTGATGGGAAGATACATATTTTGTATTTTCATTAAAATTTAAACTTTCACTTAGGTATATCAAAACAATTTTATAATCACATAATACCGAATAAAATTCTAAAAAACTCTAACATTCTAAATGCCTATAGCTGAAAAATTGGTAGAATAATTTGCTAAAAATGTACTGCTTAAAAAAAGCTGTAGATAAGAGACTAGGTACCGTTCCGACCTCTACAGTTGTTTTTCATTTAATAAACAAAATAGAATACAATAGAAACGGTTTATATGTAAGTATAACAGTTATAAGTTTTCCCTAAGTTTTTTCTTAGTTTTTCGTCATAATTAGCAATGCTACAAAAGAAATCAAAAAATAACCTCATTACACCAAAGAGACGAAAATTTTTTATTAGAAACCAATAAGATTTCTGGTTGGAAAGGTGTTCACATACAGAAAAAAAAAGATGTCCTATGATAATGGAGACGGGTGCAGCCACTGTTATAGATAATTTAATATATATCAGTAACTAATGATAAACTATAGCTAACGAAAAAACAATTCTAAGTGCAGTTCAGTTGATAGTGATGCATTGCCAATAATACATATATATCATATTATGATAAAATAATTAAACAGGCATTTTATGTTTGTTTAATATTGTACCGATTTGCCCGGTTTTCCACATTTGCTGGGAAAATTGAAAAATTACCTCCCTAAAGTACTTTTCCAGTCAGATTTCCTTTCAGAAAAAGTGCTATCATCTTAAATAGGAGCAAAATTGCTAGTAGAAAAGTTGTGTCCAGAAAAATGCTATATTTTTTTACTAATACCTAAATTTCGTAAATTTTCCGTTTTCGACATTTAATCCTGATTTTCTCCAGATATTATGAAAACCACTTAAAAAATTACAAAAATGACTTTCCTAAATTATCATGGAGATAAAATTTCCTTTCAGAAAATAAGCTACACTTTATACATCGGAGCAAGATTTCTGGTAAAAAAGTTTGCACAACGAATCGAGGGGTATTTTGTGAATAAAATAATCTAAGGAAGCAATAACTTGGATCTCTAGGTACATTCAAATGCATTATTTTCCCTTTGTTTAAGTAAAAAGGAAAAAAAATGCAAACAACTTGTTTTGAAACTCAGGTTTGAATACGTGACCTCCTAGGATGTCAATAGGAATTAATAGACTACATATTATTTAATTATTGAAGTTTGACAATATATAGTTATTTAACATGACATAGAATATCCGTATAATACTAGAACTTCAAAAAGCTATAATTTATCATAAAATGTCAGTCCACTCAATTCTTACTTCACCATTGTTCTTTAATCGGCAATATGTTATATGTTTAAAACAAAAAATTAAAAAATTAGGTTTGTTCCACATAATTTTTTACTTAAAAGATTTTCATTGAAATTTGATATTAAAATTCCTCTAAAAAAATAATATTACATTAAACTCAATATTCTTTTTTTTACCACAAATAAGACTTTTAATGAACATCCTATTGAATTTTCACGCATTTCTGTTTAATTTAACAATTGTATGGAGGGCTATAATTTGTTGGAAAGTATTTTGTTGTTACTATATTATACTGGAAAAATTAATTTATGCAGATGACATCGGTATTGTAAAGCAGGGAAAAACATTTGAAGAAATAAAGTATAATCTTGGTAAAGATCTCGCAAAAATTCAAAAATATTTAAAAACCTGGTATCTTATTCTGAATGCTAGTAAGTNGTGAATGGGGAAGTTATACCAAATGAAGACTTCCCCAGATACCTAGGAGTAAAGTTGGACAGAGCCCTTACTTTCAAACCTCACCTGGAAGGTCTAAAAAATAAATTAAAAACGCGGAATAACATAATATCAAAACTAGCAGGTACAACCTGGGGTTATAAAGCAAATACTTTACGCACCTCAGCCATGGCGCTCGTGTATAGTGCAGCAGAGTACTGTGCGCCAGCTTGGACAAGGAGCACTCGCAGTAAAAAAATCGACATGCAGTTAAACCATACCATGAGAATTATCTCAGGAACGGTAAAAAGTACTCAAATACAATGGCTCCCTGCTCTTGCAAACATTGCTCCTGCTGACCTGAGAAGAAAAGCAGCAACCCACTCCTTGTTAAATAAAATTAAAAAAAACCCAAACCTCCCAGTATACGAGGACATTTATCAACACCCAGTAAAGAGACTTAAGTCTAGAAACCCAATGTGGATCGATATTGAAACAGAAGTGAACACAGAGAACCAATGGAAAAGCCGCTGGAAGGATGCTGAAGTAAAAAATGCTGAGTTGGTAGTAGATCCTACCCAGAAACTCCCAGGATTTGACTTTCCATGATCATTATGGACTACAATAAATAGAATAAGAACTGCTAATGGTAGTTGCAATCATTTACTTCATAAATGGGGCATGAGTGAGTCACCTCTTTGTAGCTGTGGACATATCCAAACAACGAAGCATATAGTTGAAACATGCCCCTTAACTAAATGTTTGAGAGGTATACATGAAGGCAGTGCAAACGCGATTAAATGGNCACGATCATTATGGACTACAATAAATAGAATAAGAACTGCTAATGGTAGTTGCAATCATTTACTCCATAAATGGGGCATGAGTGAGTCACCTCTTTGTAGCTGTGGAAATATCCAAACAACGGAGCATACAGTTGAGACATGCCCTTTAACTAAATACAATGGGGGTTTGAGAGGTATACATGAAGGCAGTGTAAACGTGATTAAATGGCTGGAAAATTTGATTATTCGCCTATGAAACAACTTAACCCAATAGTTACCAAATTCTTAGTCTTTAGTTTCTTGTCACCGTTTTTATTTATTTACCTATTTACTTATTACTTATTTATTATTGCTATTATTATTTATTTATTTATTTATTTATTTAATTATGCCGAAGTCATATGCTTATATATATACCGGAAAAATAAATCGTCAGAAAATTTTTTTTTGTTACAGTATTTTGTTAGAACTGTTCAATATAATTTAATTAATAAGCACTCCATAACTGCATGTCATCTTCATTGGGTAAAAATTATTTTTTCGAAAAAAAAAACTTTCTTATAAAATACAGTTCCGACGAATTACTAACATCCTGTGTTTCAGTTAATAATTGTATTCCAAAATCAGATTTCTCAGAATATCTACTGGCAACAAAAAAAATGGTAGTTGAAAGAATTGCTGGAAAAGTTTGAATCAACAGAATTATGGGAAATTGTCAGGTTGTATTGGTGGCTTCATATAGCCCGTATGGTTTTTGAACAATGTGATGTCTTGAACGTCAGAATCTATTAATTTTTTGACAGATTAAGCAAGGAGAATAAGCTTTTGGAAACTATAAAATGTATAAAGTTAGTTATCAGAAACTTTTTACTTGTGTGTACGATTGAGACAGTAGTAAAACTTCAGCATCTAAAACAAACATAATAATCATTAGTAATTATTTAATTTCATCATTAACCATGATAAAACCATCAAAAATTATGTATATTGCTAATATTTGTAGCAGTAAATAGCTAAATTGCTACGAATGTCTTATTTTCAAAATAATAATAATAAAACAAAATAGTAGGCATATAAAAAATAACAAAAAAAAAATTTAACTTAATTGTAACGGTGAACAAAAATACAAATTGATATATTGAATCGCATATTCAACATTGACAACTGTATATTATCAGAAATTTATATGATTATGTTTTTTTCAATTATATAGATAAATATATTATATTATTGATTTTGTTGATTTTGGAAACTTAGCTCTGATTTCATAATATTCAATAATTATTAAAATTTATTAAATTCTTTAAATGTATACTTACCTTCTCAAGTGTTCTACCCTTATGCTTCGTAATAGACAGACCTGACAATTTCACATAATTTTGTTAATTCGTACTCGTCCAGTAATCCTTTCAACGACCATTTTTCGATACCGGTAGACATTCCAAAAAAATAGATAATTGTGTTGTTATCACAATTCACAAGAAATAATGTAAATAATACATCCACATTTTAATATTAATACCTGTGTATTGCCAAAAGCCAATTACCATTACTAAAAACTACTAAAGGTAAGGCTTTGGTACCTAAGATCGTAACCAAAACGTAAAGGTGAAAAATAATTAACTTCTGATAGTAGTTACTATTTTTTTCATAGTTCATGTTATAATATAGTTAAAACGTTTAAGAATAACGTGCTCTTCCGACCGCCATCGATTCTGTTGTCGATGTGACCGTAAATCAGCTGACATGCATATAACCATAGATTGAATTTTAAATCGGAGCATGTTAGACATTAAATTTTTTCGAGGGAATGGCATAAAAAATTAATGCAAATCAAATATCAACAAAAAATAAATAATTTATATATTTGATAGGCATTTGAGACGAGGTAGGTACACATTTATTTTTTGTAGAAAAGTAAGGAATTTTACATTTTGTCTAAGTGTGATACTAAGTTGGAAATACTATTGTGAACTTGTAAATTCGTGTTAGTTGCATTGTATAAATGTATTTGTTGTTAAAACTTGATTATCATTTAATTGTTAATTTTTGTAATATAAAATTTATTTCTAATTATATATCTGTTACATTTTTTTTTTGTTTTTTACCTACATTTACCATAGATTAATCTATATGCTTTTATCCAAGTCCACAGTTATAGATGAAGATAAACTGTGGTTCGTGATCCGAGGTCAAGTGTAGATAACCTGTAAAAAAACTAGAAAAATAGACTTATTTTACGTATGTGCTAAAATATTCCCTTATCAAGTATCAATGCACAATATTAATGAAATAGATATATTATAAAGATATTGACAAATTGTGAACAACATAATATATTCATATTAATTGGTATGTTCTATTCATTATTTATGGTATTTTTAATACCTAGTATGCAAATATAGTTGTATATTTCTTATACAAGGTTTTAATCGTTTGGTGTATTTTTTATTTACAGAATTCTACCTTTATCAACATTGCTAAACTAACTAAATAACATAATATTATAGTTACCCAATAAGTTCAGTAAATTAATTTTTAATTTAAGTTTTAAATTTAAATTAAATTTTTTTTGGAAAAAAAAATGGAAACATGGTTAATTCAATCTATATGGATTGCTGTTTTTGGTTTTCTCAAAGAATTTCGACCAGAAGATCCTTACATAACTCAATATTTGACTAATCCACCAATGAATTTTACAAATGAAGAAGTAAGTTTATTTTCAATTTATTTGCAAAATGTGTGATATCTAAAATAAATGAAATGTTATATATATTAAATAGGTATTTATTATAAAATTATTTATTTAGAATAATTTTAATATTCCAATATTATACAATTGATTTTGACAATTTTAATGATTAAATTAATCAATAATAGAAATTTTATTAATTTGAAACAAACAATAATTTATACAATTTTACAGATAATATAATATAATTATGTTATTATTTTTAATTTATTAATGTTATTAATCAATGAAATAAAACTTGACAGTAATCATTTTTTAATGAGTAATAATTATATGAGATAACCTATATTTATCATAGTTTATTTAGTTAAAAACGGGACTTTATTAAATGCATTTAAAATTATTAATTTGCCTGTTATCAAATTATTAATGTTACCAATTAATTATTAAATTAAATATAGTTTTTAATTCATTAGGATTGTTTATGTAATCATTATTTTATTTATTTTTTTAATAGGTAAACCAAGAAATATATCCAGTTTCAACATATACGTGCCTTGGACTTACAGTTATTGTATTTTTGGTTACTGATTATTTACGTTACAAACCAATTATTGTATTAAATGCTGTTTCAAGTGTTATTACACAAATATTTTTGATTTTTACTCGAACTAAGACGGACATGAAGGTAGGCGAGCAAACATAATAACTTAAAAACCATTGTTTATTAATTATTATTGTTATATTAAAATGCCCCAAGGTGTACATTTTATTATAAAGCAAAATAAAATAAATAAATAATATGATTATAAATAGCAATTTAACTTAATATTATATATATATATATATAGAAAATAAAAATTGTTTTAAATTCTAAAGGAAAGTTTTAATATATTTGTTAAATTTAATTGAAAAATTTAAAATATATCTATTTCTAATGGAGTATTTGTTTGGTATAGATCATGGAAGTCTTTTATGGTACTATGATAGCTTGTGAAGTTCCATATTTTACATATATTTACACTAAAGTAGATAAAAAGTATTTTAAAAAAGTATCCAGTCATATGAAAATGGCATGTCTTATAGGTCGACTTGTTTCGGCTTTGCTTGCTCAACTACTTATCGATAACCACATATTAACAGTGCCACATTTGAATTATTTAACACTTTTTGGTAAAATATTTTAAAGAATTCAATTAAATTATTAGTTGACTAAACATTTTTATTTTATCACAGGTGCATGTGCATCAGTATTATGGGCCATTGGATTACCTCCAGTTAAGAATAGTCTGTATTTTCATAAAAGTCCTGAACATACTCATATAAGAGATATCAGTACAGGTATAGTACTTTAAATTTTATATAAATACAATATTAATATTCTTTGCTTAATATTTTGATTCATTTTGTAAGCTTGAGTTATCTTATAACCATAAAAATAAAATGCATCTATTTTGTAATATTATATACTCTAAGTAATTATTTAGGCGATGCTTTCAATTTGTAACCTTAAATAATTTTATTATACATAGTGTTCTATAAAGTAAAGCAAATTGCTGTAGATATTATTGTACGCTATTTATTTTATAAGCCTATAACGAAGTAATAGGCATTACATTACATTTTAATATTACTTTCTTTTTATTTTTATTTCAAATTTGAATATAAGTTTTGTTAGAAAAAAAAAAAATATTTAACTATAGTTCAATATTGTTTAACGTAAAAAAAGCTGTTGATATGATTTGAAAAAATTATTTCTAAAACTTAATACAATAAAAATTTAAAAAATTCAGTGGCAATCATTTAAATGAATATAAAACAATATTATGGAACTCATATACTATCTACATTGGAAACATACCTAACGCAACCACAATTCACATCATCCCATTCGGGGTTTTTTTTACGTCTGAAAATGACTTTATTAATTCTTATTATTGTTATAACGGAATGTTGGAAAAAAAGCCCTGAACAGGATAGAGTAGATTAAATGTTCTGTATTGGCAGACTATATATGTACGTATATGTGTATAGATGTTTTAAAGGCTAAACGCATCTGGTGGAAAGGTTAAACTACAAAATAAATATAATAATTAATATTTATAACAACAAAATAAAAATAATGTATTAAGTATGAAATATTATTGTTGAAACTCCTTATTGAAAAATATTACTAAGTAAAATAATTATTATGTTACATTATTCTATTGACTACTAGATTAAGGGGATTGGAAGCGGTGATTTTCTATGTTTGTCTTACATACGTACAATATAGGTATTTAAATGTGTTCTATTTTCTTTATACCAATTGGTCTAAAAAAGCTATAAGAATAGTGAAAGCAGATTTGAATTTGTTTTCAAGTCTACTTGAGATTGACTTTTCCACTCTTTTTATTTCAATTTCTTCCAAAATTAAATATTCCATTTTTTTAAATTACTCTGTTTTTTAGGATTTAGGAGGATAAAACCAAACAATTAGGAAAGTCGATTTCAAGTAGATTTGATGGAAAATTCAAATCTGTTTTCAAAATTCTTATTGCTTCACTAGAACAATCTGTATGTTAGAAATGTAGTCCAACAGATGTATTCGATGTAGTTTGATAAATACATTTCAATAGTTCTTAAAAAAACTAATTTGAATTAGTTAGTTACTGATTAATATAAATTATTATTTCTTGAATGAAGTAGTCGTTAGGTGTGGTTACCAAACTTTAGCCCAAAATAAAGTGGTCCTATGCTTAATTTTTAAAAGAAGTTTGATCAAAGCCTAACCTTAACATAGGGCTTAGCACCATTGATTGTACCAACCGAAATGAACATACTTTCATATTTTTGATTGTATTATTATTCTTTACTTTTTAATAGGGTTTTATTTTTTTTAAATTACACTCTTCTTAATTAAATAAAACATTAATTTTAGTTTTAATTAATATTACTGAGAAGAACAAATGATTGCACTTTTATAAATTAATTTTTAATTATTCATTTTAACTTGGTTTTTTGTGGTAGAAATTATATAATCGTAACTTCATGAGTATTTAGGAAAAAATGTTAGTGAAAGAACATTCTCTGAATTTAGTAAATTGTATACAAACATTAGAATATATATTTTAATTATTTGTCTATAACTTTATTAACTTTTAAACTAATTTTCATTTATTACAGTTTCTATTCCCAAACTTACATTCTCTATAGTTTTATTAAACTTAATTTCAGGTATAAATGTGTAATAATAATACTAGTTTATAGTTATAATTAAAATAAAAAATAAAAAATAATAAGAACAATTATAAGAATATAAAAAATGTATTATATAAATTATACTGATTAATTATAATATTCACTAAGTGGGTAGCTATATTTTAATATTTTACATTTCTTAAGATAAATGTTGTAATTATGTATAGTTTTTTTTTCTAATTGTTTTCTGCTTGCTTACTTAAAACTAATTTAGTACTTTATTTTTATTAAAACTATTAATTTTTAACACTAATTTAGTTTTGAAAAATATTTAGTGAAATAAAACTAAATAATATAATAATTGTTAATAACGAATGTATAAAATATTTGATGTATGATTATTTATTTTGAAAAAAATATCAAAGCTTTAAAAACAGAATTTTATATTATATTAGTTTATCCAAAAATATGTAAACTGATGCAATAAAACATTTATTTCAAATACATTTTGATAAATAAAATTAATCCTCTTCAAAGTAACCTCCAATGGTTGTAATTAAATAAAATTGTTCTATCTATATTTGCATTGTTTAAAACATCCTTATACATCATGAGAAATTAGGCACTACAGTTTCCTTGTCAATTTGTATTTTGTGGTTTTCAGTGCTGTGTTCACGTGACCATTTTTAATTTCGGAAAAAAAAATAAGTCACTCTGATGAGTGAGGGAGTGGTAAAGTGTATAATGGAATTATGAACAAGAATTCTCAGTTTCTTTTCAGATTTTGCTTTAGAAACAGTAGCTTTGAAATGTTTGTTGTACACAATTTTCTTAATCCAAATCTTGTGTCAAAATTGTGTTCATAGATGATTTTTTGATGTTCAACTCATCAGTTATCATCTGAAAAATCATTTTTTACTTAAAAAGCATGAGAGACTGCGCACGTTCAATGTTTTTGTTGCCACTTAAAGTGAAAGGACATCTTGATCTCATATTGTTTTTATGCCCCTCCTTAATCAATTTAAAAATTTCTGTTCTTTTTAGTATGGTGTTTCCATTAATAGTGTTTGATATTTTATTTGAGCTTTTCAAAATTTCACTTAGAATTTTATAAATGCAAGTCACGTTTTACATTTTGACTTTGTGATTTATTTGATAATGAATTTTCAATTCGAAACCGGTCGTACAATACACTTATCTTAATACTCCAGGAGACGTATTCATTTATTTAATTATTTACTTCTACATATGAATTATTTATTTATATATTTATTCATGAGCATTTAATAATTTTGTTTTTACTTTATTATTTTATTAAAAATTGTATGTTAACTTATTGTTTTGTTTATTCATTAATTTCTTTCATTGATAAAGAGAAAAATAAAGTTGAACTAAAATGTCTTTAACTCTACTCTTCCCTCAGCTGATACTTAGTACTATAATAGACCAACTAGTGAGAACAGTTGTATCCTCACCACAAATTGCTGTAGAAAACCAATTCGCAAACTTTTTGGACAGACTACGTACCTACATTATCCACAAAATAAACCCTTCTGAAATTATTTTGTTATTATTAATATGTTATTTTATATGTAAATTGGTGTGTGTATATTTAATATATATTGCATGCCCTGTATATAAGCACTGAGCAGTGACAGCATGAATGGGTATTCTATGATGTAGTTGCATTATGACCAAAGATATTTGGGTGGGTAGTATATGTAGCATAATATTAATGGAAAACCTAAATTTGTTATAATCTATGGAATCGTGGGTGGTAGTAATATTGAAAAAGTATGTCTTGCATTATAGATTGAAGTTCACGCTGCCACTGTAGAGTATATTAATACAAATTTAAATAAGAACTAATATTAAAAAACATCATTGATAAGGCCTTGAGGGTTATGGAGTTTGACTAACATGGTGATTTGACTATATATTTTTTTCAGATTAGGTTATATATTTTTTAGTATATTATATGTATTTAAATACATTTTTGCATTTATGAAAACGTATTATGTATATAAATATATATCATTCATAGATGTTAATGCATCCATACCTAAAACTGTGTGTCAAATACTTTGGTCGGACTTCATCACTGCTTTCACAAACCGCTATGTTCTTCAGTGGTCCATCTGGTGGGCTTTAGGCACATGCTTTTATTACCAGGTTCGGATTACTTTTGTAATAATCAAATTTAGTAATTTATATGAAATAAGTCATATTTATATTGGGGAAATTTTTTGAATACATTTTTAAAATATTTATTGCATATTAAAAAAATCAATATTTTTGATTTGGTCCATTTTATTGTGAATTTTTCATACAAATAAAAAAAAAAACGAATCTTATTAAATATTTATTACAAAAAAGGTGCATAGTTAAGATAAAAATATATATAATTTCAATGTTAATCCTAATTATTAATAGAGTAGATCTTAAAACTAGCGATGTGGCATTATCCAGATTACTAGAAAGTCCTGTTTTCGGATTCAAAATTACAAAATTTGAGTTTGATTGTTTAAAATCTATCATATTATTTAATTGCATATTTATTATGCTTCCAAAATGAGTATTAAATTTAAAAAAAAAAAAAGTTTTGCATTTATAAAATTTATATTTTATAGATAAAGGGTGATATTTTAACCATTATGGAATCAGTTAAGCTTTATTTTAAACCCATTTTTCATTTTTTACACTATTCCATATATTTATTTAAGGTCTATGGAGTAGGATAAAAAATAAAAAATGGTTTTAAAATAAAGCTAAACTGATTCCATAATAATTAAAGAAAATAGACATTAAATTCACTTAAAATTCATTGAGAAAATTGTTGGTTCATGATTAAAAAATCACTCTGTATATATTATACAAAAGAATCTGGTTTATCAAATTTTGGAAAATTCCAATTTTTCCCACTACTACTATAAACATAAATGTAGACTTGACTATTGTATACATATTAGGGTTAAAATCAGTAGTGCGCGCAGGATTTTTTTTGGGAATGGTTTTGTAAGGATAGCACATATGATCAGTACAATATTATCACTATTATTACTGAATAAATTATTTTTGATGAAATCAAATGTAATTTTATTCTGTGATATACCATATAATGTTGTTGAAATAAAACTTGATTTACAAAAATGTAGTGAAGGAAAACATTTTGGAGGGGATTATAACCCCCTGACCCCCTCCCCCTATGTGTGCGCCACTGATTAAAATCTTATTTTCTATTTGTAAATTATGTAAAATATTTAATAAATTTGAATAGTATAAAAAGAAAAATGGCATGTAATGTGTACAGTTTTTAATAATTATCACTTTTATTGGACATGTATTTTTTTTTTTTTTTGTATTTTATAGATGATAGAGAATTTATATGAAGATTTATATAATGTAGAAATAATAAAAATATTTAAATTGTATGTTGAATATTCCAAAAAAAGGTTTGAAATCTATACCAGTGGTTTTCAAACTAGGTGTCCGTGCCACACTAGTGTATTGTGAGCATTCATTAGGCGTGCCAAGTCTTTTGAAATTTGTTTTCCTTAAATTGTGATTAACCACCGGTTATGGTGATCCAATCAGTTAGTGTGAAGTCTTAACTCTTTTGATTATGTTTCGTTTGAGTATGACTCGTCAATTTTGTTCTTAGTTTTAATTTTGTGTAAAAAAGTAAACAATGACAAAACAAAAAAAGGTCACACTGTGCCATGAAAATGTTGTAAAAAGTGAAGTATGCCGTAGTCAAAACAATTTGAAAACCACTGATTGACAATGTGTCAATTTGAGAGTTGGAAAGTTAATCATTTTAGGATTTTTTTTCTTTGTTAAAAGAATCCTTAAATTGTTTACTATGTATTTGTACCTACAACTTAACCTTTGATATTTTTAGATTCTGGCTGTTAATAACTTTTTTATCAGGAAATTTTGATCCAATTAACAAATGAAAGCCTTTTTGTGTAATTTTAGATGTAGTTGGTCCGTAGGAGAGGACATTTTCGATTTTGAATACTTATATTAAATTTATTGGAAGTGGTAAAATTTTCAAAACAGTTTGGCGATTTTTGAATAGCACAATTTTGATTTAAGAAAATAAATACACAACCTACCAAATAATTTTGTTAACTATTGTAGTATAAAATATCAAAATAATATGTCTAACGAAGTCACTAAAATTCTGAACAATAATACAAATAATGTAAAAATCGCTTTTAAGACTAATAATAATTTAATCAAACATATAAACTAAATTAATAGAACTAAAAGCTTCACAAAGAAATCCCCCTTCTTTTGAAAATGCTTGTATGTATAAACTTAATTTAACTGTAACAAATTTGATATAGGTAAGATAAATAGAAATTTTAATATAGGATATAAAGAACACATTACTGAGATATAATTAGAAAAGACTTCCCCTAATTAAAATTTCACTAAACATGTTTTAAAAAAATAACCATAATATAAGCTTTTATATTAATATAGACTTAGAAATATTATTAAATACCCAAAATAACATTTACATTAATTCAGTTTTAGAAGAATTGTATACATACAATGAAATAAAGAAAAATGATTTATATTTCTTAACATATATATATCTAATAATAACACATTTTAAATAATCTTTACTATTAAAATAAATTATTTCCATACAAAATGACTAATTTGTATAATTTTTTTTCTATGTATTCTTTCATTTAATTTTATATATTTCGCGTTTTACATTTGATATACCCGATTTTTAATTCAAAACTGGTCGTGTGATACACTTATCATAATACTCCAGGCGACGCATTTATTCATTTTTTATTTTTATATATTTCTTTACGAGCATTAACCATTTTAATAATTTTGTTTTTACTTTATTATTTTATTGCCTATAATTTGCTCAAAAATAGACAATTTTTCCACATCTAGTAAAAAAGTTATTATAAATATTCTGAGTTAATGTAATCCTCCTCAGTAAATTTTTTAATTTATAATAAAAAACAAAAATCGGAAATAACCATTAATGGCTTAACTTTCCTCGTATTTCCTACGTTTTTTTCCTAGGTTTTGCCCATCATTATCATAACTATTTAGAAAATCAAAAAATTACTTTCTCATTAATTAACTTGATCAAAAATACAATATAAAAGGTCTCTTGTCATTTTTCAATTATAGTAAGATTTCTGGTAGAAAAAGTAAAGTATAAAAATTGAAAATTATGAGATTGATAACGCCGTACCGTAAATATTAAGTCAGTTTTCCTGATAATTTTTGTTCTAGTTATTGAAATTATTAAAACCCCTATGAAAACCCCTTAGAAAATCTTAAAATTACTTCTTTAATGCAACAACTAGGTCTAAAATGCAATAATAAAGGTCTATTATCATTTTTTATTTGAAGCAAGATATGGTAGAAGAGTTGACACAAAAATAAAAAAAACACGTCATAGGAAAATTAATAAGTCCTTTGCTATGCTCATAATTTAAAATTCTATGATTCTAAAAATTTTAAAATTCTATAATGAAAATTATCAAGGTGGAATGTGGGTAATTATTAAAAAATATTAAAATAGTGTTCAAGTTTTAAGATTAAATAAAGAGTGTTTATAATATTAAATTGTATTTAATGTATAACTAATTAATTAATGTTATGGCATTACAAATATGTGTTTGACTTATATATCTTATTTCATTTATGAGTTAAACTGTTTTAAATTTGAAAATCAATATTTGAGTCAAGGTTTGTTTTCTAACTTTACATATTATGCATGTATATGCATACATATTCACCAAATATTTATATTTAATGAATAAAAAAAATATTGTCTAAAATAAAATTTTGTTTTATCTAAAATTTTTAAATAAGATACAGAAAGTAAAAATAGTCATTTGAAATTTTCCTATAGGTTTTTTAAAAGTAATGAAACTAAAAACGAGTAAAATTTATAGAACACACATTAAAAAATTTATATTCTATAGAAGAGTGAATTTATTGCTGAAATGCAAATTATGACATTTGTTTTCTACAATGATTTAAAACATTAATTTGAATTTGTTTGAAATATGTTAATTTAGTTTATGTCGTATGCTCAATCTTTATTTCAAGAAATATTCAAGGATGGCACAGATTTGCAAGTAACTGATAATGGAATTGTTGAGGCTGTTTATACAGTTATAAGTATGTATAATACTTACAATTGGATGACATATTTTTAAAAATAATGAATTAATAATTTACAGGACATGCCTTTAAGTAATTTAAGTAAAGAGTAAACTCTTGACTTTAATTTAACTGTTAAAACATTAATATAAAAATTATCGAGCTTTTATAATTGTTTATATTATATACTAATATAATTTCACAGTAAAATATAAATTACAAGAATAAAATATAATTTTATACAAAATGTTTGATAGTTTATAATTCTTATTTTATACTCAGTTTCTAGTGCACTTTGGTAATATAATTATCAATGTCAGTTCATATAATTGTAATTTTATAAACTCATGAATTAAATTCTAAGTAAATTATTATTTAATGATTACTGATTGTCTAATGTAATATTTATACATTTTAATTATTAGGTAACTAAAATATTAGATGAAACTATTAAATTTTCTGTTTTATTAGTGTTTATTTTATTAATAAAAATTATTTCTAATGTGGCCCTATTAGAATTTGTAAGTAATATCAATATATTTTTTAAGGTACACTGGGAGTTTATTTGATTAGTATTATAACAGTGCCTAGTTGGTGGTTGGTGGGTATACTAACTCTATGCCAAAGTGTGATATTGTTGATAATGGCTCAAGAAAATTTATTATCACACGCATATGTGGGTTATATACTTTTTGGAACATTTTATCACATTATGGCTACTACAGCTTGGTAAGTATAAATCTAACATTATTCCATAATATATATTTTTCAATATGTCAATTAATAATTTATTGTTTCTAAAAAATTTAATTATTATGAATACATATAATATATTTGGTATATTTTAATATATTAGTTACTGTTTTTTTAGTTGTGAAGTAGCCAAAAATATTCCACAAGACAGTTATGCATTAGTGTTTGGAATTAATATATTCATGTCACTATTACTACAAACGTGTTTGACAATAGTTGTTAATAGTCCAATGGGATTGATGTTAAACATTAGAGCACAAGTAAAGTTATTATTAAAATGTATTAATTTTAATATTAAATTAATAACTAATGGTATACTGAGTGATCCATTTAACTGGGTACACTCATTATTTTGAATAGTTTTAACTTTTTTCGTGATTTGTTTTCTAAAACATTTAAGAAACAAGTAGCTCTAAAATTTTATATTCATATTATTTTTTGAGGGTAAAACTACTATCTAATTTTGATTTTTAAATGGCAACCTATATTAAAATATCCATAAATAGATGGAGTATTAGTTAAAATAAATTTGAGTGTTGAAATTTTTTATTTCTGTCAAGCGATTGACAATATATTACCACTACTCTCTTCCAATCTAAATTTGTGCATTCAGATATTGAGTTTGAGATTATATTAGCTTTACTTTTGTATATAACTCAACATTTAACTAATATTCGATTATACATTGTATAATATATACTTTTAATTTGGACATTTTGGTATCAGGAACTTGAGATATTTATAAAGGATAAGTATATTTTATTGAATTAAGATCCATATATTTATCATTTTACTACTTAATATTTTATTTCCATATAGTTTGTTAGTTATTATAAACATTTTTTAAATCTTTTTATAGTTTTATGTATATGGTCAAAGTTGTTTAATAATTGGAGCAGTATATACTATCAAAGCATTGTGGTTTACATTGTCTAGGAGAAGAAGACATGTTATGTCTATTACCTAAAAGTGAAACAATTTAAAACTAAGAACTTTAATTATTAACTAATTTAATCATGATTATTATTGTATGTTTTATATTTGTATTAAAAAATGTTAAATATTAAAATTAAAACAGTTTTTTTTATTATTTTTTTATAGTTTTATTAATTTCTATACTTGCATAATAGAAACATACAAGTATTAACAATGCAACATTTGTATTTAGTACCATTTTTTGAAAATGCTCAAAATATTCTCTTCGCATTCTGTTACAACAAACAAAAACTGGTATGTAGTTTATATTTTCATTTTCAAGGTAAAATATTATCGTAAAATAAACTGAGAATCAAAAAAAATTTACTTCCTCACAAATTTATTATTATTTAATTATTGTGGAAAAATATGTATTAGTTTTACTAAACTGTGTGCTTTTTTTAAATTTAAGTTTTGTTTTTCTATCTATAAACATACAATTGATCAAACTGAAAATATACCAAGTTCTACAATATATCATATAGTACTAATTAACCTACAAACAAATTTATTGCTGATTTATTATTGAGACAAATTTTTATTACAAAAAACCGTTCAATTTATCATAATATATAGGTATATGAAATTTTGCACAGGGTTTACATTACTAAGGTTATTTTTAAAAGTAAAATCAAAATCCAAATCAATAATTTTTTGGTATACAAGATTCTAGGTAATATCTGAATGATAAAATGTGATGCAAAAATTGATAATTCAATACAGTGACCAAATGTATTTTCACCGTTGCTGTAAAACTCATAGTATAAACTCAGACTTAGATCAATAGATCATATGTCTTATGATACATAGATAAAGTTGTGTTTTGATAATTTGAAGATTATAAGAGACGGATTGCGTGGACAAGTATTTACATCTGTACGCAAAGATAAACCATTGCTAAGGAAAAAAGGATTCTGAGTACAGTTCAGTTGATAGTATTGCTTTGTTAACAATATATATATATCATATTATGGTAAAATGATTATAATAATTTGATTTTCCATGACACCAATGATTGTTTAAAAAAAGATTTAAAATAATAAAAACTTAATAATAACAATAAATAAATAAAAACGGTTGCCGATGACAACCTTATTTTTAATCTTTCAATATTTTTTAACCTAAAGAACCAAGTTTTCCTCATCTCAAATTTTAATGAAAATTTCAAAAAATGACCTCTTTAAAGTATCACCTAGAGAACATTTCCTTTCAGAAAAGGTGCTATACTTGATAATCGGAGTATGCTTTCTGGTAGAAAATGTTCACAAAAAAAATATTATTGTAAAACTAATACATACCTCGCTTTACTCAGAATTTAAAATATGAAAATATCTATTAATAGTCTAAAATTAATTAGAATATTTTGAAAACTTTAACACGTCTACTAAATGTCAATATAAATATTTTTAGAAAACTACAGGTCTTTATAATAGTTTCTTACCGAATAACAACAAAATATCTAATTCCGTACACTAGGTATCATATTCTTTACGGTTTTCGTAATTATTAGGAAAACTATACGGAAAGTTAAACAACTACTCTCTTACTCATAAAATAAATACAAATTTTTTCAGAAAATACGTTATTCTTTTAATTTGGATCAAGATTTCTGGTAGAAAAATATAATCTTACAAATTTTAAATAATGAAATTGTTGCTCTGTAATTTGAAAAAATTGTAGTTTTCGTGTTTTGGATTTCCAAATTAATATGAAAACCACTATAAGTATAAACAAAAATGTCTATCCTTGTCAGTAGCTAAGTATTAAATGAAACAAAATCTTACTCTAGTAATTTTTCGATTGGAACAATATTTCTGGTAGAAAAATATAGTTTGCAAATATTAAAAGTACTAAAATCGGTATGTAACGCTGTGGCTTGTCGTTTATATGAAAATTTTTTTGTCGGTTTTCCTAATTATTATGTAAATCCGTTAAAAAATCAAAAGAAAACTCCCATTACACTAACTAGATAAAATGTTCTTTTAGAAAAGGTGCTACACCCTACACTTGATACATCGGAGTAAGAATTTTATGATACAACCACTGAACTAAATACAAATAAAAATAGTATTTAGTTTAGTAAGTAAACTGATAGATACCTCATTACTCTCCGAAAGTAGGTAACAAAAATCGTTATTGTGTAAATATTCCCATTTGTACGCTGTTTTCTCCATTATTAAGAAAACTACAAGGAATATCATACGATGATGATCGGAGTAAAATGTCTGGTAGAAAAGTTGTTAAAAGTTGTTATGTTTGGAAAGTATTTTTCCGTTTCTTCTAATTATATTAAACAATTTTCAATGCTAACATAAATAAAATTAAATAGTGTTATTAAATTAAATTGTTTCAGTAATAACGGGTGTGATACGAAACGTCGAAAATAAAATATTGACAGGTTAAAATATCTAAATATCGACAGATTAATAAAAATAAATGATCACCAAAATAACATGTATTAAATGCCGGCTATTTGTAATTGGCTATTAACAACAATATTATTTGTAATACCTATACAATACGCATACATAATACATACCTATATAATATTATATACTTATTATATTTATTACAATAATATCGCATTATTTTCCGTTTCTTGAAATAGATAAAGTTCGTATTCATTTCACGATGTGGAACTGCGGTTTTTCCATTTATTATCGTAATTACACAATATGGATAACATTCCGTGACATTTCATGAATTGGGAACTCCTCGAATTTGGGTACTTGGATATTTTATCGCTTAAATAAAACTCGAGTTAAGTCGGTGGTGCTATTTGTAATGGATTGATACCAAATGTATATATAACGAAACTTATTCTGTTATTTGAATATTATTATAGCGAAACAATAAACTACTTTTTATTTTTAAACGAATTTTAATAAATACATTTTTTTTATAATTATTTCTGAGAAAACAACTTTACTTTTAAGAATTTACAATTCCTTTAAAAAATATGTTTATTATGATTATTTATTTGAACAATAGTTTGTAAGTTATGGCAATGAGAATTACAAGGATTAAACGATAATATTGCCTATAGTTTTCTTATTAATATTGAAAAATAAAAATAATTGAAGCTTATAAGTTAAATTTAGGATTAGTTCAAAATAAACTGTTATTATTAATGAAATAACTTACCTATGGAGAGATGCCTGAAAGAAACACTAGCTATATAATGATGGAACAGTTTCATTGTGTAAAATTTAGGTATCCATTGTACGAAATATTATCCATACGTTATTGTGTAATAATAATAATTATGCGAAGTGGAGAAATCACGGTTCTATTTCGTGAAACGGATATTAACGCGATATGAATGCGACATACATACAAGAAAAAAATTAACTGAAACGTCTAAAATAGACAAATTTAAAATAAATGTATTTGTGTGCATTTCTTTTTATAGAAATTAATTTTAATGCATAAAGTTTTCTTTGAAGTTTTGAACCTAAAAGCCTATAATTTTGTATGAATTGATATCAAAGGTTCTCATTATTAGATTCTATGAGGTTGCGTGGATGCCCTTGCAAACCGATCTATGGCTACTGCTCGGACATTCATATCAATACCCTTATGTATTATAGTCAAAATTGCTTTAAACCATTAGCACTACTTTTTGGTAACGCTTATAAAAATACCAAAGAAATGATAAATGATACTGGTATAAACGTTATATTACTTAATTAGCTATAGTCTATAGCTGTGATTTTTTAATCACAGCTAAACAATTTCAAGAAGGGGGAAATCCACCCATTGTTCCCTCCTCAAATACGCCACTGGAGTGTATACTATATAGGTACTAATTATATTATATGTACTTATTTATATGTCTGTGAAGTCCATTCTTTTGGAAAACAAAATAATAATAATAATAATAATACAACGGAGTAGTATAGTATCAATAACCGTCTCTAATATTTTAACCATTATGTCAAATGGTTAAGTCATAATAATAATGCCTGTGCATTAATTTTCCTTGAGAATAAGAATCATGGCGGTATGCTTACAGCTTTGAAGAACCTATATTCAGTATGCCATTTTTTTGTATACCCAAACAATGGATTCTATAGAGCTGATGTAGGTAAATTATATATGAAACTATAACTAGGTATTTATTAGCAATAGGTATTTCGTCAGGGCCTGGGGCATGACTAAAGTATTTAGAAACTATATTAATTTTTTTCAACAAAATTGGAATATTAAGATAGAATTAAAAATTTAGAAGAGATCGTATATAATATTGTTAATAAAAATGTACAGTTATACTCATTTGATATTATATAAGCCAACGCAAAAAAAATATTATTTATTCTTTATAAAATATAACATCTAGAGAAAAACAACAGTATAATTTTTTTTAATTATTATTTGCTATACCTAATTAATAGCACCGTGTAACGACATCTTCTAAAATCTTCAGCAGAAAATTGCTTTGACTATAAAAGAAGAAATCTCATAATAATGCTGTAATTAAAGTTAATGTGTGCATAACGAGTTTTTTTTAGTCATTGTTATTGTATCATTATAATTTATAGTGCACAAAGAAAACAATATTATACTGTGCATATACTAAAACAATAGTGTTGTGGAATTGGTTTTTCATATAAAAAACATAATTTTAATCATTTCATACGAATATTATAAATAGTACGAAAAATGTGTCCTGAGTAGACAGAATATTATATTTTATTTTATTGTATTTAACTATTTTTTTCATTCGTCGTTATTAGAGTTTCTCGTATGTGTGTTGATTTTTTGTTTATATATATATAATATGAGTTCAAAATTTGTATTGTATTTATTTGTTTTAATAAATTTATCAATATCATCTGTGATGCTATCATCATTGAGTTTGACGCCTGAAACCACAAACTTAAATACTGTAAGTAGAAATGATTAAGAATATGTTTTATCGCCATAACATTTTATGTAGATCTAGTATTGGTATTTTTACAGTGTAGGTATAGATTTGTATACTACACACAAACTTATTATATTACATAAATTCTATAATTGGTATCTAATTTAATTAAATATCTTGCATTTTTTTTTTTTTAGACGACCAATCGCAAATCAACTGAAAAGTCGAAAAGTATCCATTCTCATAGAGAAATTAAACATCGACAATCAACTCTAAAAAAACAAAATCGATGTAAGTTAAAAGTACATATAGAGTACCTCACCTATACAAATTTATAATATTAGGTATTCTCTCATTTCCAAACAAAATAAAATGATAATTGCCTATTTAAAAAAATATGTGTTCGATTTTATAGTACTTTCACTCTTTACAATTGTTAAATTTGATAATGAACCGTGTTACTCGTCATTTGGGGACAGTGGTATTTGTATGACATCCACAGAATGCTATCAAAACCAAGGAGTACCTATAGGATCGTGTGCTAATTCATACGGCGTTTGTTGTTTGTGTAAGGAACATCACGTCATTGCTATTATCATTAATATTCAGATTCTTTGTTAAATTGATATTTATGGATCAAATTTTAGCACTATCTACCTGTGGACAGACAATCCGAGAAAATGGCACTTATTTTGTAAACGCAGGATATCCAGACGGCTTGAATGCAACTGGAACGTGTCAAGTGACAATTCATAAAACGTCTCCTAACATTTGCCAATTTAGGTTGGTATCTATAGCTAACTTAGCTAAACTATCACTGCTAACCTTCACTGCTCAGTGGTAAAACAAACATTAATTTAGGTATTTTAGATAGTTAGTAAAATATTTTTGAGGTAGGTATGTAATGGTTTTACAATGATGATTTTAATATTTCCTATCTATTTCGACCAGACTATTTACTTGTACAATCAATATCAGCGATAGTTGTTAGCAGCAAATGTGTCGAGTTATTGTATTGGAACCTGATTTTTTGATACTCTTAATAAATTTCTTAATGCCCAATGAACATATTTTCAACACCAGTTTTTATGAAAATTATATTTTTAAGTTCAAAGTGGAGAGAGGGATCTATATTAGTTTTACTATGATGTGTTTTAGACTCGTGTGTGAAAATGTCCGTCTTTTTTATTTTTATAAGTTTTAAAATCAAATTTTTACGAAAATCGTATGGTTTATCGTTAATTATAGCTAAATTAAATAACTCACACTCACTATCACCTCTTTTTTTTTGTTATCGTTAATTATAGGTATAAATTAAATAACTCACACTCACTATCACCTCTTTTTTTTTGTATTTCAATGAGAAAATATCATAAAAAGTATTTGAAATACTTTTACTAAATACTTATATTGACATTTCTAGCCATAGTGTAATTAGCTGTTTTTATTAATTTTTATTTAAGATTTTTTATGTTTTAAAATTTTTGTTTCGATTCATGTGAATAAGTATTTATTGGCTGGTCTAAAAGCGTGATAATGTTTAATGTAAGTTTCATCATTAGTTTTATCAGTTAAGCGTTATATCACAAGGTTGAAATTTATAGTTGCATTTTAAATTACACTGCATACATACAGGCTGTCCCACGAAGATATACCCCTTGAATCTCCGGAGTTAATAAAGATAATCAAATTCTGTTTTTTTTTTTTATATTACAGGGAAGAAGACTACAAATATTTATATATTAATTATTATTAATTTTTTTTTTTATTAAACAAATTTAAATAATAACTTTATTTTATTATTTTCGGAAAATTTTAAGGTAGCCATTCTCTGTAAAGTTTGTTATTCAGAAAATTATAATGTATAATAATAATGTATAAAACTGATGTTATCTAAAGAATAACCTAACCGTGTTACGCGATAATATCGATTTTCACACGAATTAGTAGAATTAAAAATGGCTGTTACTTGGTATTCATTGGATATAAATGTGTGATTTATTAAAATATTTAGAAAAATAATCTTTATAGAATGGCTATCTTAAAATTTTCCGAAAATAATAAAAATCAGTAATTTTTTAAATTTAAAAAAATATATATATATCATACCTTTTTAACCTACCATCTGACCTACACATGAACAGTATTATATTTTTCTTTTTACTTTTAGATTAGATTTTGAACGTTTTGCTATAATGGCCCCGGAACCAGTTAACCATCAATGCGATAATGATCAATTTATTGTTTCCGGTTCGAATCCTATACCTGTGATCTGTGGGTTGAATACCGGTAGCCACAGTAAGTACCTGATTTTATATTTTTAAATACATGCATTTCAAATTTGAATGTCTTTTTTAAAAATACTTAATTGTATTACGGATGCAGCATCACCAAAATTCAATTGTAGTGGGAGACATAATTTTTGAAAGAGTCCGTGACTTTAAATACCTGGGAATAGACGTAAATGAAAGGGCAAATAGCGATAAGGAAATCAATTACAACAGGAAAAAAGTGTTATTTCTCACTGGTACCGCTGTTCAAGTCAAAGTTACTATCGAAGAGATCGAGAATTAGGATTTACAGAGTTCTAATCAAGCTTATTGTAGTACTGTATTAATCAATAAAAGCAGACGAAAAAAAACTGATAACATTTAAAAAGATACTAAGGAGTATATTTGGCCCAAGAAAAAATAATACAAGTAATCAATTATATGAACGAAGGATCAACACAGAACTGAAGAAAATTTTCAATGAACTTGATATAATAGGTGTTCTAAAGAGTAAGCGGATAAGCTGGGCTGAGTTTTTTTGGAGGGCAGAAGATAAATTAGTTAACAAGGTCACAAAATGGAACCCGAATGGACTAAGACCAAAAAACAGCGACAGAGTGACCAAGTTAGTGAAGGCCTTGAGTGCCTAGGAATTAGGGATGGAGAAAGGTTAGAATTATATAGATATACGTAGAGAGGCGTATTGGAAGCTGAATAATTTTCAACTTAGATAAAATATTTCAAACAAATTCCTCTTGCAAGAGATAACGATTTTTAAATATTTAAAGAATGTTAACAAGCATTTGAGACTCCAGCAAACTATCATTAATTAATACTTAATAGCGAAATGATAAAATATATTCTAAACTTTAGAATCTAGAGTATTGGTCATGAATGTTTTTTTAAGAATTCTTTGAAAATTTAATCACTTACTATAGGGAAATATTTACAATATTTGCTTTAAAGTTAACTAATTTGTGAACATTTTACTTCTCTCTATTATTATTTCTTTAGGCGATTTATTTTTATTATTTGCATTTTTAGGTGCTTCAATAAGAAGAATTCTTTAGTGAAACATTTTTTTAAATTTAATTGTAACTAAAAAATATAAACCTGCATTCATTACTTGTATACGCGTTACGTTCATGACAAAATAGGCAAGATAAACATTGTGGAGCCCCGCGCTGGTCGGCCGTTGCAGCTCGACCGGTGCACCGCATGATTGTGTAAATGGGAAACAACTGTTGCGATTGGCCGCAGTGAGAAATGAGGCACAGACATCTAAACGGAACATATAGCATGAAAATGCGCTCCGGTGGGCGGAGAGGACAGAAATACGTGAAATAATAATTGGAGTGTTTTAATTGGTTGTCCTCATAATGAAAAGTTGCTCTCTTTCACATTTTTTTATAGTTTATCAGTCTACTTCTCTTTATCCGTTCGCTCCCCCCAGTTCTCGGGGTGAATGGTCCGTTTAAATATATAAGTCTATACAACTGCGTCACTGAGAGTTGGACTGTTTAACAAATATACAAACGTGACATGAGGACAAAGTCAATTTAAATAAAAATCTCTTATTTAGTGTATGTGGATGCTGGTACGGGAACAAGTCCAATTATATTGACAGTGGTTACAAGTGGCATACTTTTCAAAAGGAACTGGAAAATCAAAGTCAGTCAAATACCTTGTGAATCCATAACGAAGGGTCGGTTTTAAACTTTATTAACATACATAGGATTATACTTCATGATAAATGTATTCTATTTAGCTGACACTGGTTGCTTGCAATACTATACCGGAATATCGGGTACCGTGAAATCATTTAATTATGAACCATTTTCTGGCCTTCATTTGTCAAATCAAGATTACACGATATGCTTGCGGACGGAACGCAATTTCTGCTCTGTACAGTATTCGGCTTGTGATGACCACAGTAAGTATTTAAATAATAACAAATATAAATTGTCTATTTTAAAAACTAAAAATAAAGTTCGTATATAAAAAAAAAAATTAATTATTTCCTATGAATGAAGTGAACAACAGAAGCCATGCGTTTACTTTAACCGGTAATACATTGGGTCAAAATCCTGTACAAGCGAATGTAGGCAGTGTCGGATCGAGTCCTTGCAATTCTGATTACCTAATTATTCCGTGTGTTTCGAGTAAACAGGGTCCAGTAGCATCAGGCATGAACACTTGTGTCGATAGACTGTGCGGTGGTACTTTAAATACGGATTACTCTACAATGTCAACGACAGTTCTAAGTAAAAATAAAATTTTATATATTATGCACTTTATTATTATAATATTATATACTAGCAATCATATCGTTATAATTTATATTTAAATTATAGATGTACATTGTATTTATATCAATAATTAACATTAGTATTTATAACGTAACAGTGAAAAAAAAAACTATTAATATTATATTCTAAGATAATCAATACCTAGCTGTCCTGCTTGGGCTTGCATTTTACCAAACCCCTTATGAATTTTAAAATTTGTGTTTTAAGGCACTAAATTTAAAATATTTGAAAACATTTTGTTTTTTTAGAATTTTTTCAAACCATTAATTTAAAAGTTATAGTGATTTGAAGACTTATGTCTATAATTTACATAATACGCGGAATATTACATCATGAAAAACACCATTATTTCCATTGTTAAATATCCGACGTAGTTTTGCATAATAAATGGGGCTTTATTTTCGATTTATGTTTCATCATGAGCGAGTGAATAGATGGCCGAATTTCTTGTTTCACTTAGTGAGATTTAGGTTAATACTTAGGGCATTAACCTCCTTGTAGTAGAATCAGATTAGAAATACTAGGGTAGGTAAGTAAGTGATTTAATGTTTTGAGTTTAAGGTTAGACATGAGCTCGCGAAGCGATTTTGTGAAGGTCACCAAAGTCAGTCTCGCGAAGCGATATTATTTTGCCATAACTTCTTTAATAATGATTTGTACGAACACAAATTTAAAATTTTCAAAATGAGCTTTGATAAAAACGTAAAAGTATTTTGAAATTTTTAAGAGATGTGGTAAAGTACACTTGTTCTACCCACTTACTTTGTTACCTAATATAGGTATACATTTTCAATATAAAATATACAATTTTAACTTTTCCTAAAAAAAAATATGCATACATAACACAAAGAAATGTTTAAAACACTCACCAATCTTCTTTCATGACTGATGAACGTCTAAAAATTATCTAAAACTGCATCACTGTTATTTATCACTGTCGAGCTATTTTTTGTTTGATATATATATAATACATATAATACATAGGTATTTATGTTTTTTTCACCATGAAATATAATTTTCAAATTAAAATAATTTATTCAAAATGTTTGTTTTTGTTATAGGTAGTGTTAGACCTTTTCGGTTGTCATTCCACACAAATGCAGTAGAAATGCCAAATGATATGGGGAATCGTGGATTTTGTCTAAACTATATACAACAACCGTGTAATGCTAATTACAAATAATAAACATAATTTTTAACACAATTGTGTTTTATTTATACAAATATTATTTTTACTTCCAATGATTTCAACAATTTCAAAAGAATTTGAATGCATCCAGTAATTTTTTTATTATGTCTTTGGGAATCATATGAATAAACCACGTTAATAATACTGAAGCAATAAAAACTAAGCCGTTTAAAAACTTTGTTTTGTTTTGGCCATATATAATTTGCAAAACATGTATATTATTAATGGATCCGTAAACCCTTTCTTTTGTGTATTGAAGGTCTTCTATTTATTTAAATTAAATTTATAAAATTATTATTTGATAATTATCATTTATAACTGTGACATGATCAAACTGATATTACTGGCCTGGGATGGGTTGGAGCCCATCTCTACCAAATTTTGCTGGTTGTGTAGGTATCTACTTTTTGCTCGATTAGTCTTTTTGCTGTTGTCAAAAATAAAAAATAGATGGTTATAATAACAAATAAAAATTTTTCGTGTTTGTTTTTTAATAATTAGGAAAAAGTAGGAAAAGCCGTACAATTTACAGTATTAATACTGTAATAGTTTCTTTATTTTCAATTTTGTTGTATTAATTTAAAAAAAAAAATTAAATTTATAATTTTCGTGAAGGTCTTTAATTTTCACAGAATACTTATATTAGTCTTTTCTAGATGTGAAAACATTTTAAAAATATTCTTGCGATTTTTTAGCTATCTTTGTTGACACTTGATATTTTCATACATTGTATTTAGTCGTGAAAAAAGTTAATCGTGATGTAGTGGTAGTTTTTTTATAGGTCTTTTATTGAACTTAAATGTTTAAGTTATAAAAATTATGGCATTTTAAACATGTTTAACTGAACTTCGCACAAATTCGTTTTTCGTTAGCCATGGTTTTTTGTTACGTACAAAATATATAAATTAAATGACTTTATTTATCCTATTTTCACAGCTTTTTACCTACAATAATTACACTAGCTCGTATCAGTACTTTTTTTGAGAATACAATATTATAGCTGTTATGCCTATATAATCATTTGTATCTAAGTATGATACTACAATTATACTTATATTAATGATACAACCTACACAAAAAACTTGTCTTATAAATTATTATAAAAAAAATTATTTAACTACTTATTCTTAATATGAAAACACATATATGTTAATATTTTTAAACTGTATATTTAAAATGTTTGTTTTAAAGTACACAATTTGCCTCTTGAAACATGAACCAACTCAATTTTTTCTTATATTTTTCATGTCATATAATTGAATGCAATCATAAGTGGATTTCATAAGATTCTTCATAATTCAAAATTTATATAAGTAGGATTTAAAAAACATGAAACGATCCAATACACATCATTTCATTTAACTGTTTTTGGTTTTAAATCATATACAATCCAAAACTGGTAAAACTACTTTAACTCTAAATTCATCTCGAATAATATCAAATTTGAGGTCTTATCGACCTCATAAAACAATTTTTTTATGAAACTTTGATCTTAAATAATATAATAAAATATCAATTCCCCACGTATCCCGTAATCGTTTTGAATCAAAATATATCGCGTTTTTCAATCATAATACTTTATCCCACTAATATAATATATCTTTGGCCCCAACTTCCAAGAAAGAAGGACATAAAGAATTTTTTTTTTTACAATTTACCTATGTAACTTTTCAATAATTTTCCACGATTTCCGTTATTTTTCTCTATTTTATGCAAATATTTTTATGAAATTGACTTAAAATCCTTCCTTGGGTTGAAAGATATATTATGTACCTACATAAATGAATAAACACAAATCATTTGACCCATTAACAATAGGTATATAAGGTATCCTAATAGAGGGAAAATATTGTAAGTTACACTCTTAAAACATATAAAATAAGATGTGTACAATTTTGTCATAATTGATTAGTCCTAATACGTGCCTTAAAAGGGTTGAATATTTGAACTTGAAGCTATTTTTTCAGTTTTTTTATTTATCTCAAGAAATATCCTACTTAACCTAAAAGCGTAAAGAACTTTTATTATAAACATTTCATTTCAAATTTGTTAAATCTATTGTTTGACAAGAAAATGAATAATGAACATAATGTGTGCTATACCCACCATATCGATAGTTTTGTTGTTTTCCATATTATTTCCATCGATTAGGTTTTAGTTAAAGGGAAATCTTTTGTTCTTACCACAAAATAGTTTTTATGCATGTAAAAATCTTTTTTAATAAAAAATATTAGTTGATTTGATTTAATTTAATACGTGCCCTAACGACTTCAGAGTTTTATCTGAGGCCCTAACTTAATCTTTTTGAGTAATGAATCGTCCATGTAGTTCGTTATACATATTATCTATAATATTGTTAATATGAACAATGTAATTTGATATGTAGTTAATTAGTAAAATGTTAAATTTAAATTAAACAAAACAAATTTAACTGGATTCGATCAGAATTGTTTTTCATCTGTTATGATTTATCGTTGCGTACAATAGATATATAAATTAAATTACCCTATTTCAAATTAATTTTATTAAAGAAATAATTATTATTAATCTACTTTCATATATATTACATTATGAAAGATATAATAAAGATAAATCAGTCAATAAATCATTATTATTTTAATTTTCAATACTGTCAATACTGTTCGTATACTTTCGATCATATTGTTTAACACTTTTGTATATTTCAATACCTATTACCTAATCATTTTTAGATTCTGAGTGGATTGAAGAAGTCTATGGTTTTACAATGGTGTTTATTTTGTTTTATTTTTTTTTTTGTCTATGAACAATTTTTCTATCAGAAATATTGCTCTAATTTACAAGTGTAGTACTTTTTCTGAAAGAAACTAAAGGTATAAAATATTTTGTAATTTTGTATCCAATGCTTGCTCATACCTAAATTATTTTCAAAATGATAGGTACCTATATTAATAATACTGGGTACAATAATTTCACCGTTTTTGGAAATATTTAATACAAATAAGTTTTACTAAGTTCTTATATAATGCGAGTATATAATATATTAAATAAAATTATCGGGCTACCAGGCCATAATACACTCCAGGCCATATGAATAATTCCAATTTCCAGATCGAACACTTCGCTTCTGGTTGTGACATTGACCGTGATCATTGATAAGATATTAACCATCATTAAGATGGTAAACGATTTCCCAGACTTTCAGCTCATTCTAGTTTTCCACATAATTAGAATATTATTTATTGTATTTGTTCACAACATTTTTGTTATATATTTGTTGGGTTTTTTTTTGAAACTTTGATATAACAATATGTTTGTAAATACAAGATTTTTACAATTTAATATAGTTCTCATTTAATATTTTCTCGATTTATGACAATTTTAATACAATTGTTATACTATTATATTTTCTAAAAATATTAATAGGTTTAAGAAAATATGAATTGCTTCTTTGAGAAAATTATCGTGTTTCGTGTAATATATGACACACCAACAAGGGCAATGAAAGGTAATAATTAGTATTAAAATAAAACATGATTAAAAACACCAGATTTCTACATAATATAGTTGAAAAAACCTTGTTTGTACTATAATTTTATCTCAAAATCACTACCAACAACTGAATAACATATAAAATTATGGCACATTAAATATTGTTATCATACTAATAATGAATAAAGAATAGAAATAACATATATAATAATACATGATGCAGGTACTAAAAAAACCTTACATTTGTTTTCTTAAAGCACATTACAATATATTATTTATAATGATAATATAAACAATATCTGCTCGTGAACGTTTTTGATGTGTGTAGTGAATAACTAATTATAAAATAAATAAAAGAAAAACGTGTAATAGGTTATTATCCCGACATACATACGCACATATTTTAGTTCTGTTAAACTGATTAACAATCGACATACCCTAAAAGACAATAATTATAATATACAACAAAGCGTTTTTTGGGTCACAAATATCTCGATCTTTTAAACTCGCTGGACATTATCATTTCCAAAGAACTCATATTATATTATATCAACATTTTCTTTAAAATATATCAAGCCAATTAAAAATAATCAAACGTCAATAATATAAAATAATAATAATATCTGCTGTATAATAACAATGTAAACAAACGAATCTAATTAAAAATCTACTAAATGATTCAGTCTTAAACATACACTTATAATAATAACAATATCAAATATGATCAATTATAATATGTATAATAAAAAAAAATAATAAATAAAAGCATGTCATTAATTTGGTTTAGTTTAAATAAAATAATTGGCAAACTATAACCAAACAGTACTTAAATATACTATCTGATGTCATTTAGGAGTTAGAAGAAAATATTGTCAAAAAACAGTAGTTATTTTGAAAAATTGCCCAACTTTCATGTCAATGAAATATTTGTTTAAAATAGATTTTAAAAAAAAGTTAGTAGTATAGTCCTAATGTTTATCAGTCAACTTTCACTAAAAGAAAGTTTCTTCATCTTAGAAAGTTTCTTCGTCTTAACTCTTAACCTTGGTATTCACCAAATCGGTGCTTAAAAATACAGGAGTGATAAAAATTTATTTTTGATCTACAAATACTTTGTTAATTAATTGTTTACAAGGATAACGTTTTTATAAATAAATAACAATTTAAGTGTTTTTAATCGTACAAATTGATTGTATATCGGTATATTAGTACAGCAGTGATAATAACAATCTTGACTGACCAATAATCAATTAAAAAATAAAACAAATAACCAACAACGAATAGTATAATATTTATAGTCGAAAGAGTCAGTATCAAAGGAAAGCTATTTATTATTAATGGAAATTATATTTGAATAATTTCGATCTAAAAATTGTCGAAAACATTTTTAAAGATACCATAATGATAATATATATTATATTTATATTTTATTATGTTAATATAATCACAATAAAAACAAAAATGTATATTTACTTAACAATGTTTCATTAATGATTGTAATGTAAACAGATCGTTGGCGAAAAATCTAATCACAGACTTAATAATAGTTTTGTAGTTTTGTTCGATACTAACTCCTTCAAATTCGACATCTGTACGAGTAGATTATTACACAATATTAAATCACAAGGAAAAATCCTCTTGGCATGATTCCCAAAGTTAGCTAACGAATTATATATTAATTTCTATTGTTTTTTTTTTTGTTTTTTGTTTTTTTGTTTTTTTTTTTTAATATATATAACAACATAAATATTTTGTATTAGGCCATCAAACAAAATATCGGGTTAACATTATCGATTCTAATGTCAAATGATTAATCAATAAAACATTTCTAGAATGATGTAAAATCTACACGATTTCCTCACAATTTGTTGAGTATAACGATAACAATTATACAATAATAATTTTTCTATTTACGTGCATTTTATATTGTACATCAGATTAAAAAAGGGATGTCTCAAAATATGTGATGTCAATCGAATAGGCGGTCGTGCAATGTATTTATATACATACATGCATGTATTTATTGTATTATAATATAATTAATACAATAATACACATAAATATGTATACATCAAATATCGATCAATTTATTATAAACATGTCGACCGGATATTATTTTCGTAAGCGCCTAAACGACTAAAATAGTGATTAGAGCGAATAATTAAAAAAAGTCAACAATATTAATTTTATCATAACGCTATTATCACATTAACTGCGTGCCTAAAACCTAAAAGGGTTCTCTGGTAACTTTTATAATACTATTTTTACTAAAATTAACTACAATCAAACATATTCATTGAGCTTCGTTGATTATCCAAAGTACATATTATTTTTATTATAATGAAGCTTGAATTTTTTCCTACACATCATTATAATGTTTTGTTGAATACTATAATATGTATAGTATTACGTATTCAACGTAATTACGAAACGCCGATTGATCAAATAATGGTGATAAAGTAAACTAACCCTGTCGTATACTGTGATTTTTTATTAGTTTAGATATTACTTAGTTTTATGTACTGAGTAGAATAAACCATGAATTACATTTTTAATAATTGAAAACACCAATTAAATAAACAAAGGGAATATAAATGTTTAATATTTATACTTTATCTTAAGATAAAGATATAATAATTGTATCGAATGCATTAATTATTTAAATTTAGTACAGTTAATTTTTTGTTTATCATTAAAAAAAAAAAAATAATAAACGACTGTAAGTTAAAATTTTAAGTTATCCATTAAATCATTATAACTCATAACAATATGAGATGAATGATGAAATTATAATAATTTGCTTGTATTTTGTAAGAAAATAAGTTAAGAAAAAAAAAGTTTTTATAATTGTATATCTTTTTAAAAGTCGTCCAAACAATAGGTACACGATGTAGAAAATAATTTAAATATATTTCAATATTTTATGAACAAAATTCTTAATAGGTAGTTATTTTCATTATAGCATTATTATAAACATGAAATATTTTTTTGGTGTTTTTCAAAAATTAAATTTTCACAATCAAATTGATGTAAGTACTATATATAAGAAAACGATTCTAATTAAATCGATTGTTTGTTTTCCATTCGGTGCGATTAAGTTATTAAATTGAACGATTATTAAAATGTGGCAGGCTCAAGTCATTATAGTAAAAATAATAATCATAATAATAATAAGTCATAATAAGTAATAAGTACTAATAATAATAACACTACATTAATAGGAACAAACAACTCGTATTAAAATACAATTCCAAAAATGATTACTGTTAAAATACGCATTTCGTTTGTTTACATATTATTGTACTAAATCTATATTCATACATTTCAAACCTCAACAATACGAATTCAGTGCGATTTAAAAATTTTAAAAATACTTTCATGGAATGATATAATATAGTTTAAAACATAAAACCCCGATAAAATATAAATCATACCACGATTTTAGAGTTGGGCTTAGTATTAAACGTGTTCATTATGTGATTTCAAAGTAATCAAACAAATATTAAACCTCAGTAATAATGTAGTTTTCGTTAAATCGGTGAGAATCGAAAACTTATATGTATATAAAGATTATTATTGACTGGAAGCCCTGTAATTTAGTATGATTTTTAGTTAAACATTTTAAGAATGAATCGTTTTTTTCTTTAAATTTTTGCCCAACTCGTTTGATGATGTCCATTAAATATAAATACGTACAAATAGTATTCGCCCATGAAACATATTCGTACGTGATTTGCTGATCTATTAATTTACAAGTTATTTAAAACAATGGTTAATAATATTTAAAAACAGTCTATAAAAAATAATTTGTTCTAAAATGTTTCGAAAAACACCATTTGGCTCTATCGGCACACTAAAATTATTAAAAACTCTCCTGATTCATGAACGTTTTCATGAATTCCGGGAGTACAACCAACGACAATTTTTATAATTATTTTTCGTTTGAAACATTATTATTATTATTTTTTTTTTTTATCTGAATAAAACGTAAACAAATGGACGAATGATTGCTCTCGGGAAGAACATTCGATTAATAACAAAACAAAGTTCAACAATAATAATTATCAAAAAAAAAAAAAAAAAACATCAACATAATACTTAACTTAGAGGAAGTGATCTTCCATGTCGAGTTGTAGTAGCTCAAGTTCTGCGCGACTTTTCCGTTTGCAAAATACCGTCAAACACAACAATCTGAGCATGACGCGGAACTGCGGGCTAAGAAATATGAGCACAAACGCCTTCCATACCGAGTTGGATATGCCCAGCCACAGGGCGGCGAAACGCACCTGGCCAGGCACTGCAGGCACGCCGCCTAGCTGTTGGTACGCTTTAATGGACATCAATGGCGTCCAACAAACCCAAAACGACACGATCAACACAAACGACGTGACGTGCGTAGGATTGGATAGGTTTTCAGACAATGCTGTTACGTATTCCTGTGTGCCAATAAAACATATTAATATGACTTACATATGTCAATTTTAAAAAACTAAAATGTTTAAATTATAAACAAGATAATTGTTAAACTTCGTTTTAATATATTATATATATGGACATATGGTATACTTTATGACTATACAGGTACTAAAATAGTGCGTATAAACCTTAGGTGTGTACTTGTAATTTCAATTCGCTTTCACTAAAATATCCGTATAAGTAAAACACATTTTTAGAAATAGATTAGGTAGTTGATAAATTGAATAAACCTACGACTTGCAGCACAAAACTGTATAATTAATTAGGAACGCTTTTATTTGCTTAAGCAGAGGGAAATTGTCGATATGAATAATATGATAATGTGCGATCCTAAATAAAAAAAAAAAAAAATGCGAGAATCGTCACAGCATCTCGGATAAAATGCATATCTCGTGGAAAAATAACGGCCTCTATACGTCCTCCGTTCGAAAAAGCTTTGGACGCCATTGACGATCGCCGAGCATATCATTTTATTGTCCCCCGTAACTACAAACCCCGTCAAGGCGACTGTGTGCAGCGACGAACAGAGTTTACATTGTAATATCGGTATTGTGCTGTGCGTTTTTATACCTTGTCATGCGCTAGGAAACCCCGCCGGAGCCGCCTGATCGCACCGTATATGTACACGTACGTGTACAAAATTGTTATCAGGCTGGGCCCCAAAATCAGTATGGAGAGCGTCACCGAATACGCCGCCATGCCCTGCCAGTCGAGCATGCACACGGCCGTGTCCTTGTCGAACACCGGGTCGCCGAACTCCAACAGTGGCGGGGAGCATAGCATTGCCGACGATATCCACGTAAACGCCATCCAACACTGGCACCTGGTGCGCGTCTGCACCGTAAAATACCGGACCGGTTTGCGTACCGCTATGTACCTGCAACACGAACGCAACAGCCAACGTAATAATATCGTTTTATCGGCTGAAAAACGTGTCGATTAAAATAATATCAAAAAAGCTGCCTGGTTTAAAATAAAACGCAAATGTATTATTATTATTTACTACGAATTATAACGAGTTAAATATTATTATAATTCGGGTCGGTGAGTGTGCGTCAGTAACTATATTATATGCATCGTCTCCCCCACGCCTCTCTTATCGACGACTTCCGCGGTGTATCCGCGCATATCTATAGCGTATCATATTTTATTAATATTTCACGTAATATAATATGTATAGGGAGTTTTTGTACTGGAAAACGGACCCGCGCGGATAACTACGATAAAACATGCCGCGTTGCCGTCACATCGTCGCGTAGGTATTGTTATACAATAGTCCGTGCACACGCGAATATCGTGTTGTTCGGCGGATGTTACTCGTGCCATCGTCGAGGAGAATCTACAGTATCGCGCGAAACACGCGACATCGACATGCGATAAAACTGCAGTGATAGAGCACAATATAACAACATAATATACGTGCCCATACAGCAATAATAACGTTATTAAAATGTTTATGTAGGTACGCGTCACACATTTATACGGTGTATCATGATACACGCGAGCCGCACGCCCGAACCACTGCAACCGATTATAAATACAAGAAATCGCCGACAATCCGTGTACACACGAACAAGCTGTACGTAGTACAGGGTAAACTTGTACAAACACTCGTTATCTCGACATTTTTTTTTCAGGCAAATTATCAAAAATTGTATTATCATTATCTCGCGCCCTTTACAAAAATACTAAACGTAAAAGTTATTACATACCTATAGGCTATAATACCTGCCCATGTCCTGTAATTTGCCAACGAGTCACTACGGAAATTAAAAATATACTACACCCACGGACTGTGATATCAATTTCGACCAATATTTCAACCTAACACGATTTAGGACATATATTTTTTTATCCAACAAAATAAATTTAAAAAAAAAAATATCCTGAGTCGACCCGAAACCCGATTTATTGACCTAATAGTTACCAATGATTTAACAATGATAGCCCGGAAATGCAGTTCTTGGTCCTGAATGGACCGTTAAGCTGGTGAAGACGTATGCAATTTTTAGTACATATGTTGTCATTTGAAAATAAAAAGTCATAACGTAAAATTCAAGGATTATTCATATTATTATATAACAGTATATTAATGTTCCTGACATAGAAAATGTATTATCCGAGAGTTTGATTGTTTTGCGTTAAAAAAATCACCTGTATATGGGCAATAATGAAATTGGCGCGATAATGAGTATTTTATTACTTTGTTTTATTTTGTCTTTTTTTTTTTTTTAATGCAAAATTTAATTCACAGCGTAGAATAGAATATGTAGACGCACACATGTGAAATTATATTATTACGTCCAACGTAATGTACATTGTTATTATACACAGGAAAAAACATTCGTTGGACTTATTGTAGGTATCGTAGTTTAACGCAAATCAGTAAAGAAAATTTAAAGAAATTTAACAAAGTTCTTTTAGTCGTATTAAACTTTTAATAAATTTAACCTATTCAATACGAAATTTTGCAGAAAAATAACAAAACAATTAAATACTAAAAATGTTTACTTTTAATTTGTAAGTTTTTTCCTTTAAATTAAAACTAATTTGTGTTTTGACGTTTCCTTACAATAAAATATTATTTAAAAATAAGTACTTGGGCATAGCGTAGGCAGTAAAGTTATCGATGACTCATTTATTTCAAGCAAAAAAAAAAAGAATTTTCTTTTACGACGGCGTTAACATTAGGCAATTTAGCATCATTTGTGTAATCAGTATAATAACACAATTATTATTTTCATACAGGTAAAACGTAAAAATAGTAACATTATATTAGGTAGTTGATTAATATTTTTTTTCACTTTTTTATCTGATCCTTAGAAGTTAGTCAAAATATAACAAATATTAAAAACTAATAAATTATAACGACGAGTATACGTTATAACTTATAAATATGAATTTTATAAAAATAATCGTGTAGGTATGTTTTTGTTACCTGTCCACGCTAATCCACATGAGGGTGTACGCAGATACGGTCCACAATGCGACTTCGATGTATCCAATAATTCTACAAGCGATTTTCCCATAGACCCATTGTTGCACGAGTGATGGGTATACAGAAAACGGTACTACGAGTACACCGTAGAGTAAGTCGGCCAGAGCCAGTGACACCAAGTATACATTCATCACCTCTCCTCCACCTAATATAATATTATTAAATATTAATATATTTTACAATATATGTGTATAGTAATCAGTTTAATAATTGTATAATAAAATATAAGATTTAATACAACTTAAATATATAACCTACAAACTTTGATAGTTATACTTAACCAAATGCCTATATAATATATAAACGAAAATTAGTATAAACACCTCTAATATTTTGTGTTCAAAATATTGTACATCCGTATAGATAAATGTACGTGTACTTACCTCTAATGTTGGTGAATGTAGCGATGATGAGGATATTAAGGAGGATGATGGCGACCGCCATGGTGAGCACCAGCGATGCCTGGGTTAAGGGCTCCAGGTTGTGGTGGGGGTGGGCTTCAGTAGTACGTGCCCACCGCCATTGTTGCTATCTGTCACACATTATAGCCTAAACGTATAATAATATGTATTGCAATTATTATGTATACTATATAAATCATCTATCTTATTAAATCTATCTAACATTATAGAAATAGTTAGTTATTAAAAAACCTATGTATGTATTAAAACTATATATTGTTATATATATTTATTATATTATAAGTATAAAAAAATAATATCCAAATAACTAAATAGACCTCATTATTGTATTAATTTATATATCTTAGTAGATATTTTTTCTACTTTTAAATTGGTTTTAATAAATATATAATAATTTTTATTATAGACTAATGCACACAAAAAGTACAGGGAAAAGGAACAAATTATTGCAGCCTACAAATCCAGCATCTAATCAAACAATTCATATAACCAATCGTATTTATATTATTAATGGTTTAGATAACAATATATATATATATATATATAATAAAATCTTACAAATTACGAATATTTTTTTTATTGAAATCGTTATAGTTTTCTTTCTATATCGAGTTAAAATGTCGATATAAAAATAAGATAAGTAGACCAAAATGCTACGTAATTTAATATTGGTCATTATTTAATAAATGTAATGAAATAATTATTGCGGAAAAATAATAATAATTAGGTTCATTATTTTATCAATTTAAACCAATGGCATATATTTAGTTAATATTATATACCTATACCTCTCTAATCAATATCTGGCTCAAAGTTGGCCGTATGGGCACGTTTATTATATTACAACACTGTTTATGTAATTTCTAACCCTCAGGTACAGTAATTATTATCAAAAATGAACTACGGGATTATGTTGTTAATTAATACTAAATTTGTATTTATATTGGGCCTACCTACCTACGGTAACGTACCTATTATAAGAACTTGTTATTTGTAAATGCTATATTTTGTATTATATAAGGACTATCACCCTTAGTATCTCCATGGCAAATCAATCAATTCAAATAATGTTTTTTTTCACAGTAATAAGTAATACAATTTTAATTAAATGGTTACATTTTCAAAATTTTTTTTCCGAAAATTCAAAAATATCCAAAAGAAATTTGAATGCAATTTAGTTTTTGATTTTTTTGATCATATTTTTTAACAGTCATGAAATAAAAAACTCGATATGCTTTAACTTTATCGATTTTCACTCAATTTTAATATCTTTTTTAGAAAATATGATTAGAAAAATAACTATCTTAAAAATTTGAAAGAAATAAATTTGTTTGAAACTTTTGAATTGTTGAAATTTATGTCATTCAATCGGAACTATTTTACTTATTTATTTACTGTAAAACAAATGGCATTTAAATATATTGATTTACCACGGGTATATACTGAAAGAGATACGAGACTTTTGGGATACGCTAGTATAATATAATTAGTTTATAAAACACGATTAGTTTGTATTTTTCAACTAAAATATTTTTTTATGCCACATGGCCTCTTAAAATAAATTTTATGGCTTCAATATATGACCCTAGTGTCGATCGATTAAAAAAAAAAAAAACCAAAATATAATATACATTTGTTTTAAATCTATCTTTCTATTTTGAATGCTTTTGATTTGTAATTGTATAATAATACATATTTTGTTAATTGATTTTTTACAGAGTAATCAATCTATCGTAAGACACTCATTATCTCGGAAAGTATTAACATTTTTGGAATATGTTTTATAGAACATATAAGGAACACGCAACTTTGCAAATTTACGTTTATTTTATTTTTTGTCACCTTTATTTTTGAGGGTAAAACCAGTACCTACTTTTGATTTTATAATAGCTATAATCTATATTGAAAATTCGATAAATTAATAGATTTTGATGTTGACATTTTTGATTTCCGTCTATTGACGAGATTATTATACTTTTAAGTATGGGTCGAGGAGAGTAGTGGAACAACATTTGTGTGGCGGCACGGCGTTTTAATAATGTACCACTACTCTCCCCGACTCATATTTAAAAGTAGAATATCTCGTTAACGGATTGATGATGAAATCAAAAATTTCAACAACTGTATTTATTTAAACTAATACTTCATAATACATTTGTACAATTTTTAATGTAGGTTGCCATTTGAAAATCAAAAGTAAACAGCGGTTTTACTTTCAAAAATGAGAGTGACAAAAATAACGTAAATGCAAAATTGTAGAGCTGCTTGTTTCTTAAATTTTCTATAAACTAGACTCCGAAAAAGGTTAATGCTTTCCGAGATAATGAGTGTCTTACGATAGATTAATCACTCTGTATATTTGGTTGGTTATACACATAATAGATTAAATAGAAAATTAGAATTAGAATAATCTCATTAATAAAAAAATAAAAGATAATAATAATAATATTATAATGAAAATATATTATATTATGTAGTAGAAAATATATGTATACAATATGATGATGATTTATACCATAATAATTATCCGACGATATGGGAAAATTCGCCGGCCTTATGAATTGTCGTAAATCCATCATGACGTCCGAATAGATTTATCGATTTCGCGTATAACGAGTAGCCGGGACTAGTGTCGGACGATATAAATCACACATCTAACAATAAAACGTCCCATAAATAATAATTATAATAAAATAAACTAAAACATAATAATAATAATAATAATAATATGTCAAGTATATACGCTAATAATATTATAATACTAGTAGATACACCAAATAATTGCGTACTTATCGGTGATTCGGTCTAAATATATGGTATTATTATAATATAGAACACGTACCGCATGCAGTATGAAAATAAAACCTAGATTAATTATTTTCTGGGTCGAACTTTACGATATGCCTATCTCGCGAAAAAAATATAACACAATATTATATCGATCGGCGGACGTTATACAATATTCGACATCGGTTTAGCACAGCCTAACTACACCATCTATCGTCCGTGTACGTGTAGAAATACGAACGGTATCGTAAAATATTATTATCCGACGAGTTTTATATGATATTCTGTAATGTTATTCTCAGAAAACGTAGACAGGTGTACAAAACGTTAAATAAAACAAACAGTTCCGTATTGGACGCGGGGTGTGCGTGAACAAACTCAGGAAAAAAAAAAAACAAACAAACAAACAAACTAAATACAAATTCTGGCTATAGCGGACGGATTGAATTCACTGTGCGCGTCGCATAGGAGTGGAATAGAGAATAAGGGTCGCGCGGGAATCTAAAGCGTGCGAGTTGACACGGTAATAGTGCAATGGTCGTTATGAAAACACAGTCACTTTTACTTTCGATGATAAAAAAAAAAAAAAAAAAAAAAAAAAAAACCAGAAAACACTGTAATTTATTTTGAACAACAATGTCCGTATCCTATGCATCGCGCGAGTCCACGGATATCGTCTTTCAAACAGCGGCCAGACGATCGGTGTGGTCTTCGTACAGCAATAACATGATTGTTAATTCGTGATACGCGTATTATATTATTGAATCGTTGTACGGAACGTCGATACCACTTTCGCGGACAAGCGCCCGACGCGATAATATTATTTTATGCCCAGCGTCGCACCTATACTCTAATACGCGGGATGTGATGTGCACCGTGCCACTATCCTATTATTCGCAGCACGTATTACATATTATTATTGTCTCACGGGCATAAGGGGGGAACGGTGGTGGGGGGGGGAGGTTGTGTAAAGCGAACGATGTCGACGACGACGACGGCGCGACGGCCGCAAATATAATAACAAGACCGTCGCCGCCGAGAGCCCAACAACAATAATATTTTATTATTAATAACAAAATAATGACGGACGAAAAATTGATTTACTGGCCGTGTACCTATACTGCCGTTGTTGGGCGCGTAATAAGTATTATAGCGAAAAATTAACGAAAATATTACGGCGACGACGACGGCGAAAATGCACGTATAACCGAGTTGATCATATACGAAAATTTAAAAAAAAAAAAAAAAATAGGTACCTACCTAATATTGTATATACAATAAACCTAAAATGTTTAATATACATATATATAAATATATATATATATATATAAAAATACATATATATAAATACATATATATATATATATGTATTTATATGTATTAGTTGTATTCGTGTGTACGTGGTGTGTGTGTGTGTGTGTGTGTGCTCACCAGATTCCGGTAACATGGCGGTCGCGCTGACGGGTTCGAAGTGCCGCAGCGGATGAGATGAATAATTATTATAATCGTGATGACGGTTAATATTTACAACGCGATGTGATAATAATTTGATTTCGTATAAAATATATGTGTATGTTATTTGTAAATGGGTAGACGTGGAAAGCGAAAAAAATTTTTGTTTTGGAAAAATAAAAAGAAAAAAGAAAGATATTGTACGCGGAATGTTGCAAGAGCTACACTACTACCACTATTATACACTGCGGCGGCCGAATCGCGCGCCTCCCCTTCAGACACGCGCGCACCTAGCGTACGCCACCGTCCCTGTCCACCGTTCGCGCTGCGTAAGTCCGCACTCCGCGACGACCCGATGACGCCTCACCCCACCGTTCTCCCCGCGCACGAGCGCGCGCGCGCGCCCGCGCACAAACGCACGCATATTATACCCAAGCTCGACGCTCGTACTATATACGTATATAGATGACGGCGACACAACCGCCGCCGCCGCCGCGCTCTCTCCACCGCCACACCATCAACCCCCATTACCGCGCTACCATCGTATATATATATATATATATATATATATGTATATACACCGACACTACCAACAAAGTTCCCTGGTCGTCCCCTGTACGATATAACGAACGCGCGCGCACACGCACACATCACTTCTATACATTATAGGTGCCGCTATAACACTGCACCCGCGCACCGTGAGCCAGCCGATATTTCCGCCGCCGCGTGACGTCAACCAAAGGACGCAGCATTCGGCTCCAGTGTGTCCGCGTCGTATCTGCCGCTTATCTGACTCCAGCGGACGCGGGCTGCTCACGGCGGACGGCACGCACGTACACACAAACACACCCGAGCGATCGCGCCCGCGCATAACGTTAAAAATATACGTGTATATATTGTACAGGTATATATTATAATGTTTGTGCGCGGGCGCCTATCGCGCGAAGATCGCGATGATTCGTGCGAAAGGAGTTTGACCAGAATATTGTCCGGGTGGACATAATAATATACACCATCGTTTATAGATGCATGTATCGTGCAGGTTATAGGCACCTAAATATAATAATGGTACGGTACACGAGCCATCATCATCCAGAGGCGGGTAAACAAAATCAGGGGATGCATCCTCTCCACGACCTTTTCCGTTCAATATTTCAAATAATATGCATCGCATTACCTATATATTTATAATGTAAAATAATGATAATTATTAAACGAATGTTATAAAAATTAGCCTCCTCCACTCTCCCTCCCCCATTCCCATGACAAAATCTTTTGACCACCACTACCTACCAACTAAACTTAACCTAACTGATACAAACCTGACATTACTGTATATTAAGAATAATTACTATCGGTTATGACGTCCGAATCGCGAGCATTTACGGTTTAATTCGACAGTGGTACTGAACTGTATACTACTACATACAGTCGCAGGCGAAATAAAAATTCAAAGACCACAAGTCTTAGGTCCGTCCACCAATCTTGTTAGGTGAAAACGTTGTATACGTCTTAAACTATAAAACAATTACAAATTTTAGTGATTCTTACGAATTTTTGAAGAAATATATTCTTCAATATATATGTCCCATATAGGAACGTTGCCTAAATTATTTATTTTTTTGACCAGTAAGAACTAATTTATAATGAACCTTGTATCAACTTCCTGAGTATTTCATGCAGGTCTAAAAATTCCTATTAATTTATTATATAGTCAACTCACGATATAACGAAGCTCGATACAACGAATGAAACTGTCGGCCCTTTGAAAATCTCGTGATATATACGTAAAATTAAATTACTTCTGTCCCCACGATAGAACAAAGTTATTTTTGGAGCTTGATATTTCGAATTTTTAATTTTTATTAATACTACATAATATATATATATATATATACCAAATAAGATACACGTCTGCTGATGTAAAATGATTGATATTATTGCTTTTATTGGTAATACGGAGTTTGTTTATCATGCGATAATGTAAAATGCATGTCGTTAAATGTATAATGACTCTGCAACATTATTGTAACTTCTACGTTATCGTTTTAGTTAAGTTTCGTTAGGACTGTTTTAGAACGTGTGGATTTGTGAAAGTTATTGATAAGGAAGGAGACGAATATTCCTTGGCCCTTGCCACTTTAGAAGTTGGCAGTTAATGGCTCAGATTACCTACTGTTTCACTTCTAGTCGAGCAATTATCAACGTTTGAAGAATCTGTTACTATTGACGTTGATTTGGCTGTCTGTGGTTCTCTCAATGACGATGAAACTTTAAACAAAGCTGATGACGACGAAGGCAATGAAAAAGGTAATAACGAAGAAGAATCTTTAGAGGAGCCTTCCATAACCTCGAAGGAAGCAAAATCAGGTCTCCGTGCCGTCTTGAGTTATTTACAGACACGACATCGACGACAGGATGTTTTGTAAAATTTTAAATTTAGATAACGCTATTGACCGAGTAAGCGCAAGCAGCTACACAAAAAGAAAATGATAATAATAATAACTGATTTTTAAAAAAAAATAAATACATATTTATACGTAATAAACAATAAATACTTATTGCATATGTAATAAATAATGACTCATGTATGTATTATTAAATGAAAATGAATATGTATTTGTAGGGTATTGATTTAAATTTTGAATTTTTTTTAAATCTTGATACAACAAGCTTTTTCCTCGGTCCGTTGAAATTCGTTCCATCGCGAGTAGATTGTAAATCGAAAATGTTAAATTGCCGTAAATAACTTTAAGAGAGCAAAAATAGGTAGGTATTTCGGTAATCATACATGGTCTAAAAAATGCTAATATCTATTCAAGTGTTTCGTGTTTTGTATCTCAGATTAAGATTCTTTCTTACTAAATTAAAGTAAGTGAATATTTTTTTTATTTCCCAAATAATTCATTAGAGAATCTTGAAAAAAAGTAGAAAATACGGGAACATTTACGATGTTAATGCAGTTTCGTTATTATCGATTTGTTTTTTTTTTTTTTGTGAATCAATTAAAAATTATCGTAGAGAGCTGAAATTTGTACAAAATACTTATACATATTAGCTTTTTTTATATGTGGTACAATTTTTATTTATATTAGATTTTTGAGCTCTTTTTAGGTATTATTGTCAATGTTGGAAGAGTTCCTTTTAAAAAGGAATTCGTTCCCGTTCCTCGTTCAATTGCAAAAACGGAACTGGTTTCTTCAAGCGTTAGTTTTTTTTTTTAATACCTATAAATAATTGTTTTATAATTTTAATTTAAAAATATCACTAATTAATTTACTTTGGAAATATATAAATATTTTATTATAAAGGTTTTCATGAGTTATTCATTACTCATTAGTCACTTTTGTAGATACCTAATTTTTATAAAAAAATAATAAGTGTATTGTGTGAGTTAAACATATTAACTAATATTGGAAACAATCCTTTTTTCTTAGAATTTACATGTTTAAAATCATTTAATTTAATTTAATTTATTTCCTATTTTATAAAAATGAAAATGATAAGAACGCATAATTTGATAATTTTAAATTAATCTTTTGTTACCATTTTCAACCATTATCACTAATACACTGTTTATTTCATGATTATACAAGTACACAACAATCCAAGGGCGGCGTCCCTGGCTCTATTTTGGGAAGAGGGGTTATATATTTCTTTAGATTCGGAACGTAGCGAGAAATGTATCGATTTTACAATGATTTTTTTTTTATCAATGAACAACTTTTCCATCAAAAATCTTGCTCCAATTTCCAAGTGCAATTTCCAACTTTTACTGAAATACCATTTTATCTGGATGGTTATTTTTTGGTTTTCTAAACGGTTTTCATAATAGTTAAGAAAAATTGGAAAATTTACGTAATTTTTATGTATAAAAGAAACTTCTCTCCAAATCGTTTTTTGTTAGTACAAGTATAAATTAAATTTTCCTCTATATCCTACCTTCCCAATTTCTCATCAACAACAAGACCTACCCATGGTGTGAAGGATATCCGTATTTGTTCATATAGAATTTAAAAAAACCACCATCATAGTATAGGAAAAATCAATTTAATAAATTTTAATTTGAAAGTGTAAACGTGTGATTAGATTAAGTGGAAAGAAGTATCATGTATTTTAAATGACAAGAAAATCCGATAAGAGTCCTTCAAAAGCATGTTAAGCCTGAATATGTTGTTTGGAGTGTTAGATTGTAGAGAGGAAAATAGAACAGAGAATAAGTCTGGCAGAAATAAAAATTCTTTGGTGGATGTATGGAGAGAAAATGTATAAAATAAGGAATGAGTACATACAAGGAAGTATAGACATAACTTATGATAGTAGGCAAAATGAGAGAAAATAGACCGAGAAATAAGTGGAAAGGAAAACCGAAAAAGAGTTGGTTGGATGTGATTGAGAATATGTGGACAGTGGGTACCTATATGGAAGGTAGAATACTAGAACGAGAGTGGCTGACCCCATATAGTTGGGTGAAGGCGAGGAGAAGAATAATTATATGTTACATGTTATCTTTAATAAAACTTCCAAACACTCCCGCATGCAAATATATTTGTTTTGAAACAGTAATCCCGTACTAATGGTGTCCTGACAATTGAGCGTGTGAAAATTAAGTGAGGACAATAAAATTGATCTCGAATAAAATTGAGCGCTGTGACAATTTAACGTAGTATATGATTTCCATAATATGTATGCATAATGAACAAATAAATACAAAAAGGGTTTATGCACATTTATATGTCTGTCAATTAAAAACCCATCTAGATAAAACCCAATAGATAACTATCATTTTTCATTTGATCGACATTAAAAGGTACCTAGGTAATATAATATTGGTACTGATGGCTGATAGTAGTTTTTAATTGTCATCTAGTATTTTTTATTAACTTCATATAGTCCATGGTGTTAAATATAACAATGTTTTACCATCTATTTACGAACTTCTTCTAAATAAAACAGAAGAAATAAACACTTATTTATTAAAAAAATCATGAAATTAAAACAACAATTAAATCCTGCAATTTCTATAATGTTCGACTACGAAACTGCTGCTGAAGACCTAAAGTATGTCCCCGACCTGTAATAAATAGATGTTTTTTTTTCATTTCAGCCAATGTGTGTGGTATAATATTTAAGATATTGGACTTTCCATAAAATACTATGAAAATTCGGAGTTTGAATTTTATTTTATAATCATATACGAAATTTACCCTTTACATTTAAATAAATAAATAAAATTAAATACAATATAAGTTAAAATTGGTAGAGAACAATTAAATTAGCATCAATTACGTTTATAAATTACAAGTTATGACAGTAAACTATAAACTATTTTTGAATATTAAAAAGCTAAAATGCATTAGCATATGTTCTCCCACGGCCTGTTAATGCATTCGACGACCTATTAGAAATACATAGAATATATCTAATTGGTTGTAACAAGCACAGAAGATTCCCACAATTTGATGTACAATTAATTGTAAATGATATATCTATAGGATCAATAATACTGTTGAAGTATAGCTTATTCGTTTAATTCCATATGAAATACTGTCATCCATCAATTTGGAAATTTGTCTATGCTCTAAAAAAAGAAGAGGAATTAAATCGTATGAAAATATATCAATTTATTCATTGTAGGTAATGAATCAAATCCATCAAAAAAAGTAGGTACAAAGATTCACCATTAAGAATAAAACATATTAGCTAACAATTTAGTTCAAGATCAGCAGATAATTTTTTAAAAGGAATCTCACACAATATTTAATTGCATGTATTTATTTTTATTAGGCAAATTTACCTAATGGCTAATTTGTTTGTATTAGGTACTTATTACTATTTTTTTTTTTTTAATTGCACGTATTAAATAGTATTATTTTATTTTATACTCTAATAATATCTCGTTAACTTTTTAAAAAATACATGATAACGCCCAATTTGTCACATCGCTCAATTGTTGTAGATCCAAAGCGAACACGGTTTGTGTCACATTGTGAGCACTTTTGTGGCACCCTATAAATCAACGTTCTAATATACCTTTATAATAGATACGTATTACTTCACAGTATAATAAGGTCAAATATTGACGTAAAAACTACTCTTCCAATATCGTATCCATGTTTAATATCTATGATTTTTAATTTCTCGGAACTTTTACATTTAATCTACAACTCTGGTTTGGATATATTTAAAAAAAAGACAGGCATACTTTGCATGTGGGTGGGCTACTATTGTAGGTGAGCATAGGCGTGCACACCGGGGGGGGGACAGCTGCCCCTCCTGTGGGCTAAATTTTTCTTCCAAAAACTGTGAAATTTCAATTAGATATTATATTAAATAAATGATACATAAAATTAAAATACATCCATTACTTATATTGGTTGAACTAGCTAATAAAATAATATTTAATTATCAATACATATTATAAAATAAAATAGCATTTTTGTTCGGGATAAACTCCGAAACGATTAAATGGATTTCGATGCGGTTTTCACTAATGGATCGGTTGAGTCTAGGGGAAGATTTAAAGCTATATTGACTTCCATTCCCCAACATTCGGTTTTTAGGTATTAATATTAATTATTATTATTATTATTATTATTATTTCTATTACCTATCTCAGTAATATGGATGAAATGAGAAAAAAATTTAAAATGTAGGTATCTATGGTATTAATATTAATACAAATAATTATAAAGATGTATGTGCCATATTATGCAATAAAATTGTAAATTGTCTTAAAAATTCTTTGCGTTTTAGTCATGCATATAATATACTATGGTTCTATAATGATCTATGGCCATGCCTAAAAAAAGATCTAATATAGGACACAACACAGTCAATGATAAAAGAGTACTTACGCCTAGTACGTATAGTAATGAAACTTCTGCTGATCGAAACTATAGACTTTATGTTTTTCCAAAAATATCTAACGTTTCTACTAAGACCTTGAGTTGGTTTTAGAAAAGAGCAATATTGTCATCAACTAACGATCAAGTCAATGAAATAAATGATATGGTACTTTTAAGATTCAATGCACCAACAAAAATTTACTATTCAGTTGCCTTCTGTTATTGATACAGGAGGCGGTACATTATCCAATTGAATTTTTAAATTCTTTAACCCCTCCAAGGACTCCACCGCTTAAATTAATTTAAAAAAGGTATGTTCTCCTATAATATTACTCTAGAACTTATGTCCACCAAAATTATGCAATAGCACAAGATTGCAAATAAAATCTTTAAAAAACTATCTGCTTGAGTGTATGATTCTTACCGAGTGTGGAGCTAGTAAACGGTCTTGGTTCATATTATACCAATTATCCCAATCAATCGGCCATTCTAGTTTAAACAGCTCCAATTTCCTGTGAAACTATGTTTTCCAATGATTATCAATAAAGCACAAGGTCAAACATTAAATGTTGCAGGTTTAGACCTAACCGTACAATGTTATTCCCAAGGTCAATTTTACGTGGCTTAGTCACGCGTTACATACGAAAAAAAAATGTATTTGTGTTGCCTTCAGAAGGTGAGACACCTAATGTAATGTATCCAGAAATATTTAATGCTTAAGACAAATAGTAATTTAAAATTTAAAAATATATGCCATAAACTTATAACACAATAGCCGAAACTCTGCCGAAAGTGGACTACCCACGTTCCACCTATTTGTTTTTATTCATTAGTGACACGGTCAAATCTAAAAAGGAATATGGGTAAAAAAAAAATACAAAGGCACAGGTCAAGCCGGGACAGCTAATATTACATATAATATAGGTATATATACATTCTGCCCCCCTGCCAGCAAGATCTGCGCAAGCCTATGTAGGAAAGAAGTTGGGAAGGTAGTAAAGAGGAAAATTTAATGTATGCAACGAATAACCATTGCTAACAAAAAAGCGATTTTGAGCGGGATTCGGTTAATAGTGTTACTTTGTCAATAATATAATACGTGCGTCATATTATGGTAAAATAATTATATATGCATTAGATATTTTCTTTAATAATACTTGTTTAGTAATGCAGTTACCTACTTTCCCAATTTATTATGAAAACAGCTGAGAAAATAAAAATTGACCTACCTAAAGTTCCACCCCTTTCAGAATAAGTGCTATCATTGTAAATCAGAGCAAAATTTCAAAAAACCCAAGTCTGTACAAAGTCAGATCTTAAGCTCATTTAAGGGTGGGAAAAACTGGTATATTACAAATGAATAAAAACTTTGGTGGCTATGTGTTATAATCTGGATTACTACTTTTTCTTTATTTATCTTGGTCTCCTCAGCAGTGAAATCTATGTACTTCAAAACTGTTTATTTTATTTTTCTTGTTAATATTATAATATATGCAGTAAGGTTAAGTATTCTTATGCAGAATCTAAGTATTTTGTTTTTTGAAAAAAGCTGATCACCAGTTCCAAGAATGACTAGTCGCTCTCGGAAAAGATAATAAAACTAAGGCCTAAGAATATTTGCCTTCAGATTGTGAAACGCGCATTCTTCACCATGTACCACTTTATGTACGTGAGACCACGCTTTCGAATCTTGGGTATATACACTCTTATATATATATATGGGTGTAGATACCTGTGTTAATTACTAATCAGAATTTACTTAATCAGACTATGATTTCATAAAACTTAACTGACCAGACTTGTTTTTTTTTTTTTTCTTAACCATTAGAATCGTTCCTTACGAATGTAGTTTCCACTGGGTTGTAAATCTTAAAAATAAAGCAATATTTCCATCTTAATTAAGTGTGGTGTTATTATTTCAAACTCTTTTCCCAACATCTCTGAAGTTTTGGACAAAATGTAAATTCCATAATATAATAGTATTGTAACATACTGCCAAGTCCGGTTCATTATAGGGAAGGAAAGTCCAAAATTGTTTTATTAATATTATACCTCACTAATATTTTTTACATTTAAACATGCACAACTGGAAAATGTATTCCACTTCTAGTTACAGCCTTAGATAACTATTTAATTCAAGTAAACATTTTTTTTTTAATTCAGGAGAGGCGGAGAAGGTTACTTCATCTCCTCTCTAATTTAATATTAGGCATGACTATAATATATTTTGTATTTTGTCAGCTTTATGGGGATAGGTGTTTTAAAACTCTGATCTTACATTTACATAGAATGCAATGGTCTCCAATTAGTTTTCATTAGCATCTGTTTTTAAACTTCCTAAATTTTCTCTGGTCACAATTTTACATTTTTTCTGCTTATCTAAAAACCATAAACACATAAAGGAATAAAAAATTTGTTTTAAATCTCTACAACCATTGTAAAAGTGTATTAAAGTCTACACACAGAGTAACAGTAACAAAAATCAAACCTTACAGCTATTTGTTATTGATAACGCAGAAATACAAACATAAGTTCTGTTTCATAAGTCATAATTCTTCACGAACCTGAAACCATACAGATTGAGATTTCAGGCAGTGGCTCAGCAAACCTTGCTGGGAAGACAAGGGATGTTGAAATAATAAATCCAACAATTTATACAGTGTGATTAAAAATTTATGAGTTATTTTATCATGTAAATATTCAAAATAGAAAAATGTATAATACTTAATTTTTTGATTTATAAAGATTATCTTTTTTACTATGAGAACTTATATTCAAAATTGTTTAGTGTTAGTTTAAATAAATTCTGGTGATAAAATTGTTGATTTCCATCAACACGTTGATGATATTATTCAACTTTCTAGTATAGGTAGGGGGAGAGTAGTGAAACACTATTCAAACACCATTCTCCGTGCTTTGTCACCATACAAATACATAGTATTCCACTACGCTTCCTCTACCTGAACTAAAGAGAATATATTATCAACAGGTTATTTTCACACCAACATTATTTAACAAGTTGATTGCGTGAATATCATGGCTTACATGTTTTATACCCTAGTTATACATATCTTTAACTCATTCATTTTACATGCTTTCAGTACTAATGCTGGTAACACAGTGTTTGACTCAAATGTTTTGAAGGAAACATTTTGGAACTTTTTTTTTTGTAATTTACTACACTGAATACTATTTTTGGTACAATATCAAGCTATTAAAATAATGTAACAGTTAGCTTGTTAACTAACATTCCATCTATTTATGTAATTTGGAATATAGGTTCTCATTAGAATTTCAAAAATTAACTCCAAAAACAACAAAAAAATATACAAATTATTTTCAATTTTTAGAAAAATGTTTGTATTATATATTTTTCTCTATTTTCAATATTTATATTATAAAATGACTATGCAACATAAATTTTAAATTAGCCCATTTACTTGTTAGGGAATGTAATAGACAATAACACACTCATCTCTGTATAGTTGTTAAATATTTGTATGTGAATCATTAAACAATAGTATTAGTGAGATAGTAATGTTTACACAAACTCTCCTCTTCTATTGATTAATACGAAACAAATTCCCCATATTGATATACATTGATTAAATGTGGAAATTACATAAAAATTTTTGTGTTTCTGAAAGTCTGCAAATAGTATAAGTTTTAAACATAGATTATGCATTATAATCAACATTTCAAATTATTTGCAATTCTAAAATAGAATAAACAAGCTGTAACTCATACCAAATATAATAAATATTAATGGATAATGTAATTTTATTCAATTTATTAGCAAATAAACTATAAAAAAAAAGTATTTTCAACTATATATATAAAAAAAAATCATTTATTTTATAACATACCTACACATTTATTTCATTTAAGTAGGTGTAAATAATATTATAAAAAGAACCAATAGAAATAAGCAAAAGAAATTAATTAAGTGAATTATTATTATACATAATAACCAATATTTAAGTTCTGGCTCATAAAAATTAAAGTATAAACTACTATCGTTCAAAACTGATGTGAGAGGAGTATTATTTCAAAATTATAAACGAATTATCCTTTTCGTAAGTTGATAATGGGTCAGCAGCACCTGTGTAAACATAAATATATTTCTCAATTAGTATTTAATTTATATACACTATGTAGATATATCGGGCCTATAGTAAAATAATATTTGTACATTTATAAACCAAAGAAAATATCGTAATGTTTTTCTTTTATATGTTGATTTACTAATCACTCAATTTTAATATAATATATAGTATATACACAATACAGGGTGTCCTATGAAGATTAAGTAATTTTTAAGTGCTAGGATAATAAAGTTACATTACCTCGCAACTTCAAAATAATTTTTTCTTCAAAGAAAATCCTGTATAATTGTACATAAGAATACTAAATATTTGTATTATTCATTGTATAATATGAATATTACATATTAAATATACAATATTATGTACTCTGGATAAAAACAAATAGTAACATTTAAAAGAAAAATCTGTTTTAGTTTTCTTAGCATGCATTAATTATATGAAACATAGGCTATATCAGTACAAAGTAAGACAATATAAATGATAAAAATGGTCAAATAAAAAAATTATACATCCTAGGCTTTCCATTTTCACTGATTAAATACACACCTTATACCTACCATATTACAGTTTTGACAAATTGGACGGCGTTCGATGAGCTCGCCCTGTATAAAAATCTACCACACCATCATGTTGTGCCAACAATGAGGAACATACTGGTGTCATCACAACCATCAAATCAACATCATCAATATCAACAACACCATCATCATCAACATTGGTAAATGACGCCCCAATTAAGTTCATTTAACCATAACACTCACATTCTTCCTATATGAATATAAAATTCAAACTTTTATATGGATACAATTATATACGATACCAAGAGGATAAGAATTACAAAAAGAAATAGATATTGTTTTTATGGAATTTTTTTTTTTTTTTTTTTTTTTAAATTGTACATTAAATTAAGTTATAAATGTTGTTTAGTATTTATTCAAAATTAGTTAATTCAAAAATAATTATTACTTTGTATTATTAAATATTGGAGTCCAGAAAAGAATATAGAAGAATTATATACTTCATTATGTTTGTGGGTGGTAGATATTTTACACAAAGTGTCATTTAAGTATAAATTTTTAAAATTAAAAAATATATATCATATAATATTATAGTATATACCTTGCTTCCACTCCTTGATCTTAAACAAACGTTTATTAATTTTAATTTAAATCACTGCAATTGTTTGGATTTCTGTATTTGCATAAGTATGAGTTACAAATTTTAATAAATATATAAGAAAATTATATTATGTCGCAACACCCAAATTATAAACATTATGGACTTAAGGTTATGTTTATAAATAATAACTTAGTATAAAAATAATGTTTGATCGATAAATTGAAAATAAAAATAAATGTAATTACTTTTTAAACACAATTTGAATTATCTGAAACATGAATAATTTTATAAGTGGAAACAAAGTTTTTAATATTTATTAACATATTAAAGGAATATAAATACGTTGTAGCTCCCAGTAAGCAATATTATTAATATAATAATATTTATTGTAAAAATAATGTAATATACTAATATGTTAGGAAAGCCGTCTAAGATATTCTCTAAAGCAGTGGTTCTCAAACTATAAATTATCAACCTTGGAACTCTACGGAAATCATCCAAGAGCTTCGCAGGTTAATTCACAAAAAAAATTTAAAATAGTTTTTATGAAATTTTAAAAACTTGATACTTGGTGTGTCACATATTCATTTATTAACCTAGGGGCTCCATAATAAAATAATTTGAGAACTGCTGTTCTAAAATAAGTGTCTAAACCTTTTTTAACCATATAAGCTAAATATATAAAAAATACTGAAATAAAATATTTACTACTATAAAAATATATTTTAGCTTTTTAAACATAGTAATTAAAAAGTAATTTAAAAGTAAATTAGTAATTAGTAATTATTTGGTAAACTATACTAAGTGAATTTGAAAATAACTTAAACAAAAATGAATTTATAGTTTGCTAAATTTGTTTAACAGCAAAAATTATTAGTTTTTTTCTTTTTATACATAGAATGGTTATGAAATTTGATTATTGTATCACAGATTTGCTTCACACAGGCCACTTTTTGTGGAGTCACAAAAATTACACTGTTAAAAATACATCGTTTTGTATTGATGGTTTCACACAGTGTGTCGTACCGTAAATGTAGTGACAGTTTACAGGTTGATCCACGCCAAGTGTCACTAAGATTAGAGATACATAGAATTGAATACGCACTTTCACACAAGACACGACACAAATAATGAAACAAACCATAGATTATCAACTATGTACACTGTGTTCAACTTATTATTCATCATATTAATTTATTGAGTTATTTTCTTTTACTATATGTATCTATATTTCATACAGGTTTTTTTACCATTTTACCATTTTGAATCTCAACAAATTGACATTGTAATAGGTATATCATCTTCAATACCATTTTTAAATTAATAAAATTTATACAAATTTTAAAAATTGAAATGATAACAAGTTATTAATAATAAGTCTAGTAAAATGCCTAAATAAAGTTTGTATTGATTGTATGAAAACCATATGGATTTCGTGGTGCCACAAAAAGTGGCTTGTATGAAACGAGCCATATATGATTTTACACACACATTTTTTTTTATTAGTCAAATTATCCCCGAAAATAAACTAATGCAGCTGACAATGTTTGTTAAATATTTTAATATATATTTATTAGTTTTTCTAACTTAATTATTTATTGTTTTATAAAGAATATGTTTATAACATAAAATATGTAGGGAGGGGGGTGAAGTGTGAATTCAGCTGCTCACAAGTGTTGTTTGTTTTTTTTTTTTTTTTTGTATCGTTAACTAGTTATATATTAACTTGTACCAAACCAATATTATTTATAATTAAAATAATTTTTTTTTGGTATGAACAATAATATTAATCAAATACACACAGTTTACAGTAAAATTATTTAAAAATAAAATGCTATTTAAGTAAAAGAAAAAATTATTCTAACAGTGGCGTTCAAATAATTTTGTCATGTAAGTGATGAAGCTGATTTTTAAATATTATTATTCACATTAAAAATATAAATAAATAAATAGGTAAAATATTAAATATTATAATCAAAATTGAAGAGAAAAAGATCATGATAGTCCACCCTCCCCCATTTGACTGCCACTGAAATATATAATTATTTACTTTTTAAATCAAAATTATTAATTACTGTAAAGCATTCTGGCTTGAATAGTATGTAAATTATATAGCATGCTAGTTATTAATGACTGGGAAAAAAAAAAAAAACAAGATACATTAAGTGGGTAGTATCATCCTACTTTGTTACCTAAAATAAAATAAAATAATCATTTCAATCAAAAAACTTAAAAGTATACCAAAATAAAATAAATTAGCATTCTAATATGAAATAAGTAAATATAAACATATAGCGCCTGTATTTTCTTCAAAACCATGCACTCAGTTGTGTTTTTAGATAGCTCTTGATAATAGTAAGAGTCTCGAAATTCAACCCCTGAAGGGTGGCTCACATAGGATTTTTATATTGATACAAAAATCAAAATATTTTTGTTGATTTATATACATATACATTCTGATTAAATTCCAATCTAAGCATGGATTAATTCTACATGGTATTTTTGAAGATCATAACATACCAAAATATTATACATACTCAAATAATAGTTAATAATACACAAGTGTAAACCAAGACCATCAATAATATTATCACTTCACTCAGAATCAACATAAATATAATTACATACAATTTATATTTAAAATACTGCTTATTCATTAAAAATTAAAATAATAACTATTACATAACACTAAAGCAGAACAACAAATTGCAAACACATTATTAATTCAACTCAACTTAAATGTTTAAACTAAAAAAAAAAATTATAAATAAGTACAGCTTAAAAATTCATAATGAAAAAGTGAAAAAAGTTCTATTCAAATCAAATATGTGAATGTTTTACTTATTTAAAAATATAAATAAACAGCATTCATCCATAGCTTCAAATTTAAAAGTTGTTAGTCAACTGTAAGCAAACATTTATTGTCCTGACACCAATATAATGTAATATTGTACAAGAATTATCAATTAATAAAAATATCAAATTCATCAAAAATAATAACACCTACAAAATGTAGAAACTTTTAATAAAATCCACATTTTATGTAAAATACAATTATTTTACCATTTTAAGGAAATTCTGTATTATAACTTGTAATTAAATTAAAATATGAATTAACAATATTATTAATTATTAATTAATTATTAATTAATAATAATTAATTATTGTATTAATGCCTAATGTAAAAATAATTATTTAATATTCAATTGCACGTCAAAACTGTTTTCATTACACATTTTCAACAAAAATCAGAAATACACATCAAAAATAAGAATTAATTAGTATATTACCAGAGTTTCAAATAATTATACATAATTACCTTAACGTCTGTAACCATAGTTGACTTCCTTACAGGAACGAGAGAAATGCCCCACTCGGTTGCAAGAGTAACATCTAAGTGAATCACGATAGCTGTTGTTTCTTGATGACCTACGACTGAGCCCACGAGTTTTTGCAAAACTAACAGTTAAGAAACTTCCATACAATTCCCTATATACAAAATATAATAAGAAATTAAAATACACTTTTAATTTATTTGTATAAAAATATTTAAATTGTTCAAACTTTGTACTTACATTCCATTTGTACGTTTTTGTGCCTCTGCGGCATCCTTATCTCTTTTGTACACAACAAAAGCAAAACTTGGTCTGGTTCTAGACATCCATACTTCAAGTAATGTACCATAACGTTCAAATTCTTTTTCAATGTCACGTCTTGTTATACTGCTACCTAGTCAATAAATAAAATAAATTATAAGCAAGGTTAATTAGGATAGTAGTCTTAATTAACTTGAGGTAAACAAAGTTAGCATAAACAGATGTGTACTTTATACTGTACCTATGTCTCGAACGTGGAGCCTGTGTTTATCAACAGGAGTTTTGCTTCTACTGCGACTACGGCTTCGAGACGACGGCGAACGACTTCTAGAATAGCTTCGTGATGTACGTCGACTACGGGAACGGCTGCGGCTGCGGCTCTTTGAGCGAGTACGGCTCTTACTTCTGGACATGATTCACTAAATAATTGAAAATACATTTATTAGTTAACCATTAGCTGCCTACTAATATACTAACATAAATAATTTTGTCGATGTGGCTATCAATATTTTTATATTGTTACCAACCCCTTAAGTAACTATGTTAACTTACGTTTCACTAGAATCAGATTTGTTTCTCCCACAGCACATGTACTTATAGTTAGAATGTAAACGACAGTCCACAAATTGGGCGTATTTGTAAGATTGGTATTCACTAATTAAAACAAAATGCAGTTTAATCGGAAAAAAAAAAAAAGTCAATTATCCAAACTATAATAATATGGCGTAATGTACAAATGTTAAGTACATGCGATGAAAATGAAATGTCCAATAATAATTGTAGCTAGCACTGCGAGTTGCGACTGCGCATCGGCGGCAAGCGCATCAATTAAATGGATAAATAATCAAACAATAGTAGCGTCATGGAAGAATAAAAAATAAACTATGATTTTCGTCAGTATAATATGTATTCAAAATATTCAAACAGTGCAACCACCAACTAATAACCAAATATTATTTTAATTTTTTTACAGTGTTTTTAAATATTTAAACATTTTAAACTGTGGTATAGGTACTATGGTTTTTTCAAATTTACTATTTTATAGTTCGATACATATCAAATAATTACCATATACTATTATAATACTGAGTTTTTTAGATTCTAAGTGTATCGAAGAAGTTTATGGTTATATAATGATGTTTATTTTTATTAATTTTTTTTTTATATGTGAAACAACTTTTCTTCTACCAGAAATATTGCTCCGATTTTCAATTGTAACACTTTTTCTGAAAAGAAATTGACTGGGGAGTTATTTTAGGGAGGTAATTTTTTGATTTTATCAGTTTTTTCAATATATTGGAAAAATCCGAAAATATATGAGAAACCGGGAGATTGGGAAAAAAGTACAATATTAAACAAATGTTATTAAAGAAAATGTTAAATGTGTAATTATTTTACCATAATATGACATATATATTATTGACAAAATAACACTATCAACTAACCTCCGTTGAGAATCGTTTTTTCGTTAGCAATGGTATTGTTGCTCACAGATATACGTTAAATTCTCCTCTATATCATTTACAACAGTACCTAGCCTATCCATCGTGCAAAATTGCCAAGCTTTTTAATAACTAACATAGTATCAAATTCTGTAATACAATTTATATAATGGAAAACGTTATTAATGTTGATTGTAAATGCGAATTTCAAGTAACTTAATGTAATTTATTTATATTCTTTTAGTCATTACTTAATCTTGAGGTACTACCAAACTGTTCATTACTATATAATTTGTCAATGAATTTGGACTTATGTCCGTTAATAAATAAATAAATAAGGTTTATATATATGGCTGGAGTATGATATAAAAATGTCAATTATCCTGTAAATAATTCTGAAACACTTACCAATAAATATTATTACAGATTATTATAACCAATTACACAAGTAATTTATTTTACTTTTAATTGGAACATTACAAATTTAAAGATAATAAAAAAAGACGGACATACTTTGTACGTAGATACAGTCATTATTGTAGGTAGTCAGTTAGGAAGGTAGAATACACAAGGGAATTTAATTTATATGTGTAAGCAACGGTAAACCATTGCTAACGAAAAAACGATTCTGAGCCGAGTTCAGTTGATAGTGATGTTTTGTCAATTATGTCATATTATAATAAAATAATTAAATATGCATTATACATTTTTTTTAATAATATTTGTTTAATATTGCAGGTAGATACCGATTTTCCCATGTTTTTTACATTTTCTGGGAAAACTTGAGAAAATCAAAACATGACCTATCTAAAACACCTACCTCCCCAGTCAGATTTCTTTTTAGAAAGTGTTCACATAAAAAAAATAAACATCAATTTTAAAATCAATACATTCTTTGCTACATTCAGAATTTAAAAATATAATTACCTATAAGTACTTGTTCTATCCACCTATTGAGTATAAAAAATGGTAAAAACTGATTGATCACTACCTGATTGATACCTATGTATATAATTTTTAATACAAATTAATTGTTATCAGTACGTATCATGATTATATTATATTTGCTATTATTTTATTAAATCATATTTATGTGAATTGTGAAATCAAATTAGTGTAAGTAATAATTATTGTGACTTGTTGGTACCTAGGTATACAATGAATCATAATGTATGACTAAATAACCATACCTATAAAGTACTAAGTTCACCACTACCAACATTTTAGTCTTTTGCATTTTGGTTATCATAAATCATAATATATCATTGTACTTTGCAGTTTGTACTTACATATTATTATTATAATTATAGTTAGGTATATGAATTCATTTGAATATTTAATAATTTTCTTTATAAATTGTAGGACAAAATTGTTAGGAAATAATATTGTGAAAAATAACGGACATTATATTAAAGACATATAAATATTATTAATTATTTATAAATATTTATATGTCTATGCATAATACAGTTCAAATAGTATATTCTGTTTTCTGGGAAAGTTAAAAAAAAACAAGACTATAAGTTTTTGATATATATTTTAGTGCAATAAAAATGAATTGTGATAAATTTTGTATCAAATTTTCAATCATTTTTGAGATGTTAAAAAAGAGAAATGGTCCCTTCAAAAAAATGTATGTTTTGGCGAATTATTGTTTTCACATTTATGAATAGGATAATTAACAACATATCAGATTCATTCAACAATAAATTGCAACATAATATGTTCACAATATTATTGTTCAGGATAAACATCCAAGTTAGTTCACAGGAACCAATTGTCTAGGGATCAACTGACCTAGATCCATAAAAATCATGTTATCCACATAATATAATACAAATAAAACTCAATAATTTAGAAGAAAAATAGCTCAGAAATCGATGGAATATTTTGAAAATTGTATCATATTATCATATTTTAAATCCCTACATTTATTGATTTAACAATATTTCTGGTAGATTGAACATTTTATTTTAAAAAAACAGCAAGCAAAACCAAAATACATTCCACACTAACCTATAAATTATTCTAAAATAATATGTAAACATAAACTAAAGATTAATATAAATTGTTATTCAAAAATAATGAAAAATCTTTATGAAATATTTGAATCTGTGTTTGTACGTCTAATCACATTAAAATATTTTCCGGGTGAGTATGATTTCGTTTGTATTGTTTTTCGTTAAAATACAGTACTAAAATATGCATTTCAAGAAATTTATTTTTCAATAAAATAGTATTCCTATACATATACATAATATTATTCCAGAGGAAAGTTATTCGATAATGATAATTTCCTTTCCTATTTTTTAATTTGCAATATTTGAATACTTATAATACTACAAACAATCTATTGGTTTTACTATGGTATGTGGCTTTTTTTTCTGTCTAAACAATTTAACAAAAAGAAAACTTACTCTGATGTATCAAACACCTTTTCTGAAAGGAAATTTTATTTAGTTGGTGTATTAAAAAGGTTAAATTTATATTTTCTAAGGGTTTTACAAAAAATGTTAATAAAACCAGAAAGACGAAAAATAAAAACTAACAAATTTATGGTGTATATTTTCATTATTTTAAATATGTAAGCATAATGTTCAAGTCTGTTATTGATGCACCAGAAACATAGTTTTAATAAATGCCAAAAGGATTTTTTTGTTGAACTTTGGATCTAGTTGCTCATAGAGCTCTGTACGGTTCGGTCTTTTTATGTTGGGATTGACACTGGTCTAGTCAAGTTTGATCCACTACCGACTGCATGGTATTAATACTAATACTACCACTGCAATTTATACTTAAGACAAACATAACATTATCTGTGTTAATAATGCCAATTCTCTCTCTTCTCCAAAACAATTTCAAGTACACACAATGATAACACGGATAACACAATTATATAATACAATTTTTTGTTTTTTCATACTATTTTTAAATTAATTAAAAGTTTATCTCGTGATTCATAATGTATGATTTGTTTTCTATATTGCCTATTTTAAATTTATAATATCATATCATTATAATAATTTGTATTTGTATTTATAACTGAAGACATGAAGACAATATACTTGCATGTGCTATCTCAGTCTAACGGACAATATAGCAAAATCTACTTAACGTAGACTGAGTAGAACTCTACTAATTTTGGTTTGAGTAAAAGCACCTATTATAAAATCAAAAAGGACAATATTCCAGAAAGCAAGATGATGTGTTTCTTTTTGATAAATTCATTTTTGAATTTTATATTTGGAATAATAGCTCTTTTTTTCTAAATTTATTATAAAATAATAATGAAAAACAAATTATTACTGATTGTTCTATATTTTTCGAAGTTAAGACAAAATTAATTGATTTTTTTTTTTTTTTTTGTTAATTTTGGTGTTATGGGTAAAAAAAAATATATATATATCTTATGTAATAGTAATATAAACTTAAAAGAAAACATTTAAGTATATATGTTTTGTACAATTTTGTGCATAACAATTATAAGAGTAGCTTAACATTTTGTTAATTATTATGCTAAGTACTATATTTTTAACAAGCAAAATTAACATTTTATTTACCATCAGCATAAATAATAATAATACGAAGTCTGTAGAACAATTATACTTAATTAACATAATAGTTCACATTTAATTTAATTAAGTTTTAAAATTATTTTAAGTTACTAACATATTAATTTAAAATAAATTTATTATTTAAATTTAAATAAATATCTTATATAACATTTTATTTTCAGATAAAAAGTATAACAAAATAAATAAGCATTAAACAGTATTTGACCACATTTGTATAATGATTAACAATGCATTGTAGTGTATCAAACTAATAAGTAGCAAAACAAAATTAATGAAATTAACAAATTAATTTATTATTTAAATTAAATTAACAATGTTGAAATTAAAACTGCAACATTATTAACAAGTTTAATTTAATCAAAGGATAAAATGATTTTATTAAAATATTGAACACAATGTAATATACATTAAATGAAATAATTTAAATTAAATTATTTTAAATAATGTTTTAAACTAGTTGTACATTATAATACTTTGGTTAAAGAACAAGTTCTTGTTTAAAAATTATAAACAAGATAAAAAGAAAGTACATTAAAAATACTATTATACAGAATTAATTTATCATAACAATTAAAAAAAATAAAATAATAGATGCAAAATACAAACAAAATTCTATTATTATAAGATAATAAATCCAATAATAACTAGTGTCAATAAAAATTTGGCATACATTTAAATATTATATTGAGTATTGACTAATTTTATCTTTGGCCAAAGTTATTCATTTAAATTTACTTTATGAGTTTTATTAATTAAAAATTTGAAAAAATAATACTAAACTAATTTTGTATGAAATATTATAATTAATGTTTATATCCTTTTATCCCTAGATAACTATAAAATAATAATAGAATTTACATAAGATACAAATATCATATTGGTTTTCACTAAAAATGTCATAATGTATAATATATAATTGTAATTAATGGGTAGCAAATATCTTATGATACACTAAACATGTTTTAAAAGACCTATAATGAAGACCTTATAAATCACTATCACAGAATTAGTTTTAATAACAGAACAACACATGTTTAAATTCAATAAAAGCATAAATATATTATTTATATATTTTTATAACATCTTATAACTAAAAAAATATTGGGGACGGAGTGGCGGGTTACAGTTGGTCTCTCTTTCTAGGCAAGATGATTGTCTAAGGAAAAAGACTGTTAACCCCCAAGTCAGATATAATAAAAATCTTAGGGTGTTAATTAAAATTTCTATTGTTATAGAACTGAACTAGGTCAAGTCTATTTTAGTTATAAATGAGGGAAGAGGGGGGGGGGTTAATAATGATGTAATTGTTAGAGATTAGGTAGTTGTTTATAATTAGTTGTTTTATTATTTATTTTATAATTATAACTTTAAATTGCATTTGATTTGCACACAATATATTTTTATTTGTAATAAGGTAGTAGGTTACCTTATTAAATAATCATTTAAATTGCATAAATATATTTTATAATAAGTAATGACAAGTTATGATAAGTAATTAAGAATTAGACTAATTAAATATATTAATAATTTATAATATTACTGTTTTTGTTCAAAGATTGCTGCCATATCTTTAATACAGAATTGAGATGGTCCATCACTAGTACTGTACGCTCGCTGTCGAACTGAACTGTAAAAAAAATATATCATCATATTAATTGTTATGTACATAACACTTAAGTTTAATTAATGATTTGTAAATAGTATTTACTTAGAAGATTGTTTATTTATTGTTTTGGATGTATTTTGGTTGTTAATTACATCTGAAGAATTTGTACACCCAATTAACTGATTAACTCTTGATGCAACTAAACCTTTAGTTTCTTTTTTAGCACAGTTTTTACGTTCTAAACTTCGTGTATACCATTCTTTTTGTTTAGAATCATCTAATACATTAACACGTTCATCATAAGTAGTTATCTTTACGAAATGTTTTGGCTGTCTGGTAGAAGTAATATTAAAATCAGTGCATTCATCTGGAGATTTTAAAGATTTAGCTCTTAATCTTTTAATTATTTCATCATCATATAGAACACTTTCAGATATTTTATAGCGTTCGCGAAGAGCTAACCGACGTTCTTCTTTATAGCGATCAATGCGTTCACGTCTAGTAACATCTATATCAATAGATACTTCAGATTTTTGACTACTACTAGCATTTGAAAATATAAGATTTGGAGATGTTTTTACACGTTCCAAATTTTGACTATCAGTTGGAAAATTAAAGGCATCTAATGAAACTGTAGTCGTAACATGTTGACAATTATTACGCATGCGTCGGTTTTTTATCCAAGTAGAACTGTTTTTAGAAGATTTAGTAGAATCAAGTTTAATTGATGGTTCTTGTTGAACAAGTGTTGAATTTTCCTTATTTCCTAAAAATTATCTCAATAATAAATTTAAAAGAATAACAGTAATTATAAAAGCAGAATCCCTAATACATATTACTAATATGCCATTATTTTAAATTTAATTTTCACAAATAATCTATAAAATAATTGCCAATTATAATTTATATTTTGGTGTTAATACACTTGAGAATAGTACGGGAAGTGTTAATTTGATATTTTAAGTTTAATCACAAAAACAAATAAATATAATAACTCAGATATTAAATCTGAGTTTTAATATATTAAATCCCCACTGAAATAATGTTACTAGGAATCCCCTTTACTCAAGTCACTATAACTTGTACATATATATATGAACAAGTTTTAGTGTAAGAAACAAATTACAGGTTGTATATTTACCTTTTCTAATAAAAAAAAAATCATACAAGAAAATATATTAAATATTTGAAGAGATGGTGATAAATCAAGATAAATAAAATAGCAAGTAATATTATATTATTCACTTAAATTAAAAAATTTAAATTAACAGGTTGTAGTAAATTTATCTTTAAATAAATAAATTGAATATATTGACTTAGTTATATAATTGAACATTTTGTATGGTACTTACTATCATTGATTATAAATAAAATTAATATAAAATGGTATTTATAATCAATGTTACTATGTATATTAAATATTGGGACCAAAATTAATAACTGAATTTATCTATATTAATAAAAAGAAAAATCTGTCTGTGTGTGATGTGTGCATTATGCTAAATTATCGCACAATGAAGTCTGAAAATATATAATATACAGAAGAATATAAATGGATCGAGTGCACCTTCAAATCAGGTTTCTGAAATTTAACGTTGAAAAATGTGGCTTACACAAAATTGTTAGTATTTTTGATACAAAAATTCAATTTGTACTATTGATGTACTATCTTGGTGGTCACGAGCAAGAAATTACTGAGCATCAATAGTTGATTGATAGAGGCAAGGGTGGAAATAGGAATCATACTGAGGGGAGGAGGCATGTTTTTATTTATTTTTAGTTTAATACTAATACTGAATCACTATTTAAAAGATTAAAAAGCTAATTTTACATTAATAATAATAATAAATGTTATTTACCAGTAGAACTTGAATTTTCCATCAATTCTTTCCTCATACGTCTTTCATGTACAATATCTCTTCCAATTTCTGATTCAAATTTACGTCGACTAGAGTCTAAAAATAAGTCCACTTTACTTTCAATATTATCTTCAGTAGAAATCACCAAAATATTTGCACCATTTTTTTCATTAATTATTTTTTCAGAGTGCTTAATAGGTTCATAATTTTCAGTTGGTAAGGTAATTGTTTTAAATTTATCTTGTATTAACATTTCAGTATCTTCATTTTCAGGAGAAATTAAATAATCTATATTGTCTGAAATTGTTTGATTGCTTAGAATTTCAGATGTCTTTTTGTTTTTTACATTTTCATACTCTAAATTATCCTAAACATAAGAAAAAATATATTTAAATGCATTAAAGTTTCAATTAAAAATACATTACACAATATTATTAATAAATGTCAAGTACCTGTGGAGAAACTGACATTTCATGTTGACTAGAATTACAAGAATCAGGACTAGTAACAACTAAAGTTTCATAATGAATATTTTCAACAGATTTTTCTGTCTCAAAATTTAAATTTTCTAATGAATCATTAGAACTCTTACATGATGGAATCACTTCCTCATAACTAGAATCTTCTTGGTGAAAGATTGAATTTTTATGACTCAAACGTTCATAATTATTACCTACAATAATTTCATAAATACATTCATCTTTTTTTGGTGAACCGCTATGGGACTCAGTTAAAACTGAAATATCTGATTTCACTTTCTCTCCTATTATTTTGTTGCTAAAAGATTCACACTGGCAATTATCTTGTATATTTTTTACTTTGATTTCTTGAAAACTACGTCGGTCATAGGATAAACTTTTATTTATTATATCACCTTGATAGCTTAGTCTATTTCGAGGTGTACTAAGAAGGTTTTTAGTAAAAAAATCAGGCGATACAGTAAAATCAATTCCAATTGTTTGATAACCAGGTGTAGTGTTTCGATCACTATAACTATCTTCTGATAATGGAAAGTATGAATGTGTAGGTGTAGTAATAGTAGACAATGAGCCAGTACCCATTTCATTACTGTCAACATCTGTCATAATTTGATCACACTCTGTAAGTATGTCTGCAGCAACAGTCATCTAAAGAAAAATTATTTTATACATTTGAATAAATTAATAAGATTAAAAGATCAAAATAATTACATGTTCTGGAGATTGACTATCAATGAAGCGAATATCAGGTGAAGCAAATCGTTCCTCTAAATATGATAATCTATTGTTCTTTGAATGGTCATTATCTTTATTGGAATCAGTTGTTTTTTTTTTCTTGGGTGATGGATCTGCACTAATTGAATCTTCTATGTGTGTTATTATTGGTAACCGTTTAGCACTACTATTTAACTAAAAAATAAAAAATAAAAATTATAAACACAGTAACATTGATTTAATTAAAACAGATTTAAAACATAAATTCTACTATGATAAAAACTCAGAACTTAATGATTATATTAAATAATTTAAAACATTTAATAATTTATGAAAAAAATGAATAAGTAATAAATACAAATTTCTTGTTGTGTTAAATCTTACATATTATCAACATTTAATAATTTAAGTTTAGGTTTAATAACAAAACTATTGTACTTGTATTATTTTAAAAGGTTAAAGTCTCAGACACAAAAAACGGCTAGTAATTGTGGAAACTGCAGTGGATTAATTGCTTTAATTGTACAGTATAAAAGTAAACTATTTAATAATTGAAAAATGCAACTTACATTATTAGTTACAGATTGAATATGTTCCATACTTGATCGGTTACTAAATATATTATTTGTATCTTCGTCAGAAAATACTCTCATATCAGAGTTATCTAAATCAAAATTAACTTGCAAATCACTTAAATCTAAACAAAATATTAATACATTAATACAATATTAAACATTTTAATATTTGACTATAGCTACTAATTACCCATAACCAATAAAGTAATAAAATAATATGCATAATTTTGTACCTTCTTGACTTGGATGAAGAATAGGTGATGTTCCCAGATCTTCTTGATCAGCAAGTTGATCAAAATATGAATCATGTGAAATGGATCGATTATGACCAATCGAACTACATAGACGAGGAGGAGAACACGCAGGTGTCTCATTTCTTTCTTTCAGTGACACTGTTTCACTAACTAATTTAGATGCCTTTGGTGTGTCTTGAATACATTCAGTTATACTTTGGTACACACATTCTTTTGAGTCCTAATAATAAGTATATTTATGTTATTACATAAAATAAAATTTAAAATGTTTTACATTAAAATTAATATATATATATATATATGTATACACAATAGAATAAAATATTTGTTATTAATTATATTAATAAAAATTTCACCATTTTCTGAGGAGGCATAAGATTTGGTTCAGAATTTTTACGAAGAGGTGTAGCTCCAAGTGAAATACTACTTCCACCACGAGTAAATATAGATTTCCATCTTAACGGGGAACGCCTTTTGTTTGGATTACATCTTCTAGATGGTAATTCAATAACCGTGTGATATTTTTCAGGCAAACAAGAAGGTCCACCGCCTACAATTTTAAACATGAACAAAAGTATTAAGTGAACATGGTTATGTTAAATATTATTGTACTAATAACTTACCAACTTCTATATAATTAGGATCAGTTTTTTTTGAAGAAGTAAAAACACGATTTTGGGCTTCCTCAAGAGTTAAAAGTTTTGTCTGAGTAGATATTGCCAAAGACTTAGGTCTAGATTTTTTAGGAGTACCTAAAAAAAATTATTATGGTAAAATTTAACTTTAAGAAATATTAATTAATATAGACTTTAAACCTTTAGTAGGTGGTAATTTTGCTCCAACACTAGGAATAGGGCTAAAAATATAATCTGTATATCGAATTAAAAATTCAGTGACTACTGCTTGAATACCCACACCGTGTAAAGCAGCAACACCACTTCCATTTTCTAATTGTTTACTTCTTAACAAGTTTGGTGCCCAAACAATTGCAACATTCCTTGCTGTCATGCCTGTTTGTTCACCAAGAGCAGCTACACGTGATAAATGTTTCATCAAATATTCCAATGTCCTGATGATAAAAAAAAAAAATTATCATTTCAAATTCAAGATCACTTTATTAGGGCGCCAAAGTAACATTTGCTACCTTTCTAACAGGTAATAGAGCAAAAATTAGTTTTCCGAGTTCTAACAATACCTTGGTTCAAATTAATTTTAAAAAAAGTATGCCATCAAATCAAATACATTTTGTATGATTTGTTTATATCTCATTCCCCAAAAAATTATTTTTAATTCAAAATTTAATTTATCTATTTTTTTTTTTTTTAAATACTATAAAACTTAATAATACAGTATAGTTGCTACCCCTCATAAGACTAATTTTAGTCCATTAACCAAATAATAATAAAAAAGAAATACACATATTCTTTTCTAAAAAATGAAAAATATTTTGATTTTAACTATCATGTAATAAAATATATAACAATAAACTTATGTTTCTAACATATCATATTAAATAGAAAAAGTTATTTGTTTAAAATTTTTTATTATTATTGATTAAAAATAAAGTACATACATAGTAAATATAATAAATATTATTTACCTAATTAATTTTTGATATAAATCACAAACAAAATGAAAAGAAAAAAATTAAAATTCAAACACGTTTACACAGCATATGCTGAACACGACAATGTTTATTCATATACAACATATATTAGTAATATTGACGATTGCTTAGTTTATTGTGAAAAGGTAATTTAATTTAATTTTCACAGTAAGGGCAAAATGTCTAGCAGATAATATCGGTTTTACATTTCTTCTATATTTTATTTATTTTTCTAATTTTCAAATGACCTCATTAACCGATGTAGTAGTGAGTTTAATGGAAAAATTGTTTGCTGTTTGTTAGTATACGGGATCATCTGTTCTGAATCTAATAGGCACATAAGTCAATTAACGAGAGTCCAATAAGCGACGACCACTATACTATTAAAAAATCTATATACAAATATCATAAATATTACTATGTTTAATTTGGTGAATATTATTTTAAATCTATTGGAGCCAAAGTACCATTGCAACTTCAAAAATACATTTTTGTTATATTACCCATTAGACAAACTAAGATGGCAAATGTTATTGTAATATTTTCTTTAACTGTCCTAATAATTATATTAACGTACCTAAAATGAGGTGGGGGTAACTTTTGAACTGCTTCTCGCATAAGCTGCAATCTAACTTCAGTAGTTTTCTCAGGTACCGATTGTACCGCGTTTACAAATGAATCATATAATTGATAAGTACATAATGGATTTGGTAATTCTCTAAAATATAATTTTAACAATGAAGCTACACTATGTATGTCCTGTCTTATTGATTCATCTTCCCACAATGCTGGTACTCGATCCTCATCAAATGTTGATCTAATACATACAATACAAACAATATAATTTATTTTTACTAAATTGTTGGCTTAACTGGTAATGGATGTTAATAAGCCAAAATAAAAGAAAAATACTAAAACTATTATTTCTGTCATTCACTGAATTTAAAAAAAAAAAAATGTATATATGATACAAACCTTAATCTTTGAATATTTGATGTAACACCTGAGAGTCTATAAATACCATCGACTATTCCAAAATTTTCAATGAATTCTGCACAACTAGTTAATACATCGGGTACTATAATATAAATATAAAGCTTAATTAGTAAGGTACAAATAATGATTCATATTGGAATTTAAAAATAGTTGATTCTTACTCTTTTTAAAATTTAAAGTTAGAGTGAAATACAGTAAATATAATATACAAGGTTATTAAAATGTTTAATCTTATTAAATAGGGTCAAATGGGATAATTGAAAGCGATGTTATTTTAAAATTAAGGCGCACAAATAATACATATTAAACCATTGTATATTGTATACTATAATATACCATTGCTCTAGCATATGTTTTGATAATAAAATTGATATTTTGAAGTTATGTTAAAAAAATGTAACTTGAAAACACAAATTTTACAATTCATTTTCATTTACCACATGTATATATATATATGAATTTGTCCTAATAAATGACATTAAAATTATTTCACAGGACATATAAAAAATGGCATTTTCATGTAAATTAGATGTAAAATAGTGTATTGTAAGTTAGAAGTGAAAATATACCTTCAATAGAAGCATTCAATTTAGGAGATATTAGAGAAAGACACAAACAAAAGTAAAATAATATAAAATTTAAAGAATTTTTAAATTTTGTTTCCAATTGCTCTAGTTGATCTTAATAGTGAAACTATTCTTTATTGGTTTATATAGAAATTGAAAACCTTATATAATTAAATATTACTACATTCAATATTATTATTATGTAATTTACGAACAATCTCTTCCAGTATTTAGAAGATGTTCGCCTAAATCACAACCAAAAACTCTTTCTTTTAGGATTCCAGACTGTTTTAATGTTCTTCGAGTTGGCCTTGATAATATAAATGATCGAAAAAATGATATCAATTTGCCATGTTTTCTGAAAATTATAATAAATTATTTATATTATAATTCATTAAAATAATTATCTTCCTGAAAATATTGTTTTGGTAGAGGGCAAATAAGAGCACTTTTAAATATAAATTATAAAAATAATAATAGAATATTGTTATTTTAATAAAATAAAACATTGAATAATAACAGTCACCTATGGAAATTTAAAATCAATAATAATAATAATAGGTGCATAAATAGAAATTTCACTGTTATATTAAAATGTACAACTATATATAAATTAAATTAAAACACACATATAAATTCTCAATCACAAAATCACAACAATTAAATAAAAACAATTTCACTAATACAAATCATAATCAATTTAATTGTCAGATTACAATTTTAATTGGTAATAATTAATTAAAAATATCTGATAATTTTAATTTTAACTTATGTATATCAATTAATATGACCTACAATTGTAAATAAGTTTAAAACTACAATGTTTTTATTAATTTACAAATAATTTAAACAATCCCAAACTCATGATTTTATAGAAACAAATATAAACATTATAATCTCAGGGGAACACATGATGTTATGAGTTTAGCAAATTAGGGGTCCTGAGCTCCTACTAGTAAGCAATTCCAGTAGGCAAATGGTATTGTTCCTAAAGGGTGCAGAAATTTACTTTACCATTAGTTGACAATACCATTCTTCTTATGGAAGGGCATCAGAATACTGCCACTGTATCTCTACCTATTCGTAAGGAGTGACAAATAGGATTGTGTCAGGTCGACAGCCAGTATAAAATTAATTCTAAAAAGTATGAGCAGTTCTATGAATTTGGCAGATTATCCCATCTTGGATGTGCGCGAGAACAGGTGAGAGGAAATACCATGGTACATGATGTTTGCAGATGATATAGCTTTGATAGGAGAAAATTTGAAGTTAACAATAGGCTTGAAGAATGGAGAATACCATTTGAAAGAAAGAAACTAAGTATAAGTAGAAGTAGAACAGAATATGAGTTTAGAAGAACAGGATAAGATAGTAAACAACAATAAGAGGTAATAGGCAAGGTTGAAAGTTTAAAGTGCTTTTTGTACAAAATAATGGTGGCTTTCATGAGGATGAAAAACATAGGATTAAGTCTAATTGGATAAAGTAAATAGATGTGTCAGGTGTTTTATGTAACAAGAGGATTCCAATAAAATTTAAAAATAAAATGTACAAAAGTGTGATGAGAATGACTATGTTATATAATTCTGAGTGTTAGACAGTAGAGAGAATAGAGAAAATAGAACAGAGTATAAATCTTGTAGAGATAAGAATGCTTAGGTAGATTAGTGGAATGATGAAAGAAAATAGGATAAAGAATGAGTACATAATTGGGAACTTAGGCATGACTTCGATAGTAGATAAGTAATAGACAAATAGCAGGATAGCTGGTGTGTGCAAGGTAGGGAAAGGGGTCATGTGGAAGTTTAGAATAAGGCTGGCTAACTCTAAATATTTGGGATGAAAACAAACAAAAAGAAGAAGAAAATAAACATTAATAAACAAAAGTTATAGATTGTTTTCACGAACAAATTTTTTTAAATAATAAATAATCATACCTTAATACTGGTTTCGTTGGTTCAGAAAATGGAAGATTTCTTGGTACTTTGTCTGTTATAATAGCAACACAGTTTGATGGAAAAAATCCAACTAAAAAACCATGTTTACCTCTCCACCAGACACTTTCTTCGGGTGACGGCATGTCAATAACAGAAATTATGTCACCAACCTAGAAAAATAAAAATTAATAAAAGGAAAATGTTATAAAAATAAATCTGTAATGTAATTTCAAAAACAAGTATATTTACATTAAATGAAATTTCATCAGAAGCATGTGCAGTGTATTTTCTAATTGAATAAGCTGCAGCAACAGCAGGGGTGTTTATTGCACAGTGATCTCCATCAGCAACTAAAAGGTGATGACCACGATTGTCAAGTTCTAGCCAACTGAGTATAGGTCCACAATTAATCAAACTTTCTACTGCTATTTGAGACAACCTTTTGCAATATTTACTTATCAATTCTTTTACATATTCCTAAAAAGTAAAAAAAAAAAAATGTGGACATTTCACATAATAGAAAATAAAATAATTATTATACCACTAACATTAGGATTTTCACAATGACTTGGAACAGGTTGAAGTTCTGGAAGTAGACTAAATTTTCTGTTATAAACACATTTATGTAACTGATGGTCTAGAATTCTAGCATTTTCATAAGATCGTCGTAATACCCAAGTAGTATTTTGCGACTCTACTTTAATAGTTAACCAATAATCATTATCATTATCAATGTTTCCAAATTTTTGTTCATCTTCTTCAATTAAGTCAAACTACAGAAATGTATTTGTTTTTATAAGTTAAGTTTATTTTAACTTTTTATAATATTAAACTTAATTTATTTCCACCAAACAAAAAGTTATGAGTTTTAAAAACAATAATATTAAAACTTGAGAATAATAAATCAAATGTAATTAATAATACTTTAAAATGACTAACTTTCAATGATCCAAGTTCAACATGTTCATAGTGGAAATGGGCACATTCTTCTAATTTTGGAAATCTCGATTTTCCATCATCGATTGATGTTATAGGTAAAGTGGCCATTCGCATACTTCCATTGCTAACTATACTGCTACCAGAAGATCTTCCTTCAGAGTTCCGACTTAACAGATTATGTTCGGGCATCATTTTGAGAGATGTCTGAAAATTCACCAATTATTTATGTTTCTGTAACATTAAAGAAGAACAATTCATTACATTTGTTTTATAGAAAAACATGTAACATAATTCATTAAATCACTAGAAAAAAAAAAAAAGGTGAGTATTAAAAATGATAGTTATAATGATCATAGATAATGCTACTCATTAAAGTAAGATAAGCAATTATGATTTGTATTCCAATATAGATATGCTTAAAAATAAAGTTAATAGCGATTCAAATAATGGTTCAAGAACTTAAAATTGACTTAAAAATCTCCATACCACTTATTATATAAATAATATTTTAAAAATATTGCAATAGGTCTAATCTGCATACAGTTTAATTTTTAACCCAGAACTTATATTTTAAGAACAATTTTTTTTTTTGATACATGTATATAAGATAAAGAAAACAAACGTAGGTGTTGCACCTTCATAGTATTAAGACTATAATACAACTATTTTATTATTAAGATTTAAAATTCTAAATATTAGTATCTAATATTATTTCTATAAAAAAAACTTACTTTTGAATAAGAAGAATACTGCAATGTTCCCATTTTAGGTTATTTTCCTTGACAAATATTTGAGTAACAATAATGATTACGAGTTATGCTGATCTTGATTTACAAGATAATATTGAAAAGCATGACTTTTATATTGATTCAATATAAAACATAATACTTCCATTTGTTCCCTAAAAATAATAACTTATTTATGATACTTAACACAAGCAAAAATGTAAGTTATGTTAACATTTTCCTAATATTCTATACAATTATGATAGAAGGTACTTAGGAAACAACAAGTGTCTAGGATTTACTTGAATAATTTAAATAATATATTGAATTAATAATTTATAGTATTATTTTTAAATATATTAAATTGTTATGATTCTATGAATATTTACCTAAATATATTTTTAAAGTGTACATTGTACAGATAGATTTACCTAATTACATATTTATGACAGACATTTTTTTTTCCCATACAATGAGCACTATAATATTAAATTTTCTAAATAACTATTATATCAGATAATGAGTATCGTTCTGTGTTCTAATGTATTATTCAATTATAGTGTTAATGTATAAATACCTAGATTTTAACAAAGATAGTGATTGTATATTGAATTGAATTAGATACAGTTTTCAATAAACCATATGATTTGATTAACATTTGTATAAAATAAAGTGAGTTCATTTCATTTCACTGGAAAGCACCAATTTATACAGACTTCAAAGAAATATTTGAATAATATACAAATGTAATACTTAAATATAATTTTTTTTCAAAAACAAAAGTTATCCAGCTCTAATCAGTAATAAGATTATTCAGATTAACCCATCTCAATTCTAAGAATTCTATATCAAATGTAGAACGTCTTTGGAATATGATATGGAAAATGTCAATGCTTGGTCACGCCCACCGGATCTATCTAGTTGTCATAAAAATGATAATGGAATAGTATCTAAGACAGTGGTATTAACTAAGGTGTATTTATTTTTATTTAAATCATTGACCTTAATACTATTTATTATGTCTATCTGTTTAAATACACCTTGAGTATTTATCATGAATTAAAATATTTTAATTCGTGGTATCTACAACCACAAATATCTATATTTTACTAGATGGCGAATTCCATTTAACGGGCGACGCCAGCCGCCATTTTCTTCGTGGTTAATATTGTAAATATTGAATGTAAATGTATGTATTTAGACGTGTTTAGAAATTAAAATTGTAATTTAAACACCTACAGCTATAGAATACTTGATTATACAGATATAATCGGGAACTTCTTTAGTATGATAAAATAATTACATATGGTTCTAAAATCATTGATGAAATCAAAACAAAAGATATCAAAATATTGGAGGAAATTTCGCATTACGATTGTAACCTCGTATCCTCGTGTTTTTTAATATTTTCTTTAATAGTTTATATGTATTAATTATAGGTGTGACTAGACTTCATTAGCAGCGGCAGCCTAACTAATGATCGGTGCCACATAATGAATCAAAAAAATCCCCTTTAAATAGGAGGGGGAAAGGTGAGTCCCCTCAAATATTTATAAAATTTAAAAAGGTCTGTATTTTCTATTTAAAATTAATAATGTACGATATTTTCAGTACCTTTAAATTTAACTACAGAATTATTATTCAGGCCTGGATTACGCAGCCAAATAGTTAGGTAATTAACAAAATATATGATGTGTTAGTATATAAAATAACAAAAATGATAGAGAATAATATTTTGTTATACACAATGCATAAGAAATTTTTTTCTTAATAAAAATTGTTAGCCACTAGACATACAATTTGATTGACCGATGCCTTTTGAAAATTGCAATACCTCCCCAGTGAAATTTCCTTTCAGGAAAGTTGTCCACAGGAAAATAAGGCCATAATATGTTTAGCTAATACCTACATTTCTTACATTTACCGTTTTTTTTGGTTTTTCACATTTGTTGAGAAAAATCCGGAGAAAATCTTAGCTTCCCCCAAATATTTTAACAGACCCCCAAAATCGAACCTTTATTCGAAATGTTATTATTACTGTTATTTTTTTAAATAATTATCCGTTCATTTTTTGAAAATTGTAAAATAATATTTAACCAAAAAATGACGCAAATAAAATATTATTTAAAATCATAGACAATGGCCATCAGTTTATTTAAAAACAATCAAATCTAGTGGTAACCAAATTCATTGAATTTACGAATACGCGAGACGTGGATATTCAATAGACGCCTTGTCATAAACTATTGACAATAGCATTAACGATATCAATCAGTTCGGCTACTCATGATCGAAGTTTCAGTTTAATGAGAAAAATAAAAACTTAACTAAAGACATCGATGTTTCAAGATAGATTAAGCGATCTTTCTATACTGTATATTGAAAAAAACATGTTCAAAAATATTAATAGCAATGATATTTTGAATATCTTTGCCGACAAAAACAGATATTTGTTATTAAAATAAAATAAAATATTCTCTACCTACCACTCCTATATCTTAATTTCTCCTGTACCAAATACGTTATACTATATCCAGTCCACCGTAAGCGGACTGCTCACCCGCAAGACTCGACATTTTGACAATACTATAATATTATAAAAATTTCAGTTTTCTCAACATTTTTGTTCATTTCATATCTATTGAATTAAATCATATTTCTAAAAAAAAAACTCCGTGACCATTCTCTAGAGGAGATATTAAGAAATATTAGGATTTTCACAGAATTAAAATCGCACTAGCCTGAGTCTCACAATTTTCTCACAGCCGAGATGTTTCTATCCGAAAAATAATAGAATACTTTTTCAAATTTGTATATACGATATGTGCCTGCGAGTGCATAAACGCGATTACGCGACGAACATCCGGCGGCGTCACAGCCGCCGTGCATATTACCGATTATCTAAAAATAAATTATATAATAAAATAAGAAGACCTAGGTAATACAATAATATTCTGAATAATATCCCCCAATGATGATGGTTTATTAAATGTATCAATCTGTATATTATACGTCTAGTCCGTCACAGATCACAATTATTTATTCATTGATATGATTACGATAAATCAGTCATTGTGATTATCATCATTAGTAAATCAATTTGTTTTTTGATTTTCTAAATAAATTTCAATATAATTGGAAAAACCAGAAACGTGAAAATTTACAAAAATAATGCTTTAATTATTTTAGTTTTGTGTCTTTATTGTAATTCATATGCTATAACATGGATATCTGTGAGTTTTCAGCTACTGTTTGTAAAAATATTCCATGGGTCTATGGGTCACGACAGAGCTAATAATAGTATAATAATAATAATAGTATTGATATTAAGTATATTATAGAATAAAGATACGCCTTCTACATAGGTATCCATAATTATTAATTCGAAAACCAAATTTTATAATGTAATAATTCAATCAAATCGATGATTGCAGGAACGTCATGAGTCAATTATTTAAAATTTTTATTTAATTAATAAAAACTGTATAATGTAAATAATTTTAAAAACATATTTAATTTAAGATTGAATATTTATTTGAACATATCATACCTAAACTAATTATTTATAATTTCTGTATAAAAATAATTTAATGTGTGCTTATTAATGTTCTAATTTAATTTACTTGCACATTTTGAAGAACACTTTTAAAATGGCTTTTGATATTTCTGCAATCATTGATTCAATTTGAGTAGATCAGAATCAATATTGTTGACTTTCCCAAACTCAGTAAATATATAATCTATTAACCACGTATAATCTATCTATTTAAAATTAGAATAATTTTGGTTTAAAAATTTACCTTAAAAGTTTAATTTGTATTGTATTATACTTGTACAAATGTTCTTTCAAGTATTTCAACCATTATTAAATTTACCTTCTTACACCAAGAAAATGTCGCCTCTTGCATAGTACCACTCCAGATATAAATCTGTGCTCCCTGTATTTTTCGTCGGTTCTGGTTTCGGTGATATAGGTGCATATTCAGATTTTTATATGCTTGGATTCTGGAATTATACTTTCCGGACAAATACGATTTTTAGATTTAGATTCTGTGGAAATACATTCTGAGATTTAGACGTTCCAGGCATTTATTTTCCATAATAATACGGCGCACTAAATTGTCTATTAATCGACAAACTAATTATTTGGTACAAAACATTTTAAGTATATAGGTAATTAATTTTATTTACTTTTCTTATCTTTAAGAGATAGGTACCTACTTGAATAAAATTAGTTTATTTTATGTTCTGTGTTTCTGATGACAATGTCAATCAGTGGGTGAATTATTTATTTGAATAATAGCATACTTAATTACAATATTCTCTTGAATTTGCAAACAAATATAAAATAACTAAATTAATTGGAAAAAAAATAATGGAAAAATGGTTAATTCAATCACTATGGATTTCTGTGTTTGGATATCTCAAAGAATTTCGACCAGAAGATCCTTATACAACTCAATACTTGACAAACCCACCAATGAATTTTACAAATGAAGAAGTAAGTTTGATTTCCGTTTGTTAATAATAAATAATTTATATAATTTTAGATTCTGGGTGCAGCGAAGTATTTATTGGTTTTACAAAGATGTATATTTTTTTATTTTTTTATACTGAGTACTAAAATTCTACCAGAAATTTTGTTCCGAAGTATCAAGTATAGAATCTTTTCTGAAAGGGAAAGAATTTTTCAGAAGTATGTCAGTCTTATTTTTTTAAGAATTATAATATTCAGTAGAGACAAATAATACTAATTAACAACTAATAGTATGAAGGTACTCTTTTTTAACTCTTATATTATTTATAAAATATTTTTGCTATTTTAAAGTTTAACAGCTAATGAAATTGTTGATTAACGTGAAATAATTTTGGCTATAAAAAATCTCGGAAATTTAATAAAGATTTAAAATAGAGATGATCTTACTAATAAATAAAAATATTTAAGCGTATTATTATAATTTGTTTATTACATACGTAACTATAAATTTATAGTTAAAATTACTGTTGATACTTGATATTCGTAAAAAAACATTAAAATAATCTGTACTATTTTCATTAGGTAAAATAATAAAAAAGTCAAAAAAATAAAGCGTGGTTTTATAGCTAAATATTAAAATTTCAAGTTAAAAATTTAAGTTGGAAAACAAAATATTCTCCGAATCTAACATGTTTAACCAAGCTCCACTCAAAATTGTTTTTCGTCTGCAATATATGTTTGTAAGTACTGGGTTGTTATCTAGGTTGTTAATACTATATTGAGTATAAATCGTATTCTGTATTAAACTACATTATTGTGTACCCTATGTTCAGTGTTCACCCTTACAATACAATAACTTATTTCGTCGTGCATAGTTATAGTTTAATTAGTTTAACTAGTTATAATTTAATATTTTTTATTTTGTAGATAATTCAAGAAATATTTCCAGTGTCGACGTATACATGTCTTGGTCTTACAATTATTATATTTTTGGTTACTGATTATTTACGTTATAAACCCATTATAATATTAAATGCTATTTCAAATGTGATCACTCAAATATTTTTAATTTTTACTAGAACTAAAACTAACATGATGGTAGGTAGAAAAATTAGCCATTGGCATCGTTAATATAAATATCATAATAATTAACATATATTATTGGTATAATTTATCAATTAGCTTCAATAGGTACATATTAATCAACATTTTATTTAATATTGGTTAATATCAAAATTATAAACAGCTTTAAACTCCAAATTTAATTAAAATGTATTTCTGGATATTTGTTTGGAATAGATCATGGAAGTTTTTTACGGTACTATGATAGCTTGCGAAGTTCCATATTATACATATGTTTACACCAAAGTAGACAAGAAATATTATAAAATTGTTTCCAGTCATATGAAAATGGCATGTCTTATAGGTCGACTTGTTTCTGCTATTCTTGCTCAATCGCTCATTGATAATCATATATTAACAGTTCCAGAATTAAACTATCTGACACTAGCTGGTGATATATTTTATTGTTATATTATTTTGAAAGATTTTAATCAATTATTGATTTAATTCACTATAGGTGCAATAACATCATTATTATGGGCTGTTGGGTTACCTTCAGTTAAAAATAGTTTATATTTCCATCAAAGCCCTGCAAATAATAGCATAAGAGGAAGTAGGTATAAAGTTTATATAGCCTTTAGGTATTTTTTTTTTTAATTTTACATAGATAAATAAACCTTTCCTTTTAAATATTGGTTTGATTTATACACCTTATTGTGTGTAAATTATAACAATATTTAATTTCTTTATAATAAAATTCATAATATTTTAAATTAAAATGTATCATGTACATACCTATATAAATATTTTTAATTCATAGATGACATTAATGCACCCAAACCTAAAACAGTGTGTCAAATACTGTGGTCGGATTTCATCACTGCTTTTACTAACCGCTATGTTCTTCAGTGGTCTATCTGGTGGGCTTTAGACACATGCATTTATTATCAGGTACTTTTATAATAATCAGATTAAGTAATATTAAAGAAATGCCATATTATGTTTAATAGAGAAAACATTTTTGTATTCAATACTTTCAAATGAAATATTGTTTAGTCTAATCAGTCCGTTATCGAACACCGTTTCCAACAAGTATTTGTTATTTGAATTTAATATTTGTTAGATTTAAATTGTATGCCATAATAGACTTATAATATATTATAAGTCTATGTATGCCACCCAGTCAAAAAAATAGATTACAACTATAATCTTTGTGACTACCAGCATGCTATTAAAGCACGCGATCTATATAGGATTAAAGCTGATTTTACACTGAACGATTCGAACGCGCGTCTCCATGCGTTTCAAACGCCGCGATTTTAAAACGCAAACGCACTTCGCTTACACATTAATCGTACAAGACTACATATGCAGTAGTACTTCATGTTGCAGTCCACTGTTATTTCGTTTAATATTTTCAAATTTGGAATGCTATTATATGCTTATAGAAACCGCATGTATTATGTTCGCACTATACGAGGAACATGAACAAAAACAAAAACAAAAAAAATGAAATGGCGTCATTGGGTTCATCGGCTTAATCTATAAAAACCAGAAAATGGTTCTCTATTCGACACCTTAAGAATAAACTTGTCAGTGTCAAACATCTTTATTATATAAATGGATACGATTTGTACGGAGATTGTACAAGGTTGAAGGCACAATATTATGAATGAAGGAAAATAAAACGCGGCACGATCGCGGCGTCCGAATTGCCCGTATGTTATCAAAAACGGAAATGCACTGAAAATGCACTGGGAAATGATTGCATAATTATAGTTGAGAAACGCTTAACTGTGTGTGAATAAACCCATATAAAATTACATGTTTAATTATGAAGGATTAATCGCAACATTCAAATCGCCCAGTGTGTGATCCACTTAAACGTAATACAAAAATATCGCGATAACAACATCAAAATCGCTGTTTCAAATAATTACATTGATACTAGATTAATCAGTATCTCTTAGATCATATACTATAGATGTAACTATGCGTATAATTTCTCTATAGTACCGAATTATGTTCAACATCATCCCCACTACCTTCAAAATTTCATGGTACACGGCACAACTGCGTATGCCCAGATATCAGTATTTTTTCTTTAAAGCTTCAATAAAACGTCAAATTGATTAGTTCTTTACCACTTAAGATTGACATAAAACAGTTATTTTTAGTCAACCTTGAACGAAACCTATTTGTTGATGTATTGTTGACAATTTAAATTTTCGGTTGTCTTTTTTTGTTTATTTTGCCTAAATAGATATTTTCGAAATACTCTAAAATCTGTTCTAATTATTTTTTCATTTTCTGTATAATAATTACTTTCAATACGCCATACGCATATAACATTGCTTTCAGTTGAATACGTTTTACGAATTTGTTGTTTGCGAACAATTGTTTTACGATCAAAAGTTTTCCGAGCAATTCTTGTACGATCAATTGTTTTTGATTAATTAACTTGTATCCATGTATTAAGAATATACAGTACCTACCTATGCTTGTGTAGTTCGTAATTTTATGTGTGTAGTAAATATATTATTAAAACTATATTTTTTTAATATTACATGTCATGGTATTAAAGTATGTGTTTAGCCAAAAAGGTGAACATTTATTTGTATAGTTAACAATAAACATATACATTTTATTCATAGAAAAGAAACAAAACAGTAATGACAACATAATTTGGAAATGTACTATAAAAAGTTTAATTTATACAAAATAGTAGCAGTATAATTAAAATTAAATACAGTGATGTGACATTTAACCACAGTCTACGCATGCTGTACTAGAGGTATTTATCAAAAGTATGTATAGTAAAATTCGGTTAAGATGCTCCTGCTTAATACACTTTCCAGCATAAGACACTGTTTTCCGTCGGTCCCTAGACATACCCTATACCACGGTCTTAGAAAAACAGGTTCGACCATTGTCACCTTTTTGCTTATAGACCGACCGGATGAGTCAGATTTAGTTCACAATTTGCTCATAAGCGCTGCTGGTTATACTTAATGAGGTTATGTTATAATATCAATATATATATTATATCCATATTAAACATATGGATATCTATGATTATATCATAGTATTGTACACGGCCTCATCATCAACACAAAAACGTTTTTCACAAATTACATTATTATCATATAAATTATTGACATCAAGGGACTTCAACCATTCATTTTTAATGTCATCATTTTTTGAAATAAAAAAAACTCAGTTTTTTTTATTTTTATTGCATCTAAATATATAATATTAGGCATATTTTAAAGAAAATTATAAGTAATTAAAATATAATTAAGGATAAAATAATGATCAGTGAGATGTAGTATTATCTATGCATACAACAGTAGTGAATAACAATTAAGCCGGGCTTGGTCGCTAGTATAGTATTTTGGCATGCTTGGATCGCAGACGCTAACCAGGAGATTATTGTCACACTACCAATTTTATCGTATTATGAGGTTTAGTGTAATGCAGTTGAATTTGAATAATTGAAATATACGAATTGAATACAATAAATCCTGTAGGTCAAGACAAGTCTATTTAGTAATGGTTCTAATGTTGGAAGGTGAAATGCGAATATACGAATGCGATTATTGAGATTTCAGTATTGTACAAAAATTAATAAAAACTTTTAACTTTTAACTTGGTATATACAGGCTGTTCCACGAAGATATACCTCTTAACTTTCTCCGGAGATAGTAAAGATAATTAAATTCTGTTTTTTTTGTATTTCTCACAAAGATGAAGACTACAAATATTTATATTTGAATTAAATTTTTTCTTTTATTAAACAAATTCAAAAAATAACTTTTATTATTTTACTATTTTCGGAAAATTTTAAGATAGCCATTCTATTGAATTTATTTTTCTGAAAAATTTAGTGTATCACATATGTATATCCGATGAATAGTTTCTAAGTAACAGCCGTTTTAAATTCTACTAATCCGTGTGAAAACCGACGTTATCTTGGGAATAATCTAACCGCATTATCGTTAGTAGAATTTAAAACGATTGTTACATAGAAACTATTCATCGAATATAAATATGTGCTATCTTAAAATTTTCGGAAAGTAACAAAAAAATATTAAATTTAAATATAAATATGTGTACATGTGTAATCTTCATCCCTGTGAGTAATATATGACAAAAAAACAAAATTTGATTATATTTATTATTTCCGGAACAGCCTGTATTATAATATTTATATGACACTCAGACAAAGGGCACTATATAAATAAATAATAATAATATAGTGATATTTGTATGGACTTTATAATATATATTTTAGTTCATGGTTATCGTGATGGTTAATATAAACTAATTTAATGTCATAACTCCAATAAAAGTTTGTAGGGTAGTGCTTAATTTTACAGTGGTAAAATTTTGTAAATTTGCTATCTTTTTTGATATTAATGAGTAACTATAAAAATATGACCTAAAGATAAGTAAAAAAGTAAATAAAGTATGCAATTTTTTAATAAATTTATCTGTTCTAATGAATATGCCATTTCTATAGGCAACTTTGTTAAACTATCAATATATAATTTTGCAACAACTTCAGGTTTATTTATTATGTATACTATGTACGTAGAAACTTTGAAACATCTTTCTACGTTTAGAACCTTTCTTCCACGTGTTTCATCAGATTTCGTAATATTATTTTTACGTTTTAGGCCTGTAGTGTATTATATAATTTATATCTAAATATGATACTTGATATAAGGTGCATGTCGGGCGGTCTTTATTATTATAATTATTATTATCTGCGGTATGTGGTATTGTCATTTGCTCACCTGCGGTCAATTGTTGCGCACTGACTGTCTCTGTATACTTTTATTTATGCTTCAATAATGTATCGGCTATATATCATTTTATTAATAATAATCTCTTCGTTTATACCTATTGAGTTCCTACCTATTAGATAGAACAAAGCTACAATTTCTTGAAACTTAGAATGTCTTCTGTTTTTACTTGGCGAACAGAAAAACGATTTTTGTTATTAGCCTTTCGTACTGGTTCAGCATATTCACATTTATAACGCTACTAAATTATATAAATGAACGTTTTATTGCACCAAAGTGTCGATTACATAGTGAGTAGAAATATTCTCTAACAGAGAAATTGTGAATAACAATTGAAAACTTCTTCCTATCACATAAATTTAACAGAAAATAAAACACTCTGTAATTTTGTTTTGTTCCGATTGGCCATCGTTAACGAGTATAAAATATAACACTGTATTGAATATTTCTTTAACTATGTAATTCTACAAGAAACAACAAGTTCATCTGGTGATTTATTAGACTCTTTTTCATGATAAATGTGTATTTTAGACTTGTTTGTTTTCATGTCATGCGTACGAATGAAGATGTTTACCCATATACACAATTTCTTAAAGTTTAACGCACAAAGTTGTTAAGCATTATCGTCATTTAACGAGTTTCTGCATTACACAAACTATTTGATTCAAAATTAAATAGTTATGAAGATTAAATACTTAGCCAATTTTTTTACTTAACAATCTATCTATTTTCAAAGAATTATTATTAATTAACTAATTGTTTTTAGTTTTGGCGTTTTATGGATTTCTGAAATCGATTCAATTTTTTTTCTCACTACGTGGTACAAGTATGCTTAAAAAACAAGATCAGTTTGCGACTTTACATTTCAACATGTTGAGTTTGGACGATTACTCGCAATAACAAATTATTATTATTTTTTAATTGTTGTAGAACTGATGTTTCCTCTACTCCTCCTGACCAAAAAAAAAGACAAAAAACAAGAATATTATAAATAAAAACGTATACTTGTATATAGACCCAGCGTAATACTAGGTATGAGTTTATAAAAAACATCTGTAGACATTTTAAAAAATAATGATAAATATTTTGTTTATTTATTTTTAAAATAATATTCTATAAATTTTAACTATTATTCAAAAACTATTACCAACTCAATTTTAAAATTACTAAAATGTGTTTGGGTGAAATGGCAAAGGTCGACTTTAGGTGAAACGGAACGCGCCCAGTAGATTAGTCTCGTCTTCAGATTCCGGAAAATCGAAACCCAGATCAGATTAAGCGATCACATCGCAAGGTTTGCTGCGTAGGGACTGACCTATATAAATTATGGAATATTGTAGATAAGTTATTAATTGTCGTATGAAAAATTGCATAAAATTACTATTGTTTATTTAGTTTATGGCTTATGCTCAATCATTATATCAAGAAATGTACCGTGGTGGTACAGATTTAGAAGTAACTGATAATGGAATGATTGAGGCTATTTATACAATAATAAGTGAGTACTTATAATAATAAATATAAATTAAATAATTTATCATTTAAGTAGTAATTGTATTATAATAACATTAGTTTATTATTATAATTGCTTTTTAATAAATTTTTTTAGCTAAGCACTTATATTAGTTAAAAACATCACATTTTAATAGATGATATTATTAGAATAATTCAAGAATGATTCAAGAACACGAAAAGTGTTTGAAAATTGAAGAATTTATAGTAAAATTAGGAATTCATAAAGGTTAAGTTTGTACTAATTGTTTTCAGTTCTTAACCAGCAATATTATATAAGTCTGAATGTTGGTTATTAAATAAAATATACGAAATAAAATTAGAAGTAGGTACCAAAAATGAGAATGTCAAGGTCTATGTAAACCGTATGATGTGATAAAATTAGAAAGTATTATGAATGAATGCACAAATATACAAGAGGCAGTCTAGAAGTACCTAATGAATACCTATAGAAGGAATAGTGAAAGAAAATAGATAAAGACAGTGTGGGTATCTTGATGAGAATAGTAAAACAGTGAGATAATTAATAGGTGAGTTATTTTTCATGGAAATCATGAAAGAGTTTGGTCCCAGAAAAACAGGCTAGAGGTATCTAATTTGGGGTTCTTGGGTATTATATATTTTGAATAGACAATATAAGTAATATTATAATGTATATTTTAAAGGTACACTAGGAGTTTATGTAATTGGAATCATAATGGTACCAAGCTGGTGGCTAATAGGTACTCTAACTCTAGGCCAAGGTGTTATATTGTTGATTATGGCTCAAGATCATTTATTATCACATGCATACGTGGGCTATGTACTTTTTGGAACATTTTATCATATAATGGCTACTACAGCTAAGTAATTGTTAAATATCATTACTTCATAATAAACAAGTTAAAGTTTAATTTTGACTTTCAGAATTGTATATTCAATTAAAAAGTTTCCCTACATAATGGGAAATAAAATAAAATATATTGTGTACCTATTGTATTTATATTAATATATGCAGGCCATAGGTAGTAGCTATACTGTGAGATTATATATAGTGAGATGAACCCTTTTTAACCTGATGGTACCAAAATTAAATTTCCTCGAATCATTAATTTTAATTTTAATTCGAGATTTAGTATCAGTTACCATGATTTAAGATAAATTCATGAACACTAAAGAATGAATGCCTGGGCGAAAAAATGTGATCCAACAATATCGCAAATCGTTAGAATGCACTTTAGTCAGTAGTGATGTCGGTTTTACATGACATAAAGCATAGAAAATATATTGGTTTCAGATTCTGAGTGGAGTGAGGAATATATTGACTTTACAATGATATTTATTTTTTTTTATTCTGTGTACAAAAATTTTACTAGATATTTTGATCCGAAGTATTAATTGTAGCACTTTTTCTGAAAGGAATTTTTTTCTTGTTGGTGTAATGAATAGTGCAATATAAGGTTATCATAATGGTTTTAATTCAATGTTGAATGCAGTTCATCCATACATATGGACTTTTATTGACACATTAAAAAAATTATAATATAATTTAAATGAACTTAAACTTTAAAGTTGAACAACCAATTGTTAAATATTCAGCACCTAAAAAAAGATAAGATACAGATTAATTTCTACAAATTAAAAGTAGGTACCCCATTGCTGCAAATTTTCTACTTCAAATATGCGATAGTTAAATTTATTTTACTGATCAGTGATCATAATATATTTGTACCATTTTTTAGATTCTGAACGAGCAAGGAATGTATTGATTTTACAATGACGTTTATTTTTTTCTGTGGATAACTTTTCTATCAGCAATTTAACTCTGATTCACAATGATAGCCCTTTTTCTAAATTAAAATGTGACTGGGGAGGTACGTTAGGAATGTCAGCTTTCCGGAGCCTAGCCTCAGCTTCAGTCTCGCTAGGACCCGAGTTAGTTGCAACAACACGTCCCCGGATGACATCTTCTTCATGACTCTGATGTCCAAACCAAGAGCCTTGACGTCCACGCCCGTTTTGAGTTGCCTCGTAACGAATACGTACGACTCTGTGACACTCAGCCTGACCATCACGGCCACTGCCTTTACCGTCCCAGCCCTCTGACTATTACTTTCCCAGCTGTTTTCAAAATAAATGGAAAAAACATGGGAAAAACTGGTAAAAAACGTAGGAAAAATGTGAAAATAAGTACAAAATTAACAAATTTTATAAAAAAAAATATAATGAATATGAAATTATTTTACTATAATAGTACATATATATTTTTGACAAAGCAACATTATTAACCGAAACTCTACTCAGAATTGTTTTTCGTTACTAGGGGCCAATACAGGTATTCATTAAATTTCCCCTCTACCTTTCCAACTTTTCACTTATAACAGTGGTCCATCGTGTGAAGTATGTTCTTATCTTTTTTAATGTTATAACCTAAACAGTAAAACTAATGAATAATTATCATGTGACGTTTTTTAAACCAAATTGTCCTCGATCAAATAGATGTGTTTCCAAGAATATAAGATTTCTAGATTTAGATATTAGAATTGTTTTTAGAAAATACTTTTCTTTTTACTCGTTGGTTAGATTTAAAAAAAAAGTGGGAATTTTTGTTAAAATCGGGCGCTAAAATCATAAATACGGCACTGATTACCTATGTTTGGGTAATATTATTAGGTTAAACACTAGATAAACATTTTTTTCACTCATTATTTTATGTTACAATATATACCTACCTAGCTAACTTATGCAGAGAGCTAACTTCGGACAACATTATTTGGATAAACTAAATAATTTTTCATTTACTTACTGGATTTGTTGTGCGAAACCATATCGGGTAAGTAGCAAGAGAGAAAAAAATATTTTAAACGATTTTTAAAACCGTTTCGAAAGTGTGAATCTTACCCGACCTTAAAATCTATGATTTTTTTTCTTTGGAGTTACATAAAAAGCAATGTTTATATACCTCCCTTTCCAAAAGATCTTGATGAATTAAAATGTCGCATTACAGACGTCATCAACTTGATTATGGTCGATATGCTTCAACAGGTTTATAAAGAATTTGAATATCGCTTAGATTCATGTCGTTCAAATAAAGGAGGTCACATTGAACATTTGTAAATATTATACCTAAAACCTAATGCAATCTGAATGTAATCTTAAACTAAAAACTAAATTTAAACTCTATGTAATCTTAATGTAATTGACAAACATTTAAAACTTATCTTAACCTGATTATTCAAATTTTTCAATAAATAGAATTTGTTAAAATTGGATTAATCATTTTGAAACACACTGTAATTTGTCTTATGATTGTGATAGCGTGAGTTATGATAATATGCATTCATTGATATTATATTATTGATAGGTATATAAAATTCGAAAATATTTTTACTTATATTCGATTAAAGACAATTTAGTCTTAAAAAAATGTTTTAAAGTAATTATTCATAAGTTTCGCCATTTAAATAATAATAATAAAAAACCAATAAATTCCCTGTGCTTTATCTGTAAAACCGACATTATTAATGATTGAACCGCATTCTAGAAATTTTCGTTGTTTTAGACTACCTTTATTTACACAAATCAGTGTCCTTTTTCTTCATGAATGTTTCTTAATTCTTGGAAATAACTTTCATCAAATATATCATTAGTAATGATATTTTAAGGATAAAAAGTTGTCTTATTAAAAGTCACTATATTTTACGGTAGATTATTCACAATATAATATACAAATTAGATCCTAAAAATTAAACAATTTATATTTTCTGATAAAAAATTTAATTGTTTTTATTATAAATGTATTCAAATTTAACAAAATAGTATTGTGACATCTTTATTTTTAAATCAAATTATATTCAAGTTATCTAAATGTATTTTATGATTTTATATGTAATTGTTCGTATGTTTGTAATGTAATTTTTTAAACTAATACTTTATTTTTTTATTTTTTATAAACAATAAAATAAGTACCTTTTTTGTTACATATAAGGTACCTTACCTAGACATGTAACAGTTGGTTTATGAACATATTCATGTTAATGATTATTATACTGTTGTTTTAGTTGTGAAGTAGCCAAAAATATTCCAGAAGACAGTTTTGCATTAGTATTTGGAATTAATACATTCATATCACTTTTATTGCAAACATGTTTAACAGTGGTTGTTAATAGTCCAATAGGGTTTATGGTAAACATTAGAACACAGGTAAATGTATTACTTTTATTAAAATAAAATAAATAATGAATGGTGCATTGAATATTTACTAAATTAAAATCCTGGTAAAGTAAAGTAGTTTAACAAGTATTATTCAGGATCTTGAATCCAAATTCTTTTGTTTGGATAATATTTATTCTATTACTTTATGGCCAGCAAAACTATTTTTTTAACCTTTCTCTCCTGGGGCAGACTATAGAAGCGTGACCGTCGCGCGCATGGTAGCAAATTTTCATTAGGGTTTCTACGACTGGTTAGTTGTTGGTTGGTTGGTTGGTTATATGGACATATATTTATATTATACATATTGTTGTAATATATATCTATATAATATACATTTAGTAAGAATACTCAAAGTTCATCCTATAATAGTTGAAATACAGCTATACCACTTACTCGTTATAAGCGCGATGCGGCTCACATAAACATTGGAATATTTAGAATCCCTGGACTGCCCGAAAAAGGCCACCATGCGCGCGACGGTAAAACTTCTAGTTTCCCTGGCCGTATTATACATAATAGGTACTAAATTTAAGGTTCATGGTATATTTTTTAGTTTAATTCAGTGGTTCTCAACCAGTGTGTCGCGTATTACTGTGATATGTGTTCCGAAAAAATTGTTTACTTATAGTTTTTCATATTTTATAGTTTATACTGTACGTTTTCAAAGCATAAATATATGGCATTTTTATTATGTTATGATTAAACCCACAAATAAGAAAAACTAGGAAATTGACATTACGTGTAGGTACGTACAGGGTCCTATTTATGCAAGGACATTGTGGGTATCTACCCAGGGCCCATGCGAATTAGGGACCCACCTACTGAATTTAATTATTCTTTTAATTTTAATTAATCCTTAAAATTGAAGAACACCAAAAAAAATGTACACAGTCAAAAATACTTGTAAAAATATAAATTATTTTTTTTCAGTTTCATACAAAATATATGGGTATGAGATAAGAAATATTCATATTAAATGGATTAAAAATAGGCCAATTTTTTTTTTTTGTCCCGGGCCTAAAAAATTCTAAATCAGGCTATGGGTATGTAAATTAGCATGTCCTCAGGTCTCAGTCACAATCATCATGTTGTAATTTGTGAGCGTTCTGTGTGTCATTTTAATTTCATTAATTGTTTTAAGCGTGTCGTCACTTGCATGGATCTAAATTAGTGTGTTGTCATATAATAAAAGTTGAGAACCACTGGTATAGTTGGATAAGTATTGAGCCAAACCTTATATTAACTTCTTTCATTGACTTCTTTTAAAAATTAAACATGTGGCTGCATCATTTTGGGCCAACATTTGGTTGTTAAGCCACATGAAATCTTCATTTAAGAAATAAAAACTTACGTTTAACAAAATTGTAGACATAAAATGGATTGTGGTATATAATAAGGGGCTCTTGAAATATATTTTACCCTACTATATTTTTTTAATTTCGGCTCCACTGGAGCCAAGTTCGATAGAAAACCTTTTACTATGTAAACTAATACATACAATTAATGATAATAGTTATTTATTTTTGTATCTATAGTAGAATTAATTGGTACCTATTTTTGTAGATTTACATATACGGTCAATGTTGTATGATAATCGGTGTATTATTTACTATCAAAGCATTATGGTGTACATTGTCTAAACGGAGAAATGTTATTCCTTTAACATGAAAGTAAAACAAATTAAATAAATTATTAGTTTTTACTAGTTATTACTAATTTAATAACGATTATTTTTGTATGTTATTATAATATATTTTTTTTAATTATTATTTATTATTTAAAATCACGGACTTAAGTCCAAATACAAAGAATATATGACAGTTTATATATAGAAAGAATAAAATAAAGCGAAAGAGAAATAAAACAAAAAGAACAATAATTAAATAAGTTTTACATTAACAAAACATATCTAAATCACGGTTAACACTATTACCGGTGGTTCACAAAATATTTATTAATTGGAGAAGATGAAATATAAGTATCACGAGTAATATGTGTATGAACCTTACAATTAATCTGACTTAACAACAATGGGTCGTTAATATTGCTATTTAATAGTTTTATTTTTTTAAAGGAATAGTAATATCAATTCTTCTATATTGAAGAGATTTTAAGTTTAAAAAATTAAGAATATCTTTATATCCAGAATGCTGAGGCCTTTCTGTATTACATTTGAAGCAAATGTATAAGACATAGTTACTTCTATAAGTGTTTTTTTTTTATTTTACAATTTTTTTTCCCAAGAGTAATGGTACTGTAAAATAGAAACCATTTGCGTATCAACCCGTTATATAGAACCACGGCCTGCGCTAGGTTTTGCGAGGCCCTAGGCAAATTATTCCAGAGAGTCCTGAAAACATCTTTTACAAATCAATATAAGGAAAACCGGTACATTTTACTCACCCCCAAAATCGAGCGTCGTGGTGGCTTATCCCCCCTATTTATATATTTAAATAATAAATAATAATTTATTAACAAAATAAGTTGGCTCACTTCTTCGCTACTATGTTGCAAGCCGAGCCGACCTTTGAGCGATTGCGCTGTGGCATTTACACCGGATTTTATTAAAAAAACAAATATTTATGCTTAATATTATATAAATAATTTTAAAAAAAATGTATAAATATTTTACAATTATTCTCAAAATAATCAAAAAATCACCAATTTATATAATAATAGAAATATAATGAAATAATAATAAAAATGTATTATTATTTAATTTGTAAGTTAATTATATTATAGTTAGTAAAAACAAATAACTTACTCATGAACTAGATTGAAAATTTAACAAAACAGATCTTTTGATATTTCTTTATTGGAGCAATATTTATGGTAAAAAACATAAGTTGAACATAAAAATAATTAAGCCGGGACGCTACGTGGTCGTAAATCTTAATCAATTTTAATTTTTTGGTTTGTCCTAATTATTAGAAAAAATTACTTTGGATTTCAAAAAATTTTATGGGCGTATCTACGACTTCCATGGCTCCATATAATAGTCTATAATCTATATTATTAATCCTGTTTAGGTCCGGCTGTCCGGTTTTCATACGGTAATTTACAATGATTTTCGCGGACGACTAACATTACAGATCAACGTTGCGTAGTTCACCGAGTTAGGACTTGAATTCAGCACACCTTCTAAAGATACGCTACTGGGTATTGAAGGGGTGGGATTTTTTTTTTTTAATAAAATTCCAAAAATAACGTGGGTTATGTGATAAGTAAAATTCAGAACGAACTACAAAGCTGGGATAGCATTGTTTGGAGATGAATTTAAGTTTCACTTTGAGTAGTAAGAAATGTTTATAGTCTAAAAAAAATTGGATTTGAAATGATTTAAATTTAGCGGGTACCTGTAAAAATCTGGAACATAACATTTTTAAAAATACAAATCTTGAATCCAGAGTTTTACAGTTATCGAAATTTGAACCGTACAAACTACAAACTGGAGTGTACTAAACTTGAAAAATTATTTTATATTACTCTAGTATTACCAATTTTTGGATCAAAAACATACACGTCTGCGACCAAAAGCCATTCTTTTAAAAATTATAAGAAAAAAATAACAATTTAACCCTACCTTACTTATACTTGGGATATTGACTACCTAGAAGTTCTTGTCAGTGTCAGAGAACGGCTACCATTTTTTTTTTTTTTTAACAAAACAATTATTAGGTGTTATTATTAAGTAAATAAACAAAATTTGGAAAATTGGGATACATATATATATATAATTGTACATAGAAATTCAGATCTTTTTTTACGAAGTTGGTGACACGGGATTAGTAGAAAATTATTTTTAAGATTTGTAAATTCCAAGTTTGTACGGTTCAAATTTCGATAACCGTAAAACCCTGAATTCAAGATTTGCATTTTCAAGAATTGTACATTCTAGATTTGAACACTCAAAGTTTGTATATTCCAGATTTTTATTCCCTTATTAGTATACCATAATGCAAAAAATGTAATTTACAAATTAAAGTTACTGTTTAAATTTTTTTTAAATTGGTTTTTATTGTTTCAGTGATGCTGTTAAATTATTTAATTCAATCACTTTATCACTTCAATTTGAAAATATTAATAGATTTTCACAAATTCACATCAAATTTTTGGTTTTTTGAGAAATAGTTAAGATAACCTTCATGTTAGACCATATGTGACTGGTGACCGCATATGTTGGTCACAATTATAAATTGGAGTATATAAATGTCATCACATTGATTAATAATCACGGTCTAAGATATAAAATATATTACTTTAGTTCATCACAATAGGTAGTGGTGCCGAAGTCCTATATATGTAGTTGAGCGAGAAATAAAATTTATGTTTTTTTATATTAATCATTAGTAGCAATGCAGTCATTTCCGTGATATTATAATGGTGTGAAGTAAGTTAGGCTTTACTAACTTTAATAGAAACACAGGAAAATAAATAATTTTTTAAAACATTTTAATATTCAATGTATATTTCTATGTAGGTAATACATATTTCTAAATATATTTTATTAAAAACAGTTGCAATTATAGTTTAATTGAAAATAAATAGAAAATTGTAATTATTAATTTTTCTTATTTTATACATTATTTAATTTATTATACATTGAATTTTAAATTTCACTAGAAAATGTATTACAAATATAAATTTGTACATACAATAAACATACCAATTTTACCATATGTACCTACTTAATTACACAATTTATATTATGTAGTATTTAAATCTTTAGTAAAACTTAAGCTTTCTTTATTGAATTCTAAAGGCATGATACCAAGATTACCATTGTATCGATTTTTGGAAATCTGAAAAAAAAAATGTTTATTATATGAAATACAATAATATTAATATACACGATTAGGAAGGTAGGTACTTCTACGTAAAAATCAATGCCATTGAAAAACGAGTAGATCAATTATATTTTATATACAGGCTAATTATTAGTTATATTAACATGATACTATTCTACCTGTAAATATTTTTTAATTTGTAATGATTCCAAAGTTTTATATTGTATCATAAGAATGTTGTCTGCTTCTTGGGTTGCTTTAGCAGTACCAAAAATAGAACTGATAGACAGCTGTTCAGCATCTTTTTCTTTTCTCGGGTGCATAACTAATGTGACATGACAGTTTGAATATGTAGCAAACCGTCTAAACTCTGCTATTATTGAATCTTGTTGCCAAAATCGTTCTGCACCCATGTCGTACTTAGTACCAATTCCCATCATAAATTGTACATTATCAATGATCACATGGCCAATATCATAAATGTAAACAGCATTTACTATAGCCTAATAGAAAAATGATTTTGAGCGAAATACTGTTGAACTTGAATTGAAAAATGTATTTATTGACAATTATAAAATAAATTAAAATTGTAAGTATTTTAGATTCTGAGCAGAGCCAGAAACCAATGTATTGGTTATACAATGGTGTTTATTATTATTTTTTCTTTGGATAACTTTTTTACCAGAAATTTTGTTTCGATTTCAAGTATAGCACTTTTTTTGTAATTAAGGAAGGTTATGTTTTGATTTTCCCAATAAATGTGAAAAATTGTTGGGAAAACGTGAAAATTTAGGAAATATATTTATATTACGGCCATTTTTTGATTGATTTAGTGATATCGTTTGTTCTTTTTATAATACAGTATGCAGAGCTTGGATATTTATGCAATTTTGTAATTTGTTTTCTTTACAATTTAATCTTTACCTAGATACTAATTTGATTCACAAATCAGGTGTCATATACTGAACAAAATGACACCATTTCCAATTGCATAAAATTGCATATAATACAATTTTGATATCCAATCTAAAAACCCAAAAATAAATACTGTATAAATGCATTTTTTTAGATTTTGAGAACATATAAATGCATATTACATTATGTGACTTGAAATTATCTGTTATAATGGATACTATTATTTTATACTATATTTATACCAATATATTATGTAATACCTATTGGGTGCATTTAATAAAATGAGGAGTTTTTTTATTTTCTAAGTAGTTTTCATAACAATTAGGAAAAACCGGGAAAATACTTAGAACTAGAAAAATTTAAAAAAGTAATATTTTTATTATTTTCAATTTTGTTTTCTTGTAATTTATTTCAAAATGTTCTTACTTGAAATTTAGACAGAAAACTTAAATTTGCCTTTTCTAGACATGGTAAAACTTTCAAAACATTTAAGTCCTTTTTGAGTTATTAATAGACATTTTAATTTTGAGTTTTTTAAAAATCTATTCAATTTTTTTTTGGTAGGTACTCTGTAGATAAAATTGTTACCTAACAAAAATATTTGACGATTTTACAGGAAATTTATTATAAGTTGTAGCTAGTTGCCAAAAAGAAAAAGTTGAGTTTAATGTAGTATTTTTTTTTAACATACATTTTAATATCAAATGTAAATCGTAAATATTACGGCTTTTTAAAACATGTATAACTCCTCAGAATTGTTTTTTGTTAGCAATAGTTAACTTAGTAATTGAGTACAGATATATATTACATTCCCTTCTATATCCTACCTTCCCAACTTCTCACCTACAACAGTGGCGTACCCATCGTGCGAAGTATGTCAGCCTTTTCTTCATCTTAATGAATAGTTTAGAAATCGCCAGTATATTTTGAAAATTGAATCACATCTAGAAAGGGCTTGTAAATAATATTATGCTATGAAAATGCCATAACTCTACAACTATTTTAACTGAATTAAAAAAAAAAATTGAAAATAAAATTTGCTACAAGAAATTACTCTTGATGTTGATGATAAGAGCATGATTTATAATAGAAAAGTTCTTCACATACAGACAAAATCATCCATCATAATTCATAATCCAATACATTCTTCTCTAAGCTCAGAATTAAATATAGAATTACTTTTAAAGGTACACAATTAATGATTTATTTACAAATAAATGATTGTGTATAACTTACATCCATCACTATATTCAATGGTTGAGATCCATGAAATGTCAAAAAATAAAGTGGAAGCTTTTCGAAATTGTTTGCTAAGCTATCAAATAAGTTTAAATTAAGATGTATAGGTTTTCTAGCAAATTGTTGAAGCATGATTTTGGCTAAACGTTGATTACGTATTTCGAAACTTCCCCATAATGTTGGTAACTAAAAATAAATCATTATTATAATATTATATTTATAAAAATAAAATGATAACTAGGGTCATGTTTGTGGGTATATTACTTTAAAATTACACATACAGTTTCGTCTGAGAAATATTACTGTGGAGAGATAAAAAATTTCTTGTACAGCTTTATTAGAGTGCTCACATTTAAATTTGAACATCCCCAATCATTTTTAATGGATGACATTTTAGTTTTTTAATTTTAAGGGAGTAAGTATAAGTCATTCATTACAGTGTCATAATTTTTGAAACTATTTATTCAATTTATATGTTTTAGTATTATAAAATTAGGAAAAATATACCAATAAAATATAATGAAATGACCGGGTTAGTAGTTAATTAAAAACTATAGTGAAATTTATTAATCAACTATTTTAATTACTTACACCTTGTTCAATTAAATCTAATGAATATTCACTTATAAAAGTCGTTTTACCTGATCCTGTGGGACCAGATAATATAGTAAGTTCACCACGACGATGACCTCCAATAATTTTATTTAAAACTGGAAATCTTGTCCATTTTATTCCAAGGGTCTATAGAGGGTACATAAAAATTAATTTATTTCAAGTAATCAATTAATAATTAAATTGTAATAATGACCTTGTCATGATTTTGTAACTCTGCAAGAACTTCATTACGTATTGTTGAAAACTGAATAATACTTGGATGAACCATTTGATCAGCAGTTTTAATTATTTGTTCAATATCTAAGCCAAGCTTAAATGCGAAATAAGGTGATGGATGATCATCTGTAGGTCTTATAAAATAACATCTACTTTCCAATAATTTTTTTGCAAATGTTCTTGTGGAGTTCCATGCAATCTGATCATTCCCAAACCATAAAATTAATCTGTTGAAATATTCCAGTGATGGTAAAATTTCTTGTGGTAATTTCCGTAGACCTTAACAATTTTATATTATTAAAAATTTTACTTTTTGGAATAATACTTGTAATACTATTAATAATGAAACTATTTATATGCATAGCGGGTGCACTTTAAATTGTAAGGAACTTATTCCTATATAAGGAACTATATTATATAATATTCGTAATTGCATGTTTATTTTTTTTCTTGTAAAATATTTTTTGTGATAATTAAATTTCTCAATAAGTCTCATACAGTAAAGAAAATTTAATTGGACAGTCTATATACAAACTAATCATACAAAATATTTACTGAAAATGATATTATTTTTAATGAAATACATAATTTCACTGAAGTCGCTCAGAACTATTTTATATCCATTTGTTTTCGATATTTAAAAATAGTGGGTGGGCCACTGTTGTAGGTGAGAAGTTGAGAAGGTAGAGGGGAAATATTATGTATATCTGTACGCAACAATTAATCATTGCTAACGAAATAACGATTCTGAACAAAGTCCAGTTAATAGTGTTGCTTTGTCAATAATATATGTTTTCTAATAGTAAAATTACATATGCAATATATATTTTCTTCAATAACTACAGTAAACCAAGCTAAGTGTCACTAATGAGTGGCTTCTTAATCAACTCCTACATGTCTACCTTACTCTTATAATTTAAGCATATAGTACTAATCGTATAGATTGTTTATTTTCTAAAATAAATAATAATACTTGTTTAATATTGTAGGTACCTATTTTCCCATTTATTATGAAACCTGCTGGGAACATCAAAAAATGGCCTTCCACTTCAAAAAAGTACCGCCCAAGTCAGATTTCCTTTCAGATAAAGTGCTATTATTGTAAATTAAAGTAAAATTGCTGATAGAAAAGTTCTCAACAGAAAACAAAAATCCTTGTAAAACTAATATATTTCTTGCGCCGGTCAGAATTTAAAAATATGTGTTACAATATAAGGGCCTATTCATTAATATGAAATACCTATGTTTTATATTATTATATAAATGAAGCCTAAAAACAATTTCAAAAAGCTGTCCTAGGATAATGGAAACAGGTGTAGCCATTGGTATAAGTAATTTAATGTATATCTGTAAGCAATGATTAATCATTGTTAATGAACAAAAAAGATTCTGAGCCAAATTTAGGTGATAGAGTTACTTTGTCAACAATATATAAGTCATATTATGGTATTTATTATATGTTTTCTTTAATAATATTTATTTAATATTATATCTATTTTCCCAATTATCAGAAAAACTCCTGGGCAAATCAAGAGATTAGCTCCTTAAGTACCTCCACAGTCAGTGCTGTCATTATTAGCAAAATTGCTAATAGAAAAAATGTGTGCAGAAAAAAAATAAACATCATTGAAAAAACCAATAAATTCCTTGCTCAGCCCAGAATCTAAAGTTTTAAATGTATGTTTTGTTAAAGCTCAAAAAAATACTTCTGAAACATATACCCTACAATTTTTTAAATTACTAAAAATTAATATTTCAAATATTAATTACCTACCATATGGTATGCACACAATATGATGGGATAATCGATAACCAGCTAGTACTAATAAATGTTTGAAGTCATCAACAATAATAGCACATTGATTATCTCGTTGACTATGATTTGAAGTTGAAGGAGGAACATGGCCAATACCCCAACAATAGTCATCAGGTACAGTTGTTTGTGTGAGATCATTATTTAATTTCATTTCTTTATATCCAACAACTGTTTTATTGTCAAGCATCATACTTAAATAAAGTGTATCATTTTCAGAATTAACATATAAACCAGAAATACGATCAAGGTTTTGTGTTTTCAACCCCTGCAAAAGAAATACCAAAAATTAAAATGAAAATAATAATATCATGAACATAATTATTTAATAGATATTTATTGCACAATAAATTACAATCATGATTATTGATTATATCTTATTTAACTAAAATAAGTATAACTAAAACATTAGTATAGACTAAATTGTTTAGTTATACCTACCAATAAATATGATAGTTATTTTTTAAAACAATATTTATAGAATAATTACTTCCATATTCAGAGATTTTAAAATTAATTTTTTACTGCTAGCATTTAATGACTTAAAAGGTACTAATTTACTAGCTATGTCTTTAAAATATTTTCCAGATTCAAATATCTTGGGGATAGGAACTGAAAGTTCATTAGTATTTTCATGCACATGAGTATTATATGTAGCCCAATCACCACATCTTAAACAATGTGTACATATAAAAAAACCTAAAACATTTAAACATTAAATTACAAAACTGTGATTAATAACTTTTTAGTATTTGTTTTGAAATATTTACCAGTAGTTTTATTTATGTGTAAAGACATAGTTTGACAAAAAATACATCTTGACAACACACATGTAAATTGATCTTTATAATGTACTTTAAAATTGTCTAATAATTTTAAAACCTGCAATTCCCCCAATGGTGTACAGCTGTGTTGTGTTGAATTTGTTTTAAATATTATGCTATGTAAAGTTGGAAATATGTTTTGTATGCATGTTTTTTTTTGAAGAAAAAGTTTTGAATAATTTCTTATTGAATAATATATCTTCATAGTTAGATTTTAATTAAATTGATATTGACAATTTAATTTATTATATTGAAATTATACAGTGTCACTATATAATTATCACTATAAGTTCAATATTAAAAATAATTTATGAGTAAAATTAGAAAAAAAATACAATTTATAGCGAACTGATCGAAGTAATTCAAATTTCAAATGTTTTTAAACAATAGTGATGTATTATCTATATATGATAAAGAAGCCAAGTGGTTCCCAATTTTATTTATACCTTATGATTTGTACTTCTAAAGGTCCAATAAGTTGCCTACCCAACTCCTGAAATTGTTCAACATGTCTGTTTATTGCCTATCGTACTTTCGAAATTCTATTGCTGTTTAAAAAATATTTCTTTACCTAACAATGATTTAATAAAAGTATTGTCAATGTTCAATTTTGAGTTATAATATAGGTTTGCACAATTAACTAAAAAATTATATTTTTATTTTATTCACAGTTTCTTTTAATATTATTTCATCATAATTTGATATTTTGATATACATACATAATATAGGTATGTAAGTAGGTACCGTGATTTCATACGAATCGTCGAAATTATCAACTTGTACATTTTTTCAATCAGAAAATGTTGAATAAGAAAACTGTTGAAAAGTTCAATAATACGTCAAATAATTTAAAACCATGTATGTCAATATTGATAAAAAATAATTGTAAGGTTAGAATATAACCAAGAAATAACATGATCTAAGACCCTGTGGAATAAACATTACAAATTGTATGAAACTATATGATCTGTGGTATTATTTTACGACTTAGCATCTGTTTTGTGGTGACTGGCAACACGGTCTTACAGTTACCGGACCTGTATATTGTATATTTGTATTATTGGTTCATCATAGTACAATTATCATAGCTGATAGTGATTTATAAAATGTTGGAATATTAATATTGCATTTAAAATTTTTAACTATTGTATAGGGTTCTACAATTTGCCAATTATTTTAAATTTAATATTAATAATTATCACTATATTTAGTTAAAGTTTTGTATATTAAATATTTGTTTTACCAGTTGTAATGACCATTAGTGAAGATTACCTAAAAACTAAACTAACAGACATACTCAACGCTTCATATGTGGTAAGTTGAATGTATAAAAACAATATATTATTATTTTATATTTGAACATACAATTTTATAACAAATTGTGTATTTACCTAAAAAATCCTACATAACAATAATAATTTTTACTTTTAATGTCATTTTCTATTTGTGTGTTACATTTATAATATTTCAATTTAATAAGTATTTAATCTTACATTTAAGATTTGTTACTGTAATATAAATTATGCAACTGTTTATTATTTAGGATTCATAAAAACAATCTCAAATTTTGGGTAAAGGTTTCGGCCAGTACAATTGTATGTTGTTAATTCTGAAATAAGGTGTGGATATATTTTAGTAAATCATATAAGGACTATAGTATAACTTTAATCACGGTTTAAGTAATTATAGGATTATTATTCAAATAAAATAAAGTGATTATAAATTGATTAAAATAACAAATTATAAAATCATCGATCACAGAATTTAATTTTAATTGACCAATATATCTTCTTTAAGTTATGATTTTTTTAAATTATTTCTTTACATAATTTTGGGAAAAATAAATATCTGGTCGCATTTAGTTTTAAAATAATGGTTAAAAAAAAATGTTAAAGTATCACAGATTTTCAAAAAAAAAATTATTTGAAGACAGTGAGGCTAATGGGAAAAATATACATATACAAAAAATAATTTATAAATTATGTGTTATTAGTTATGGTAACTATAAATAAAATGAAAAACAAATTTTTTTTTAAAATTCCCTTTGAATACAAAATGTAATCAAAAATTTAAAAACATATAGACTATACAGATGTTTCAAAAGCATATTACAATGGGTATAAACTTTATATATATATATATATATCGTCTCAGGACACTATATATATTTAGAAAAGGAGTACCTATACTGGCTTTTATTAATTTTTGACTAGTTATAGCTGCTTAATAAAAATGTGAAAAGTTGTAGCTCTATTTGAACCATTTTAGGTTTTATATAACATATTATACTTAAAATATTATTCGTGTAATATTATGATATATGATTAAAGTACGGCCTTCTAAAGCTGTAGATTAAAGTAAATTAATATCAGTAGTTTAATTTAAGTTAATTAATCCATATTTTCTGTTTTTATGATATTTTGGAAACTGAATAGATTTGTATGTTTTTTTTATAAATTAACTGCATGTTAAACATTTATTTTTATTGATTCAACAATTAATTACACTTTATTGGATCGATAATTTAAACTTGTGAATGGTCAATTTTGGTTCAATAAAATTCAAAACAGTTTCATAACCTTTATTCTATTAAACAAATAACACAATATATTTTTAAGTTTTTCCATAGATATTATCTACAATTTTGTCTAATTACACAAATTGTGTTATTGTATTTATGTTTCATAAAACATTTTTAACTAGTTTTATAACACAAAAATTAATTTCCTTGAATAATTTGAATTTGACATTGATAGTATGAGTCCATTATAAAACAATGTTTGTTTATAATTAGCCTATATGTGAAGAAAGGTTTATGCAAAATTTATTAGTTATATTTATAATATATATGATATAGATGCATTTAAAATAATCGAACTTTATGAGTATAATAAATTATCCATTTGGCATTATCCAATGATTTATTAATACCTGTGATATAATAGGTTATCAAACTGTTTATATAGGTTTCATATGAAACCCGGAATTCAAATTTTATATTTAATTAACAATTAGTTTTTAAGTTTACCTCATTAATAGTGGTTAAAGTGGAAAAAACTTTGAAGAGTTTCATAATAATTCTATTACAATATGTGTTCCACAGTTACATATAGAGTTTTGTTTATACTATACTAGCTGTAAATAAACCATCTATTAAATTTGGTACCAGTTATAAAATAAAGAATAGAATTATAAAACATAATTGATAATACCAATAATAGAGAAATAGATAATAGGCGTGTGTCTAAACCAAACCAAGATTTATACAGATTCTTTCCGTTTTTGGCCTAAACATATATTGTAGAAATTAAAAATAAATAACTAGTTTGAACATTGAATAAATGATCTAGATCATGATTTAGTAAAATAAGTTAAGAGAACGTCATATTTACATGCACTGTCTCTATCCTACAACCGTGTGACATACTTAGCAAATTTCTGTTCATCAGGGACAACTTTATGTTGTTAGTTTTAAAATTAGAGTTAATTGACCTATTATCAAACTTAAATATATGAATTTTATCTGTGTCATCCCATGTGTTTTTTTTTTTTATTATTTTAATTTTTAATTGAAATATAATCTTGTGAAATATCACAATTGAAAAATGATAACTACCAGGTAATATGCAATAACAATGCTTACACAGAATAAGTAAAACTATATTAGTATAAGGTATATGAGTAAAAGGGAAACAGGTAAAAAAGGGCAATCAAAAACAGACATAGGTAAAAACGACAGCAATAAAAGATAATTTAAAAAAAAAAAACTGTTTAATTAATTAAAATGGTTAAAAGTTAATATTATGACAAAATGAAAAATTAGTATTTATAAATTATTATTAAAACAAATTAAATTAAATTAATTTAAATCAAAATTGAATATTATATGAAATTGCATTTAAAAAAATTTCAATTGACTGGTTTCCTTCTTTAAAATCTGTACAAATTTAATTCAGTAATTTTTGAATTTTCTCATAGGTGTTTCTTTTTTTGATTTTATGACATTTAGATTCCATTGAGCCAATTTTGTTTTGTCTGCAGAAATTTCAAGTCATATTTTTTCTATAATAGTTCCTACACCTAGGTTATGACCCACTAATTTAAAGAACCAGTGACTCCAACCTTCTGTTTGATTATAGAAAATTATAGAAAATATTCAAAATGTTGTAGTTTTATTATTTTTTGTTTGTTCAAAATTGTATGGGAATTGTATCTTAAAATTTTCACATTCTTTCAAATTTTTCAATTTTTGTTCAAAATATCGACGTTCAAATTTTAAAGTTTTCTAATTCAACCATTTCTGATTAAAAATATTAATAAATAATTTACAAGTTGATATTAAATAGTTTTGGACGTTTCGGCTGAAATACGCTCGGTTGATTTATAGGCTCCCCGACCCCCGGTCCCCAGAGCAACCATATTATCTTAGATTGTGAAGAAAAGACTAGTGGACTGCTAGATACCACGATTTAAAGTATATCTTAATTCATGCTAGGTACTAAAGCAGTGTTAATTACTAAAGTGGTTACATACAATTAAGGTGTGGTACAACCATATGTGATATGGTATCACCTGCCTGGCACCAATCGAAATTAAAAATTTGGAAAATAATAATTATTTATTTTTTGTATTAAATTTTGTTTTTTACATGTTCGATCATTTACATTTTTTCATTTGTAATAATAGTTAAATAATGAAATTTATCACAAATTAGATAATAAAAATGTTTATCTTAAAACAGTATCTGTAACCGCATATAACCATTATGGTAACTTCGCTCGTAGTATAATGTTTGTATATAGTAGGTATAGGCGTATTTATTATCTATGATGCCGACTTGATACTCGCCACTTGGTATTTATGACTTTAACATATAGTGTTTTTAATAATTTTTGAGTTATAATTATTATAATTGCTTTTCGAATGTTTCAAAAATGTTAATGGTGTACTATTAACTGTTATTTCCAATTTGTATTCATTTTTTTTTTTTTTAAAGTGAGCAATAGCTAATAAATTCAAATTTATATTTTGATTCGGTTCGTTGATATTGAGTGCAATTGAAATGCAGTCTGAAACTCCAAAAAAAATTATTTCCAGTCTTCTGGTAATAATCCTCGATGTTAATCCAGCTCAAGATACTCTACTAAGTGGAGAAATAAAATTATCATCCATACTTAGTTCTGTGGTTGCATTTGCTAATTCTCACCTTATGCTTCGTACCCATAATAAAGTTGCAGTGCTTGCATCTGATCCAAATAGTTGTGATTTTATATACTCTGATCAAGATGAACTAGACTTCAAAAAGAAAACTGTCAGTAGTTGTAAAATGGGTGGAAGTCAATATGAATTGTTTAGCCATATTGATCGTTCTATCAAATTTAATATTGTGAAATTTCTCAGAGATGCAGCTGAAGAACCACATATGTCTAGAGATACAGTTTTTGGAGCATCTTGTGCTAAGGCATTATGTTACATAAACAGATTACAAAGTAATCTATTACCTGGAGAAACAATGAATTCAAGAATATTAATTATATCTGGATGTGATAATGAAGGAGATAAGTATATCCGATGTATGAACACTTTTTTTACAGCCCAAAAACAAAATGTAGCTATTGATGCTTGTAGCCTTACACATGATGTCACTCTATTAAAACAAGCATGTTACATCACAGAAGGTTCATATTTTCGTATGCCTAAATTAGAAGGTTTATTGCTATATTTACAATGGATATTTTTGACTGAGCCATCTTCTAGAAAAAAATTAGTTATACCATTAGCTCCACAGTTAGATTTTCGGCCATTTTGTTTTTGTCATGGTACCTTGACAGCGATTGGTTTTGTATGTTCATTGTGTTTAACTATTTATTGCAAAATAAGTCCTATATGCACTACTTGTGAAGCAGTATTCAAAGTACGATCAGCTATAGCAGTCAAGCCTAAAAAAAAGAAAACCAAAGTGACAAGTGTAAATAATTAATTTAATTTCAGTTTAATATGTAATTTTTAGTTATGAAGTTATTTATGTTGCAAAATATATGTATATTTTTAATTTTGTAATACTTACAATTTTTGTATTAATTGTATTAATTATTTATTAGCATTTTTAAATAATTGAAATGGGGGAAAAATATAAATTCAGTATAAATAAGACTGCATTTTTTTATAAATAATAATACATTTTACACCTACTATACCAATTTTATAATATTGAACTATTAATTGAATGATATTCATTGGTGTTTAAAATGTTCTCCAACTTTTTTAACAATTATAATAATAGTTTAATTAAATACCTAATATCTATTAATTATTAGTAAAAACACACGTATAATATCTATATCATATAATTTTCAATACAAATTATAAAACCTTGAAAAGGACAAGGAGCAATGGATTGGCTAGAAATCTAAATTTAAGAATGCTAGAAGTGTGAGATGCAGTAATAAAATTGTTTTTCTAATCAATCATGACAACTTTTTTCACAGTGGTTCAAAATTTTGATTGAAATTTAAATTTATGCTCAATTATGCATAGTACAATTTTGTAGATAATTAACAAAAATCTAAAAATATGTAGCAATGTACAAATCTAAGCTAAGACGGCCTTTTTATATTTTTTTATATTTAATGAACAGATTGCTGAGCATTTATTATTATTATTATTACTATTATTGCAAAGTGGAAATTTAAAACATAGTAATAAAAATGTAATATGTTTAGAATTCATATTGATATATTTGTGAGTTGTGTGAGGGATATTCATTATATAAACATTATAGCCCAGGAATTTATTTTCTTCCTTGGCTGATTATGGATATTATTGTTAAATTAGAAAAATACTATAAAATATTATCACTTTGATTTGGTACATGTTAATTTAAAAATAAACATTGAAAATAGGCATGTTATTTACAATTTCCATTTTTATTTTTCCAGAACAATTTCTCGTGAAAATTGGTGTTTCATATTGATCTCTGAGTATATTCTAATACAATGACTTTTGCACATTTAAAACTTATATACTTGAGAAATGTACTCGACGAAAAAATTATTTTAATGATTGCTGTACTATTTCGTTGGTTTGTTGGCTTGCATGATTATTCTGGAAAATCAAAATCTCCAATGTATGGTGATTATGAAGCCCAACGGCATTGGATGGAAGTTACAATTTCTCTACCAATCAGTCAATGGTATTTTAATTCAACTGAAAACGATTTGTTGTATTGGGGTCTTGATTACCCTCCTTTAACTGCTTATCATAGTTACATAAATGGTTTAGTTTTTAATACAATTCTACCAGAGTCTGTTAAGCTTAAAACATCTAGAGGTTTTGAGTCAAAGTTTCATCAACTACTTATGAGATATTCAGTACTGATAGTTGACTTTTTGATATTTATTCCAGCTGTATATTGTTTTTTTTTTCAATTTTTCAAAATTATAAAAAATAATAACCCAATAACTCGGACAATAGCTATCGGAATATTATTATTGTACCCAGGATTAATATTAATAGATCATGGACATTTTCAGTATAATTGTGTTTCTCTTGGTTTTTTTGTAGCTAGTGTTGCTAGTATGTATGCCAATAAAACTATTTTTACTTGCTTTTTTTTCTGTATGGCCTTAAATTATAAGCAAATGGAATTGTACCATGCTTTGCCATTTTTCTTTTATTATATTGGATTTATATATGAAACATATAAGAAACATTCATTTAATACAGCTTTAAGAAAACTATCCATTCTGGTATTTAGTGTGACTCTGGCATTTATAATATTATGGGCTCCTTTTCTTAGAGATCCGCAACAAATATTTCAAATTATACACAGAATTTTTCCTTTAGAGCGTGGTGTTTTTGAGGATAAAGTTTCCAATATATGGTGTTTAATTAATGTTTTATATAAGTTGCGAAATATTAATAATAAAACTATGGCTACTATATGTTTATTGACAACATTTATTTCAATATTACCTTCATGCTTGGATCTTTTTAAAAATCCTTCTAAAATGAAGTTTTTATTGTCGTTAATTAATTGTTCATTGTCTTTTTTTCTATTTTCATTTCAAGTTCATGAAAAAAGCATACTTTTAGTTGCTGTACCAGTTTTAATGTATTCTCCTCAAAACATGTTTATTTGTACTTGGTTTGCATCTATAGCAACATTTAGTATGCTTCCATTATTGATAAAAGATAATTTATTAATTCCATTTATTGCTATGTCATTAATCTACTTCATAGTATACAATAATATTGAAAAATTAGTTTCAAAACAAAAAGAAGCATCAAAATTGCATTTGTTGCGTAATTTATCCTTATTTGGGTGTTTTATAATTGTTATTTGTTCCATAGTATTAAACCCACCCCCAAAATATCCATACTTATGGCCTTTAATTATATCATCTTATAGTTGTATACATTTTATTTTTTTTTTGATATATTTTAATTTTAATCAATTAGTGTTACGTGTTCCGAAAAAAAAACTATATTGATATTTGTTTCATGTAGTATATTTTTACTTTATGTTGATATAAATTAGTTGTATATTAAAATTAATATTTAATTGCCAATTTTTATTTTTATTAATTTACTCATTTTTTTGTAATAATTTAAAGATCATATTTTAATCTATATTTAAAATGTAATATTATTATTATGAAATCTGTTACTTATGCTGGTAAAATATTTTACCAAAAATAAATATTTATTAAGAAATTTAAATATGTCAATTATTAATAATATAGTAGTGTACTTAGTATACTAAGTAAAATAGTTGTATATAAATATTATATTGTTGTTTTTAAAGACTCTTGTTTACTTTTAAATTAATAAACTTACAAACATTATATTATTAATGAAATATTTGTTGATAATTAACAATTGTAAATATATTAATTACTGTATATTTGCTTTATTATATTAAATACAAATTATAGATTATATGTATAAATGTTCTTTTTACATTTTTAAAAACCATTTTACTATGGCTAAAATGTATAGAAATGAATAGATAGACTGGAATAATTATTTTTCAATTATGAGAATGTGCAATCTAGTAAAAAGATTTTGATTTATAAATATGATACACATTTATTTGTTTTTAATCAAAGTTTGGAATATACTACATTAAATTTATTGCATACTATGTATACAAATATTTTATTTTATTTAAACATAAATTATAAATATACAACTTGATCCATTTAAAGTGGATACACTTTGAAAGGGCAACCTTTATAAGAAAATCCATAAATAGATGGAGTATTAGTTGAAATAAATATAAGTGTTGACATTTTTGTTTTCCGTTAAGCTGTTTTCGAGATATTCCACTTTTAAGTTTGGATTAAAGGAAAGTATTGGTGCAATATTAACACACCACGTGCCATGCCAACACACAAATGATATTTACTTTATTCCAAACCAAACATAAAAGTGGAATATCTTGTTTAGGGATTAATAGAAATCAAAAATTTCATTACTACAATTTATTATTAATTAATAATAATCTATTTATAGAATTTTTAATATAGATTGTTATTTGGAAATCAAAAATAGGTAATGGTTTACCTCCAAAAATAACATAAACATAAAAGAGCTGTTTGTTTCTTAAATGTTCTAGAAAACAAATTCTGAAAAAAATGAACACTTTCTGAGATAATGAGTGTAACCACTTAAATGGATCATCTTGTATAATGAAATAGTACCTAAACATTTTCACAGTAAATGTGATATGATATTTAGTTAATGTGATACTAATAGGTAGGTAAATAAATATTGACTATAATAATGGTACTTACTACCTACTCATAATAAATAATAAATCATTGTTAACACCTTATCTCACCTATAGGACAAATTCCCTATATGATTTAAATAATTTAACAAATACTGCATAGGTATAAACTGTGTTTAAATTTTAAATTAAAATGTAGAAACTATTAATTAATTCAATTAAGGAAAAACTATACGATTTTTTGATGAATACTTAAATTTTATTTTATATGCAATATAGGAACATGCATGAGTTATTTAATATAACAAGGTACCAAACAAAAATAATAATTCAATTTTATATATTCTTATATTATTGTATTTTTGTTTTTTAGTCTGTCAATGATGATTCCGATGGATGTGGTGCCAAATTCAGTGTAGTTGTTGTATCTGATAAATTTATCGGTAAAACATTATTACAACGTCATCGGTGAGCATTAGTTTTTTTTTATTTTATTTGTTAAGGAACTGTACACAAAATAATTAGTTAATTATTGTGTTTCAAGTGTCACAAAAATTAAGTATTATGAATGTTAATTTTTATGAAACTATTATGAATGATTATATTAAATATATGTTAATAATACAAAATTCTTTATTTTTTTTAATAGTTTAATTTAAATAAATACTAGTTTATTGTGTTAAAGTAATGTAAAAGTTATAAATAATTGTTCTAAAATGTCATGAATATCTAGATTATATATATTATGTTCTATTTAAGATAGTTTGACTATGTTGGGTAGGATTAGGGGTGAATATGCAAGAGGTAGTTGAGGAGAAGCAAGTATATTAAAAAAAAAGAGAGAATTTATTGAGATGGTAAAGTAAATTAATTTGAGAAACAGGAAAATAGTCAAGAGCATAGGTCAGTTTATTTTATAAAGAAAACGGAGAAGAGTTAAGCTAAAGAAAAGGTGGTTATTGGCTAGAATTATTAGACAAATTATACATAAATTGTTTATTAAGTAGGTAATATATTTGATATAAAACGTTAATGGATAGTGAGTTGTGGCTTTGTGAGTGGAAAGAATAGGAGTAGCTGACCTTAATTGTGGATAAAAACAAGAAAAAATATGATAGATTTATGAGTTTATCATATATAACATTATATAAATAAATTATGTATTTACATAAAAACAGTTATGTATTATCTTGTGAATTACCTAAGAGTTATAATCTATATTATATATTTTCTGAAGTGGATATTAACTACTTATTAAATAAGATATTTTATTAGTTGTTATAAAGTAATATACGTACTGTAATAATTATTGATAGGTTTCTTTAGGGTATTAATGTTTACATTATTCTACTAAAATTAAGTACTAAGATATAAACATGCAATTTGTTGTAGAACAACATAAATATTAAAAAAGGATTTTGTCTTTGTATATTGTCTCGTGTTTAATTTATATTCTTTATATTTTACATTACCCTCATATGGCATAAGTTCGGATAATTTTTAAGCTATTTCATGAATAAAAAAATTAATTTATAGCTTAATATGAATTATTCCAATGCCAATTTTTAGATGTCGATACTCCTGATACATTATGAGAAAAACATTTTTAAAAATGTTGATTTCGGCATCTTAAAGTGCATATATATAGTCTAAAAGTGTAATAGTCTGAAATTATCCCTCATTTGTCATAACTTTGGATATCCCATTTATGTTATGTGTTATTCATATGATAAGACAAATTTTGAAAATTAAAGCTTTGTTCGGACACTATAGTATATCTTTAAACAAATGTTTAATATCAAAATATCAAAAATTATTGTAATTAAAAAAATAATAATAATAATATTATTTTTCTTTTATATAGTCTTTTTTGACAAAAAAAGTTTATTAAAATATATATTTGGTATTATATAATAAAACAAAATTATAAATAATTAAATGATGTTCTACATTGTCACTATCTCAATGCCTGGAATATGAATATCCTTTTATTATTACAATGAGGCATCATAAAATTAATGGCAAACTTGACTTTTTAAACTTTCTTGATCTCCATATGATCTTATCATGCGTGTCATATTTCCTCTCACGATTACGTTTTTTCGTATTTCTCATTGGTATGTCCGAACTTAAAAAAATTGATTGGCAATTAATGGCACGTGAACTAAAATATTTATTTTCAATGTTTAACTTTATAACGTCAACTGTAAATGATCGGAATAAAGTGATATGAGCGCAGGTACTGTCCACTAAGTAGTCAATATTGTAGGATACATTTATCGCAAATATTTTTTTACTTTGTATTAAATAACAAACTTTTGTATAAATATGTTTTCTTATTAATTTATCAACTCTATTATAGTGGATAATTATTTGAACTCCTGTAAAGAAATTTATTGAAAAAAAAAAAGTTCAAAGAAACTATTGAAAAAAAACATTTAATGTCCTAACTCATGCCATATATGACGGTACATGAAACTAAAGTTTATAAATACAATTTTAGAAGCACGAGGTTAAATTATTTGGAACATATTTTATTGATTATTGTAATGCTTGAGGATAGAAATTAATGCTCTTAATATGTATTATGCTTTATTAGTATATTAATCATTATGGATAAGATATTATATTGGTATTTAAAGGATACTCAACATAATTATAAGTTGATATTTGTAATATAAATATTAAAATATAAATTGATTTTTGTTATAGTCTATCTTTGGTACTACTTGACTTCTGAAAAGATTAAACTCTAGGTTAAAAACTGTAGCCAATCTGAGAAATATACATATATATATATATATATATTTAGTTTATTATTAAGGGGTTATTTTGTGTGTCATATTATGCTTAAAACAATAGTTATATATAATTGTATAAGTATAAAATAAATAAAGATTAGATATGATATGTTATATTTTTGAGTATTTAAAACATTTATAAAGTCATTGGCTATCTAAGGGGAACTTTTTAATTACTGTTGTCAAGAGCTTAGATGAAATTAGATTTTTGATTAATTTTTCAGAGTACACTGTTTAAATATCAAACTTAAATGGTAAAATTAAAAAAAAAATGTGTAGGTGATACAAACTTGTATTTTAGTAAATGGTATTTTCATTTTGTATGCATTAAGGTTGGTTTTAAATAATAGAAATAATGCTATAGCATATTTAAACACAATCATATATATCTAAGTTGCCATTATTTATTTATAAATAATTAATTATAATTATTACATAATTATAAAACCAATATCTATATATATTTATAGGCATTGATTGCATATGTGACCTATTAAACACAATAAATATCGAGTTTTTAATTATAGACATTTAATGAACACATGGATATTGCATTTTAAATTAATATTAATGGTTACATTTCAATTAAGAATTTAGTTAATAATAATTTGTTTTATTTTAGAATGGTAAATGAGGTACTAGCTGAAGAATTAAAAGAAATACACGCATTCTCACAGAAAACATTGACAACAGAACAATGGAACAATTTAAATAAAAATTAATTAATAATAAATTGATTAAGGCTTGCTAATTCCTATTTGTAAGAATAACATTTTATTCTAAAAAACAAAAAAACAAAAAAACAAAAATGAATTCTAATATACAGTTTGAAATAACTGCACCAGGAAAAATAATTCTTTTTGGTGAACACAGTGTGGTTTATGGAAAACCAGCGATTGCTTGTGCTATTGATCAACATACAACATTAACATTTACTGAAAGTTATTGCAACAATCAAGATTTAAATACTATACCATGTCGTATTATATTACCACTAATAAATTATTCAGGAATGTTGACTATTCATTTAGATGCAAAACCATCATTTTCACCTACTACATATTTCCAAGAAACCTTAAATAAGTTAAATAAAGATGAACAATTTTTTAATGAATTAGATACATTATCTGGTAATGAAAAAAAAACTCTTACTGTTTTACATTTTATTTTTGGCGGAATTCTAACATGTTATATGAGGCAATTGAAAAATGTTTCATTCACCATCGAAGTAAAGTCAGCATTGAAGTTGGGTGCTGGAACTGGTAGTTCTGCATCTTACTGTGTTTCTCTAGTTGCAGCATGTTTGTCTTATGTAAAGTTTAAAATAAATTCTAATGTAGAAATACAATTTGATCCATTGTTAGATGATTTTCATTCTCAGAGTGGTGACAATTTGTTAATAATTGAACCTTTTACACAAGACAACTTTGTATTCAGTGATGGGGTAAGATTATAGATATTGTTATTTAATATTATACACCATTTTTGATAATATTTTAATGCATAGTTTTTATTTTGATCTATGTTAAATATTTGTTTGCGTATTTTACGTATGCTTTGTTTATTAAATTCTATTTTCATTGTCTTTACTTTTCAGGAAAAAAGTTTGATTAATCGATGGGCTTTATTAGCAGAAAATTTCATTCATACAAAAGCATCAGGGTTGGATAATACTATTTGTACATATGGTACAATGGTTCAGTACACCAAACTTAACAGTCATAAATTATTGGAAGCTCCTGAATTAAAAATTCTTTTGATATACTCAGGTTTGTTTTTATTTTTTTTTTTATCTAATAATACAAATTAATAAAATTTTAAATTGTATATTAAATTTTTTATTTGTGTTTTCTAATTACTAACATGACCCATTGAATTAATTTTTGTAAAAATAGTTTTAAAAATTTAATAATACATTTTTTATGTTTAGTTCAGGCAAAATAATACATTTATATATTTTGGAAGCCTAGGTATCCAAAAGCTTTTGTGTTAATAAATAAGTTATATTTATTGCATTATACTTTTATGATGAATTTCAAAAATCAAAAATTAATTGTTTATTTGAATATTTTACTTTGTTCAGGCATTGAAAGATCTACGGGTAATGTAGTCAAAAGTGTTCGAACTAAATACAATGATGACACTTATCGATCAATACTCGATGCCATTTTTAATTCTATAGGGCAAATTGTAAATACAGCTGTCAACTCAATTGATCAAATGTCTCAAAACCCACAAAAAGAACTTCAACTAATTAATGTTTTGCAAGTCTGTACATATTTACTATGTCCTAATGATTTTTATTACAAAATAATATTTTGTTTTGTTTTAATTAGACATTAATGGATATGAATCAAGGATTACTGATGTCATTGGGTGTGTCTCATGAAACATTAGATGCCATTGTTGCCATATTAAAAAAGTTTGACCTTCATGCAAAGTTAACTGGTGCTGGAATGGGCGGATATGCTATATGTTTAGTTCCTCCTAATGTTCATAAATCTAAAATACAAACATGTATGCAAGAATTAAAAGTATATGGTTTTGAATCTAATATTTGTACAATTGGTTGTCCGGGTGTTAGAATACATACAAAATAAATAACTATATAATATATAAATTAACACTTTTTTAAAAAAAATTATATATATATTATATATATTCAATATACAGTTATATTATTTGGCCAGATAAGCAAACAAAAAATTATTAAAAGTCACTAAACATAAAATTGAAATGGTGAAATATCATTAATTTATGTCTGTTATGGTATCTAATAGCTTGAATATTTAAAATTTATATTTGTGTAGTTAAATTATATGCTATCCTTTGAATAATTAAATTAAATTTTTTATTTTATTATTTATTTAATAACCATTTATTACTATTTATAATCATACCTTATATATTATTATGGTTTATCTACTTCCTATGAGCTTGAGTTGTTGGTGGAGAGGTATTAAGATGATTCAGTGAAATTTAATAATATTATTTATATCTAATATAATGTAAACAAAATTAACAGTAAAAACAAAAATAAATAATAAAAAAAAACATCATTATGTCTTATTATGAATACATAATATTATCATATATTCTTAACATTTTAAAATATTAAAAGTTAAAAGTAGTTATAATTTTGAAATAAAATAACAATTTATATTCAACTTTCTTTTTGAATATTAGGAAAAAATATAAATAATTAAAATCTTTAATTTCTACTTTTATTTATTTTGTATTTCTTATGAAAAGTTTATTACATGTTATAACATTAAAATGTATTATGATAAAATGAATAAATTTGTTTTCATTGAATATTAAATTATAAATATATATAAGGTATTCAGTGCAATGTAGAAAATATATCAGATATTAGATTCAAGAAATTATTTTTATTTCATACAACTTGTAAATTATAGCAATCCTCCTAAAAAGTACCCATCAGTTAAATTGAATGCAATATTTCAAATTTGGAGTTATCATTTTTTTTTCTATATCATGTTCAGTACTGTAGTCAGTTTTTTTACCTCTTAAACATTTTGCTGCAACTAATCTCATTTGAAGCATTGAGAAATAAATAATCAAAAATTACTCCAGGACTTTCATTTAAAAACAAATAAAATACTATCATATATTTCATTGCCAATTGTGTGTATATTTCCCAAAGCCATAATTCACATGATAATATTATATTGTAATATTTGATCAAATTTGCAACATTTATGTATTATATTTCTTTTTATATTATTAAAAAAAAAAAAATCATATTTTAGTAATCATCTAATTAACTATTTGATAACAAATTAGACTATTATAGACAACCATTATTAAGTAGGTAGTAAATACCTGATTGCAATGTTTATATTTTAAGGGTTTTAAAAATAATTTACAATTATTGTCCAGATTTTATCTAAATTATTATACTCTAATAAATTATACAATCATTATTCTTTTATATAAGTTAGGTGTGTTACATTTTTCTGTTTGTATTAGAACTGTAAATAATGTTTACCAACTTATAGGCTTTACAGTCAAAGATATTTTAAGTTATTGATATTAGATCATTTATAATTACAATATTAAAATAATGTTATTATTATGGAATATTAATCAAATAATTATGTTTAAAATTTAAATGTAGATGTTTTAAAATATAAGCCATATACTATTATTTTGAATTTTGTCGTTTTAAATTTATCTTCTATTTTGCTTTCATTCCAGCTAATTGGAGTGGGTAATCTTCGTTCTAAACTTCAATTGATCAAATATGTACCAGCTGCCAACATATCATTCTTAATCGCATCTAACTCTTTTTCAGTCTTTCTCTTCACCTATTTTCTACGGTATTTATTATCATTACAATGCTTTCTATTCAGATTCCTCTCTCCCCAGTACATACTTAAATCTTCTCCCAGACTATTCTCTCATTTTGTCTGCTACCAAAGCCACGTCTAAGCTACCTCTTAAGCTCTTATGTTATCATTCCTTACTCTATTTTCACTTGTCACTCCACTCGTCCAACCTAAACATTGTCATTTCTGATACTCTCATTCTCTGTTCTATTTTTCTATTTACCACCCAAAACTCCAAACCATACTTTAATAGAACATAACTTTAAGCCTCATTGAAATTCCCTTGTTACATAAAATACAAAACATCTGACAATTCTGTCCGCTTAATATGACCACAAGTAATTCTATGCTTCACATGCTCATGAAAGCCACCATTCTTTTATACAAAAGATTCTAGTTACTTAGAACTCTCAACCTTGTTTATTGCCATTTGCTGTTTTCTTCTGTTCCTCTAAATTCATACTTAGGTTTACTTCTACTCATAGATTTAGTTTTAGATTTGTATGTTTAATTATTGAGTATTTATAATATTTATACAATTTATTGTAGTATTCCATAGACCAGAGGGGGTTTAAACCAGGGATTAACCGGGGTGCTGCAGTACATTAGTGTGCCATGAACATTCTATAGGGGTGCCGTGAAAATTATATAAAAAGTATAGTGTGCCTTGTTTAAACAAAAAAACCACTAGTTTAATGTATGTGTAATAACATATATTATATCAAATTTATTTTAATTGTTATGTTGGTTGGTTCTCTATGTAGGACTATTATAAAATTAACACACTACCACTTATTTATATGACAAAATTGAGTACCTTTAGCTTAATTTTTTATAAGTATCTATAAATAATATTAATCTAACAACTTCACTATAAAATATAATATGTATATACAGGAGCAGAGAATATTCCAAATTCTATGTAAATTATCAGTGTGGACTGCTGTAATATGGCAGTCCACTGTCTTCTATGATTTATACCATTAAAAAGATTACTGCTTCAGCAGTATTGACGTAATATGAAATTTTACATATTACTGCTATAGCAGTAATGTCCTTAGATGTGTTAAATTTTGGTCTTGCACAAACTCCATAATTTTACTCAGTATTATGACTACCATTATGGATTTTTATAAGATAAAAAATAGACAGTATAACCAAAATATTATTTTATTTTTATTCAAATAAGAAGACAAAAAAATGTTTAATTCTTATGGACTGTAAACCTGATGTGATAATAACAATTGGAGCGAAAAAAACAATATTTATGTGTATTATTTTTGTACAAATATAACTAAATATTTGTAAAAAATACGTGTTTAATAGTTGTTAAGTTAAGAAATAAACTTAGGAAAAAAATTAGAATTTTTTCAGTGTATTTTTTACGGACTGAACCGTAATAAGGTTGTCATTATCAATATGCTCCGTGACGTCAACTAATATGGTCGATAGCGATAATTGTGATTATAACCTACTAAATCTCGATCGAAATATAGATGTTTATATTAGAATAATATAAATAATGTAGAATTTACCGATCCTCGGATTATACCCTCGACCGTGGTTCGCGGCTCATGGATTGGGAACCGCTACTATAGGGTGCCATCTGATTTGTAGAGAACACTTTAGGGTGCCGTGAGTTCAAAAAGTTGAGTATCTCTGACAGTCTGGCATAAACCTATAACAAAAATTGAAAAATTGTCATTAGCTATGTTAGAAATCTGGAAATCCACCACGCTCATTTTTCACTACACATTTTCACCACATATTTTCTTTGTAAAGCTAAAAAAACTGATGAAATTATTTTAGAAACTTTAATATTTAATAATTCAATAATTGATTACTACTTCAATATGAATTAGGTATGACAACAACCTCAATGTCTGATATACGCCATAATCTCTTATTTTCAATCCTCACCTATATAAACGGATTATTTTAATATTGTATTTATAATATAAATATGATTCCAACAAGCAACAAGTAGAAAATAAATAATATTTTCAATTTTTTCTTTTTAGAATTTTGAATTCATTTATTTTTCCGCGCTATGTTAGCAGTTTGGAATATCTTTGAATTAGTCATATGTTTTTTAAAACATACTAGTCTCATGATACTCCTGTGGTAGGTAGTATGGTTCTGGTTAATCATGATTCATGACATAATCCATATTTAATATTTCTGTAAGTTTGTTGCTTATTTGCTTGTTATTAATTACATTTTATTTCCATTTAATTTTTATTCTCTAAATTCAACAATTGTTAAACATTTTTATATGTTTTACACATTTGGGTAAACTCTTTATTTTATCTGAATTAAATCTATTTTAATTAATATAATCCAAGTATCATCATGAGTGACTGGAATACAGTGACCATTTTGAGGAAGAGACCTCCAAAGCCTTCCACTATGAAATCTGAACAGGTATATTATTAAATATCTATTCATTTTTATGATTCAAATTATCTAATTTGTAAATGATTACTGTTTTAGGCCATTAACAAAGCTAGACGTGAAGGTGCTGTAATCGATACTCAAGCAAAATGTAAGTATTCATTAAGAGCACTCAGTAGGTAGGCATGTATACTTTATTTATTATTGTATTTATAGTTAGGTTCTATTTAGAGGTTAATATCATAAAGTTTGTTAAATTCTAGATCACAATAATTTTATGTTATACTAGGTACTATAAATATTTTGGTTAATTTACATAAACTATAAAATTATACCTAAATTAAAAAACAATTATATATTTGTATTTATAAGTTAAATGTCAAATAAATCAACACCATATAAGTATATAATTAGTTATGATTATGTATTTTTATATATTAACTTGAAATGCTTAAAAATATTTGAATATATTGACTATTACAATCAATCACAACTAAGGTTCTTGGGGTGCTACTAAGTTGAAATTCTAATTTTGGACTTTCATTTCATAAAAAATCCATTACATCTACAAATTAAATTTGAATAATTTAATATTTTTTAAACTAACGACTATAGTATTTTTAAAAAGCTAGGAGTATTAGTTGTATGCATTTAAAATAATTAAATTTCTTTTTTTTAGTTTAAATGTTTATTATGTATTAATTTAATAGAATATAATTATGTTAAATAATTTGTTCTATTTATAATAAATTAGGGGGTGCAGCTACAAATAAACATCAAGTAACAACAAAAAATACTGCAAAATTGGATCGCGAAACTGAGGAATTGAAGCATGAAAAAGTACCTATTGATTTAGGCCGTCTTATCCAACAAGGTCGACAAGCTAAAGGTTTTAACCAAAAAGAATTGGCTACTGTAAGCCCACTTTTTATCCATTTAAATTAATAATATTTTTTTCATACCATTTTGTTTATATTTATTTTAAGAAAATTAATGAAAAACCACAAGTCATTCAGGATTATGAAGCCGGGCGTGGAATACCAAATCAGTTGGTTATTGGGAAGATAGAAAAAGTACTTTGTAAGTATTAATAATTGTTAAGGTTAAGTATAAATTAAATGTTTAACTGATAAATATATTACAAATTTTAATAAGAATAAAATATAAGGATTATTAAGGGCATAATATTTTTTAATTTAACTACATCCAACAAGCAAATCTATTTTAATCAAATATTAGGTATTTTTTATATGCATATTGCAAACACGATTTTTGAGTTTAATGAAATTGTGATTTATTAGAAAGTAGGAAATTTAGATATCATTTTTTGAACCAGAAGAGCTCAATCTAAATAATTAATAATTCTACATAAAGATTAATGTTTACATTTATTATAAAAGTAGCCACGTTTGGTAGCATTTTATTGAAAAATGAATCATTTATAGACCGTCAGACTTCTTCATAGAAAATAAAAACTTACTGTAGACCCAAAAGTAGTTAATTTTCATGTTCATTATCATGTCACATTCCACAAATAATATATTCTTTAAAATTCTTGTTCACTATACAAATGTCATACAATCGTGTCAAAACTCATTTGTGGGGTTCAATAGTTGACCTTGTTATAGAAACTATTTTGTTAATTTATCCAAGAATAGGATAAAATTTCAAGAAGTACCTACAACGTCTTGTCATTTTAAAAGAGAATAAGGATGTATGGTATTCAATTTTGACAGTATCTCGACACTACAGAAAAACTGTTCCTTAATATAATATAAGTATTGAACTTTTTTTTTATTTAGCAATTGAATTATTAAAACTTAAAATGCATAAAATTAATTATTGTAGTGAAGTAAAATCGTTTGTTTTGATAGAAATTAAATTTTTATTTATTCAATTTGTGTAAACATAAATTAGATAACAGATAAGATTATCAACATAATTTGTATACAATCAAAAAGAAAACAATGTTAAGTATAAAAGTAAAAAAAAAGGCTAAAGATTCATTTGTATTTTCAGTAAGTAACAAGACATCTTGTAAAACTAGTTTTAAGAAGAATGTGGTACATAAAATAATTCTTTGTTTGGAATATTATGTTTATTTATTTTGTAGCTTAAAATAACATTTAATTTTTTTGTTTTAGGTATAAAATTAAGAGGAAAAGATCGCGGCCAAGTGCTTTTGCCCCCTAGCACCAAGAAGTGACGGGCTTGGGGGATCATTTGACATAAAAGTCACTAATTATTTTACATTTTTATTACTTTTATTTTATATTTAAAATAAAATAAATAATATTTACCTTGTCTAATTAATTTTTTTTTTTTTATTAAGTGAGAAATTAGTTTTAAAAATAGTATGTTATTACATAGTTTTTTTTTTTTTTTAAATAAAACCATTTTTACCATTATATTAAATTTAATAATATTGGTTTTTCGTGGTATCATTGATAATTTTGTTATTGAAGTATTGGTGTTAAAAATATAGTAACATAATAATATTAAAACCATTCATGTATTTGCACGATATTTTTATTGAATGTATCCTAAATAGTTACTGTATAATTTAGTTATAAATAATAATATTAGTTAATATAATACATAATTAGTTGAGTTATATTTAATCATTTCCATCTATACAAAATTTAATATGGAAGTTTATGGTGATTGTGAGAATCATCAAAAATTTATTATAATTTTAAACCAAATGTTTTAACATTATAATGGTTTATTGCAATCCAGTTTTTTACTATGAATAAATTAAAATCAAGTATACAATATAATACATTTAAATGCAGCTAATATTAATACATAAAATACATATTAACCTAATTTATATTTAGTTAACATGCATACAAACACAGTACCACATTATCTGTTTTAAAATTTGTATTCAATTTGTTAAATCAATTCAACTTATAATGCCCGAATAGCATGGAAGTTAAATTTGCTGCCAACCATCAAAATTCTGTTACTTACATTTAAATACTATGGGACATTGAAAATTCAAGCTAACTCTGGTATTAAGAAATGTATGTAAATGATAAGTAGATTAATGTTTTTAGTCAGAATTAAATATCAATTTATGTAATAAAAATGTATAAAATAATAAACATGAAAAACAGTAGGCTGTCTGGAAAAATAATAAGTAGTTTGCCAACAGGCTACCCCATTGCAAAGAGCCCAATCTTTTCACAGACTAATTTTGAAGATTAACTTCATATTTGATATATATGTCGTAGGCCATATGGAAAATTAGTCTGCGAAAAGATTGGGCTCTTTGCAATGGGGTAGCCTGTTGGCAAACTACTTATTATTTTTCCAGACAGCCTACTGTTTTTCATGTTTATTACATATAGACCAACAGCATTTAGGCCTTTTAAGAACTACAATAATTATTGTAATATAGTAATAACTATTTAACTTGTTTTATTTAAGTGTAATTTATTACTTTATATACTGTATCTATGGCGTATTTATAAAATCATATCAATCTTGTACATTTAAAATTCTAGATATTTACCTACCTTAATTTATCAGTAGATTAGATTAACTTTTCATTGTACATATTTTTGTTGGCATACTGTCTGTACATACTAGATGTTAGCACAGCTCTGTGTTATCGTTAAAACGGTCGTATTCGTTTGTATTTCTTATCAAAAATGTTTTTGCAAATCAATTAGATGCGGTTGACAGTATACATCTTATAATAATTATACTGATTTTTATTTTTTTATGAAAGTAATAAATTATCCTTAAATAAAATAATGAAAATAGTTATTACTATATTACAATAACTATTGTAGTTCTTAAAAGGCTTAACTGCTGTTAGGAAAAATAATAAGTAGTTCACAAATGGGCTACTCCATTACAAAAAGGCTAGTATTTTCGTAAAAAGATTAATTTTCCATATGGCCTACGACATATATATAAATCTGCCCACTAATACACATGAATTAAAATTATTTGCTTAGTATTAAGTTAGTGTATATTAGCAACAGCATAAAAACAAGGTATATTATCATAAAATTTTATTTAATTATTATTAATTATACATATATATCATTGACAACAAATGTACATAAAAATACTAAAAATAACATTTTTAGGATTTAAAAAAATGAAACTAATTTAGAGTTTTTTTTAAAATCTTCAAATTTTATACTTACAAATTACAAATGCAATAAGTTATAAGATAACTTAGAATACTATATCACAACTTTACAAGCAATTCTAGTTATAACAGAATCAAGTAGACTAGAGTTGTCATTTTCTATTTGTTTTATACGATAATAAGACTTTATAACATTTTCATCAATTTTTTCTGCAAATTCTGAAAAATTAGCTTTATCTCCAATAATACATTTTTCATGAAATATTTTCATTTCTGGAATATTAGAAAATTTTGATATAATTGCAACTATCATATCTTCGTCTTGATCATTAGCACCTACATCTTTCAACGATTGTGTAATATTCTTAGTTGAAGACAAATTGAAAAGAATTTCAGTAGCTAAAGACTTGGTTATCATAGAGGAGTTTTCAAACGACAATAAAGCGTTATTTACAGCGACTACAATTTGAAATGGATCAACAATCAATGAGCGACAAATTAACACAGGCGATTTATCTTTGTAAATAGAATTCATTTTTTCCTTTAACCATTTGATATTCTTGACATCTTTAAAATAAGATATGCCTAAATACTTTCCATTTTCCAAACGGTAGGTCTTCATAGTTATAATTCTTGTAAAACCGACTTCTGTTTGAAATTTAATTATTCAAAGAAATATTTATTTAGTTGTAAAGATGAATAATAATTGTGAATTGTATATATTATAATTAAGTAATTTTTACTTTTAAAATAATCAAATACAATATAGATGTATACATATATATATATTTCATTAAATTAAATTTATAACAAAATTTTAAATTTTTAACTTTAAAAGTAATTTAAGATTTATGACCTGTGAATGTTGTCATATATTCTGCTAGTAATAAATGATAACAGAACCCAGTGGTTCTTAAAATTGAAACATGATTAATAAGGTCCATCTATATATCTTAATCCAGAGGTTCTCAAAGTGTGAGGCGTAAAAGTTTTATAAGGGGGCGCAAGAAAATTTTAAAAATCAACAGCCTAAATTAAATTCTTCAAACTGTCGTTAAAACATTCAATTTAATAAAGGCACAACAACTACAGTCAAGGTTGTTTAAAGCTTTGTGTGAAGAAATGGACTCTGAGCATACAGCACTGCTATTTCACATCAAAGCTCGATGGCTATCTCGGGAAAATGTTTTTAAAAGAATATTTGAGCTTAGAAATTAAGTATTTATATTTTTAAGAGATTTCAAAAAAACCTTCAGTAGAGTTGTACTGCGATACACAGTTCTTTTTGAAGCTAACTAACCTTACACATATTTTTTCAAAACTAAATGTGTTGAATAAATCTTTACAAAAATAAAAAGCCAATATTCTTATTTAAGAAGAAAGATACAAGGCTTCATTAATAAGTTGTCACTGTGGGAGGCTGCTTTGAAAACCTAATTGTTTTGCCAACGTTGATGCAAGAAATTGAGTGTGAGAAGATTCCTCAAGAACTAACAATATAATTTGTAAATCATCTGTCAATTTTAAAAGAAAAATTCAAAGAATACTTTTATGAAGATCTGCAACCATTTCTACCATTTCGGCCTGAAAAGTTTGAGAACCTCTGTCTTAATTTATTCTATGTTAAGGTGCTAGAGAGGCACTAAATGCTAATGTATAATAAGAACCAACTGAAAGACGAAAGACACTATAACAATAGTTTAGAGTAGATAAAAGCGTCCTACTTTGGATATGATTTAAAAATTCTTACAAGTTCGTAGTCACTTTTTCATTTAAAACGAAAATATTGACGAAGAAAAGTAGATTCAGGATCTGAAATCAAATTGTAGTTGATCAGCTCGTTAAAACAGCATGAGATTATGGTAGGTGGGGGAATTGCGTAATATTAAACTGTTGTGTTATTGACTCCTGCCTAATATGATTTAAATTATCAAATACCATGGAAATTGTACATATTTATAAAAAATAAATAGATTACTTGCTATGCTCTGATATTTGTCCCAGATGTAGTAAATAATTTTTTTATACAATGTGTAAATTCTTTTATCCTATACTCGATTAGAAAATTTCAATCGTTTAAGTTTGAAATTTATTTGTGCCTATATTACAAGCGAGATAGACAGATAAAACAAATTATATGTTGATGATCTTTAATACATTTTACCAAAACTTACTATAAACAGATGACAATTTATTTAATTACACAAATAATAATTAATAGTAATAATATTACTTGTTTCAAAATAAACTCAAAGTAGATCAGTAATATTTATAGTTTTTATGTAGGTAAACAAATTTAAGTACTTCATAAATATATAAAATTACAGTTCTAAAACTGTTTCAGGTATAGGATGAACATCTTCTGTGTCTAAATCATCAATAATTTCTTGTTTGATTATGATATCAGTTTCATTTCCCTCTTCATCAGTACTTAAACTAGCTAATTCTTCCATAAGCTCTGATGGAATTTTAAAAACCTAACATACATTATATTATGTTAATAATTTAAATAAATACTAAAATTGAAATTTTGAAATTTAATAAATTACATACCCCATTAGGATTTAATGTTTCATACTGATGTTTTAATGATTGTAGTTCAAAATCACTTGAAGTACATACTGCCTTTAGTTCATTTAGCAAAACAATTTCATTACGCAAGTCATTGTAATTTTGACATGTCTCTTCAGTTGAAATAGGATTTAATTCTAAAAAAAAAATAATTAGCTAACAGATTATTACAGTTGATAAAACAAGTAATTCAAATCTAATATTATTATGTTACATACTAATTTTTAATGATTGTAAAGCCTGTTCGACATTTTTTACTTTTTTTTGACTAACATTTGCTGGTATTTTCATTCGTTGTGAACGAGTTGATACACCACTATTTTTTATGTCTGGGAATTTAATAGTAGTAGCTTCAAAATTCTAAATATACACATAATTTTAATACTATAATATTAAATCAATAATTTAAAGTTAGTTTACATTTGGATCAACTCTTGTTGGTCGAACGGGAACGGTAATGCGTTTACGATGATGAGGTGTTTTTTTGTCAATCTTTAAAGTTTTTCGACTATCATTTTGTTTATCAACTGCACTTATTAATTTCTGTAAATCTTGTGTTTTACGATCTCTATCACGTTTCCGTGCTTCAATCTTACGTAATTCTTGTAATAAACCTTGTTCTTCTTCAATCTTAAAGATTAAATAAAACAAGTATAAAACTGAATATCATTTATTAAATAAAAATATAAATACTTGTTTAGGAGTTCTACTATAAAGTCTTTCTAATTGTTGTTTTCTACGAGTTTCGTGTTCTGCATCAAACATTTTTGCTTCATTGATATTCCCCCCTCTAATCTAAATAAATACAAAACAAATTGTCCAATAATAATAAAAGAATATTAATGTTGATTTTACTTTTACAACCTTTGTCAACGTATTACAAACTGAGTAATATCTGTCTTTTAAGTCCTCAGTAGTTCGTTTAACAGCATTCTCATACTCTCCATAGTTCCATCTTCCCTGAATGACGATAAAACGTGAATCAAAACGTTGACACATGTCAAAAAGACGATCAGTTTCTTCTCTACTCCATGTTTCTGACTCTAAGTGTTCTTTGTACTCAATATCCGTGTACTCAGGTATTTCAATTTTCTAATTAATGTTAATAATAGGAATACATAATAGTAAAATAATTGCATACTTAATCAATTTATTATTTAAATATATTAGGCACATCAAATAAACTTTAATTATTAACAGTATCACATACCTTGTTAAATTTAGCAAAAGGATACTCTTTACCCTCATCAGCAACTCTTCGCCAATGGTAAAAAGCAACACTATCTTCCCGAGCTGGGTTGACAAAAGGAGCCCATACCCATGGGCGAACACGCCGCATACCTAATCTAGCTTTTTGGAGCTTATAGGTTGGACCTATGTACAATTAAGATAACATAAAAAAAATAAAGGAAAATTTAAAAATTTATATATATACCAGATTCAGTTTCGATAACAGGTGGAACATCTTTTTTATCATTATACAACAAGGCAAATACTTCACGAGCCATTCCTTCAGGTCTTCGGTTTTGGCGATTACCTGACAGGAGTGATACTTTTTTCTTGTTTGTACCAAGTATTTCATCTTTAGAGATCTGAGGACCAGATCCTCTTTCTATGTCCAGAATATCACGAATATCTTCAGTCATCTTTAATGATTTCGGTTACTCAAATATTAAATATTTTATTTCAATATATTCACATCTATTAAATTGTAAATTTAGTAAAACATGATAACCATGATTTAAATTTCAGCATCTTAATAAAAAGGTAAATTATTTATTTAGATAAATTAGATTATAATGTAGTAATAGTTAATAGTAGTTAATTTAAATAACAAACAATTTTAATTTTAAAAATAGATACAGGTAGATGACTTTATTTAATGTATGTGTATTTTGTTATCATCTATCATGACTTAAATTACGAATGTTCCGCTAGCAATATTTGACAAGAGAGCCGAGTGGTTCTCAAAGTATGTAGAAGTTTAATTGAAGGCGTTAGATAGGCAATAAATGTGCAATAATGCTAGACGTGAAGAGCAAAAAAAAATATTTTTTAAGTAGTAGCATAACGTCACAGTAACCAGCCGAAACAGTTTTCTTTGTGGCCCGATTAAAATCCGATTAGAAAATATTTTATTTCACCAAATGATAGGTAGGTGAAATCATTGGCAACCCTTTTTATTTATTTTTTGTTATTATTAAGTTTTATTATTTTAATCTTTTTTAAACAAACATTGTTGTAATGGAAACGCATATTTTTGTAATAATTTTACCATAATATGATATATATGTTGTTAACAATGCAACATTATTAAATGAACTTCGTTCAGAATCATATTTTCGTTAGCATTGGTTTATCGTTTCTTACAAATATACATTAAATTCCCATCTGTATCCTACCTTTTCAACTTCCTACCTACAACACTGGCAACCCATGTGCGAAGTATTTGCATTCTTTTTTTCTTTCATATATTACTAAAAGATGGATCAATTGTCGACTGATAAAAAAATGCATTGCGTGGTAATTAATAAAGAAAAAACAAAATAAAACAAAGTTCGAATATTAACGAGTTTCGATTTTCATACACTGAAACTAAGAAAAACAATTTGGTAAGTTAAAATAAATAATTAAACGAATAATATACGATAGAATATGTGATGTTGTTTAATTCATCGTACAACAAAACCTGACGGATGTAAAATGCGTCCGAAGCAATCAAGATACATATTAATTAAAAAACAAATGCCGCTAATGTTGTAGAAATTTGTCATTTTATTTATAAGACTAGAAACGTAAAGCAAAAAAAAAGAAGCGGTGCACACGTCATTGAGTGTGTAATAATTCAGTTTTTGTGCGAGCCAAGTGACTTCACCGCACGAGGTCCGAACACGTACTGAGTTAGAGTCGGATAACACCTTAACTACACGTCTGGGCCACCCTCTCGAGGGGGGGCACCAAATTGACCTAGATCGCAACCACGTCATTGCGTTGGATGTTTGAGGCTGTGTGTCTATCCGTTTGCCTAGCTCTTACAGGGTACTGCAACAGTTACTTACAGTGTTCTATATAGGTATTCAGCCGACCAACAGTGCCAGAATGCCTGATGGCATTGGTCCAGGAGCTTCCATCGGTCGACTATCGAACAGCCACGGACATCCGAAGTATAAGCAAGGATTGCTATTAATGGTTGGTCCACCAGGAAGTGTCCGGGCGTGAGACACTCGAGATCATGTGGGTCAGTTGATGCCGGAGTTAACGGTCGGAAATTGAGTACCACCTCTATGCGGCACGACACCGTCGCGAGTTCCTCTTAAGTGCAGGTGAGCGCACCCACGATCGGGACCGAAAAATGGTCCAAGGACCGTACTGTTAACACCCACAATCCGCTGAAATGCGGAGCGCTAGACGGTTTAAAGCTCCACGTACAGGATGAAAAAAGCAAAACAGAACATAAAACAGATTTTAGATAATACCTATACATTTTTAGAACAAGTTAAAATGGGTTTGAATTTATTAGAGAATCCAATACAAAATGAATTTATATTTTGAACATTGAAACTTACAAGGCATTGAGTTCAATCTACATGCATTTAAATGAAACATAATCGCATAGTATTTTGACAAATGAAGAAACAATTTGAATTCTTCAAAAGTTAGAAAAAATATAAACTATAGCTGTAATTGGCTGCACACCGTTTTGTCGTATATAATACAAAACTGTATTACCTATTCCACACATTTTATACCAAAACAACAAAACAAAGATTCATGCAAATTATTCGTTACGGACGTATTGTCGGTGTTTACACATTTTTAGTAACGCATACCACTGGTGGTAAATAAAAATTTTGGGGCTGAACATATGTGTTCACCTATTGTTGGTGCGGCCTACTACTAACGGTAAATGGACAATTTGGGGTTGTAAACAGTGATCCGATATGAGCAGGTATATTTCCCTTCGGCTGAAATACGCCAAAGGGAACATGATAAATAACGGTATTTGTATTTCCAAATATGCCACGGGAAATGAAGAATTTGGCGGGATTGTAGTAGCGGTTTACGATTCTAGTAGGTGGGTTTTTGGTTAAACAATTGTATTACCGATAACAGTATTTGGTGAGGAGGGTTCGCGGAAGGTTGAAACTTCAATGGAATTGGGTACACGTGCATGAAGTTAGCCCCCCGACTTTGTCGTAGGGACTCCAAAACTGTGCCAATATTTAGCAACCTTTTTGTAACTAATAGTAACCAACTTGAAAAAATGTGCAACCTTGTTTTTTATGAGTTTTAGTAAGTTATTAGATAGCTGCAAAGCAGGGTCTAGATGAAGAAAACGTTGCCGTCAAATACGACTGCTTGTCATATTAAGTGTTACGTTATATTATATAGGGTGCAATCAATTTGCACCAAAATTGATCCTAAATATTTACAACATGTGTTGTTTACACCAAAATAAATATTTATAATTTGCACCATCTCAGGTAGGTTGAAATATGAATTTTAATTTCCACCAAAATTCAAATTGATTATTCTTTCGATAGTGCCAACGTACAAGTCGGATCTCGATGTCACATAGTAGTATGAAAGACAATTTTAGCTGACCAAAATAAATATAATAACTATATAAATAAATATTTATTTACATATATATTATCGTTTTAAGTGAGAAAATCAAATAATATAAAAATGTATGAAAATTTGAAAATAATGTACATCTTTTATAAAATGAGTCTATAAAGACAAATTAATTTAGAATTAATTCATTCTTTAGAGGCAGCATATTGTAGAGATAAATCATTGATAAAAAAAAAAAAAAATTAACAATAATCTTTGGATTTAAAAACAGTAGTAATTTATACCGATGAATAATTGAATAGGCACTTAATAATCGATTACATAGATACTTCATTTTGGTGCTAATCACAAACACTATTTTCGACTACCTACAGTGGTGCAAATTACATATATTTATTTTGGTGCAAATCATAAACTTATATTAACAATATAATATAAATTATAAACGGCACGCGTTTTAAGATTCGGATCTACGATTTTTCGGTGGCAAAATTGGAATGACTGTTTATGATAAGAACATTCGAGGATGGCTCGCGAGGGGTATTGATACAGTATTGGAGCAGTATTGATGTATATTTTTGAGAATGGGGAGAAATGACCAGTGGGGCATGCTTTAAGAATTCTAACATTGGTTGATAGGAAGTACTCAGTGATTCAAAAAGAGGCTTTAACAGTTTTCTGAGGGGTAAAGAAATTGTCTTAATATCTTCTAGGCAGAAAGTTTATATTTGATAAACAACATATTTATAATTATTAGGGTTGCCATTATTTTAATAAAGCAAATCCGGGATGAATAGAAAATAAGCAAATAGAATAGCAAATAAAATTAGTCTAAGTATAATAAAATATGATTGAATCATATAAAATACCAATATAATTTATATGTATTAAAAAAAAAAAGACTCATCTTATAAATTAAAACCATACAACAAAAATTGTATTTCTTTTTTATAATCATCAAAAAGATTGTTGTAAAACATACAAGTGATAACTAATTTGGATACTATTTAGGTATATAAAGTTTTATCCACAAATATATAAAATAGTTATATCTGTAGTTTTATTATCATTGTTTTACCCCGTATTTGTAAAAAATCTTACCATTATCTCTCGATTACAATTATTATTCGAAGAAAATGTCGAAATTAAAAAATATTAATTTTTTCCATTTTGGCATGGTTATGCGTGTTTACAAACAGTCTTAAAATCTTAATAAATATATCATTTTAGATTCTAAGTGGAGCGAAGAAGCTTATAGTTTTACAAAGATATTTAATTTTTATTATTTTTTTTTTATCTGTGCACAACATTTCTACTAGCAATTTTGCTCTGATTTACAATCATAGCATTTTTTCTGAAAATAAATTTGACTAGGGAGGTACTTTAAAGAGGTAATTTTTAGATTTTCCTAGCAAATTTGAAAACCGAGAAAAAACATGGGAAACCGAGAAAAATTTAAGAAAAATGGGAAAATCGGTACAATATTAAACAAATATGAAAGGAAATTTAGAAGCTTGTTTAATTATTTTACTATAATGACATATATATTGTTGAAAAAGCATCACTATCATTTAAGTACTCCGCTCAGAATCCTTTTTTTGTTAGCAATGGTTTATCGTTGCTTATAGGTATACATTAAATTACTTATAACAGTGGCTGCACCCATCCTCATTATCCTAAGACTTCTTTTTTTTCTATTTCAATAATATGGTTGCATTTAACTATTTCTGAACCTTCGCCAAAAGGTCTTTTAAAATCACCAATATATTGAATTATGTCGGTGATTTCTATTACAGAATTAAATATTATGTACATTTATTATTGAAAATTATAAACAAAATAAGTTTTAAAAGGAAATTTTAAAAAATACTAGTAACAAATGGATAATTTTGGCTAAATTACTATATTGTAATGCTATTATAACGTCTATCCATAGAGTATTACTATATACGCCCATTCCTTATCATTAGTGTCGATTAGAGCCTTACCTACAAGGTTTATAGATATTACCTATAGTTACTTTCAATCGCGATGTTTGTATTATCTATGATAGATATCGAGATAGATCATAGAGTAATACTTTATGAGATAAGATAAACAATCTCGGTACCCAAAGAATTAATATTTAAATCCACTAATTTAATAAAAGTAATTCTTTATTATCCATGAATATAGGTGCGTAATAATTTGTCAATCTTTATATTCTGTGTATTACTTAAAACGCATTATGTTTATTTTCAACGCCAATATAAATTCAATTATCAAGAAAACAAACATTTCAATTTCTATCAATATTTTCAGGTATGATAATAATTTCAATACTAAGTTCTTTTTTAAATTTTAAGGTAAGTACATTTATATTTGGTGTAAGTATCCACATTGAAATATATAACAAATAAAGTTTGTTTTATACATATAATATTTTAAACAGTTAATAATAAACAACAATTTTTAAACAAATAAGTACATTGTAGGTTTTAGATTGTTTAAAATATCCATATTTAATTCCTACCTCGGTTCTATCTATAATTGTAATTTTTAGACCAGTCAATACATAATTGGTTTACATATTGCTTTTTTATGGTGTAAAAAAAACATCATATTCATAAATCAATTTTTTTTTCAGAACATGTAATTAAATAAAATATGTTTTTTTTAGATCTATAACACAAAATCATGTCAAAGAAACAGTAAATTCTCAGGAAGTAGAACACCATTCTAATATGAAAGAATTCTGGTGGAAAAGTAATGGGCCATTAAATGCATTACATTCCTTAAATCCATTAAGGTAAATTTAACATATAACAGCGAAGACTGTTTAATTTATTGAACTATTAAAGGAGAAAATAATAATTTTGTTTTAAGATTTTATATTATATTATATGATTTGACATATGCAAAAGGGACTTTAGTAGATTTTTGGCTTAAACGGTGGATTTTGAGTTTTGGGAGGTATTTACATTGTTTTGTTCAAGAACAAATCTTATGAGTTATATAATTTTGATACTTTTGATGCTAGAAAGTGGTTTTTTGTTTTGAAAAACTTGGAAAGTTTTTTTTAAAATTTTTCTCAAAATGAAATTTGCATGATTAGAGTCCTTTTTTTATGAATCAATATATATATATATTCGGTGGTTTCATCTGTATTTATTATATTATTTAGTAATTGTTGTTAGTGCTGTTATTTAAAAGATGCTCTAGTAGAAACTATCTTGAAATATACACTCACATATTGAAAGACAAAACAAAATCTTAGGTATTTTCATGGACTTAAGCAAAGCTTTTGATATTATCTCTCATATTCATCTATTAAATATTTTAAAATCAATAGATATTGTCAATAGATTATTTAATCTACTTAAATCATATTTAAAACAGAACACAAGTCAAAATCTTAAATACTTAAAGTGATGAATTAGAAATTAATAATGGTTTACCTCTAGGTACTGTACTATCTCCTATTCTAAATATTATACACCTCTTTATGTCAGCTGTTGATTGGTTTCTATTCGCAATTAAGCTTCCCAGATAGCAAAACTTATTAACTTGCTGGATAGGGTTGTTTCTTAGAATAATAAGTACTATCTCATCATTGTTGAACTTATAACAACATTGTTTTTGTCTTTTTTTCATTCAATCTTTAGTTGATACTTATCAAATACAAATAATAACTACATTTTATAATTTTACTTTTGTGTATTAAATGCTTACGGTTATGTTGATTCAATAATAAAAAGTTCTATGTATGTAAAATAACGTACACATTATATTTTTTGATATGTAAAAAAAAAAGTTAGTAACCTTGTTAAGTAGTACATGAAAAATTTTGAAATGTGTAAATGGTATACGGTTATAAAAAGGTTGAAAGCAATAAAAGAAAAAAATTAATTTTTGAAAAGCCAAATATACTTCATATCTAGGCCATTGTAGTATATTACAAGTTTGAAGGGTATAGGTTATAGGATATTCAAATTTATATATTGATAGTAATGACAAATTGTTACAGTTGTAGACAATACTAAGAAGAGTATATAGTATTAAACGGGGGTTTTTTGTTAGTTTTCTTGTTTAGATCATTTTTTTAATTAAAGTAACATTGGTCCAAAAATCTTTATCTTTTAATGTATGAATGGAATAATATGAAATATTATTATTTTCTAAAAAATAGAAAAAAAAATCTTGATAAAATTGAATAGCTTTTTTCTATACTCAAAATCTAAATTACAATAAAATAAACTACTTAGTCATATTTTGAAATATGCTATACAATTTCCAGTGCAATCCAAATGTTTTATTGATACTGATATTACCTAATTAATATAAGTATTGCAAATAATATATGTACCTTTCTATCTTATAATATTATTTAATTAAAATATTTTATTTTGTTTATATCTATAGAGTTTCATTTATAATAAATGGTTTGGTAAATATGAAAAAAATAGAGACTGAAAATATTGGCACACGTCAAAGTTTAAAAAATATTAAAATTCTAGATGTTGGGTGTGGTGGTGGACTTTTAACAGAGGTATGGTTTAAATATTAAAAAAAACTGTATTAATGATTTGTATCTATGTTTAGGCATTAGCTCGGCTAGATAGTAATGTGACTGGAATAGATCCAAGTAAAGATCTTATATCAATTGCTATTGATCATTCTGTGATCCTTAGAAATAAAAAAATAAAGTAATATACACATAGATATAGATATACAGGTATTTATAAATACATTTTTCAAATTCTTATTTGTTTTTTAAGATATATTAATGAATCTATTGAAGAACATGTGAAATTAAATGCAGAGACATATGATGCAATTGTTACTTCAGAAGTTTTAGAGCACGTATCTAACAAATACAGTTTTTTAACCAGTTGTGCTGAATGTTTAAAGGTAATTGTTGTTTCTTTATATTACATTACTAAGTTTAGCCTCCAATTATAGGTGTATTCTCTTTAGCTGTTTAAGCGCTTACCAGTGCTACCGTACCGTTCAGTTGGGCACACGAGCACTATAATAATATAGGATTACTACTATTTTTATCGTTAGATTTCCTAAACTAGGCATCCTTTATGTATTTTTGTATTTTTTATGTACAATTTTGTGTATCTATAGCTATTGCTTTATTATGTTATAATATGTGTTTGGGGCTATTGCACTAGATTTTGTGAAAGACACAAATGTGTGTCTTTCTAAGGTCTTGTTAGATCCTCATTAAGCAGCGCCTCTTAAATTAAATAGTATACATACAATCTCTTGTTCTTATATATGGTTATACTTGACTTAATTTTATAATGAAAACTAGACACCCGGCTGTACGAGTCTCAGTAAATAAAAGTCACTATTATTGTATTAAATGTTCCTTTTATTTACTCCTAACCTCTGTCAAAATCCTTGTTGAAGAGTCTTCAACTTTTCGGTGTCTTCGTTAATTTATGTATAGTACTTGTAAGATCCCGGGTCTCTACAGCATAAGTTTATAACTATGAAATTATTAAATCTGAGTGCTATGTTATCCAATCTGCACTCACAATTAGAATAGGTTGTACAGCGAAAGGGGAAATGATATGAATGGTGAAATTATTTGAATGAAATTGTATTTTTCAAGAAAAAATATCTTTGGAATGTAAATTTCGAAAAAAACATAATAATCTAGAAAATAATAATTTGTTTCTAAACTATTTTTGTTACTCACCTCATAATGTAGAGGTTTTACAAATATATAATTTTTTATCAGTAATTTACCTAATGTAATTTTTTATCAAAATTTTAAAATGATCTTGGAAAACACTCAAATGAAGGTTTCCAAAGTCCTATAGATGTAGCGATTAGTAGCAAGTTAAACTGGAACCATTGGTTTTACTAAAATACCCAATTTTTACATTCAGAGTTTTTACCTTCTGCATTTTTACTTTTCATTACTTTACTTTCTAGACTTTTACTACTCTCATAGCAAAGATGTTTAAAAAAAAAAAAATTGATTATCATTATTATCTCCGGAGATATTCAAGGGGTATATCTTTATGGGACAGCCTGTTTATAACCATGATGTAACATATTTTACCAAGTTACACAGTGTGTCCCACAGATTTTTATATCTATTTATTCTGTTGTTATTTAATTTTAAAAAAAATATTTTTTTTGTCAATCAGATTTTTTTTGAAGGTATATACATTTAAAAACAAAATTAAATTTGTATTTTCACCCCTTAGTCAATAGAAAAGATAACTTTATTTGTTCAATTTTCAAAATATTTGATTTGTAGTATATCTATTACAAATTATTCTAAATATTTTAATCCATCATACATACATATTCAAAGAATAATTTATAAGTCATAGCCTTTTTAGTTTTTAAAGTAGTGTGAATCAATTATATTTAATGGACTAACACTATGCGATAGTGAATCATTATCTTAATAAAACTATCAACTGATAAATATTTTTAGAATGAGCATTTTTAAAGATTTTTGTGTTGTTTATAGACATTTAACATATTTGAGTTTTACATTTTTAGTTTGATCAAACAGAAATGCTTGACAATTCAACACGGATTTATTATAATAAGTTGTACTTAGTAGAAAAAAAAACATAAATTAAATAACTTTTTAGCAGCTTTTTTAAAAATATTTTGTTAGTTTTAGTTTAATAATCAAACTTTGTAGTCATAAATTAAAATGTCCAAAATTAATGGTGACAATTTATGTTCCAAAATGTCTGAATTTTGATGCTTTTACTGGTGTTTTTTTTTTTTTACAATATTAAATATTCAGAAAAAAATAGTTTTATTTTATCAAAAAAACTAGTTTAATAGTCATAAAATCATAAAAATCATAAATACATTTTAAAAATAAATTGTATTAATTCTTCATTAAATTATACTATGAATATACAAATTGCTTAAAAGTATACTAGCTGTCTTGCCCGGGCCAAATTATGTTTAATGAAAACAATTCCCTCCTAGATTTCTTATTTTAATCTCCGTCACTATTACCACAGTTAACCGTTGTTGTTCTTAAATGTTTAAAAATTAATTTTCTTTATTTTTATTTTTAAACTTATATAAATTAGCTATATGTTTGCTAAGCAATGAAGAATATCTGATAATTTTTTTTTTATCCAGCCTTAACTACTGCAGGTTAAGTTGTCTACTACTTCTATAGAAGTATACTGGTTAGACCGATGTTTTCAATAGTTTAAAATCTTCTCAACGGTGTACATCATTTAAAAAAAAAAAACAACGATTGGATGAGTAGTTTCCAAAGATTATCTCGGCCATCAAATGGCACTTTGTTTTTTCTGTATTAAAATCTTCTATATTTGATGAAATTGCTTCAAAAGCACTCTTGAAGTTGTCCATGTAAGGATTGTGACAAATATTGCAAGTTGTATAATAATTCTCGATAATGACATAGATAATGAAGACTGTACTGTTTCCATTATAGGAAATTATAATTGGAAAGAAACCATAGATACCATAGATACCATTCCAGTACAGCTCATAGTTTTTTTTTTTTTTTTATCCTTGTAACTAAGGTTTATTGGTACATAATTTACACATTTATTTTAATGAATTATTTCTAACTTTATCGGACTAAATTTAGGCCTAAAACTTGCTCTGTGATGTTTTATTTAATTTAAAAAAACAACATGACAATCGAATAAGTAGTTTCGAAGCCAACCCATATCAAAGTTTCTATTTTCACTTTTATATATATATATAGATTTTAATAGATTTATTATTTACGTATTATTTGTTTCAAAAATTAAAATTTTTCATTATATAATTATATAATTGGGCCTTAAAATTACATTTTATTACATAAAATGTAATGCACATGTCTTCATAATTATTTTTATTTATATTAATTACTATAGATACCATAGATGCATTTAGACCAACCTTTTAAATTTGTTTTTAATTCATCTGTGTTACTAAGGTAATACATAAAATTTAATAAGAATTAAGAATAATTAAGAATTTAATAATGCTTAAAAATCGAATTTTAGGCGATGGTTTTCAATAGGGGTGGATTTCAGTAGCTATAATTTCTTCTCAAGACAACGTGGATCATTTTGCAAAAATCACGTAAAAGTTGATCCAGTAGTTTTTGAGATAAGCTGTTACAAAAATTTACATGACGTTACAATTTCACATTTATATATATATACTAGCTGTCCTGCGCCCGGTGTTGCCTGTGCCAATTTATCCATATTCATTTTTGGTTTACCGTGTAAGAATTGAATGAAAACAAATAGGTGGAAAGTGGGTAGTCCACCTTTGGCGGACTAAATATGTTCTGTTGTGAAAATTTAATAGTGTAAATAATAGTAATAATAATAAACAAAAATAAATAAATAACTAATTAGATATTCGCACCAAATATACCTAAAAACCCCTATTTTACCCCTTAAGGGTTGAATTTTCAAAAATTCTCTTTTAGCGGATGCGTACATTATAATAGCTATCTGTATGCCACATTTCAGACTGATCCATCTAGTAGTATGTGCTAGGCAATGGTGAATCAGTCAGTCAGGACATGTTATAAAATATGCATAAAATATAGATATGGCACATAGATCTTTATAATTATTGAGTTATAAATGGTGTAGCTAACCCAACTGTTTTATTTATACAGATATATCTACTTTTGTGTAGTTTAAACATACATATTTCTGAAAAATTATCTTTAGATCGGTAACCACTGGTAACTATCAATAACCATGTGACTGCCTTTTATTTTTTTAAAATTATTATGAATATAATTAGGTGACTACTTTTTAAATTATAAATAATTGAAATATTACTTTTTGATTGTTTTATATAGCCTGGAGGATCTTTATTTATTACAACTCCAAATAGAACTTTGTCTTCGTGGTTAAGTGTAATAATAATAGGTGAAACATTCAATTTTATACCAAAAGGTACTCATGAATGGGAAAAATTTATTTGCCCACACGAACTGCAGTCTATTTTAGAAATGAATTGTAAGTATAAAATCTATTTATTATTTCTTTTAAATAACTTAATAGCTAATTTTCATTTTTATTCTGTAATTATATAAATCTAAGTTTTGTGAGACTTTGTATGGTACAATTAAAATTCTTATAAAATAAGTTAACTTATTATTCTATCATTGGATAGCCTCCCTTCTTATGTTCGTCATAAAAAAAAAAAAATCTCATTTACTTTTTGTGCTAAATTATTTATTTAGTTTAATTTAATCAAAATATACTTTTAAATATATACTTATATAATATAAGTAAAAATATACTGCCGCTCATGAGATAAAGAACTCATTTCGCATATGCATCTGACAGTGACAGTGCTACACGACGTTCGACGTCTCGAGGTACTGTTTCCCCTACTCATACTGTCTGAGCGGCAGCATACTGTCGCCTGTGTGAACTCTGACTAGTTTTGATCAAGGCACAGGTTCCTTCTCTCGTGGGCCACAGTATAGATTGTAAATATTCAATAAAAAAAAAACCTTATGATTGTTCATATCAAGTCAAAAAGAATTACTATTTAATAATCAATTTAATTTGTATTTACAGGTAAGTGTGATACTATTTCAATTAATGGATTATCGTATGAACCTTTTACAAACCATTGGTGTTGGACTAATTTGACTGATGTATCTTATGCGATACACGCAGTAAAAAACAATAGCACTATATAGGTGATTATCACAATATATAATTGTATATTATTTGTAAATATATTTATTGAACAGAATTAAATATTAATATATAAAAAATAATTGTTATTTATGTATTGATAAAACAATTACCTATTATATGAAAGTTATTCAAATTTTAAATTTATATAGTTTTTTCAAAGTTAAAATATATGTGTTTAGTTAGAAATTAAAATAGGATTATTTTGATTTGTTAAATTTCAAGAACCACCAAAATAATAAGCAAACATTTTGCAAACAAAAAACTAATAATACCTAATATCACCATTCAGGCATGTATTCAGGATTTTTTTTTAGGGGGGGGGTCCAAAAATAAAATTTATTACCAACTACCAATAATATGATTTTTTGAGAAGAAGTTTAAATTTTGGGTTGGGAAGAGTCCAGACTCCATGGACTCCTCTCCCTAACTACGTGCCTGCCACCATTCAGTATTTAACTAGTATAGACAACAAATTTTAGAAAAATACTATTTATTCAATCCATAAACTTAAACCCAAGATTTAGTATATTTACTTTTAATCTTTATGTATTTTAATATTATTAATACATTACTTAAGTTTTGTTTTTCAATTGAAGTATTATTATTGCATTACTTGGAACAGAAAAAGTAAATAATATTAATATTTAAATTGAGAACCAAACTATAAAATTTAAAAAAAATATGTTCAAGGGCATTGTATAAATATTTCTAATTAAAAAAGTTTTAGTTCTAAAAAGAAAACATAAATTAACACGACAGTATCTTTTTTTTTGATCGATCATTTTTTAGAAAAATAGCCATGTAGTGGCCTAAAAATATTTTCTTCTTTTGATTTTGTTATCAGTGTTTAAACTAATTTCAATTTAAATATCAACATTTTTCAATGTTATTTGATAGACTGAGACAGTAAATATGGGTAAATCCTCATCTTAATTCAATTTGAATAATTTTTAATAAATTATTGTAATAAAACAATAAATCTATTTAAAAATTGAATGGACATAATTTATGATTTAATAAATTGTATACATTTTGATTAATTAAACCATAAAAACAATTATAACTCTTAAAATATTAAATTGATAATGGTATAAGAAACAATACATATAAGAAATTTGTATGTAATATTTTTTATTTAGAAAAAGTTTGTTCAATTTTTGGTACTACATAAATGAAAAATAAATAAATATGCAGATATTTTCATGTGACAAATTCATTAACAAATCCAAATGGTATTTCAAGAGAGTTTTGTATGCTAAATCAGGAATAAAAACATTGGAGAGGGAATCCAGGAAATGACAAAATCTTTTATAAGTATTAAATAATATTGAACATAAAATGAACAGTCATCAATAAATGAAGCAATTATTAATAATTTTAGTTTTTATATAAAATCAAATAAAATAAGTTTGTTAAAAAAAAAAAAAAATATTTCCTAAAGGAAGTTATTAAGTAAACAGATTTATAGTTAAACAGCATTATTTTTTTCTTGAAAATCTTATCAAATCAACATACACATCAACAGAATTTTCTTTATGAAATGCATAAGATGCTGGCAAATCATATCTTAATTCCGCAACAACATTTGAATTGACATTCCATTTACTCGCTTTTTTTTGAATATGTTTTCTGGTACTTGTTTTATGAAGTGAATACACAGCTGAATTAGCCATGTGTAAAGCTGACTTTAAAAATTCTAAATCGGCTCCTTTTACTTTTGTTCCAAATGGTGGGTTCATTATAACTGTATCAAACATTTTAGGCTTAACACATTTTGGGATATTTTTTATGTCACATAAAACAAAATTACAATCATCTAAAATATCACGATTACTAGCATTTTTTACGCTCAGAGCAAGAGCAGATGGATCTATATCGAAACCTAAATAACAAATTAAATGTAATACTATTAAACTGATCATATTTCATCATGTACTTATTTATTACCTGTACAATATTCAGCACCTAATATTACAGCACCTATGGATAATATTCCAGAGCCACATCCTAAATCAGCAATGGTTTTATTCTTTATATCACCAAATACAAATTGGGCAGTATGAAGAATACTAGCAGCAATAAGTGGTGATGTAGTATATTGTTCAAATTCAATTTTTGGGTTTTCAAATGTTTCTATATTTTCAAGTTGACTTTGTAAATTTTTTAACTTTATTGTTCCCATACTTGCTTATTTTTCAATACGTGGTAATACAGGTAATATAGAATTACCAAAAGCTGAATCTGTGATGATAAAGAAGCCAGCAGATTGTAATGCTTGGGCACGTTGAAAATGACTATCAGATGTACCCTAAATCAATAAGATAACAAAACATGAAAGATGATTAATATTTTAAAATTAAAAGGGATAATCATTTTATGAAGAACTTTGAATTATCAATAATAATTAATACGGTTAACTGGCATTTATAACAAAATCATATTTAAAAAAAAAAAAAATAGATACACAATACAATATACATGCATAAATATGATTAAGACATAATCAAGAATAATTTTAGAAGTTAATCTAGTTTACTATGTTTCTATAATGTTCAGTTCAATTTAGTATAAACATAATTGTAGAACTAACAGTTTTAAATTGTCATAAATGGACTCATATAATTTTGAAATTATATAAAGACCACCCTAACTTATATTTTATTTTATATTTATATCTTATATTGTGAATGTTGTAGGTATTGAAGCCATACAAAATAATAATAATTTTAAATTTGTTGATATACTGACAACCTCATAAGTAACTAATAACAACTTCATTCAAATTGCATGCATACATTTAAAGGAAAGTAGATTTTGGAATTTGAAGTTAATCGAAAACAAAAAAAATAGATGCTGCTATAAATGTCAACCACACACTTATCAAATATTTTTATTGTGGCTATATTCATAAGTTAATCTAATTAATTATGACTAGGTAGGTATCATTATATTTACATGTAAAAAATATAGGTACCTATTTAAAATATTTGAGAAGCATAGTAAACTCAATTTAAGTTTAGTGACCCTTAATACCAAGTACACAATTTATATGAGCAAATTAGAAATATAATATTTTAAAATTATATACAGAAAATGAATAAGTAAGTGACCTATTATACAATTGTATAAATACATTATAATTTATTTGATAATTAAGAATGATACATTGATTCATACCGGGGTTGTAGGTTGTGGAATTGTCGGAGGAGTTGGAACGGCACCAGTTTTTAATAGTAATTGTTTTTTTAATTCTAAGTCTTCAAGTATTTTTCGATTTTGAATACCTGTATACAAAATAAAAAAAGTAATTGATATTACGTAAATAAAAACATAACATAGTAATATAGATACCTCTAGCATTCTGCGCTGGAAAAGACATTACCATCAACAGAATTAATTTTATTACATTTGATTAGTATAAACCATTACTTACAATAATAATTGTTACAGGTAACAAATACAAATATTAAGATATATATCAATTTATTCGTGGTCGTTAAATGGCCTTAGATCGTTAATCGTTTAGTTATGAGCCAAGCGACAAAATCAGGTGATGATTATATCTGTGATAAATCTATGATAGTATATAATAAAATAAACAAGTAAACAATAAAGGAAGACTATTTAATTTCCAGGGCACGTTTTTAGTTTGAAAAATGATTGTTAGGTAGAGCCACTATGATCGAATATGACTTATTTTTTTGGGTTTATTTTATTACGTAGTATACATTATAGATAGCTCATATTGTATGATAAAATACGGAAATTAATAGCTTAATGTGTCAATAGATAGCGTTAAGTGTTATAATTGAAAAAATAAATTACATACCATGGAATTTAAATAGTAGAATTGAACTACCATGTTGTTTGTGAAAGTGACCTGACAATAAATATTTGGTCAGTTGTCGATCTACCTGGCTTAAAACCACCTTGGTATTTTCCAACTAGATTTTTAACTGTCTCTTTTATTCCTGACAGAATATAGAATATAGTAACTGAATATTTTATATGCTACATTTAGTAGTGATTCCTCGGTAATTGTTGCAGCCCTTTCTATATCATCGGCGTTTTCCAGTCTTCATGTGTTTCTTCTGTTTCCCATATTTTAGTGATTATTTTCCATATTCTATGGGTCAGTGTTTCTCCTCCATTCTTTAAAAAATCTGCTACTATCTCGTTGTCCTCTCCAAGTGATTTGTGATTCCATAACTTTTGTATCTGGTACTTGATTTCTTCTAAAGATGGACTTAAGTATCATTTCTGGTATTCCGACTGGGGAGGAAAACTTCACTTGGCTGTTCACAGTTTAGAAGCTTATCAAAATAGTTTGCCTATTTTATGGCCAGCTCTTCATCCGTAGTTATCGATAAACCGTCATCGTTTTTCAGAAACCTCCTTTTTTTTTCTTGTAGTTTCCTTTAAGATTTTTACTCGTTGATATAGATCTCTTATTCCATTACTTCTATATTTGATCTCTGCACCATCAATCATGCATTTTACGTATTTCCTTTTTTTACATCTTATAATGTTATTAGTTTCCCTCCGATAGCATCTATATCTTTCTAAGATTTCACTATTATTTGTATCTCCTAACCATTTCTGTCTTGCTAATTTTCTTCTCTTAATCGCTCCTTCATATATTTTATTAAACCAGGGCTTAGATGTCCTGGTTAGATGTATTTTTATAATAACATATAATTAATATTCATTTTAAAAATTTAAAAATGTTTGTACGTGCTTATTATATTATTATACTTTTTTCCTAATTCGTGTTTTTTTTTCCTATTTACTTATTCTTATTATCTATTTCGTATAACTAACAAAAATATAATGGAAATCCATTATAGTTAGGTAGGTAGGTACCTATATATATCTATCTATACAGTCTTGAAAAGAATATTTTTATTTTTTTTGTGTTCGAATAATTTTCAAAAAATATATTTAGAATACATTCTGGAATATACGACAAATTATTTGAATACTTTGAGAATACTATTTTTAAATTTTTTTTGCTCAGAATACAATTTTTTTAATATATTATTTTTATATTTTAAAGTAATAGGTACATAAATTTATTATCACTTTTAAAACATTTATATTTTGTTACATTTAACCATCATTACTTTTTCAGAACTCGCATCAGTCATTTTCCCTCGTTTCTTGGTCATAACTGTACTCCACACACTAAATATCCGTTCTATTGGAGCACTTAGTAAAGGCGTGTTGTATTATAAAAAAACTTTTTTTATAAGAAAAGTATCATCCAAAGAAGTTAAATTCTTTTTGGGTTCTTAGGGAAATAATTCGAAGTTTCATTTTCTGCAGAATTATTTATGTTTGTTTTGTTAGAACAATTAAAAAAAAATTATTACATATATCATCAAATTGATTTTTACTATAATTCATTTCTGGTGTCAGATGGCACCACTATTTATCGGGTTTTTGGTGCTAATACTATATTTTATATTTTTAATGACCACTAACCAAGATTATAAATAATAAACACAAACAATTATAAAATACAAAATAAAAATACTAAAAAAAAAATTCAGAATACGTATTCGAATATATTTTTTAAAATGTATTTAGAATATTATTCGAATACAAAAAAGTATTAAAATATTTTTATTCGAATACTTTACAAGACTGTATCTATCTGATGTTTATCGCGGCTGTATGTCTACAGTTTATCTATCATAAGGTTATTTTACCTACAAGCGGTAATCTATATTATTACCACGATTATTACATAGATCTAGATAATTGTATATAGGTATAAAGTACATTTTTTTCATCGATATAATCAATTCCATGAGGGACTGCCCGGTCGTGAATTATAAACTGAATTTGTCATTTAGTGTATCGTGAGATGTTTAGTTAAGATAGAGGCTATTGTAATTAAAGAAAATAAAAAAATTGTTTTTAATAGGTATTCATTAACTTGTTTCGAGTATTCGGTAAAAATGTTCTAATAAAATTTCGAAAAAATTTCCTGCTATTTTAGTAACATCCAATGGTTAAGCTTAAAAATTTAAGAAACTGCATTTTATATTTTTAATAAATCACGTTAACACATTTAATTCGATTTTAAAAATCCAAAGATTAAGTCTGAACATTCGCATGCTGGTGATGAGATCATAGAAATAGTCGAGAAAGCCAAGTTTCAAATGTTAAAACGTGTTACAATAACAACGTCAACTCCTTCACAAATTTTTGCTGAAGTTATAAATCAGGTACCAGAGCAGTCAAAAGCAATGTTGCGATGTCAAAAAAATAAGGGGCAATCCTAAAAACCATTATATTTGTCAGAACTTATAATTAATAATAAATGGGCAATGTACACAGATGAACGATTCTTACTTTATGATCATGGTTCGGGATCGAAAGAGCAAATAATAATTTTTCCTTGGATGAAGGGTAAGTTTATTTATTAGAGGCAGATACGTGGTTTTACGACGGAAACTTAAATTGAGTCCCACATTGTTTTTACATTATGTTATTAGAAAAAAAAAATTATGATGAATTTATAATGCCAATATTTATATTGGTGGTTTATATAATAATTTATAATTATTTTAAATGATTTTGACTATTATATGTATAGTATATACCTATATAATTATAAATAAAAATTTAATAGAATATTTTGTATTTTTGCGTTTTTTGTCCGATACTAAATATGTGCTCGGAATTTTTGTCCGATAATTAAAATTGATTCCGAAATTTTTGTTCAACATTTTTTAAAACAGACTTTTTGACCGATTACCTAATAACTTGTATAATTTTATTATGCCTACATAAAATACAGGGTGATTTTTTTATCATGAACCAGCGATTATCTCAGAGGATTTTAAGTGAATTTAAGGGAAGTAGAGTATATTATTTTATTTTTTTTTCGATGTTTCAAAAATAGTAGGTACAACTTAATATATTAAAATATGCATGCATATGTAATTTTATAGTTTGCTTTTCTTATCTTTGCTTTTAATTTTTTCAATAAAACATAAATTAAATTTGCTCTTTTTTAAAGTACATTTTACATAATTTTAGAAATTGAAAAACTCTTATTTATCAGTAAAATTTAGGTGGCTGTATCATAGGCAATTCTTAAGATAGAAAAATTGTATTGTTCAAAGTTGTTTGAAAAGAAAAATAAGAAATCGTATTTGATGTTAAAAATGAGCATCTCCATTTAAGAAAAAAGAAAATTAAAGTTTTATTGCGAATGCATATACCAAGAGGATTAAAAATAATAAGTACTCTCTATAACTTTCCGAAAACCAAAATATTTAGTAATACACCATAGTCTGTAAAAAATGATCATACTACTGTTTATATATTATATAAATTATCAGATTGCGTATACCTAACTGGCAATTTATTCCAACAATAAATTATATTACTTACTTATTTATTTATTTTTTTTTTAACTTTTTTCAATAAATCTAAAAAATATATTAAACTGGTATACTAACGAAATAAAAAAGGGAATTTATTTTCAATAAATCAAATGAAATTGGCATTATTCGACCGATACAAAACACTTAAAATATCTATAAATTCGAAACATTGTCTGAATGTCTGACCTACTAAATCCTCGGAAATCATTGCTTTGAGTATTGTCAAATACATATGATTCAATATTCAAAAATATTGTTTTAAAATTAAATATTAATATCATAAATGTGTCCAATAAATAGTTAGTAAACAGGCAAGTGTAGTAAGGGAAACAAAATTTACTTTTATATGATTTTTTGAAAATCAAAATACTAATATGAAATAAATGTAAAAATATACCTATAGTAAAACATAATACCACGTTCGACAGAAACTTTTTCTTTGAACTAATCATTACATTTTATTATTTTAGATTCTGAGTGGAACGGGGAATGTATTGGTTTTACAATAATGTTTGTTATTATTTTTTTCCGTGGACAACTTTTCTACCAGAAATTTTGTTCTGATATACAATGATAGCAATTTTTTTGAAAGGAAATCAAACTAGGAGGTATTTTAAGGAGGTCAACTTTTAATTTTTTCATGAGTTTTCCCAAGAAATGGGGAAAAATATAGGAAAACCGAGAAAAACGGAAAAATAGGTACAATATTGAACAAATATTATTATTAAAGAAAATATATAATCCATAAGTATGTAATTATTTTACCATAATATAACATATATTTTTTGACACAGTATAGCACTTTCAACCAAACTTCGTTCAGAATCGTTTTTTCCATTAGAAATGGTTTATCGCTGCTTACAGATGTGTATAAGTTTCCCCTCTACTAACTTTCAAACTTTTCACCTATAACAGTGTCTGCACCCGTCTCCATTATCCTAGGACAACTTTTTTTTACGTACCTATATTGCGTTTAAAT